AAAACCCAAAAACCCAAACCCAAACCCAAACCCAAACCCAAACCCAAACCCAAACCCAAACCCAAACCCAAACCCAAACCCAAACCCAAACCCAAACCCAAACCCAAACCCAAAACCCAAACCCAAACCCAAACCCAAACCCAAACCCAAACCCAAACCCAAACCCAAACCCAAACCCAAACCCAAACCCAAACCCAAACCCAAACCCAAACCCAAACCCAAACCCAAACCCAAACCCAAACCCAAACCCAAACCCAAACCCAAACCCAAACCCAAACCCAAACCCAAACCCAAACCCAAACCCAAACCCAAACCCAAACCCAAACCCAAACCCAAACCCAAACCCAAACCCAAACCCAAACCCAAACCCAAACCCAAACCCAAACCCAAACCCAAACCCAAACCCAAACCCAAACCCAAACCCAAACCCAAACCCAAACCCAAACCCAAACCCAAACCCAAACCCAAACCCAAACCCAAACCCAAACCCAAACCCAAACCCAAACCCAAACCCAAACCCAAACCCAAACCCAAACCCAAACCCAAACCCAAACCCAAACCCAAACCCAAACCCAAACCCAAACCCAAACCCAAACCCAAACCCAAACCCAAACCCAAACCCAAACCCAAACCCAAACCCAAACCCAAACCCAAACCCAAACCCAAACCCAAACCCAAACCCAAACCCAAACCCAAACCCAAACCCAAACCCAAACCCAAACCCAAACCCAAACCCAAACCCAAACCCAAACCCAAACCCAAACCCAAACCCAAACCCAAACCCAAACCCAAACCCAAACCCAAACCCAAACCCAAACCCAAACCCAAACCCAAACCCAAACCCAAACCCAAACCCAAACCCAAACCCAAACCCAAACCCAAACCCAAACCCAAACCCAAACCCAAACCCAAACCCAAACCCAAACCCAAACCCAAACCCAAACCCAAACCCAAACCCAAACCCAAACCCAAACCCAAACCCAAACCCAAACCCAAACCCAAACCCAAACCCAAACCCAAACCCAAACCCAAACCCAAACCCAAACCCATATTTCTCATTAATTTCTTTCTTGATAAATTCAGACATTACCACTGGTTTGTTTCTCGATAAGCGATTTGAATGATTCTTTCCTTTTGGATGAAACAACTTGAATGAATCAGAGGTTTGAGATGGTGATTTGTAATCCCGTAAATGTGGGCAATCCATTAATTTCTTCAATCCAAAAACATAGATCATATCAATATCATATATTGTCATGTTTCGAGAAATATTTCCATCTTGAAGTTCTGTATAATTTAAACAGAGAGTTATTGCCTTTATGATCATCTCCTATCATTTGATGATTCCTTTCAACAAGTAAATATCGTGCTGACACACAATCAAGTTCTTGAGAATATTTCAAATTGAAAAACTCAATCAAAAATTGTTGAATTAAATCACAAAAACAAGGAGAGTAGTACTTTTAAACAAGAACAACAACGATAATGTGGTCAAATTCACTCCATGATCATTACATCAAAAAGGAGACATTCAAAATTTTAATAATTCAATTAAATCTTGATGATACTTCATCACATACACTTGTTGATGATTACTATTGGTAGATGATCATGTAGAGATGAAGTGGAACAAATTCCGAATTGTAAATAATGATCACTGATGAATCCCAATCAGTATGGCGTGTTTTGGCGCCTACAAATTTCAATTTTAAATGAACCATCATTATTATTGGACACAAATAAACAGCATTTGTGCCGAATTCAAGAAACAAGTTCAATTGATATTAGTAATCATTCCACTCACTCCGATGAACACCTGGTCATTCAAGAATTGACTATCAATCGAGGACGAAAGAAGGTTGTTTCATCATTTTTAATTTGATGATGTTGTTTCTAAAGGAAAGAGAAAGGCTTTCTCTTCAAAAAAATGCCCTGTCGACAACTCAATGCAACAAAGACAGTTGGCCCTGATATTTCGGGTATGAGTAAGGAAAAGGTAATGGAGATGATGCGAAAATCATGGGAGAAGTTATATTTAACGGACAAAGAATTACAAGATACCAAACAAATCCTAACTGAAACAAAAAGGTCTAACGAAAATTTAAAGCTCCTCAATCATACTTTGGCCGATCAGTTGAAAGAAGCAAGAGATGACATTCAGAGATATAAAAGCGATTTAGGTATTGAATACATAGTTGAAACTATGAAGGACTTAAAGAGAGAGATCAATACTCTTAAGGAAGAGAATAGGGATCTAAAAAGAGAAATCAATACTCTTAAGGAAGAGAATAGGGATTTAAAAAGAGAAATTGTTGCTCTTCAGGAAGAGAATAGAGATCTAAAAAGCGAGAACATGGATCTAAAGAGGGAAATCAATACTCTTAAGGAAAACAGTGAAGTTATTGAACGAGAGAATAAGGATTTTAGATCAGAAATCCAAACTCTGAAAGAATGGCTTGGCGCAGTAGAATCAGATATGTTTTTAATGAAACATGTGAACGTGTTTAAGGACATCTTTATCCGAATTTCAGATTGGTATCTAAAAGCAGCGGCGGGTGAAGAAACAAAAAAGAACTTATCGCAAAAAGAATGGCAGCAAATAATTCCACTTTACATCGAAGATGTAACAACAATTATTCAGATTTCCGTGAGCAAAAAGGATCTTCAAGAAGTTTGGGATTGGTATCTGCAAAATAAGGACAAAAGAAACATATTTGCCCATCATAAGCTTCAATTGCATGAGAGTAATGGGTTAAGTAATACTATGCAGCGTCTTGTTGCATGGTATTACCAATAATCGAAGGAAGTGGAACGATCGTTATAATAGTATTTGTAACATTTGCCTTCGAATGCTCAAAGAACGAACAATGTTTCAATTTCTAGTATTGTGTTTTTATTGCAATTAAACAACTTGCTTCTTCTTAAAGGTTTAAGAGGTGGGTGATTTTAAAGTCTCAATTGTTGAATTTTTGTTGACTTGTTATTATTCACATTCGAATTATTATACTCATCCGAATCATCGGGAGTACTTTCAGAGTTGATTTTCTTCATTATTACATTTCATGGGAATTCAACTGTTTATATTTAATAAGAGGCTCATCGATTAGGAAGCAGGAAGGATGAAGGCAGAGACAACGACTACATAAGATGAAGCGCAAGAACTCACATTTAAGCGGCAGGGACGAAGACTCCATGATGTGAGGTCATATTTAAGCAATTTCTTGATAAATATCCATTAAAATTATGATAACATGCAGAAAATTTTTTTAACATGTAAAAATTTTTCAAGCTCAACCAAACTCTTTGATTGCTTACAATCGAAACATTCATGCCCGTCATTTCGTTCAGAACATATCAATCTTCATTGGTACCTTAGGATTGACACTCAAAAACTGCCTTTAACATGATACATGTTTCCACTCAGTTTAACCTGCTCTAAAAAAAGGTCTCGCTGGAAGTCATATCATAATTATCAATGTTTTCACCATTATTTGATTCACTCAACATCCAGACAGCACCATCCTTTCATATCACTAGCCAACATGTAGCCCACTCAGACATCTACTCAATGATGCACGGCATTTGTCTTTTCTCGCCATATTCAACTCTCCCACCAATTTTTCGCAACGGTGAATTTTGCGAGTCTGTAGCTCAATATCCAATTCACAAATCAACTTGCTTTGATTTCCATCACTTCACGAATGAACATGCTTTATTTTCCATAATGTAGACAAGGATTCAAACGGAAGATATTCGAAGCAATAGATACTTAACTCCATAAGAATAATTATTTCATATTCGAAATTTTCTCGCTCCATGATTACATCACAAAACTAATCCGCGTAAAGATTTAACAAGGAATTTCGTGTTGCATTTTCCTCTTCAAGAACATCACCACTTTCTTTCTCACGTTTTTTTAGAGGTGTAGTTTTTGGTGAATTTGTTGAGCAAAATTCTAACATCTTTCTCGGGCAAAATTCATGTAATACAAAGAACCCTCTGTTTCGAACCTTCAATACATTGTCGCCTTTGCTGAAATGTGGCTCATCACAATCCAAAACAACAGCAACCAACCCTTCTTCATCATCGGGAGGCAAAGGGAGTGGTGTTGAGAACAACAAACATGCACAACCGACTGCTTTTGATGATTATTCCAATCAAAAACCAAATAATGTTCATCCACAACCAGCCGCTAATAACGAGAATTCTTTTCACCAACAAGCTTCAACAATTAATCTCTTCTTCAACCATTACGATGAATGGACTGCACAAGAAGTTGCTACCATTTTGACTTTAGATGATGAAGCTGGTGGAGCCTCATTGTCCGTTGAGAAGGTAAAACCTTTACGCACTGTTGGTTTTGATGGAACTTCTCTCGACAACATTGTTCAAGATATCAAGAGACACAATGTCGACCACGCCACTACTGTTTTACAAAACCAGTTCAAGGGCAAGAATGGGAGAATTAAACCTCGTCTTTCTGATACTTGTTCAAGAGTGGTACATTGGGTCAATGATACATTAATGTCCAAACTTTTTGGTCTATGGAATGTCGAACAAACAAAGGCTTCATTATGCGAACCCAAATCAAAAGGAGGAGCCGGATTAACCATAGAACAAGCACAGCCTTTATACGATGCAAAATTTGATGGGAAATCTCTTTCAAAGATTGTCGAGGAAATTATTAAGAAGAGAAATGAACATTTATCCATTGAAAGAGAAATTCAACACGCCACAAATTTCATAACAAGCAACAAGGACTTTGTTTCAGTACCAGAATCCACTTGTAAAACTGTTGCTGAATGGGTTGTGGAGTTGATAAGAGGTAATTTCATTACGATATCATCCGATTTGCTTGATCGTTGGAAGCATCGGTTGGAAGGCGAAATATCTGAACAATTAAGAAAGGAAAGAACAAATCCCAAATATGATTACCTCCGTAATTTACATGATCCAACCAACATGGAAAAACTGGAAAAATTAATTGGAACAAATATTCAACTCCCTATCTTTGAAGATGATTTACTTCCAAAAAACTTAGATCCAACAGCTAAATATGTTTTGACTCGTCAGCAATTTGATATGCTGAAAAAGGTTGTTGCTGGTGTCGAAGGTTTTTTTTTCTCAGGTCCTCCAGAGATTTCAAAATCATATACACTTTATCTCATTGCTGCCTATGCCTTTGTGAATTCAATTCCAGTACTCTATGTTACGAATTGTGCTGTTTGGAAGAACAATTACATTATAGATAACATTCCTGGTGCCAATAAGTATTTGCTTCGACTATTTTTATCATTGAATAGTGACATTTTTTCTTGTGACATAATTTCGAAATTGGAGCAATCAGGTGATATTGTTTCATATTTGAGCCAATATGTTGCAAAAGATCAACGAGTGTTCTATTTGTTTGACGAACATGATGAATTGTTCAGACCTTACGACAATGGCAAAATGATGGCAAGAGAGTTTTATTTCCAAAATTTTTCAAGATGGACATGCTCTACGAGAGGCATACATACAATGACCATATATTGTGGAAGTCTTTTTGAAGAATATTTACCTGTAGGAGAGAGTTCAAAAATAGTTAGAATTGATCCTCCAACAGAAAAAGAATTTAATTTACTTGTTACTGACTTCGGTTTGGATCCAAAGGATAAAAGAATTGATTATGTGACAGGAAGAATTCCTGGAGATTTGAGAAAATTGGCCTTCTTTCTGCAAGGTAAAAAGGGTACAGACGAAGATTTTAATCAATTCATCACTGAAACAAAGAACGAATATAATCTTAGATTGAATGTTTTATTAGATGAAAAGCTGGATGGAATGGAAAAGGAATTCTTTCTCAAAGCACTTGAACGCCTTTTTACACTCGGTTTCAATGATGGAAGAATTGTATACGTTAGCCCTGTTGTTTACGATCTGGGTTTCATGTTCAAAGATCGTGACCACAATCTTTTTATTATGAATGAGCCTGCGAAGCGATGTTTATTCCAATATTATTGTGAAAAAATTCAAAATCGTGTCGTATCTTGTATACCAGGATCTGAAAAGTTTGCTTTGTTTCAACGGAATTTGATCACCCAAGAATACAAGATTGGAAAACATTTTGGAAAATTCTATGTCACAAATATGAATAATTATGAAATAGATATGGAAAGAAATGATATAAAAATTGGAGAGGATGTGTTTAGAAATGATGGTACTGATGATAATGTTATAGGTTATGAATCTGCTTCGGTTGTTAACTCATTTCCTTTCCAAAATTTGAAAAATATGAACTCATTTATGAATAATCGGAAATCACTCTATTATACATCTCTATCATATGAAATTAATACACACCAGAGCTTTAGTCTGAAAGATATACAAATTCTGAATAAGAGAAATTATCCAAAAGGAACAGGAGTACTATTCATTCCAGAGTCTGAACTTTTCCCCTGTTTTGACTATGCTATTATTAAGTATGGTGATGAAGCAGTAGAAATATATTTGAAACAGACCACAATTTCTACTGTTGATTCTCATTATTGCAAAGATTCCAAATGTTCAAAAACTGATTTTGATAATCTAATAACCCAACAATATATAATTGATGAAACAAATATAGCTAAAACCACAACATTAGAACTACCAAAGAAATATCTATTTTCCTTGCTTGAATTGATTTTTCATGCAATTGTTGATGATGGAAAAATTGAAAAGGTTGTGACAAAAGATAAGGATGAAGAGCTATATTTGAAACCTAAAAAACAGGAATTACAGATTTTCAAAGGCGGAAATATTTTAAAATCAGTTACATATGATGGTATGCAAATTATTTGGCACTATATTTATGAATCGGGTGCAAACTCCTCTGAACAATCTGTGAAGAAAGTTAAAGAGCATGGCATTCTTTACAGAAATAGAGAAGAAATTGAAAATCAAATGAAGGTGTTTTTTGATGATGATCGTGGTAGAACCGAACTTCATAAATATTAAAGAATTGGAAACGGTCCTCAAATCACAATCCTCGTTTTCGTAATAAAAACCAATGTCAGCGAATTTCTCGAGAACTCATCAAGTTTGCTGCGAACCAATGATCATAGGATGTTTTTATGACGGTTTCAATCCATCAAAACTTGCCAATTCTATTTATTGTTGCTGCTGACACGTGAAGGAAACACCACATCACTAATGATGCCTCAATACGTTGAATTGGCGCTACAAGAGCCATGGTGGTTAATTATGAAAAGTTTGTCACAATCGCATGATCGACATCATCTCTCTCTCAAACTGTCATTACACACTTTCAAGTAAATTCATAGCACAAAATGAGAATTCGTCGCTGATGATGTTACACATCCTCAAAAATTTGATGTTATATTTTTCAACTTCTTCAATAGTCGAAATCAAACCCTTTCGATGCATAGAAATCAATTATAGTGTCTCCGAAGTTACATCAGGAAAACATTGATCCAATTTGACGTCAATTCTCCAATACTTGTCATTGGTGACAATTCAATAATTTGTGCATTAAATTCGAAGCACCCGTTATTATAACCACATCCCAATAAATGTTGTCACGAGGATAGAGTTTTTTAGCTTTCAAATAAGCCAGCTTGGCAGGATTGTTCACTGTGACAGCACCGTCAAAGTAATTATGCTTGTCACTTGGATCAGTGATTGAATCAATCGTTCCAATGGGGAAAAAGTTGGAGCAGCTGAGTTGCCAATGCAATATCACCGGATGGTAGTTGTCTTTGTGTTAATTCCCCTTGAGGTTTTGCTTTTTCACTGTTAAAAACGACTAATTCTTGACGATTCAGATCGAAACTTGTAACGAGAACAGGAATGACGGGAGTCTTTTCTCCCAACTGATCGAAATGTTTGACAATTTCACGAATGACTTCTTTTTCAAAAGACACTAAGATAGACCCAGTTAATATTCCTCGAATACCACCACCATCGATCGATAAGACAAATCGAGTCTTGGCTTAAGATGTTCGTGAAGAGCAAATACAACACGCCATACGGACCAGGCCTGGTTTGTACGTATCGTGTACTTCAATTACATTACTGGTATTGATTGTTGGATGAGGTAATGAATGATCAGGCCAACGAACAAGTTAGACTCCAAATATCATTTCATTTAAAAGAAGCATCGGTTGCAAAACAGCAAAAGCATTGAATGACTTTGATATCTATTCAACGAAGCGATTCTCTGCCTCTTGTAGTTGTTGTTCTTGCACACCGTTTTGTCAAGATGAAAGCGTTGTTTTTTTGTCAAGATGAAAGCGTTGTTTAAAAAAAGGCGCCAAATTTCGTGTACAAACCAATAATTCAAACAAAAAAATTGCCGTTCGAATCACATTCTTTGGTAGCTTCAATGCATGAAAACGCAAAATCTTCGTCAGCGGAACAACAACGACTCGGAATGATTGAAGAGGATGACGATGAATTTTTAATGATGGCCGAAAAGGATTACACATCACGAAGAAAAACAATAGACTCTTCTCCTTTTACTACAACATCATACAACAAAGAATTGATAGGAGAGCTTATTGAACGATCACATTTAAGCTCATCCATTGATTCAAATGACATTGAAAAACTTGCTTCGGAGTTATCCTCTCTGAGTGTGGGATTTTCGAGTATTTCAACAACTTCACCAGTCCGACCACATCGCTTCAGTAAGCCCATCGATAGTTTGGTATCATCACCACAAATTTCTTCTTCTGATGATAGCTCTTTATCCATTTTCCTTTCTCAAAGATCAAATCTTGCCAACAAGGAACATGTTTCTTGCAAACTTGAATTGCAACGAAAAAAGATAGAGTTTGAAAGAATTTTAAGAGAAACACAAATACAATTAGCTGACCAGGAAGCACAGTTTAAAAACGAAAAACACCTTTTAGAGATGGAAATTTTAAAATATAAAACACAATTAGATCAGTAAGTTACTTCACTCTTATTGAAAAAAGATGACAACTTTTCAAATGAAAACCTTGCCATAAAACTTGCAGAGATGAAAAAAAGCTAATCACTCTTCAGTCCAATGTACAGCAATTAGAGCGTCGTCTGAATGAAGGCCAAGAAAAAATTATTAATGCTGAATCAATCATAACAGAAGCTAGAGAGACTTCACAGCAATATAAACAAGAAAATAATGCCCTTAAGGAAAACATTTCAGAATTGACAAGAATTTTAGAAATGGCTGAGAATGAAAAAGCCCAGTACAAACGACAGTACGACAATTTACTACAGGAGCATAAATCTCAAGTGGAACTTCTTGAAAAACGATGTCATACGGTAGAATCTGAACTAAGCACGAGAATAATTTCGCTCGAGGAACACAAAGCCAAGGGAGAAATGTTTGATACCATCAATCTTAAAGCAAAAAACTATGAAGATGACGCCAGAAGGTATCAACTGGAGCTTGAAGCTACAAAGAACGAACTGGAGAAATTGAGAGAGGAGCACAATGGATTGCAATTAGAATTGACAAATGTTAAACAGCAAGTCGAATTATTGAAAAATGACAAAATGTATCTGACTAAGGAAGTTGAATCAACTCGAAGTGAGAGATCACGAGACGAAAATGAAATTTCTAGATTAGAAAGCAAAGTAAAAGAAATGAGAAAAGAGAAGAAGGCTTTGTATGACCGATTATTATCTGTAAAGGAAGAATCAAAAACTGAATATGAGAGGCATTTGCAAGAAGAAATTCAACAACTACGAAACAAAACTCAGCAGGATTTGGAAACCATCAAACAAAATTCACAAGAGGTGTTCGAACGTGAAAACAGGTTGATACGGGAAGCAAAGGAAGCAGCTGAAACTCAAGTAGAAAAATTGAAACGCCAACTTGAGGACAGTCGAGATGCACATAATAACCTCATGATTGAGTATAACACATTGAAAAGTATGATGGAAAAACAAATGAGCGAAATGAGAACTCAAGCAAATATCAAAATTTTTGAGAATGAACGATTGCAAGTGACCCTATTAGATACCACAGAAAATTTGAAACAATGCAAGAAGGAGAACGAAATTTTAATCAAGAAACTGGATGTGATGAAAACAGAGTGCTATACTCAACAAAACACAATGGGAAAGAAAATAACTGAATTAGAAACCAAATACGAGGCTGCAATGAGAGAACTGAGCCAATATCAGAATCTGGAAAAAGATCTAGATGCCATCATGCAAATCAGCGGGCAAGAACAATCAATAGCGGAATCAGAAAAAATTGTGAATGAATTATCTGCTCTCCTACCAACAGGAAAACGGGTGAAGAATAGTATTCAACTTGCTAAAAAGGTGTTCGATTTGGAAAAACAGCTTTCTCAAAAAACAACAGAGTTGGAAAATGCAGAAAACACTATTGCCGCTCTTACAGATAGACTAAACAAGACCAAAAAACATTTAGAGACAGCTGCGCAACCATACAATTATCTTGTCAATTCAATAGAGGAAAAGGACAAAGAAATTGACTCTCTTAAGAAAAACACCAAGATCTTGGAAAAGGATTTGAAACGAGCAAAGCATGAAAATGAAAAATTAAGGAAAGTCAAATCTAGACTTGAGCAAGATATTGACCAATTATTGCAACACAATAATGTCACGTCCAAGCTCAAAGACCTCCTACTAAGTCTAAAGCATGAACAAGAATCCAATGTGATCGAGTTTATTAGCCCTTAACTGTGTATAGAATTTTTCATGTGACAAAAAAAAATGCTTTCAACTTTGTGTTGCAGTCTCTCAACCGTGTGTTCAGTTATGTGAGGGTTTTGACAGGAATCACTCGATCCACTATATCTAATATAGACACCCAAAATGTCTGTGCTTCACGAATCAACCCAAGTGAACCCATCCAAAGAGAGCTCTATGACTTTGCTCAACAACTATCAAGGAACAATAGCAGGCCGGTTATGTATTTATGTGAATTATATTCGCCTCACCAAAGTTTCAAGTTCTTAGTATAATATTATTTCCTTGTAGATCCTTCAAATTTAACAATATACAAATGCTCCCCTTGAACTCGTTTTTTCAAGACCACACTGCTTTGAAATGATCCATATTCTTCCTGTGACATTAATTTCATAATTTCCTGAGGATTGTTATCTTCAATCAGAACAAAATAAAACACTCCATTTGGAGAAAGAATATTTTTGACCATTGGCAGAAATCGATCAATTACCTCACGTCCATTTTCTCCACCTGCATAGGCAGCTCTCACATCACTGAACCCCATTTCATCCTTCTCGCATGGAACGTATGGAGGATTGAAAATGAGCAAATCAATCTTATTTTTGAGTCGTTTCTCAAAAGCAGAGGCAAAATCACACAAAACCACATCGAACAAAGACGGAATAAATTTTGGACTTTGTTTCATGTTCCGTTCAAATGTTTTCCAAGTCATTGCTGCTGCATTTGGATTAATATCTGTACACAACAAGCAAAATGAAACTCCACTCGATTTTAAAAATTTCTCATAACACGAATTCAATAATTTATAAACAAAAGTCGTTACATAACCACTACCGCATCCAATTTCCAAACAAAATTTCAGTTGAGGTGAATTTTCTTTTCCTGTCAATGTTTTTAGTAAATGAGAGTGAATATAATCCTTTTCCAATGCATCAACCAACAAGTAGGTATCATCATTAAATTCATACACGAGCTTGAAATCACTGCTTCTCATGTGGCTCATGTCGGGATCGTTGGCGCTTTTTGGCATTTTTTTTAATATTTTCGAATTGGTTCTTTGAATATTTGATCAAACACCTGGTCATCTTGAAAACAACAAGAAATTTATCAAGTTTCAAAAGATGTCATCCACAATTTTTCACTCGAGTTCAAACACTTGGTGTTTCACTCTTTCGTTCCGATTGAAATTTCAAAGACAAAAAAAATTTTTCAAGGTTTTAGCGAAAGAGGAGATCAATAATGGATGAAACTACTCCTCCGAGAAAGGATTCAGAACATGTCTTTGTAGATGACGTTATTCTTGAAATTTTACAATTCCTAGATTCAAAATTAATCATCCGAGTGTGTATGAGAATTTCCAGACAATGGTATCGGCAATGTCTTAAAATACCTTTAATTGTATCTTTCTGTTCTTTTCCTTCGAGTCCATCCTATCAACTAATTGGTCCCGAAGGAGTCAAACATATTGCCATGTGTGAGAGTTTGAGAAATTTAAAGGAATTACATGTACCTGCTCAGAAAATTGGATCCTCAGGAGTGAAATATATTTCCGAGAGCGAGAATGTGAGGAATTTAAAAGTGTTGGATTTATCGGGAACCACACATGCAGGTGGCTCGTTTTTTAAAGTGAATAATTTTGTTCGTAGAGAAGGTGTCATGTGTTTGGCTCAGAGTAAAAATTTAATAAGTTTGACATCATTGAAATTACACTGCAACAACCTTTCGTCGGAAGATGTCAAAATAATTTCAGGTAGTGAAAATATGAAAAATTTAAAAGTTTTGACTCTAGGTCAAAATGTCATTGACTCGTTAGGTGCTGCATATATTGCCTCAAGTGAACATTTGAGGAATTTAACATGCCTAGATTTGAGTAATAATAATCTGATTGACATGAAAGGAGCTGAACATATTGCTAATAGTGAGAATATGCAAAACCTAACTGATTTAAACTTGGCTAAAAATTCTATCAACTCTGAAGGTGCTAAACTTATTGCAAGCAGCCAATTTTTGAGCAATTTACGAACATTAGATGTGTCTTGCAACAACATTGGTCCTGAAGGAGTCAAACACATTAGTGAAAGCATGAAGAATTTAACAGCCTTACGTCTGGACAACAATAGTGTTGGTGTGAAAGGCGTTCACTCTATATCTAATAGTCATTGCATGAACAATTTAATTTCCTTACATTTACCGAGGAATGAAATTGGTTCTGAAGGAGCTCACTTTCTTGCTCAAAGTAGTCAACTGAAGAATTTAACCGATCTTAATTTACAACACAATTATATTGGATCAGAAGGTGTAAAATTTATTACAGATAGCCCGTTCTTGAAAAATTTGACATCGCTACAACTGCAACTTAACAACATAGGCTCTAAGGGAGTGAAATATCTTTTCCACAACGAGAGTCATTTGACGAAATTAAGAGAATTGTATTTGACTAAAAACGATATTGATTCTGAAGGATGCAAATACATTGCCAATAGCATTCAAATGAAGGACTTGACCATCTTGAATTTAGATTGGAACAACATTGGAAATGAAGGCGTAAAATGGCTTTCTGAAAGCGACAATCTAAAGAATTTAACAATTTTGACTCTATCTTGTAACAAGATTAGTTCAGAAGGAGCTTTTATGACTATTAACAACAAGAAAATGCCAAAATTGAAAGAATTACATCTGTCCCATAATAACATTGATCCTTGTTGTGTGAAAGATTTGACTCGCATGGCCTCCCATTTAACTTTGAATGTTTGAAACAGAACAGTAACAATCTCTGAAAATTTGAACAAGAAAATATTCAACCCTTGAGGGCCCATCACCATCTACAGCGAACAGCCATTCAGTCAGGATGGAACAACTGAATATTCCAAAAATATATCTCGAAATCGCAAATTTGAAAACCGTACTAATTTGTAAGAATTTGGCGTTGTAAATCTTATCGAGTTATAAATGAGAAAGGGCTGAAAGTTCGAAATCACTTCCTATCAACTCCTACAAAAACACTCCAAAAAAAACAGAGAATATCAAGAAACGAACGGATGAAGATACATCCAACTACTCTTGAAGAACCTCCCTCTTCATCGATCTCTTTTTCCACGAGCTCGTCCACTCATGTTTTAAGAGCTTCTGTAGTTGTTCCACCAGACTCTATCACTCGTTCCACAGCCCTACTTTCTGACACCGCAAGTCGTTCCTCACTGACCATCGATTCTTCGTTGAACCTTCATTTGCAAAAAACATTGAACGACGAGCACAAACCTTTAGTGAGAAGAGTATTGAAAAGAATATGCCCAGCTCCTCATTCCTTGCAAAATCTCTTGTTGTTCATATTCCTACTGCAAACTGTGATTTGTATTGGCTCTATGATCGTTTTGATTCAATCGAGGTAGGTTGAACAACATCAATTATTCATTTCCAAATCGAGACAATAACACACTCAAATCCGAAATTGGAAAATATACAAATGATCTCTCATGCGCAACTAGTGGAGATAAGTCCATCGATGACATTTCTACGATTCAATCCCATTCCATAGCTCTCTCCATCAATTCTCACATTTCCACCGCGAAAGCCATTCTCACTGAATTGCATCAATTACTTTCTCTTTCAAATCATCTCAATGGCGATTCCATTCCCGACTTACAAACTCTTTCGAAACGAGTGTTGGCCTTGTTTGCTCCAACCAAACTAGGATATCCAATGACGACTCAATTCTATTATGGAAATAGTTTGAGAAATTTCATTTCAATTGAAATCACGCAAACGAGACAATATGTGTTGATTCGAGACGAGATGGCAAATGTCATTACATCGACTTATAATGAATTCTATGAGCCAGTGAATCAAGTTCAGACGAATCCAAATTATGATACCTTAAAGAGAGATTGGTAAGTATAAATCAATTGAATAATCAAATGTTGAATGATTGACAATTTTTCATATGATGATGACTTATAGGTACAAGGCTGGCCTAAAGAAAACATATCCAGATTACCAATGGTCCAACATTTTCAGTCGTGTGACTGTTAAGGGTATTTGCATTGCTGCTTGTACTAGTGTCAATTACTCCAGCTACAATTACACCTCTTTGAATGGAACAGTCGTCCAGAAAATTCCAGTCACACAAGTCATTGGAGTACATTTCGACATGTCTCAAATGGATCTTCTTCTCAATCAAACCATTCTTCAGTATAAAGACTATCAAACCAAATCCATGGATATTGTCATTGTGGAGAGAAGTGGAAATATTGTCACCTCATCGATTGGGGTCGTTCAAGACACAGCTGCAATAAGAGTGCATTTAAATTCTACCACGGATGTGTTTTCAATGATTTACAACGAGCTTGTTCAGAGGAAAGTATTATACGGGCTGGATGGTCCTAGCAATGCTAGTCTTCTCTACTCAGAAGCAGAGCTCTCAAATACCACAACTATTATATTCTACGTTCAGAATCATCGTGTGACTGTGAAATTCATCAATGATGATCACGGAATTGATTGGGTCATGATTTTGAGCGCAGTGAATTATGGATTTGTAAAACAGTATTCACAAGTTCACCAGAATTATTGGCCCTTTCCATTGTTTTGATTGTTTGTGGATCATTGCTCGCAGTTGTTTTAACACAAATTGTTTCCTATTCAATTATGAAAGTGGCACGAGATATGAGTCGAATTGCCAAATTGGAAGTTGGCCAAGTGAAGTCCTCCAAATTGTTAAAAACTGTTCACGAATTGGACATGTTGCAACAATCGACAAAACTTGTGAAAAGTGCTCTTCATTCCTTCATGAAATATATTCCACAAGATATTGTCAGAGATATTGTAAAGAATGGAGTTGGAGCCAAGTTAGGAGTTACAAGTTGTAATACGTCCATCATGTTCACAGATATTGCAGATTTCACAAACTTTTCAGAGTCCTCACATGTGAATGTCTTATTGAAAGTGTTGTCAGAATATTTTAGAATTATTACTACGGCTGTGGAGGCCAACCATGGCGTCATTGATAAATTCATTGGGTATGTAGAAATGTTGAGTAAGCTGACCGCATTCATAACGTTCAACTCGTGATTGAAACCTTACATGCAATACAAATATATTTAGTGACGGAACCATGAGCTTGTTTTCTCATCCGCTTTATCAAGTCGACGACCATGCAGAGAGGTGTTGTCATGCTGCATTGCAAGCTTTGGTGGAAATTGAAAAATTTAGACATGTATGTAAGAGAGAAGGTTGGCCAGAAGTGAGAATTCGAGTTGGTATCAATTCAGGAAATTCCATGATTGGAAATGTTGGATCAAAAGAGCGTTTCAATTATACTGGTAAGTTGAATGTCAATTGTCAATCTTTCGTCGACGATCCATAATACTCACAAAAATGTTTTCTTTCGAAATTTCAGCTATTGGTGATACAGTCAACACCGCAGGTCGATTAGAAACTCTCAATAAGAGGTATGACACCACCATTCTTATTGGCCAAAATACTTACGAATTAATCTCCAAAAAGTTTGTGTGTTTCTTTGTCGACGTCGTCAAGTTGAAAGGAAAAGCAAGACCGATTGAAGTGTACACATTAGAGGCTGAAATCTCTGAATCCTCCAAAAAACAAGTAGCTATTCAAGATTCTCTTCTCAAAGCAAAGGATTTCATGTTACATCGAAAATACACCGAGATGAATGAAGCTCTGGATAATTTGATTGAAAGTATGGATCAGTGGATTGAAACGGAAAATCAAAAGCATGCATTTACAGACGAAGTGACGGAGCTTAATTCTCTTCGATCAAGTGTTCAGTTCTATGGAAACCGTAATATTTGTTTCTCGAATTTGAATTTTGTGAAGGAGTTGAGAAAGAGAGGTAACGAGTTGCAAAAATTGTCACAATCAAGCACAGTGGTGACAAGTGTGTTGGACTATTCTCTCGCACTTAATGAAAAGTAATCGCTAGATCATTTCACAGAAATTGCATGAATGTGAATTGTAAATATCCCTAAGGGAACCACTAAAGTCCTTTGTCTTAAATTGTATTGCATTCGAAATATGCGAGAACGCTTCCAATATAACCGAACAACATTCATCTTTGAGTATTGTTAAACTTGTTCATTCCGAAATAAATACACATGTCCAAAATTACATTCTCTTTCATACACGTCACCAGCATTCAGTTTATAATATTTGGTCTCCAAACTCCTCAAACTTAATATTCGGGCAAACTGTTTGCAATTTCTGTCTAAACTTGGAATCTTGCTTTAGCTTTTCAGAAGCAAATTTGAAACTACTTGGATGAAATGACACTGCATACATGACAATGTTCTCATCCTCTCGTAATCTCTCACTGCAATACATGAGAGCGATCTTAATACCCTTTAAGGCAAGGCGTACGATCTCAGGATTATCTCGAAATGCTTCTGAAGCATACATGATACTTTCTCCATCTTGTTCAATGGCTTTTCTTACTATTTCTCCGTCATTTCTCAATGAAGAATGAGCGTATTGTAAAGCCAACCCATTTTGTTGGATGGATAGACGAACAATCTCCTTATTCTTCGTCATTTCAACATTGGGAGCATATGACAGAGTCAAACCATCTATGGTAACACATTCTTTCAAAAAATCTTCGTCAAAGTATAGCAAGCTGTTAATATGGCGAAGAACGATATGTCTGTTAGATCCTGCATTTCGAAGAGCCAACAAACAGACGTCTCGATCGTAAGTGAGGTCCAACGAGGCGTAAGCGATACACATACTTGAGATGGAGAGAGCCATCATCACAAATTGCTTATCTTTTTTAAGAGAATCTGATGCATATAAGAGGGCACGAGGATCTTGTCGTATGGTCAACTCTATCACCTCGCGATCTGACTTATGGAGTGGTATTACATGCTTTTCAAATATTTCAATAAAAGTTTTGTTGGAAAGAAGTCCACTCATTGGAGGTTTGAGCTTGCGTGAATTTTTGATCATTTCTAAAACGAGTGTCTTGTCAGACTTCCACTTGTTGACAATATAAACGTAATTAGAGGGATCCCGTTTCACTGCTTTCAATACAATATCATAATCATATAACAATAATGACGAAATCTCCTTTAAACTAATGTCAATATAATCCAAAGCCTGTAATACAAACTCTCTATCTTGTTTGAGAGTGAGTGTTGCTAATTGAAAAGGAGATCCCGTACGAATCAACGACAGCATTGTATTAAAATCTTGAGTCAACTCCAACTCGAGCTCATTAGTGAGCTTACATATCCACTCCCGAATGATCATGTAGACTTGGGGCTTTTTTTTCACCCAATTCCTAAATACTTGAAGAAAATCATTGAACTTGTTTTCTCTCTATCGAACGTATACGAGGAAAGATCCACACGGGCTTTGTAAATCATTCTCTTAGTGAGATTATCCCACACTCGCTTCAATAGATTATCTGGAATATTCCAAACTATATATTCAAATTCCTCACAAGTTAAATAATATAAATCCGAATAATCTCTTAGTGTTGAATATTGTGGGCATGGGTAATGCATGAGTCCGACATGATCGCCAATTTTAAATAAATAGTTTTGTGCTGTTCGATCATGAACACGTTTAGTGAAGGCTTGGTATCTGTTTGATTGTTCATTTTCTAAATAATTGAATAGAGTCTTGCATACTAATCGTAGGGACATGAAATCTAAATATCTCAAACACGGGAAAATATGATATACCCATAGATCAGCGTTGATATCAATTAAAATTTGGTTTTTCATTCCTGATGAATCTTCCATATGGTATTTTTCAAATAGTTGTCGTTGTTTGGTTGATTGGTTACTACTATTGTAATGTTACTACTGGAGTTATCATTCGGAAGTGCTTGAAGTGGAACTACAAAACTTTCAATTCAACAATAACAGAAAAGAAAGGATCGTATGATAGTTTGAATCGTTGATAATGATTCAAGTGATACAGCCAGAGACCGATTTTTTCTAATGTCCTGAAAAGCATGATGGCCCAACTCAATTACAGAATCGAGGTCATGGAACTGAGAACTCTTCGTTTAGGTTCTCCTTTGAAACAATCATCACCAGCCATTTGATGAAACAACATATATCTAGAGAAAATTGACGGTTTTCTTTGAATGATGCAGAAGCACATAATCCTTCAGTTGTGGTCAGTGCTGTACACTGAAAATCATTTCATTGTAAACAACTTCCGGTGTTGTGTACTCTTTTCATTGGACAGAAGAAGGACAGGTTGATTGACAAGTCATCAAACATTTACCAGCTTAATGTCCAGCTAGCAATCATTCACAGTCGACTCATCAATAATTTTTCAAAAAAATTCACATCACTCATTCACAAAATGTCTTGGACTCCTTTCGTTGATGGTCAATTTGTCACTCCTTCACAAGGTCTCATTCAAAAGGGTTTGATCATGGGCAGAGATGGTACCATTTGGGGATGCACTGCTGGTTGGAATGTTACTGCTCAAGAAGCCAAAACTTTGGCTGGTCAAGCTGCCAATCCATCTTCTGTTCCATCCACTGGTATCACTTTGGGTGGTGTGAAGTATATGGGTTTGTTGGCTGATGAAGAAAACTTCCAAGGTTTCTCTTCTGCCAAGAAGCAAGGTGTTTCTGGTGTTGTTTTGAAGGGATCCATCATTGTTGGTTTGTTCGGTGAACCACACAAGAATCCAAATGTTTACTCTTACATGAAGAAGATTTCCGATCAATTGGTTGAACAAGGTACTTTGCAATAAACTTGTACACTCAAATTGAGCAAAATTTCTTGAGATTCGTAAACGTGTGAGTGTTTGTGTTGTATTGTAATTGTGTAAGCTTGAATGTGCAAATATTGAATAACGATGAATAGTCATATGAAATCAATTCGTGTTGTATGTCGTTCGGAATGATTGGGTCATGTTTTGATTGATCAAAATAATTCTTCACTCACACACACTAAGTGGCAAACCTTGTCGACTGTATTATAAAATCTGTTGGAAACCGTCGTGTCCACGTGGTGACGTTTGTGGATACAAAGATTTAATCCTCCCATCAGTTTCTTCAAATTCCGATTCGGTTAAAGTTTGTCGTCAACCCAGATTACGACGATCTGGAACCAACATTGTGTGTGCGAGTGAATCCGATGGATCGATCAGTTGTATTTGTGATGGCCATCCAAATTTTCATCTCCCATAGACAAGACCAAGAACAATCACTCGCTTCAATGAAATTCTGTGAGGATGGCTTGTGGTTTCATTGATTTTCCCGAACCTGAATATTATTCGAACATTACATCCTCATGCCTCAAATTCACTCGGAAAACATCTTCGTACGAACCCTAATCACCAACTACATTTGTACATTTACGGTAATGTGTTACGGTAGAGTGAGGAGGAGTGAGAAAGAAGGAACTCATGAATCACATTAGAATTGTACAAAATAATTAATGAACCATCATCGAGATGAGAATTGTAAAAGGGCAGGATGACCAGATTGAAGTGAGTGAGGTGTGCAAAAAAGTACGAAACTCTCTGCAGTATGGAAGCAAATTGCCAACTTTGACGAATGACAAGTTTAACGTCATGCTATCACCTCTCAATCCAAATTGACGACTTTTTCACAAAAGCACGTTTTAAGCCATCACCACAACCCAGACAGCATCAAGTCAACACAAAACAAACAACAAAAAATGTCTTGGACTCCTTTCGTTGATGGTCAATTTGTCACTCCTTCACAAGGTCTCATTCAAAAGGGTTTGATCATGGGCAGAGATGGTACCATTTGGGGATGCACTGCTGGTTGGAATGTTACTGCTCAAGAAGCCAAAACTTTGGCTGGTCAAGCTGCCAATCCATCTTCTGTTCCATCCACTGGTATCACTTTGGGTGGTGTGAAGTATATGGGTTTGTTGGCTGATGAAGAAAACTTCCAAGGTTTCTCTTCTGCCAAGAAGCAAGGTGTTTCTGGTGTTGTTTTGAAGGGATCCATCATTGTTGGTTTGTTCGGTGAACCACACAAGAATCCAAATGTTTACTCTTACATGAAGAAGATTTCCGATCAATTGGTTGAACAAGGTACTTTGCAATAAGCGATACATCACCTCTTATGCATTAATAAATCGTTGTTAAATGTATATAAAAACTTCCGGGTGAATAGTCAATGAACCACTCTTGTGGTGATGTTTCGGAGAGAGAGAGACCTTAAGGAGACGAGCTTTGGTAATTTGATTGGTTGTCAACAATTTTCAATCATCATCATCATTCGATGCTAGCACAGCAACTCTCTAACTTCAAACCGGAATGATGTTCATTGATATTCTATTTCCTTCTTTACTCTTTTGAGAGGTGAAGAGATTTTCCATATGTTCATTATTATATATTAATAACACCTTTATTCATGAAGGTATCATGTCTGAGTTTATACAACAACAATTACATTCCGAAATTAATGAAAATAATTAGAAAAAGGCATGATGATGATTTGTGTGCAGAGAGAGAAAGTAATGACCAACCTAGTAGGTCAAAAGTAACCCAATAACGTAGCTACCCCTTATTATCATGTATCAGCTACGGAGTGAATTCATTCGTTAGCAATCATCTGATAACATTTCAGTATTATTCATTGCAAAGACACTTACGTACCATCATCAACGCAAGAGCCCAGAGCAAAAACTTGAGAGAGCATGGCTGTGGTTCGAACATTTCTAAAACCAGGCAAGTTATTTCTCTTTCCGTTTTGAGTCATTGTTTGGAGGGCTGAATGATGGTTGTTGGAACAACCCGAAGGTGTTATAGCTTGGAATTGTGTTGATGATGAGGAGAGAAAAGTTGAATAATTATGAGAACACGAATTTTGAGTCAAACCAATGCTACTGTTGATGTTGCTCTTTGCGAATCGGCTGGTTGTTGTTGATGATGAGAAAGTCTTCTTGTTGCATGTTGTTGAGAAGGCTCTAGAAACGGCCCTTGAGAAGGAAGCTGGTGTTCTCATTTTTTGTTTTGCCAAAATTTTCATTGAGCCTCAACAACATCCAAAACCAAGCCACATGGACCTGAAGAAAAGACTCTGTTCATTTAAATTGGTTCATATTCAGTCATAATAAAGTATATTGTTTGATTCACCTTTGGATGATGTTCACTCGTGGGCGAAACTCTGTTCAATTCTTATTTTCAAACTAAGATAAAAAATGACACCAATCAAAGAGCTGCTCTCGCCGTTGTCATCTTTGCCAGTAGAGGCTTCAATTCATCGACCAATATCAAACTCAATATCACCATCATCACCACCATCACCATCACCACCATCACCAAGATCCGATACTACCACAACGAGGACGAATATAATATTAATTTTATTTATTTTGTATTTATTCGGAGTTGTGTTTGCATTCATGGGATTCTTTCCGATGGGTGGCAATTCTCGAACGTCTTATCATCAAAATGGATCAAAGGAACTCATTTCGAAACGACTAACAAATTCCATTCTTAACAATGTGGATGGGCATTTGTTCAAAGAAATTACGAGCCACAAACCACAAAATGAAACACTCACTCATGGAAATGTCCATAAAATTGTATTTATTGTGATCGACGCTTTGGGAGCGAGCAGATTTGAGAATATTTTGAAAATGGACCACATCTTGGATTCATTGAAGGATCGACGAGAAAACTTTTTGTGGTTCACAAGTTATGCTCATGCACCAACTGTGACACTGCCTAAATTGAGAGCTCTCGTGAATGGACAAATGTCAAATTTTGTGGATGTAGTAATGAATGTAGTCACTGAGGATCATCATGAAGTTGAACATTCTCCCTCGGCTGTAGAGATAAATAAGGCCCACCTTTCAGCGCCTCTCTCAACATCGGAAAATTATAAAAAAGAAATTAAGAAACAACTCATCAATAGCAGTGGAATGTTATACCATTTGAAAAAGTTGAAGAATTGGAGAATGGTTCTGCATGGAGATGAAACATGGTTTCGACTTGTCGGGCAATCTGAAAGTCAAATATTTGAAAGTAGAAGTGACCCAACTCATTCACTCTATGTCACTGATACTGTCATTGTTGACGAGAATGTGACTCGTCACATTGAAGAGGAGATTCAACATTTACAGAATTGGGATTTACTCATTCTTCACTTTTTGGGACTTGATCATTTGGGTCATATTCATGCAAAAGAGGAAGAATTTCATGAAAAGATGAAATACTACAATGATAAGGTATTTGAACCAATTTTATCTAAGGTAAATTTGAGTGAAACACTATTCGTAATTGCTAGCGATCATGGAATGACCAATGATGGAGGTCATGGAGGTAGCACTCCACTTGAAACAAATGCAATACTTGGATTTGTTCATTCAGCTTTATCAAAGAAGTGGCAACAAGATACACAAAATTCAAATTCCGAAAAGTATGGGGGAGTTGTAAATCAAATTGATTTTTCACCAACAATTTCTGTTTTAACAAATGTTCCAATACCTGATTTGAGTGTTGGAAAGTTAATTCTAGATGTTGTACGACCTTTTGGAGGTAAGAAATTAGTATGGAGTGTTTGGAGCTATAACGATTAATTGTTTTTTGGTTATTTGGTGATGGGTTATTTTGAAAATTTTGAATTTTTTTTCTAAATTCTCTGATTATAACTACTCTAATACAAAACCCAATATATATCATGCACCGTGCGCGTGATTTACAATTCAACAGATATATTCACACTGAAATCAATCATTGCAAATGCGGCACAGCTCATGTCTCTCATGTCCGAGAAAGATTACCACAAATTTTTGGTCATATGGGATTCTCTTTTCACTAAATACTCAGATGTTCAAACACTGATTGAGAAAAGTCATGAATTACTCACAGATATGAGCCAACACCTCATTCAACAAAGTGGAAACGTACATTATTCCATTGCATATGCAAGTCTATTTTTTTTATTAATTCTTATTGTAGTGATTGGATACATCGTGTTGTCACACTATTCAAACCAAATGCCATTCAAAAAATTAACATCAAAATTGGATTATATTTTAATTGCTTTTTTCGCACTTCATTTACTGAGCTACACCTCGAGTAGCTTAATTGAGGAAGAACATCAAATATGGTACTATTTTTCAGTAATGATACTATTTTTATTGTTTTTTTCTGTAGATAACAACTGGATACTCGTTATCATGCTTGGATTGGATCGTGTGACGTATGACTATTATATTAGTGGCATCAAGAATAGTGAATTTTTACAAGCTCCAGTGTCCCATAGAAATTTTGTTGAGCTGCTCTCCATCGTTTTTACCATTGTACTGCTGACTAGATATTCATGGCAACGAATAGTTAAATGGAACATGTTCACAAAGAGCACACTCTTTGGAATCAATCTCTTACTATGGCTCTACACTTTGGATTTCAAATTATTGGGATTATTCAACATATCCGACAAGGTGAATATTGTGGTGATTTATGTGGTATCCACTCTCTATGCATTTGACCTTCTGCTTTCCAAAGAGGCAAGAACAACACTCGCCATGTCCACATTTGTTCACTTGTGGTTTTTAAATGAGCATTCTTGTACCTATCCTCTCATGGCCATCTCGGTCGTTCAAGCCATCTTATTGCCATCTGTTTTAGTGCCCTCTCCTCAACCACTAAATTCACGAACAGTGTCCTCAACAGCGAGATTCAAAACGAAGAAGGAGACATCATCGTTTCACTCCTCTCGTCGTCATGAATTAAGTATTCTCACGAAGCAACTGATTTGTCAAGTACTTTCACACTCCTACTATTTCAAATTTGGAAGAAGTATTTCGGTTTCAAACATTGATTTTTCCGTAGCTTATCAAGGATTAACATTCTATCATCCGCTCATCACTGGTTTTTCACTTTTTATCAAGATCTTTGGGGCACGTATACTTTTTGAAATATTTCCATTATTATTGGCAACAACAAGTTGTGACCACCATCTCCCCAACGACAACAACAATCTTACACTCCCACCAAACTCTTTCAATAACCGAACGTTCATTCTCTCTCTTAATTTATTCGTTCGAGTGTCACGTTTATTCATGAGTGCACTCATCCTCCTTCTCATGCAAAACCATTTATTTATTTGGAGTGTTTTTTCACCAAAGTTCCTTCTTGATACAACTCTAGAAACCTTGTATCATTTCATCATCTTTATTACTCTCTTCATTGCTTTGAAAGATTAGATGGCTTTAAATTGTTGTTAAAATTCATTAATAAAGTAAAATTCAAAAAAAACAAAAAAAATTGTGAATTAAAAAAAATGCAAATTCTCAACCATCGACTATTAGTGTTCATATCCTTGACGACTCTTCTTGTTTGCATCCTGGCACTCAGTAGCCATCATGATCGAGTGTTTCAACAAGATTGTTGCTCCTCAGGTTTTTTCGGAATGAATGTAGTGGCTGAAGAGAATGAGGAAGATGCTGCTGCTAATTTTTGGAATGCCATTCCGACGAAAATCATTGAAACCACCACAACAACAACAACATCTTTGGATGATACTGATGCTTCTACAATTCATCATCATGATGAGGAAGAGGAAGAACCACATACTACTTTTACAAAACTGAAGGAAGAAGGCTCGACAAAGACAGCATTATCGGAAAACAATGAAGAGGATGAGTTTGAATTTACAGAAGATGATTTTACTTCAATTCAAAGCAAGATTAATCTTCAACAACAAGAGGATAACAAGGAAAACGCTGCCGCTGATGAAACTGCAGAAAAGGAACCAGTCCGATTATTTGGATTTCCCAAACAAGAACACTTTTATTATGAAATGGGCATTGGAGCCTTTATTTTGGTATCACTCTTGGTTTACTTGATGGGAAGAACGAGTGCTGAATCAACATTCAAGAATTGGACAGAAAACAATGCATTGAGAAGAGTTTTGGAAAAACATTTTACCAAGGTGAACTTTATGCGTGATGGTGCTAATCAATTTATTGTCTATGCAACTGGTAATGAGGTAATGAAACACCTCACATTTAAGGTGACCTTTCCAAACAAGCAAGATTTACTCATGGGAATGATTGTTAAGCCATTCATGAGCATGCTAAGTGGAGGTTCTTTATTTGGTGAAACTGAAATCATTCTCGAAGTTATCCTTCCAAGATCATTTGCAGTTCTTTTCGGATTTTGTGATCCAAAAAATTATAAGAGTTTTCTCAAACAACATGAACCTTTACAACTGTATACAAAACACGCTTCATGTGAAGTTGCAGGAAAGCAGTATGCTGTTTTTACAGACACTCCAGGATTGATTGCAAAAGTCATGTCTCAATCATTTGTCTCGAATCTGCAAGGAGAACTTTTGATTAGTGACCTTCTTAAACCACGCATTGCTGACACTCATCTCATTCAATGCATCACACTGAAAACCAAGATTAGCTATGACAAGACTCTCTCAAACAGCACGGAGATCGTTTCAAAAACTAACAAGAAGCTCAAATTTGAGAACTGGCTAGATGAATTGTTATACTTCATGTCCTTTGAATTTACTTTAACTCCACAAGAAGCTGAAAGAAACATGAAGAACAGATTAGAAATTCAAGAAAATATCGAGCAGGAAAAGAAGAAGGAAAAATTGAAGGAAGAATCGAAAGAAAATCGTCTGAAAAAACTTTCCAAGAAAAAGTAAGGCAAGTCTATAAAAGAACAATACATTCAATAAATTATTTATTATCAAAAGAATGTCACACTTCAGGTGGGGTGCAACTGGGCGTGAGAGTTGTGCTCACACATGGAGAGGAAATTTAGTTTCTCAAGGCTTAGATTTAATCCATCTGTGAGAGCCTCTGGGTTTATATACTGTCACCATTCAATCAATGACTACAACTAGTGCTACTACTACTATTTGTGTAGCTCTACATCGTGCAAGTCCTCGTCACTCAAATAATCTTCTTCCTCATCGAATCGTCTAGTTCTTGAAATGTGAAGATCAGTGTCAATTTCATTCGTATTATTCGTCACAAATCGGCTGTTCGTCATTGAGGGCGTCTTTTTGGTGGAAATAGCATTCACTTGGACCCAACTGATTCCCAAATGCTCCTTTCTAATAACTTGAAATTGCAAATAATAGGCGAGCGTTTTTTCAATGGCTCTATCGTACAGTTTCTTATTCACCTTTCCCAAGTAAGTGTCAATCCTCCTCGTCGCCTCCATCACATACACCTCCTGAAATAAATAAATAGGAAGCAAACTTAGACCACATGTGAACGGAGACAACACAATGGCTGTACCAATCTTTCCAGGACAAGGAAATGAATGGCTTATTCCTGCATTAATATTCGAAATACAATATCTCCACTCATGTTGTTCAATATTTTCATATACAATTTGTCTCAATAATTCTTTTTGATCTTCCTCACTCAATTCATGAATCCGGCTTGATGTGGCAGCAGCATCTCCCTGTATGATTTGAGAATTCATATAAGCCTCCGAATTGAAAACAAACTTGAGTTGATCTTCCGCTCCTTCTGCTGGTGGATAATCTTCATTCTGTTCCGCTGATTTTGGATTTCCCAAATAATTCAAAGGATAAGTCTCTTTATCAAACAGTGAAGGTAATCCTCCAAAAACATTTTCATCCATCATGGGGACATAAATTTCAAAGACATGAGAGGGATCCATCATGGAAGAGGCTTCACCACCTTCATCATCATTATGACGACGACGATTAGATTTCAATTTGTTATTCCGATACATTTTATCAAACTCGGGAGAGAATTTAGTACTAGATCCGTAATAGAGTAAATTCTTGTATTGAAGAGCTTGATCAACCAATGGAGCACATTGGTAGCAACAACAGTTCATTCGTAACATTTTCAAGTAAATGATGCTTTCAATGAAAGTATTTTCAATGATGATGATGATAAATCGGATGATGATGATGGTAATTACAGAAATAGGATGATGATGAAATGGATCCAATTCTACTCACTATGTGAGTGTTGTTGCAACAACAATTATCTACCTCAGTTGGAGCAATTGAGAGTTAACAATCACACACAAATTAGCACAACGATTCTTGAAAACGTTGTCGGAAATAATGACGACTTTTTTTTTGGTAGAATTATTCCCCATGAATCGATGGATGAAATTGGAAGAAGATGAATCATGTTGTTCGACAGCGCCTTTCCGAACAACTTTGTTGAATCATGATTCATCAAAAGGTCTTGACCTCCTCTCTTCCTTTCGGTCCTGAAATTTGAAGAGAAAGATCCTCTCTTCCTTTCGGTCCCTCGATAATAAACCTTTAAAAAAATAGTCATAGCAAACAAATGACCACTCCAACACTCCTGGAATTAGAGAAGGAATTACATGCATTGGGACCCACTTTGGAACCTTCTACCACACTCTGTATTGATATTATAAAAGAAGTTTGTGAAAGATCAGCTCTTCGGAGACCTGATTTGGTATTGAGATGTGGACAGGCCTTGTTGTTTGGCTCCAGGAAGAAAGAGGCTCTTTCACGATTGGGAAATTCAGTGTGGGATTTTTATGAATATTTATTGCGGGCTGCTTTGGATTTAAACCATAATGTTTTAGCAGGGGTATGATTTTTAAATGATTTTATGGGTGATGATGATGATGATTAATGTGTTTTACTGTTATATGAATTATTTTGAATCATATTAATATGAACCTATACGGATGATGTGCTTTGGATTTTTTGTGTGTAACACTATTGGAAATATATTTTCATTCATGTGGAATGATTGATGTACACACATGATAATACTTGGATTAATAATGAAAATTGATGATGAACAATTATCGTCATCGTCATCATCTTTATTGTCGTCAACAACACTCGGAATTATGAAATGGTGATGATTCACATGCATCTTTATCACATCTATCCGATGCCCATAACATCGTACGATTAATTCATTCCAATAATATAAATGATGATGGTCATAAATGAATTCTCATATTAATCCAAATTCACTTTATTGAAATTTGACCATCCATCACACAGAAATGTCTAGAAATTCTTCAAAACAAGTTTGGAGACACTCTCCGAGTGAAAAAGCTTGAAGCTCTCGCTTTGGAGGGTGCTGGAGAATTCGAACAAGCTCTCGCTATATATGATGACTTGATTGAAATGCATCCAACAGACGCCATTTGCTACAAGAGAAAAGTTGCCATTTACAAGTCACAAAATTTACTTGCAGAAAGTGTTCAAGCATTGAACAAATATTTACAAATTTATCAAAATGATTTGGAGGCTTATGAAGAATTGGCAGATATTTATCTTACTCTTGGAGATTACAAAAGTGCACTCTTTTGCATTGAAGAAATGATTTTGAGTAGTCCAGAGAATTATATTTTCCATTTGAAATATGCAGACATTCTCTACACTATTGGAGATTTTAGAAATGCCAGGAAATACTACTCTCAATCCCTCAATATCAACAGTGAGAATAATACGAGAGCTCTCTTTGGTTTGTATTTGACCTGTAAGGCTTTGGGATCGGGTGAAAAGTTGAATCGAGAACTCTCTGCACTCACCAAACAAAAACTGGTGCAACAATATGAAAAGAGTGGAAATAAGGAAATGGCCAAACTCTTGAATAATGCCTTGGAATCTCTTGTAGAATAACAGGAATTCACATGTCACCTATTGTTCAGTGCTCAACTAATACTGCATTCCTTATTCTCTAAACTCTATTGATGAATGAATGAATGAATAAAAACACAAGTATTGATCAAGCGTATTTTCATGCGGAATAAATTTTGGAAAACAAATTCAAAAAAAATACAACAACTTGGCACCTTTCACAGCACTCCATCGAACGTTCGTTGTATAATTGCAATCCTTGTCGTTGACGGAATTTGATTGAATCACCAGGTTTGATTACTCATAATAGTAATAATACTAGTCGTTCATTCATTCATTATCAACATTGAAGTAACATCATCAACATTCCGAGAAAATGTCGAACGAAGCCGATGATATCTTTGCAGAAATGATGAGGGAGGAGAAAGAAAAGTTGAGAATGGCAGCTGCATTGTATAATCAAAAATCTTCAAAACCTTCTAGTGGTGGTTCCTTACAAACAACAAACACTGCCAGCAGTAGTTTTAGTAGCAGCAATCAAAAGCCTCATGCAACAACAATGGTCTCTAACAAAACTTCATCCACTCAGCAAACGTTTGTATCATCGGAAATTGAAAGCCTCCTTCAACAACCTCCTCAACAAATACTTCAAAATCTTCAACGAGATATTAATTGTTTATCAAGTTCCGAGAAGGGAAAACGAGTGGGTTCCTTGAAAAAACTGAAAACTCTCTTTGATGTGATGGAACAGAGAAAGGATCAGCTCCCTATTGTGGATTATATGAAATTCTTCTTCTCACATATTTATCAACCATTGATCAAGTTATTTGGTAATGAAGCCGAGTATTGCAGAGAAACATCGGTAAAATTGATTCTCATGTTTTCAAACTATATAACTGTGAATGAAATGGAGGAAGCTCTTCCTTTCCTCATTCCAATTCTAGAGGAGAGAATGCGAGGTCCTAAAGAGAAATTCGCTGAAGAGAGTGAGGAAGTAAGGCATTCACTTGTAAAATTGATGAAAGCAATTATTGAAAAATGTACAACCAAACTCGAGGATCCGGATTATCTGCAGAAAATTGTTTACTTTTTAGAGAAGGCATTTGAGGATTTCCATGGAGTGAAAGCAGAGGCCTCTCGATGTGTCATTTCTCTTTGTCAATGCATTCGAGAAAGCATGACTAAATTATTCTCTGGAACGTTGATTAAGCACATCATTCCATATCTGAGACATCAGAGATATAGTGTAAGGAGTGACGTTTTGGATGCAATTAAATATTTAGCAGCTTGTGGATCTGCGGAAATTCTTGAAGATTTACATGCACCATTGAAAGAGTTGTGTTTGGATCGATCCAATGTGGTGCGCCAAAAAGTATTGGACGTTGTTGTGGACTGGGCTCTCAATTTGAGAGACAAATATTCATTCCAACATAATTTTGCATACTACTTATTACTATTGAGCTCGGATGAAATTAGTTCAATTGCCAAGTCTGCCTTTGATTATCTCATGGAAATGGGTCGTCAATATGAACGTGACTATGAGGATGAAGTTAATGAAATTCGGATGTATGACGAGAATGAAAACACGCCCATGAAATCCGTCATTTATCAGAACCAAGAACAACTTCCACCTCTTCCTTCCGTACTCACACAGCGGCCACTTCTTGGAGCAAGACTATTAGCAGGAAAAAAACATCTCTCAAAAATTATTACTTATTTATTGGAAGACTTTGAGGATTGGAGCATGCCCAGAAGAATTTGTGCTGCAAAATCGATGCAAATATGCATTGTTCTTGCCGAGAGAAATATTACTCAACACTTGGACAAAATACTTCTCATTCTCTTCAATTCGTGTGGGGACGAGGAAAAGGACCTCAGAGAAGAGTCACAACGGTGCGTCTCTCTCATTGGTTACTTTGTTGAACCAGAAACCTATCTTAATATTGTTTACAACAACTCGAGACCAGAATATGCAGCTTCTCCCAAATTTTTATCGACCGTGTTAAGATGTTTGTCTCTCATGTTACAGCACGGAGATGCAACATTAGTCAACCATTCGCTTCCGGGAATTCTAAATAGAATGAGCGCACAGCACTTACTTTACAATGATGAAGCCAATGTTAAAGTGAATGTTCTTAATGTGATTTACTCGTGTCTGGAAAATGGGTCTGTGCAAAACTTGGAAACTGGATTTGAAATTTTCCTCATCATTCTCAAAATTTGTTCTCAACCGAATACCATTGAGCAAGTCTCAAAAAGTGGACTAGAAGTGCTACAAAAAGAAGCCACCATTCTTCAACTGCACTCCACAGAAGAATTATATGCATTGTATTTCGAGAGAGCTCTAGGAAATTTAACGCAAGATGTCAACTCTTGGGACAAGTTGTCACCTCACTTTTATTCGTTTGAAGCTCTCTTAAAGAACGCTCCAAAAAGCACCGTTCAATATTTAGATAAGGTTCTAAAAATTTTTTCCATGTATTTGACACCAGACCGAGATCCTGTAATGATTCTTCGATTACTCTCTGTGTTGAATAGTATTTTGTACAGCTGTGGAACGGAGATTTCTCAGAATCATTTACAACTTATCCTCTCTAGGTTCATTTATCCCAATAGCAAATGGAGAAGTGGAAGAGTCTATGTCGATGTCAGAAAAGCAGCCATCTCTTGCTTTAGTTGTATACTGAGACAAAAACTGTGCACCGACTCTGAATGTATTCAATCCTTCGCCAGTGAGAGCCAATTCGATAATCTAATGAGTTGCATGGACGACGACTTTGATCCATCTCTAAGACAGCTCTGTGTGAAAATCATGATGGACTATCTAGATTATTGTTATCAATATTTATCTGATAAACAATGGGATAATCTCTGCACAGAGCTAAGAAATCGAATGGAGGATGAAAATGACATGGTGAGAATATTCACGACAGCTTCAATTGCTCACTTATTGCTGTACTTGCCAGCACATTTAGTCGATCAAGCAACAGCCATGTTTTTCTGTCTCTCCACTCATATGGACGATCCAAATGTGGAAATTCGAAAAGCATGTTATCAAGCATTTAAAACAATTATTGAAAATTATAAGAAGAATCAACATTTGAATTATATTAAGGATCGTCTTGATGTCATTACCAAGCAATTAACAAGTTTCATGAATGCTGCCATTCATATTCGCTCCGATTATGACATTCCTTATGCCACACTTCTTAATTAATTAATGATTGTTGTGATTGTTTTCATGGATAATAAAACAATGTCACTTTTCACAAATTTATTTCACCTTAATTATTCATGAATGCATTCTTTACCATAACCAATACGTACAAATAAAAGCCAACACTGCAGGCACTGTCTGAACGTACAAAATTCTCTTCGAAGCTGTGGCAGCTCCGAACACTCCTGCCACACCGACACAACTCAAAAAGAAGAAGGCCAATTGTTTTCCGAAAGTAGTGTCCGGATGCATCAAGGACCAAGCCAATCCAGCAGCCAAGAAACCATTGTAGAGACCTTGATTGGCCGCAAGTGTTTGTGTTTTTCTTGCAAACTCTTCATCGGAGAGTCGGAAGACTTTTCTTCCCCGAGGAGTATTCCACAAAAACATTTCTAAAACGAGAATGTAGACATGGAGAGCAGAGACGCCACCAACGAGAAGTTTCGGAATGATGTTGAGAGATAGAGTCGACATGCGTTCTTTTTTTTGAAAGTGTGTGAACCATATCAATAACACAAGCTGTCCACTTCCAATCGGATCGGAGCTACAGCGGAAGGATCTCAAAAACAAGTCCTTCCGATGCCCTAAAAGTTCAGTTCTTTTATTTTCTTCTCGGACGCTGTTGAGTGGTTCAACTTGAACACTCTTACTATAAGAGATCAACAAGGACTTGAAATATCGAGGAGTTTCAAGAATCTGTTGATAAAGTGTCTTGGAAATGGTTAAAATCTTTCCCATGTCACTCAAGGGAAGAAATGTCAAAGTCTCGATCAGGATTTCTTTGGGAACTGTCATGAAATGTTTTGAGACAACGGTGGTGAGAATGATCATTATCTTTAGGAGGATCATCATGACGACGGAATGGAATGGAAGGGTTGTGAATGGACATTTTTTTGTTGTTGACGAAAGTTCAATAATGACTTTTTTCAAATGCCAAGTTCCTTTTTTTTCTGACTTGAGAAACTCTGAATTCTGTATTGTAATTTGCATTAAAGGGTGAAATTTTTTTCGTTTTTTGAAAAAAGCACAAACAACAACGACGAACAACGCAAAACAACGAACAACAACGATTAACAACGACAACCACAGTTTTAATTTATTGATGATTGGAGAGCCAATTGTTTCTGTAATGCTTGAAAAACGCTTGAGAAGGGGTCTGAATGGTAAATACAATTCTCTTCTTCACCCGAATTCTCACACAAATGGTTCTCTCTTGAGAATTTTAAATTTTCAAATATTAATATTATTTCTTTGTTTAATGATTCAATCAACAGCTTGTGGTTTCTGAGAAGCGAACATCAGAGAAGGAACACACATGTCACACCACTTAAAGAACAGTCACAGTCTTGGCCAAATTTCTTGGCTTGTCAGGATCATGACCACGCAATAAAGCCAACTCGTATGCAACCAATTGAACTGGAATATTTGCCAAGAGAGCACTAAATGTTCCATTCGATGGAACATCAATCACATAATCAACTTCATCCTTTGAGAGCTTGTTTGGAATGTCAGTAATTGCAACAGTGTAGGCGCCTCTTGATTTAATTTCAGCAGCCGCAGTCATGTTCATCTTGAAATATTTATCATCGAGAACGAAAACAAAAATCACGGTACCAGGTTCAATGAGAGCAAAAGGTCCATGTTTCAAAGCTCCAGAAGAGTATCCTTCAGCATGAGTATAGGTCACTTCCTTAATCTTCAATGAACCTTCATAGGCAACAGCTTCACCATATCCCTTACCCAATAAGAATAAAGTGTTTCCCTTCATGTTGAAAATGTGTCGTGCAACTTCCTTGCACTTTTCTCTCACTCTACTCAGTACCATTCCGGCACAGGTGGGCAAACGATGGAGATATTGAATGAGAGCTTGTCTGTGTTGAAGTTGGAATATTGGTGACTTGTTTTGTGCAAACCACAAACCTATTAAGGCCAATACTGTGACTTGGCAAGAGAAGGCCTTTGTTGAGGCAACTGCTGTCTCACGACCAGCATTAATGTACACACCACACTTGGTAGTTCTAGCAATGGTTGATCCAACACGATTTACACACGAAAATCTTGGAATGTTCAATTGTTCTGCAATATAAATGCATCGCAACACATCGGCAGTTTCTCCACTTTGTGAGAGAACCAAGAGACCAGAATTTTCAGGACAAAAGTGAGACTCTTCCAACTCGGCACCATCAATGACTTGAACAGTTTTGAAACATTTCAAGTCACGGAAAATTTGAGCTCCATACAAGCTTGCATAATAACTGGTTCCACATGCTGCAATAACCAAGTGGTCAATTCCAGAGAGCCATTCTCTATTGTCATCCAAACCTCCCAACTTGACATGACTGTCATCACTAATTCTTCCACCAAAGTTCAAAGATCTTGAAATTGCTTCTGGTTGTTCCAAAATTTCACGAATAGTCCAATGAGCATGAGGGTGAGGTGATTTTTCAATCTTTTCCTCCTCCACAACAATTTTTCTTTCGTATGGCAATGTGACACCATCGGCCGTAATAACAGCAATTTCATTATTTTCCAAACTGATCATTTCTCGAGTGTAGAGAGCGAATGCAGAACTTTCACTCGCAACAAACATTTTGCCTTGTGAGACACCCACCAAAAGTGGAGAACCATTACGAGCAACCACCAAACGATCTGGTTCGACCGTAGACATGATTACAAGACCCCAAGTTCCTTCCAAATGTTTAGTTGCTTTGAGAACTGCCTTCTCGACCACATCCGACTTGATTCCCTCCTTAAGCATTTCATCCAAATAAACTCCAATAAGTTGAACAATAACTTCCGTGTCAGTCTCACTCTTAAACTTGATGCCATGCTTTTCAATGAGATCTTTTTTCAATTCTCCCGAATTTTCAATCACACCATTATGCACGAGAATGACTCGTCCCGATTGATCCATATGAGGATGAGCATTAATGTCGGTTTTAGCTCCGTGAGTAGCCCATCTGGTGTGAGCAATACCAATGGTATCATTGCCATGAGTATGAAGAGTCTCCCGAAGTCTCTTCAAGGCATCACTGGTGGTTTGTGAACTGGCATATTTCGTGGTATGGAACGTGAATTGATCAGAAGAGGGATCTTTTCTCATGGTTGCAATACCTGCACTGTCGTAGCCTCTATTTTGAAGGATTGAGAGTCCATCCATGAGAATATCCCTTGCAGGTTCCTTCTTGGAAACAAATGCGACAATTCCGCAAGTATGATTCATTCCAATAGAGGAAGAGAATGTAGAATGGATGGAATGATTATTTGTATTGAAGGATAACAGGGAATTCTCTTGATGATCATGATCGGAGGAAAAAGACTCTCCCATTGTGTTTTGGGGATGAGGAAATAAATGCTGAAAAGTCATTCTACTCCTTCTCTCAATTTTACTTTGTGAAGATGAGATCATCCTTGTGTATTGTCTAGATTATCTCAAAAGATGTCATCATCCAAAACATTCGGAATTCCGAATCATTGTATCGCACAAAACAACAATCATCATTTGATGGAACGATTAAATACATTCATCCGAACCGAATTTCATTCAAGGTTAACAAACAAAATCAATCTCATCATGTTTGGAACCAAACACCAGCCACTCCTACCTACCAAAATAAATATAATTCTTTTCCAAATGATGAATCTCCACAAGAGTGTGCGGTTGGGTGGATGGATTTTTTTTCTGGGACTCTCATTTCATTACCCATTCTTAACGGCTATCAAAGTTCGTTGGAGAGAAAACCATCAATTGTTGATGTATCTTTCCATCTCATTCATGTGCCATGGTAGGAGACACGTGTCTGTTTCATGCTTGGTGTGAGTTTAGGGTTTGATTTTCTCGTGTTTTCAAATGTATATTCTTCTAATAATGTTGGACACGTGTTTGTGGTTGTATTATTAAGATTTTGACTGCATGATGAGCAGAACAGCTGTTTTATCAATTTTCCTAAATACTCCTTAACAATTCAGAGGAATTGACATCGACAGAGAAAATGTCATTTGTCATTCAGAATTTTAAAGCTTTAGTGTTGAATAGTTTCAATTAGAGGAATGGTTGTGACATATGAACGAGTTCATTTTCACTCCTTTGTTTCACAACCCATCATCTTCAAAACGATCCAAACCATTATCATCCGATGCCAATGACGCAAATATATTCTTTTTTCGACCTGCACTACTATTCGAACTCTTACTAGTTTTTGATGACGATGAAGATCTCAATGATGAACTGCTTAATGAACTTCCGAGACGTGGGCTTGGTGAGGACTTGCCATGCGATGGATATTTCCATTCGGGATTTTTCTGTGACGTTTCAAACACACGCAACACTCGTGTGAATTGTTGAAATGCTTCCTCAATGTTTTTACGAGTTTTTGCAGAAACGTAAAACACTGGACACTCTAATTTGAGAGTCGATTGAATAATTTGTTGAATGGTTTTTTCTGGAATGTGATTCACCAAGTCACATTTGTTTCCGAGAAGAATGCATGGAAAGTCGAGGTTATTGAGGGCTGCTACGGGTTGATACTTGTCGGCTTTGATGGATCGAATTTGTTCGACATAGGGAACAAGACTCAGGATGCTTTGTTCCGCTTTGGTCACATCAAAGACGAATATGAAACCATAGCATGAATTCATGTAATTGTATCGAAGGGCCTGTGTTTCAGTGATTATTTGAGCATGGTGTAGCATCCCATTTTTTGTATTGTATTTGTACGGCACAGAGTGACAATGAAGAAACAGTCATTTAAATTTCATGAATATTAATTTCATAATTCCGCAAATATATTCAAATACTCACTTTGTAATCATCTTGGCCGGCAGTATCTACAATTTCCAATTCCAAACTAATGTCTTCATATTGTCTCCGAACCACGAAACTACTTTCAATGGTTGGATCATAGACCTGTCATTCATTAGTGTTCAAAAATCATTCATAACATTCAGATAATGAAACCATGATTCCATAAAAACGTCATCACAAAATACTCACATCTTCTCCTTCGAATTTGTTTTGTGAATATTGAATGGTCTAACGGTTGAAATTTTTAAAGACATTTCGAAAAACGTGGATGACAATGTTGATGAATTGTGACCATCATCAAACTCGCTCAATAAATTCCATTGATTTTTGCACAATCAAAAACATACCACGCTTGTCTTTCCGACACCACCATCTCCACACTTACAACATCAACCACAACGACAAGAATATTTCAGGATGAACATCATCACGACCAAGAACACCAAATTGATCAATTTTGTGGTTGTGACAACACGCGTGTCATCATTCAAAATTTTCATTCATTCCCAAAAATACACGTTATCAATCACGTCATTCCAAGCAATTCAAAATGATCAATTAGAAAACAACACACAAGAAAGGTCTCCCCTCGATCGTACCATCACCAAACAAACCAAACACCCAAACTTGTACCTACAATGGCGACTTGATAAAAATTAATATTGTCTTTGTTTTTAGGCATTTTTTTGTGCGACTAATTTCGCATCTCTCTCTAATGATACGAATGAACCAAATGAGGCTTTTTTTCCACTTGGACATCGGGATCATCATCAGAATCATATTTCTTAAAGGAATTGTTTTGGAAGAACTCCAACCGAACCATAGAAATCAATCAACACGATTGAAAGAATTTCCTTTTTCCCTTAGATCATCATCATGATGAACAAAAAGCGGCCCAGAAACACTCCATCTCAATTTTTTCTTAAATTCAAAAAACCATAATTCTCCTCCATAAAAAAATAGTTGAATCATCCTCACTCACCACTTCCCTTCTCTCGCTCTTATACGCTGGATGGAGTTACGCGTTTAACGGTAGGTTGATGGTGTTTTCTTCTCTCCCCGAGAGGGAAGCACAGAATTCATCAAGGACCGTCCTTAAACACTCCCTCTCGAGATGTTCTACGTCGAAGAGGACCAGTGCGAGCAAATCGTCTTGGTTGTGTGCGGAGAGTAAGGCCGTGTGTCAGGACCTCTGTCCTCATGTCCCATGAAGCACATGGCACTTTCCTGAAAGGAGTGGTGGCGCAAGCCACTACCCCTAAAGACAGTCATTACCAAGATACATTTATATTTCCTTTTTGAAGCTCGAGCCTCGTGGATGTGGATTCTTTTCGTTGAACGGTGTGAATGTGAAGGAGGACGAAAACTCAATGACGTTTCTCTTATTCATGTCAATTATTTTAATTTACTATATTTAGTCATTATTTGTTTGATTCAAATACATCAATCATATAGACAATTATTAACCAGAATTTAGCATTTTCTTTGTGAACTTCAATTATTAATAAATAATGGAAGCAATGAGACGATAACCATCATGCTGACAAGCACCATTTGAGACCAATTCATTCCCAATGCAGATGCCCCATTAAAGCAGTTTCCAGTTCTCACCTTAATTTGCAATTGGTTGGCAGGGTCTTCCAAACCACGGGTACAAAAATCTTCACCACTTGAGAAGGCTAATGAAACTGGACGACCTCCTGTCACTGGAACAAGAGCACACTTTTGATAGAGACGATTGCAGAAGGATTCGCACAAATAAAGGATGGAACGTTGTCCCATGATTTGGATGTGTTCTTCAATGAAAACTGTTTGACCTGGAGAGCACAAGTAGCAAACTATTCGTAGTGGTAGGGAAAATTTTAAACGAATGAAAGTACACGGGAAAGCATCATGATGACAAGTGTCATTAATTAATTGGTTGACATTTTCACCCAATAGTTAACTTTCAACAGATGAACTTACTATACTGATGCAACTCATCCAAACAACCTCCAGCAAAAGCTTCGACCAAAAATTGCGGAATGGTCACATTCGAAGTTCCGGAATATCTTCCCGATGACTTCTCCCAACCATCTTTAATCTTTTGAGAGGTATCCACTGTGCAACATGAATCCTTATTGTACCAAGTACAAGTTGCCAAATTTCTTGAAATCGATGGAATGTAATAACGACACATGGAAAGCAATTGATTGGTTTCTTGAATACTCTTCCAAGAATCAGATTTGAAAATGGAAAGGAAGGAAGCAGCCTGAACGGTCGATGTTGTTGAGAGGAAGCCAATGCACACAAGTGCTGTCATCATGATGATCATCATCGAAGAAAGGAGTCGAGTTGGTGTTTTCATTGTGGATGATGTCGACATTTGTGTGAAGAGAGAGAAGCCTGTTGAAGTGAGGACTAGGAAGAGATGATTTTGGAAACAAGAGATTGCAATTAATTGGTGGTATGGATTCGGGATTTTGTTTTCTTTGATTTGACCAAAAATCATATGAGGAGGACGCCTTTGAATCCATCGAATGATGATGTGCCGTGATAAATGTCAATGATCATCTCATTCGGGAAATGGCGAATGGAAATTTTGGAATCGACAAAGGACTCCATAGTGCCCTTTAATGTTGTTAATGGAAAGCAAGCGATGAACTCAGAGACAGGATGAAAAAACGACCCATGATGAGAGAATCCTCCACTTGAATTCTTCCGTTCCTTTCATGGATTGTTTTAGACGAATCTCCTTCTTCTTCTTTGATCGTGAATACGTTGATCTACAGAGTGATGAAAAGGATAATGGGTAATGAGGTTGTTTTGAGGTGGATGGATCGTATTACTGATATGAATTCGGATGAATCAGTAAATACGCTTCAAGACGATAAGACGGAATCTAATCATCATACGAGTGGTTCAAGTGTTGTTTAAGTCTAAACTTTAAGATATGGAAGAAAAAGAACAACTCGCTCGTTATAACATGCTGAACATTGATTGTTTGCCTCAACTCATGAGAGATGCGACGCTCTTTGTTAATAATTCAAACAGTTCGCGATAGTAGTTTTTTTTTTGAAAATCCATTTTTGGTAACCTTTCCCCCGCCTTTTCATCTCTACAAATTAAAAAAAATTGAATCAATATTTCGAAGGCCTTAGCTCCTCCTTAAACATCATCTCCTCCTCATGACCAATAATGAGTGTTTCGTGATGATGACGGAGAGTAGTGCTGCACCGAAAAAGCTGAAAAAGAAGAAGGTGAAAGAAAAAAAATTATCAAACAATCACGGAGTGTCGGATCAACAAGAAAAAAAGAGCAAGAAAAAATCATCATCCTCTCACTCATTGGAACAATTAAAATCAACCAATAACAGCAATAATAATACGAATACTAATAATACATCATCTAATGCTACGAAGGAAAATGTAAATAATTTAAATGTTAAACGAAAGAGCATTTCCGAGGATCCCATCACGATTCCGATTGTACCTCCAAAGAAACGAGTTTCCATGAGCGCATCAGCTTCAACCAAAGAAGAAAAATTACTATCACCTCGGAGTACTAATAATAATATCAATAATAACGGAACGAGTAACAACACAAGATCATCATCAACTGGAAAACGAACTCCTTTTATTGCTTCAAAAAAAGAGGATATTCAGAACTCTGGAACTCCCTCTCTCAGTAAGATCCACTCCAAATCTTCATCTTCCATTCCTAGTCAAGTGACAAGCAAGAGTCCAGTACTGATAAAAATCCCTTCAAAACAACAACAACCACAACAAAACCAACCCTCGCCTCAAAATAATAATTTTCAAGAATCTTCTATCAGCTCCTCTGAGGATGCAGAACTAAAAAAGCAAGAAATTGTCATCCCAAAAACAAATGGGCAAATAGCACAAGTACAGAATGGACCGAAAGATGCTGCGGATTCCAAATCATTCATATCGTCAGTGCCATCAGTAATGACCACGACACAGTCTCTGCCAGATCGTACTCCATCACCTCCAGTAGTACCACTGATTGAGGAGACATATGTCTCCTTATTTCAAAGTCATGATTCACTCAATAAGATATTCTCCAAAAGTAAGGATGTCTCGGCTCATATTCCAAATTTTTGGTTTTACACACCAACCTATGTACCACCCACGCAGTGGGACTTCACTCAACATCCCACAAATTTCCCATGTACCAACAATGGCACCTTGGACGATCTCAGTTTTAACTATTTAACAACTAGTTACAACTCAATACGACAGCACTGTCCTATCAATGTTTTCGAAAAGAAAAGATTTTGCAATCCAATTCCATTCATCACAACATTCAACAAAATGCAAGGTGAAAAAACAAATCTTTTACTTGCGAACGAAATTTCGCAAGAAAAGGCCAAAAGAGAACAGGAAGCAGATGCAATTCTGGATTATCTCAAACGAAGAAGATCCGGAGAGATTGTTCTCAATCAAAAATCACGAAAGAGCAATAACCAACATTCGTCGAAAAGTCTTCTTCTTGCAAGCAAGCAAAAACAAGACGTTGTACAAAATAGAGCTACAAGAAAAAAGAGTAAGCTGTCTCAGACAAAGAAGGAAAAACTGGAGAGAAAATCAGTCACATTGTTTGAAACAGCCAAGTCACGAAGTAGTAGTGAGAGTAGGCCAAACCTGATGGATCCATTAATGGAAAACAGTACATCAGCATTGGAACGACCAATTCTCAGCCGAACGCCCTCGCTGACAAGCTCTGCAGATTTATTTAATGCTCCCTCAATCAGTAGACAAAGTTCAAAAAAATCCATCGACAGATCCCTCCGAAATAGTGTTCAATTGAATGAGTTCACGCAAAGAAGAGACTCCACGGACATTATCAATAATAGAACACTTCCTCCAAAATCGAGATCACTAACATCCTCTCCCATGTTTCACTTTGAAAATACCAAGGATGAGATTTCTGAAGGAACGAAAATTGAAGAACAGCCAGCTATATCCAGCTTAGAAGCTAGAACCACGATTGCCAACTTACTTAATGAGAGTTGCATTGACCTACCAAAATTAACCTTATGTCTAAAGCCACTCTTGGAAGAAACAAGAGATAAGAAGGATGAAGAGCTTGAAAATGTGTCAACGCTCTATGTACTCATGAAGACAATTGAAAAAAAGTCGTCAGATGAATATCGCTCTATTTGCAAACTCATCACTGGCAATAATGGCTTTTTGGAATATCTAAAGAGTACGATTACAAGCTGCCCGTTACATCATCCAGAAATTTTACAATTTGTCATGAAAGTTGTACGAAAATTATCAGAATATTCGTGTGAGTTGCTGGGATATCATTCTTCTCCAGGTGGATATCAACATTTTGCAAAGAATCTGAAAACCATAATTTCAGACACCAAACTCATAGACATGGGTTTTATCTCGTGTATTGTGGAGAAAATGGATACCCTCAACGAATATCTAAAACAGACACAATGTGACCAAAATATATCTCAACAAGACATGATTGCCCAAGAATTAATTCCTGACAAGACCATTTACAACATTATGAGAGACATGTTTCATTCGTTGACATGCTTATCATTCTCCGGTACCGAGACTCGCACAAAACTCTTACACGATAGCCCTTATTTTTTGATCATTTCGTCGATATTTAAAATGAAACGAGCTCCCCTATTGAAAACTAATGTACTACTTTGTATTGAACGATTAATTCTTTCAGGAACAACATTTGAAAATGAAGAATTTATAGACGACTCAACCACAAACCACTTGTTAGAGTTAGGCATAATCAGTCAAATCATTTCGGATTACAATCTATTGACACTGAAAGCAAGAAAAGGCCAAGTTCAGAAAAAGAAAAAGCAAGGAGTTACTCTCAAACAAGCTCTCTACCAGGTCATTCGAGCACTTTCTTTTCACGAAAGAGCTCGAGAAGAAATGTATCGATCTGGTTTCTTCCACAATTTACTTTCAATGATGAGAGAACTTGGGACAAGCAATGAAGAAACAGAGGAGGAGTCCAGTATTATGAAAGGATTAATCCTCGATGCAATTTCAAACTTTGTTCCTTCGTCGAGCATTCATCGCGATACTCTCATCCTCAAGTACATTTTTGACACCGTGGTTGAAATGTTTATTTCGGTACCAGTTCAACCTACCTGCACTAATTTATTATTGGAAACTAGAACTCTTCATATCTTGTCCCAACTTAGTGATTACTCAAAAACACATCAAATTTTATTCGAAGCCAGAGTGGTAGAACATGCCTTTAATTTACTTCAACGAGATTTGAATCAGCAAGTCTTTCCAGAGCAAAACCCTTTTGTAGTTTCAATGACCTCTTCTACTTTTTTATGCATGTTATTGGTGAGCAATTTGAGCAAATACAAGGAAGGACAACGACACATTTACGATAAAGGTCTCACACCCATTATACGACTATTACGATTATCATCCGCCATTGCGGAACAACGAAACAGATATGAACAAGGAAAACTAGATTTTAACATTGTTTTCACTCAAAATGCAATGACCTATGAAGAGTATGAATTATTGCCAAAGGTAATCAGTAGGACTTTAGCAAATATCAGTACACTACCAGAAAGCCACTTCACATTTTTCAAGGAAATGTTTCTTGACTCTCTCTCCACATTAATTATCAACATGACTGGTGAAAGAACTGTCATTTGGAATTGTCTATGCACTCTTTCAAATCTTTGTGAAGCTGATACCATGTTACAACGAAAATTAATCGCAAAGAATGGTGTTAGAGATTGTTTGGTAAAATATTTATTGGAATCTGACCACAAACTGCAAAGTCGTTCTGTGAGATGCATTTCCAAATTGGCACGAAATGAAACCATATTGACACAAATTCATGACATTTTCAAAATCTCAAACATTGTGAAAGCTGCCGACTCCAATAGTATGGACGAATGTAAATTGGATGGTTTGAGAATTTTATTTCATTTTTCTCAGTTCGAACAATTTCATCCATCCTTTTTAAAATCAGGTGCCATTGAGTTCATGATTAAGGCCACCTATTCACCTGTGGAGAGTATTGTCGTGGAGAGTTTGAAAAATCTATTGAATCTCATATTTGCTAATGATAAGAATATTAAGGAAGCCATCACTCAAGCAGGTACAGTGGATCGTTTATGGGATTTGAAGAAGAGCAACAAAAATTCTGAGAAGGTGAGACGATTATGTTTGAGTGCGTTGAAGGCCATGTGAGCGAATGAATTTGACAATATATGGCCAATGTTCACAAATTTTATTGAATACCTAAAGTCTCAAATAGCAGAGTTTAATCTTCAGCGTTGAAACACTCAATAGCGAACACATTTGAGATGAAATTAGTGAATTTATATGTAAAATATTTGACGAACGACAACGGTATGAAGTTCATGAAATTCAACTTGGAAAAAAACACTTCTCAAGAATGTGGGGTTGGCTATTCGCAGCATGTATCATTGCACTTTTTCTCTTTTTCTACTATCACCAACAATGCTATTACAAAACCTCTCATGAGGTATTGTTTCAGAAAGGCACCAATCATGCCGACACACCTTACATTATTATTAGTGGCAATTCTGGAAGTGGAAAGTCCACTCTTGCCAAAGAATTGGCCGCTCTGTTCCACTTGCACTACATTGATATTGATCATCATCGATTTCTTCCAGCCGAGAAAGGACATGTTTGGAAAAATCGAGAAATGCAAGACTTTTCAAAGCAAGTGCTCAATGAAATTGAAAAAGTGAAAAATCAACATTCAATACAGCAATACTCGAGTATGGATCCTCCATCTCAACGAGAAATTTCGAAGAATGGATGGGTGGTGGATGGCAATGTCATGAATATGGATATACTCATTAGCTCTCATGCCTCCATTGTTCTATGGTTGGATTATTCCTGGGTTGTAGTTCTCCTGCGTCTTATCGTTCGAACTACGAAAAGAATTTTGTTCAAAACTCGTGTTTGTAATGGAAACATTGAAACATGGTACAATCAATTATGTTCCAAAGATTCGTTGTTACTCTTTACATTAAAAAGATTCTGGAATTGGAAAGAGCATGAATCGCGAGTGGTGAATTGGATCAAGAGTAATCCTCATTTGACTGTGTATCGTTTTCAATCTCCTCATGAATGTAAAATGTTTCTTACATACAATTTACCCAAAATGATTTCAATCAATAAATAATGATGGTGATTTGTCACAGTAAGATCTTTCTGAACATTGATTCGTTTTATTGAACAAGACAATTCTTTTTTGAAGGATGATCACCATCATCGTGGTCCTCTTCTTCTGCTGGAGGCTTTCCATTAATAATTTCTAACATTTCACTCACATCTTTTGCTAATTCACGTCTTCCTTCTTTAAGGGTGAGAGGCTTCGTCAAAATTCTGAACTGCATTGGCAACTCTCCATTGAGAACCTTAATGGTCTCTTCTTCATCCCAATCAAACAAGCAAGGACTTGCTTGTTTTGAGAATGAATTGATTTCAATCATCCAAATCTTGGTTACTTTAAACTGTGAGGATTTACCATCTTCTGAAAGAACATGTTCATACTCGACACTGACGTCCTATTTTAAATGGAATGCATGGTCGAGAAATGATCGTTCATGTGTTTGTGTTATTTTTCACAAATAGAATATTGACAGACACCACAACTTACCAAAACAAAATTCTCTGTGGTTTGCAATCTTGTCGAAACTTCCTGTGCCAACGATTGGATACCCTTTTGAATTTGCTCTCGCAAACTTCCATCGTGATGATTAAGATCCTCCAAATAACACGTTTTGAAATATTGTGTAATTCCAACCACCTGATGTTGCTTCAAAATTTCGATATATTTCACAAATACTCGAAACTCATATTCAGGGCGAGACATTTTCTTGAAAAGCCTCACCACTAATCGTTGTTCAGGAAGTTCTTTTTGAGGCTCCTTTTTCAATTGTTCATCAATAAACAACAACGCTCTAAATAAGTCAGCATAGATTCTCTCAGAGTTGACAAGTAAATCGAGGGCCTGCATTGCATTTTGAATACATAATTTTGCATTGAATGCTCGCACCACTGTAAGCGGTTCATTGTATTTAATGTCTCGACCCGACTCTCGAGCATTTTTTTCGAGTTCCAACTTTAACTGTTCCATAAAAGCTTGGCGATGTCGCAAGCAACCATCTTTTGGCGATCTCGTGGAAGCTCTCACAAAGAAACCATCCATTCGTGGATAAGGTGACACCTTTGCAAGCTCATCAAACTTTTGTTGCAATGAAATGCCTAATTGTTGAATCAGTGAGGCATCATGTCGTGTGAAAATTTTCTGATTTTTCAAAATGGGATCCCAGTTTGAATAATCGCGTCGATTGTTGCCAGTGGAATCTGTGATGTTGTTGTTCGTATTATTATTAAAAGTATTCGGTTCCCAGTCATAAAAATCCGATACAATCGCATGAACGCTGGTCAGTGACGAAAATCGTTTCATAGCATTCATTTTGGCCTGTTTGATATATTGTTGTAAGCTTTCCTCTTGCTCAGGCAATTTTAAACCAACATCTCCAGGCAATAATTGTCTCGGATATTTGTGAAATAGTTCATAGAGATGAATGATGGCATTGGCTTGTTCGATTGTGAGTGGTAGAAAATCGGTGGTGAAGGTCAATGGCTCTGCTGACTTGTCCGTTGTTGAGTAACAACAAGAATACCAATCCTCCACTCGAAAGTCATAGAACTTTTTGTGACTGGAGAGAGAATTGCTGTGTGAGGGTGTTTCATTGGATGACGACATTTTTTTGAGTTTTTCACTTTTGTTTCGAAATGTTCAATACTATCAAGTTCCAACTTGCCAAAAGAACCATGTTCCCAAGTTCACATTTGCTTGTTCTTATCAGAGATATCTGAGTAGTTGACCTTTGTTGTGATGGTACCATCATTTGGTTTCTGAAAATGACAACAAAGAAACGAGCACGAATATATTTCTAAAATCCAGTAACGATGGAACTGTGTCCTCTTTCACCAAAATGATCCATTCCTCTGGACTCTTTCGTTTTAGAGATGCCAACGTCTTGGTTGGATATTCCGCATTCTCGTCCATGAGAAAGACATCCATTTGCACATAGGGTCCATTCTCAAACATTTCCTTGACTTTGATCGTGGGCAAACGACCGTTTTCATTATTGAAAATGTGATATTCCCTCAAGGAAAATGTTGCAGGCTTTTCAATTCTTCCTCTGTGAATGAAGCGATACGAAGAAGAAGAAGAGGAATCCTCTGATGACGGTGATGGTGATGAAAATGTTGTTGCCGTTTCTGATGAGGGACTGTGATTGTCCTCGGTCGTTTCATCTTCCACCACACATTCCTGAACATGAAAAGCCGTTCCAAACGAGAACCAATCGGCCTGAGCAATGAGTGAGCCTTGATGAGAGGACGGGCGAACATCAATGGTATTCGGGATGGCCCAAGTCCTGTAATTAGTTTCTCCCAAATACTCTTCAGATCCATTGGAGGCATGGATTTGATGAATGGCCAATCGCCCAAGACCTACCCGATTCCTTCTCAATAACCTTAATTGTGTTCCCTTTTTAAATTGAATCAAATGTTTGGTCGGAAAGCAAAAGTTCGGAGGCAATGAATTCATCACTCCAAAAGGCAATAACACTGTAATGATGATCATGATGACTGCAAAACCTAAAAAGGTGGTTAGTAAGGCTACCACGATGGGCACTGCTCGATTCATCGGCCAAACAATATTGATTCAATAGACTCTCGTCTAGTAACAAATGAGAAAGTACAAAGAGAAAATACAGCAAAAAAGAAGAAGAATCTAACTAGAGCTCTTCTACAAGCCTTATTCTTCTACTCTACTCTCTAATTCCGCAGTCTCTTCAATGAGGGCCCTGTCAAAAGGTAGTGGTTGAAAATGGGCTTTGCCAATTAGACTCGGAGCGTTAAGGATCTTTTTTTTTACGCGTTCGTGAATGTTCTTTCCGAACGTGATAGCGGGTCAAGAAGTGTTGGAGTGTTGTGGTGGTGACTTGGAAAACAAGAACTTGGTGTGATTTTGGATTCACAATTGGAGCCTAAATTCACCAAATATGATTCAAGAATCTCCTCATCAATTATTTCTAACCAATTAATAATTACTCAGTGATTAAGGAACTCTTAATAGTAATGTTGCTAATGTTGTTCAATTACATTTTCTTAATCAAAATGCAATTATAATATCCATCGAATGGTTCTATTTACCACTTCTTTCAAAACATATTAAACAAAACAATTGTTTAATTTCTATTATACGAAATGACAGAAACAAGAATCATCAAACTTCTCATGTCAAAACTAGGCATGTCAAACTTGACCGATAATCTCCATGTTTCCTGCAATTGCCAAGTAATTTGTTGAAATTCAGCCACCACTACGCCATCCGGAGTTCGGGCCACAAAAGGTTCATTAATTCCAAACTTGTCTTCCACAGTGGCAATCTTATTGGTGGTCGTGGCATCATAGATTTCATACGTTCGTTTCCAAAATTCAATAATATTGGTTTGAGATATACGTCCCATAACGGTAAAATCACCACCACCTGTTGAGATGTCATTTCTGCATTCATAGAGTGTGACTTGTTGTCCAATGGAGAAACTTGCTCCGCGTCCCTCAGCAGAACCTTTCTGTTCCGAAGTCATGAAATCAATACGATACGGAATGGCCCAAGAACGAAATTTCATGGTGGCCACAATGGTCGAAGTGTTGAATTTGAAATTTGAAATGTTGTCTCCGTTTCCAGTCTCGTTGAAGAGCTCGAAACGTCCGAGGCCATAAGTCTTTCGAAGAGCAATGGTGGTTCCTGCGGGAAGGTATTTCAAATGTTGAGTAGAGAAACAATATTCTGGTGGAATGCTGTGGTTATAAGGTATTGTTGAGAGTTGTTGATGGTTTTGTGTGTTGTTTGGGTGTTGATTTTTGGGTATGTGGGTATGTGGTCGTTTTATATGGAATGAGCGAAAAGAGAAAATTATTCGATCATCATTATATAGATGAATGACAATGAGAATGTTTGGACATTGTTCGAGAATCAATGATCAAGTAATTTACAAATGAATCAATGATGATGATGATTAATGAATCCAATCTTCAAACACTTGAACTTACCTATTGATGATTCCTATCGGAAGGAGAATGGCCAAAATAATGATGGCCACACAACAACCAATGAGTGAACTAGCAATATAAATGATGAGACGTGCGGAAGATGATCCCATTTGCCAATGTTTGTGCGATGATGATGTTTCTTTTAAGAGTTCACACACCTTTAGACAGATTCTGTGGTGCTGAACTTTTTTTGTTGGCTCTGAAACCAGGTTCATTCATTCTATTTGATTCTATATTCAATAACCATCATCCAACGGAACAGGGCGAAACTTGAAGGAGCGTTTGAAAAAAGATGAAAGATCGATTGAGCGATAACAAAAGCAGGAACACTTACAAACCAAATTCTTTTTTCCTTTTTATCTCAAACTATATGGTGATGCACTTCAATATGCGTCAGAAGATTTGAAAAAAGATAAGGCAATCGTTCTTGAAGCAGTCAAACGATATGGCTGTGCACTCCAATACGCTTCAGAAGATTTGAAAAAGAACAAAAAAATTGTTCTCACAGCAGTCAAACAAGATGAAAATGCACTTCAATTCGCTTCAGAAAATTTACGAAAGGACAGAGACATTGTTTTTGAAGCAGTTCAACAAGATGGTTGGACACTTCAATATGCTTTAGAAGATTTGAACAACGACAAGGAAATTGTTTTGGAAGCGGTCAAACATAGTGAACTATATGATTGTGCACTTCAATATGCCTCAGAAGATTTGAGAAAAGACCGACTATTTGTCCTTAAAGCCGTCAAACTACATGGCAATGGACTTCAATATGCCTCAGAAGAATTGAAAAAAGACAAAGAAATTGTTCTTGCAGCAGTCAAACAATATGGTGGTGCATTTCAATATGCTTCAGAAGATTTTCGAAAGGACGAACAAATTGTTCTTGAAGCAATCAAACAATATGCTAACATGTTTCGACATGCTTCAGAAGATTTAAAAAAAGACAGACAATTTGTTCTTAAAGCAGTCAAACAAAATGGTTCGACACACTCCAATATGTCAAAAAAATTTTTCGAAAGGATGAACAAATTGTTTTAGAAGAAGTGAAACAAAATGGTTTGGCTCTTCAATATGCTTCAGAGAATTTGAGAAAGGACAAGAACCTAATTCTCGCAGTCAAACAAGATTTGAGAAAAGACAAGGAATGCTATTGTCCAGGAAAAATTATGTATTCCTATACAGAGAGAGCACGAAATGTTTCTCGCCTCATCGTTCCCAATGTGGAAGTACGAAAGGACTAATGGATTTGTGTAAGATAGTTCCGTTTTGAATAAGAAAAGCTTGTTCAACTGAGCTCCAACACACATGATACGTGCACTTTGGTGCCAAATTCCATTTACCTTCATTAAAAAGCTGTTTTCAACCTTGACTGTTCTTTGTAATACTGAGTGAGCTGTGTTGAAAGTCCACCAAAAGACGATCTAATTCATTAATTATAATAAATCAGGAAGCAATTCAAGTTGCGTTGGCAGATTTTGGTTTAGCCAAATCAATGGACTTGGTCTCAAAAAATTGAAACCAGAATTAATGAACATTCAATGTCAAGCTCAACAACAAAACCGGAAATATTTTGATATGTTTGCATTAGGAGCTATGTTATTCCTATTAATGACCATGAACACAACTCAAAACTATGAAAATGGAGGGAACGACAGGGAAGACTATTCTCCTGAAAATAGCTCAAAGAACTTATTGAACTTGTTGCAATCTATATTAGAAATGTGAAGAAATATTCCAAAGCTCAGCAATTAAATAACAATTTTAATTACAATCGTACTGTTTTGGAACATCTGACATTCATCTTGACTTTCTATATTGCAATTATATTTTTCCTCATCAACAACTTAATATTCAAACTGTTCATCATGGTCCACAACAAACTCGTCCTCATAAAAATGTGCGTCCTCTTCGACGCCGCTTGCCATTGAATCACTGTCCTCTCCCTCACTCACCACTTGCTGAACTTGGGAGGCAAAATCTTCCTCAGCTGCTCTCATGATTTCAGCCGAAAGATCTGAGAACTGTATGGTACATTGGTCAGTAAAAATGTCTTATTTCGAACCGAAAAAACAAATAAACTTGACTTACACTTTTCTTTCCACTCACGTCATGAACAAAGTATTTTGCATTTCTATATTTCGATTTGAAGATTGCAAACCCAATAATGGCAAGTGTGATTAACACTAGCAAAATAAGTCCGACGATTGAACCAATCACAATACCTGCAATTGCTCCTCCTCCAAGTTTGTTGTCAGTGTTTCCAATCGCACCATTTAGTCTATTTGAGACAGTCTCCTTTAATTTATCTTCATTCAGAGTTAAATTGCCATTCATTTGAGTTGTCGTTGAGTTAATTTTCAAGGTTGAATTCATTGCTGATGAATCATTCTTTAAATGTGTGTTGGAAATGAGTGTACCATTTTCATAGGATGGAAGCCATTCCCATTCCAAACAATCGACAGTGTTGTTGAGATCCAGAATTCGGATCGGTGCAAACAATGTTTCACAATCACAATATTGTGGAGAAGAAATTGAAAGGGGTGCTCCTTTCACTTGGAATAATGTTGATGATGAAAGGTCGGAATCTATTGAGAGGAACATCCCACAATGCAGCATAATAAGGAGAGATATAACATGGAATAGTGTTCTCGTGTTGCTGTTGAATGAATTCGCCTTGACAGGAATCCCGATGAATATCCTATTCCTCTTCATCTTGATATCCAAACAAAATTACAACAGTAAAATCAATCTACAAATTTAAATCAAGGATCGGATCTCTCTTAATAACCCAAAATCCTTCAATCCTTAATTCTTTCAAAGATACTTATAATCAATGGCCGTTCTTTCAAAACTCCTCTTGTTCTTGCAATGATGATGTAATAGATACTATCAATAAGGAAGAAAGAACAACAATAAGGCGTATCTCCTTCTCGTCCGAAATTCGTTGGCAAATATTTTTTGCAAAATGAGGAAATGAATTCCTCGAGGGAGCCTTAAACCCCTTATGACGAAGATCACAAGAACATTTCATCGATCGATTTACTTGGATCATCACCATGAAACTAGATAATATCTTGGAAACAAAAACCATTATTGGTGTGTTCAATGGAATCCATGATGATGCATTTTGAGGAGGAATCGACTCGTTGAAGCTGCAACGCTTAAATTTCGAAAAAGTGGATCAAAAAACTTTCCATTTCGAGTCTCTGATCCAAATTCTTCTTCTTGATCACACCCAACATGTGTCACCCGTTGAATCCTATATTATATAAATATTATTATTATAATAAATTATTACTATTATATATTGTTATTACAAATTTTCTGAAAACACAAGGGGTCGAATGTAAAGTTCAGGAGGTATTTATTAGACGTCTTGGGCTCGCGGCAGTAGTAGAAGAACCGTTGAATTTTGTCTCTGAGAAGCGTTTTTTGGTGGAGAATTATTGCGCTTGTGTTCTAAATTTTTACTTTTTGGGTTAATTCGAGAAGAAAAAAACTGGGTTGACTTTTGGCATATTTGTGTCTACGACGCCACGTTCTGAATCACCTCATCACACCACAACAAGAGCAATCAAACGCAACCACTATATACATCATCACGACAAGAAGTGAATCCACATTAATAACAACATTATCATCACTTCAATTGTTGAAGTAAACTGTTGCAAGTCCGACAGTTTAAATAATATTAATTCTCAACCGAGTTCCGAATCCATTCAATCATTCACCATAACATGTAGGTAAAACCCTCTTTCTCTATCAATGAAACCGATGACTTTTGGTAATTTTGATTCAAAATTGTCAACTGCGTTTGAAACTATGTTTTTGTTGAATGTTGACGCGCATGTCACTTGCCCTCGTTGTGTGTGCTTGTTGGAAAAACAACTTTTGGAACATCCTCGACACACCTTTCATTCGCTCACACTTCTTCTTTTGAATGTCCCCAACAACATTCAACAACAAATCAACATGTGTTTGGATACAAATAAAATAGATTCTCATCTCCATTCGAAGAGATTCTGAAAAGGATTCTTTCCAAGAGTTGAGCGAACAACAACAACAAGTTGAATTGGGCACTTATTGAAAGGGTAGGTTCTTCAAAAAACAACAACCATCATCATAACACGAAAGATCTCTTTCTTTGTCGTTGAATTCATAATGACATTTACTCATCGTGACAAATGACGGGTTATTGAATGTTGTTGATACGACTACTACATTGTTGTTGCTATACTACTATAACGACTTTTACTAATTATTGATGTTGTGGTTGTCGTTATTATTCCCAAACAATGTCCTCATCATGATCGACTTGCCATTCCTGTGCCATAGGTCCCGAAGATCAATTGATTTGTGTGTGTGGATCAAGAATACATTTAAAAAGGAAGAAGACATGCCTACCATGTTTCCTCCTTCTTCTTCTTCTGCACAACATCATCATCCTTCTCACCTTCCGTCGTCGTCGTCGACCACAACCAACCATTGGTCCATTCTCAATCACAACAGCAACAACAACAACAACAACAACATTAATACTAACAAGGAAAACAAGAACCACCACCACCACCATCACTACGAGATTAGTAGCATTAGCAGCATGAGCAGTAGTACTAACATTGCTACAACAACAACGCCACTTTTCGGAGGAACAAGTCTCTCTTCATGCAACCTTCGAGAAGGAGAACCACAACTCCCACCACCACAACCACCACCACCACCACAACAACAACAACAAAATATTGCCTTCATCTCGCAACCATCACCACCACCACCTTCCTCAACCTTACCGACGATTGTCGAGTCTGAGACTTTAACACAAAGAAGAAGAACTCTTTCGGAGAATACTTCTTCTCAACCATCATTGATTCATAGTGCATTCCCCTTGTCCTCTCAATTTTCTCTCCATAAGAGCGGTAGTAGTAGCAGTGGTGGTGCAAGCACTACGAGTAGTGGAAGTTGGAGCTCATCATCGGCCACTACAAACCTTCATCAACGGCAACAACAACAACAGCATTCACCAAGAAATCATTCCCAAGTACAATTGTATAATTTCGTTCAAAATCAGCAACAAATCAATACCAAGCCTTTCAAATCTCCGTTATTGGAAAGCAGTAATAACCACAATCATACTAGTACGCTTGCAAGTGGAGAGCCTATTCAACAGCAACAACAACAACATCATTTCCTTCTGTCCGAATCATCATTCCAAGAGGAAGACCAAAGAGCTCTAACGACATTACCCTCAACCCACCATCATTCTCAAGTATCAGCAACGACCTCTTCCAATCATCCTCTCTCCGCTGTGGTTGCTCACTCATCATCATCATCACCATCATCATCTCCATCCCTTACGATGAGCAGCGGTAGTGGAAGTTTAATGATACAGCCATCATCATCATCCTCTGCAGCAGCAACTTCTACAACAACAACAACACCACAAGTAACCACACCGATGATTACAGGAAGAAAGATTTCCAACAACAACATTACTCATCCACAACAATTCTCTCCAAAATCTGCCAATGCTCGTAACTCCTCCCTAACTTTTCCATCCTCTACAAATACTACTAGTACCACAACAACCACGCATACAACTCCGACGAATATTTCATCCATGAATAATAATATCAACAACCATCCGTACCTGAGCAATACGAATCCAAGCGTAAAACCAAATCAATTAACTAACAGCATGGCTCCATCAGGACCTACTTCACAACAGCTTCAGCCTCAAACCTTACTTTCAAAATCAACGACCGTACCATCATCCAACAATCCATCGGAAGCAGCATCTGTACCGCCTCCTCCAACATTATCAACATCATCAGCAACAAGCACGAGACGAAGTAATAATAATAATAATGTGATACCTGCGCTATCTTCGGAGCCTCCTACAGTCAAGCTTCCATCCATTTATGCACTTCTAACAAGTAATAAGGATGATCCCTATTTGAATCCAAATAAGAATCAAAATTCGGAAATTATTTATTTGAGACCAATTGCAAAGATGGTGGAAAGTTCAAAGAGGAAACAAACATGTTATGCTCACTTTGGAAACAATATTGTGAAAAAACAATCATCTCTCAGATCAAAAATTAGAGGAATTGTCGGATCGAGGAGAGCTGAACTATTTGAACAGCAGAAGCAACAACATACTGAACGAGGAAGGGACTCTTCGAAGAGTGCCTTATTACCAATCTCCTCGATAGGCAGTGGAGAGGCTAAAGATGGTACTAGCTCAGCATCTCATAGCCGTGATACCGCCCCAGAGGAAAGACTCTCTGAAAATAACATTTCGATGGATGTCATGAAAAATCAAGGAGCCAATGCACCAAGCGGCAGCAGCGATATGGACATGAGTGCAATGGAATCTGACGATCCTAATCAGTACATGTTAAACAGTGCATTCAGTGGAGATGATTTTGGATTAACCTATGAAGACATGATCAATTTTGAAGACAATGAACTCATGAATATGATTGGAGAGGACACAACGACACCCTCCTTGCATCACAGCAGCTCAGTCATGGATGCATTCTTTGCCTCCACAAACTCTCAAAGTATGGGCCCATTAGGTTTTAACAGCAGTAGCCTTAATAACTTGAACTCGGCCACAGCATTTGGAAATGGCAACAATAATGGCAATAGCTTGACAGTGTCTACATCCAATACAAGTCTCCTTGAGAACCCAGCTAGAAAGGGCTTTTCAAGTAACAACTCACTGAAATATGAAACATCCAGCGGTTCATTAAGCTCCTTCTTAAACACCCCAACTACGCCTCTTCAACCTTCTTCCTTTCCTACTTCAATTCCCTCTCAAAAAGAATTTTCTTCACTTCAAAATTTGACATTGTCGTCTTCTCAATCCACACAACAAAACACCTGGGAGACATCTAACATGAATTCCTCTTTGGCTAATAATCCTTTTCTAAACATTTCACTTGACACTATTCCAGTATCGAGCAATTCTGGAAATTTCTTTGTACCATCAACTCAAAAGGTAGCGTCTACCGCAAATGCTGGAACGAGTAGTACCACCACAACTACAGCCGCCAATGGACAAACAACAACGCCACCACATTATTCCTCTACCTCGACCAATCAAAGCATTATCATGAACAGTGGCACTTCAGAGCCACTCTCTTCATCCTTTAATAACATGAAGCGAGCTCAGAAACTTCATGAATTTGTAGCAGATACAAAATCGAATCAAATTGCATCAACAACATCCAGTTATGCAGATTTTGCTACGAACAGCAATAATATGAACATCAACACGCATAACAATATGAATGCATCAAGTAGAGGAATCTCAGTGAATACTCATCATCAACAACAGAAGCTAATGGAAACAAATCAATACAATCACCAAAACAATTTCAACAACAACAATAATAATTTGGGATTAAATTTGGGACAAAGCATGCAATCTCCCACGAATAGCCATTCCATGCAATCACCAAATAATGACACACACAGTGTGGGATCCATTGACACGAACAACTTTTTTCAACATTAGTACCGACACCCTACTTCAGGGAATTTTATATGCTCAAAAAAGCGGTATTGATCTTGCCTCTTTGTTTGCTCTCACATTGCAACAACAACAAAAACAAGCAAATGCCTATAATGAAAGCGTCTCGAATAGTGCTGGAACTTTTAATTTCGACCCTACATCAACACAGCAGCAACCATTTAAAACTCAGAGTAATAGAGATAGCTCTATGGGAAGTAAACCAAACAATATGAGTAATAATGGCATTCGAAACTCCTCTAACTTTAATAGCAGCTTATTCGCAAGCTCACAGCAGGGCAATATTGGTACAAACTCAATTCTAGGAAGTAGTGGCAATGCTTTTCAGAGCAACAAGAATCAGTCATTTACCAACAAGACGGGCAGCAACAGCAGTAGCAACCACAACATGACGATTGATCCTTCTGTACTCCAGAGATTTATCGAAACAAATGCTGCTGACTCCTCTCCAACTTCGATGAATCTACAAAGTTTAACATTTCCACGAAATAATAGGAACTCAAGTGGCCTCTCTTCTAGGACTAAGGAACAACAACAGCAATTACTGATGGGTTCCAGTGTCACTAGCAGCGGTTTCAATCATGATATGAATAGTGACATGAATAATGGTATGAGTTTTGGAAGTAATAATGCAATGTCACACTTTATGGACCAGCAACCACAAACTTCAAGATTGACTTCCCCAACTCATGCCATGATTGGAGGTACTATAAATCCATTATTTTCAAAGCTGCATCAACAACATCATCAACAGCAGCATCAACAGAATATGAACAACAATCATCAACAAATGCAAATGAAAAATGTAAAAGGAGTATCATCGAACGCTGCTTCAAGAAAGCAGCAGCAGCAAAAACAGCAGCCAAATTTCTCCATGCCTAACTTTGAAGAGAATACACACCAGGTTCAGTCATTTAACATGACTTCGTCGCCACCAAAACGAAAGACCAAAACTAAGAAGGATCCCAACAAGCAACAACAACTCCATGAACTATCTGAAACAACATTGCCAACCAACATGCAAACCAATGTCATGACAAGCAATGCTGCCCCAGAAAAGGGTAAAACCAAACGAATCAAAATTAAGCAAGATTTCGGTACTGATGTGACATTATCACAAATCGTGTCACCTCAATCTACAATGTTTTCGTCACAGCAACAACAACAACACTCAGGTGGCCACGAGCCATTCCATCATCATGCGACACCATCGATGCTCCATTCTCAAGACGAAGCTGCTATGGAAATGTCTCCAAACTTTTCAGATGATGAAGAAGGTAATCACGGTGAGGAGTCGGGCTCTGATCACCACGAAGACACACCACACTCACCCACCAAAAAGAAGCGAAAATCCCACATTACAGCAAGTCAAATTGGAATTATCGAACTCGAAAACAATGAGGGATTTGAATGCTCGTTTTGCAACAGAAAATTCAAGAGAAAGAGCGATATTAAGGTACATATTCGTCGGCACACAGGTGAAAGGCCCTATCTGTGTGAAATTGAGGGTTGCGGCAAAGCTTTCACCACTGCCAGCAATTTGAGGAGGCACAATAGAAATGTTCACTCCAAAGAGTGACCTGTTCATCCAATCATTCCAAGGGAAATAAACAGCATGGAGCAATTTCATCCCAAAGCACTGTGTAAATTTTCTGTTAGTTCGAATTGTTCCAACAAACACAATCAGATTAGAGATAGTCCATAATTTTAATAAAAACCAAAAGATAACAATTTGTACAAGAAAAATTTCAAATTGGTTTTTATAATATTGGAAAATTGCAAAAGCCGCAAATCAAAATTGTTGGGAAAGAGATGGAAAGAAGGAAATTTTGGTGAACGGGAAATGAGAAATTTGAGAGCATTACAAGCTGATTTGTTTTCGATATCTCTCGATAGAGAGATCCAATTGCAACTCTGTTCGCAAATTGCTACTTGCAAGTATGCATCGACAATAATTGGATACTCCGCACAAAAAGAGCCCTCAAATTCGAAGGAAATGACTGTGTGGTGAAGTGTGTTGATGAAACCTAGAGTAGTCCACAATGAAATATCCAATGAACCACGAGAGAAACATTCTCGCATTAAATCTTGTTCTTCTTGGCCATCAATAATTGCCTATTCACCAAAGCCATATCCAAAATATTGCCAACACAGTCTCCATTTCGACAGACAGGTCTAAAGTTTCTCGATGGATTGGTATGGACCATCTTGGCAGCAGTTACGGAAGCGTGAGAGAGCATGTTGGAGAGGGAAGGAGTTTTTATAAAATTGATCACTCAATTCGTAATGAACGCAATTTTTTCGCAAGTTTACGTTACGGACGAACGTTTGGCTATTTATAAAAACACGCGGTGTTTACAATAATATCGACGCAACCAATCAAAAATCGCCCCTCGATAAAAAAAAATTATGCCACCATTTCATTGGTTGGCAAAGCAAAAAACCTTTGGCTGTTTTAGGCGTGGTGAGCCAAATTTGCAAGCACCATCTTCATGCGTTGCCGTCTTTCACTCGAGGCAGCGTGTTTCGATTCGACGAACGTTTGAATGTGTGCGTTGTGTGTGGATGATGCAAGGCCCTTGATCTATTTTACACAACAGCCACGAAACGCTTCTGTTGGTCGGGAATGTACTGATGATTGTGGTGGTAGTGGATATTTTCTGTAAAGAGAGGAAGATATCGTGATGCAATACATTCACAGACTGGTTGTAAACATCAAAACACAATTCATTCAGTCGTCATCATGGACTGGCAGCATGTGAGATCATCTTGGTAATTTTTTTCAAATTTCGTGAATTGTGTGTTGTTCGAGCAACTACACGAAGAGTGTAGCTGAGCTCAGAATCTTCGTTCGAAGACCTCCATTTAATCATTGAACGATTGAATTGAGTGACAATCATGTCAGACACAACAGGAAAGCAGCATTCACATCAAAGCTTTGATGGTGATTGGGTGGATTTGATAGATCGTGCCACAGTAGAAGATCTAGATGCGGTATGAAAATCCAATTCCCTCCAGTTCTTCATGTACATCCACCATGCATTAATAAATTCCATGATCAAAAAAAAACAATGCTTGCTCCCACAACAGCCTCACCTTTGTCGGATCATTGTCAAGGGTCCTCCTCTTCCTTGATGCCTCAACAACAGCAGTCTGGGGTAACCAACAACGATAGCCACTTTGAACACACGGACCTGATGATGATGAGAAGGAGGAGGAAGAGCGATAGTGAGGAGAGCTCTCATACAACGAACACTGCGAGTCATGATGACGAGAAACTCTTTTCTGGTATGGCTCAACAACAAGCTTCAACGACACCAACAACAACAACAACGGTTACAGTTACAGCAAGAGAGCGACAACCTCAAAACAAGAATTCGCCATCATCGTCTTCGCCCATGCAAAGCGTAGGAGGAGGAGTACGCTCATCACCAACCTCCATCTCACCAAGTGTTCATTCAAAAAAGGCTTCTTCACCCAATACTCCCCAACATCATCACCATTTTGGAAAAATTGAGGATGAAGAAGGCTACGTCAGAAATTTGTTAGAAATGTCTCGTTCCCGACGAAGAAAGAAGAATCAAGAATTATTGGAGGCTTTTCAACATTTCCGAAGCGAACTTTCGAGAGGAGGGGATATACAACGAGAGGAGGATTCCTTTGATCCTCCATCATTTGGAATAGATCAAAACGATGATCGTTATGTTCAACATGAAACAGACCCCTATTGGAATGATCTTGATGGCTATGAGGACGAAGGCTTGGAGAATGACCACTCAAGCATGAACCTTCACCAACCTCAGGAATCATATGAGCCTTCTTCAATCAAGAATTCCTCCGGCTATGACTATTACAACAGCAACACTTCAAATTCCAGCAAGTGCAACAACAACAGCATCAACAACTCCCCCTTCTCATCATGCCAACCTCAGCACAAAGAGGCCGATTCACCAGAAAATCATCACTACTTCACTCCGACGGTTTCCTCCGAAGTAAGACGAGTGGCAACCACTTTCGCGCATCAACAACACCAACATCTCTCCGACGATCGATCGTCCTACTTATTGAAACGTATTGAGGAATTAAAGAGCATGAACATTAAGGCCATGTTGGAGAGTGTGAGTAGTACTAAGGATACGTTCACTGGAGTGGATGCTTCTGGTAGCTACCATTCAAATTCTGATGTGAATCTTTCGAACAAATCGAGAAGTTCCTCTCCATCCGCAACGAGCCATTCTGCTCATCGCTTTAGCAGTAGATTGGTCAACGACATTACAACATTTCCTGCAAACATGCCACCTTCACCTAAAGGCTCCAAACAGTACGAAGAAGAACGAAGAAAGAGAATTGTCGCCAGGAACAATTTGAATTACGAAGAAAAGGCTCGAAACGAGCTGAATTTAATTCCTGAAGAGATTCCAGAATGTACTTCACGACAGAAAAACACGACGGACAGTAGCTCCATTCAGAGAACTCGTTCTCCCTCCCACTGCCGCCCCCACAACAATAATGCAACATTGACACCAATCATGAGCTCCAAGTCACCTCTGAGAACATCCTCATCCCTCTCCAGTTCAGAGTTGGAGTCAAAGATTTTCACTCCTAGGCCTGGCTCCTCACATGCAAGAATCTCCGCTCAACAAACGCCCTCAAGATTCTCCTCAACCAAGAACAATATCCAAAACAACGGAGCTAGTAGATCCTCATTCTCTCCATCGTCACACTCCATGAACTCTCTTTGTACAGGCAACTGTCACACCCAACAACAACATTTTGCCTCTGCTCACCACAGAAACTCCACCACAGACACTGCCAACACGTATTTCTCACCATCGAAAACAAGACAAACCAATTTGAAATCTCCTCGCACAGGTGCTCACTCACCTCATTATCGACCTCCTAGAAGCACAAACAGTAACATCAGTAGCAATAACATACCTAAAAGAAGGAACACGACTGCCCCGAGAGCAGATCAAAAAAGCCCAAAATTTGCACGCAATGAAAATTTACAATTTGATTATCAAGAGAGACTAATACTCGAGGAAATATGGAGCTTGGATGAACAACTCAACAAGAGTTCTGTATTTAAGAATATTGTTTCTAACTTGGAGCATAATGCTTCCTCAAGCAACAAGGGTGCAGAAGCAAACGGAACAGCTGACAGTACCTCATCTACGCCAAAAACTCCAAGATATGCAAGCCGTATGGCCAATGGACATGGTGGTGACGCAAGTAATGACAAACAAAATTCATCATTTTCGTCCCTCAATAGGAGTGGCAATTTTTCTTATTCGGGCAGTTTTTTGAATGCTAGACCTTTGACACCTTCTTCAAGCCGAGCCAGCAGCAGAAGCGGTGTTAAAACACCATCCAGTCAGTACAGCTCCAGAATTCGTCCTGCAGGGTTTGACCCCTCTCCTAAAGAGCTTACTGTAGGGGAGATTACAAAAAAGAATAGAGAAAAATATGCTCATGTAAAACCAAAAGTAATGACCCATAGAGGAAGTGTGACCAATGACACAACATCGCCGGAGTCTCAAAACGGAAATTCCTCGAAAATTGTCACACCAAAACAGCGACCTGCTTCAGCATCTAGGAATTTAAGTGCGGCTAACAAATCAACAACATGTGGTTCATCCAACATACATCTAAACAACACGACGGAGCTATCTTTGACGCCAAAGCGCTCAGCTTCACTTTCCAAGAGTCGTTCAACAACAACAACACCTCAATCAACAACGACATCTGTTAATGTTAAACTGAGAAATATCTTGATTGAAAACGATGAGTACAAGAGGGTTTGGGGAGAAATTGAAAGAGAGGAACTTCGAATATTAAAGTTCAAGACAGTACCAACTTTGAATGAAAGCACACAAGACAAACGTTCAATGATTGTAAATAGTAGTGAAGCACCAGATTTTCAGCCTTCTCCCAACACGACCTCAAAGACCACAATGAACTCTACAAGTAGTGGCATGAACGAAGCAGTCCAGGCAATGATGAATGAACGGATCCGATCCATCGAGGAGGGCCTTAAAAGAATTGCCTCTTCTTATGATTTTGATAATATTAACATGGAAGATCATGAGACTTCACCCAACATGTATACCAGAGAGGCCTACACCACTGAAGATCTCCAGCATGATAAAACCTTACTCGAAGATATGGAGTCAAAGTATTGCATTCTCCAGGACAATCCTCAGAAAGAGAATCAAGTCATTTCGAGTAGTGACAAGTACGACATCAATGAGAGGAAGACTGCGCAAGAAAATGAAACTCATCACCAAAAAGAGCAGAAGCAGCAAAGCTTTGAAGAAGACAATGCAGCAATGAATTCCTCAATGGAAGAGGAAGTATCAACCACCAAACAACATTCATCTTCTCGTGTTGAAAATTCACCATACCCTTTGAATGAAAATCCAAGAATTACCTCTCATATCTTGAACGAAAGCACACTCTCCGTCAATGCAAGTCTTTTCTCTGACCTTTCTCAGCTTCAATCCAATCCAGATTTTAGAAAATTCATCAACGAGAAACTGGATAAGATCGAACGAGAATGTACATTGAGACAGCAACAGCTTCAAACAAAAGTGTAAATTGAAATATTTCAGATGATCTTTCGCTGATTCATGCGTATAAACCATTTTTGAAATTCTGGAAATGCCAAGATTGTTATTTATTTGAAAATTGAAATCGTTTCATGATGATCTGAATGATCCTACCCTATTGAATGATTATTAAGGCTTTCCTTGTCCATATGGATAAAAATCAGTTGACTAAAAAATGTTTCTCCATAAGGTCTATATGAAGGGTTTCAAATCGTACAGTCAATCCGCTCCCAAACAAGTCGAGTTTATCAAGGGAGTCAACTGTTTGGTTGGTCCGAACGGTAAAGGAAAGAGTAATATTGGTAAGTCCTAATGGTTTACCGTCCAACAACAACAACAACAACAACGGAACTTGCAAAACTCATCAACACTCTCATTCCTTCAACCCAACAACTATTGTAGTGGACGCTATTTGTTTCGCCTTAGGATTTGATATCAAACAATTGAGAGTGAGCAAATTGGATGATCTTCTCACCACGAGAGGAGATGAAAAGGAACCGTATGCCTTTGTTCAATTGATCTTTTCCAATTATCATCCGAATGGAGAAAATTCCTCTCGGAAGGAAAGGCTTGATAAGGGTGAAGAGGATGATTTCATGAAAGACGATGATGTTGTTGTTGATGATGATGAGAACTTAAAGGAACCTCATTCATCCTTGTGTTCTTCCTCGAAAACAACTACATCATCATCATCATTGGAAGAGGAACACTCCACTCAAAGCACAACAACTCTGCAACATGAATTATCGGTAACCATCTTTAAAGACAAGAATGCGAGAAAGTACAAACTCGATGGAAAGCATGTCTCTCTGAGAGAAGTGCAAAACTTTCTGTTTAGAAATGGTCTTAGAAATTGTGCGAATTATGTCATTTTGCAGAATCAGGTCATTGCTTTGAGTTTCAAAGATCCAAAGAAGCTTGCAGAAATGATCACAGATGAGAGCGGAGGACTCAATTTTCAACAAAAGGTTGAAAAAGCTCTTCATGATTTGGAGTTGTGGAAAGGGACAGAAAACCATATCATGCAACAAATAGACAGGTTGAAAAAAGTGATTGAGGAAGATTTGAAAAAGATTCAATTGGTTCAAGAGAAGCAAAGTGTTGAGACAGACTTGAGATATGCAAGAATTGCTGTCAAATTATCAAAAAAGACTCGCCTTGGAAAAAATGTTGCAACCAAGTTGGAAGATCAGGCTAATATTCGTCAACAAGCAGCAAGCATGCAAAACGAATTGTCGAAAATTTTATCGACTGTCGATAAGTTTAATATTGATCAAGACGACCGCACTCGACAAGCTTGTGAGGAGTGTTTGGCAGAGCTAGAGTTGTTGGAAAAGAATCGTCAAGATTTGGAGTTCAATGTTGATCTTATCCAAGAAGAGATTTCTCAGCTCGAAGAAAAGCAAAAGAAAATGCTTGAAGCATACGAGCAACAACTCCATTTGGAAGAAAAAAGAAAGAACGAAATGAGTAGCCGACAACAAATGCTAACAATCATGGATGCTAGAATAACTGTCATCACTACCATGATGAAAAGGTAAGATAGTACTCGTTAAGATTGTTTTCTTTACTAATTGTCGTTTGTCTGCAGTTCAACACAAAGTACCGTGACTAGTGCTGAACAACTCTCCACTCAGATCATGCAAGCAGAGGGAACAATAGAGTCACTGACCGCTTCTGTTCGGCACCTTACCGCAGCATTACAAAACCTACAAACTGAAAAGTCGAAAACAGAGGGTCAAATCCTCGAGCTGCAAAATTTGATAGCATCGTTGAATTTAAGGTCAAACTTAACGCTCGGTGAAGTTCAACAGCAACTGTCACACGTTAGACATGAGATGGAAAGATACGAAAGCAACATTCATTCCATGAACAGCCAATATTCAAACCTTTCGAATGAACTCAGTTATCATGAGCTTGACTTCAACCGAAACTCGACACTGATCAACATGATTACATTCAAAACCAATGCTGAAGATTATACGCTTCCTCTCTCTATTATTGCTGGTAGAAATATTTTCAACGTCATCACTCAAACAACAGATGAAGCCGAAGAAGTGTTAAACCTTTACAACAAACCCAAACGACATTGTGTCATTTGGCCAATGGATAGACTCGATGCTTCCCCACAAAGAAAAAAGATTGAATACCAAAGAAAACTCATCGAGAGAAGAGATTTGCAGTTTATCATTCCTATGGAACTAATGAATTATAGTTCAGAAATTGAAACAGCAATTGTTCGATGTTTTGGAGATTTTGTCATTTCTCCTTCGAATGACATGTCAAAGAAGTTGCTTCAGCTTGGAATTTCTTCGGTGTAAGTATTCTATATGGTGACCATGGGTTTGTATTCACCCCTTTCTTAGAACACGTGATGGAGTCAAACATATTCCTGGACGAGTGATTGGTGGTGATTTCTCACCTCTTCAGTCCTCAAATTTAATTGTAAAAAGAATCAAGCAACAACAAGTTCACAACAAATTAATGGAAGAACAACGGTGCGTTGAAATTGTAAAGCTCAAGATTATTGAGCATGAAAAATTGAGGAAGGAAATTGAATCGTTCCAACAGTCCACTCAAAGATTGAATCAACAACGAGAATATTTAGAAAAGCTAAACGACCAAGAAAAGATGTTGCACGAAAGAATTTCAAAAGAAAACATTGATGTTATGGAGTTTAACGTCAAGAAAAAATTCTGGCAAGAACAATTACACTCTACAAATGCAGTGGAGAAATTGAATATGGAGCTCGACCATTTGACCACTGAAAGGGAGAAATTAGTGGACGAGCTTGACAATTTAGAACAGCAAGAAGAAGAAAAAATCTCTTCGAGAGAGTTGAAGGAAATCAATGTCGAGATTGAGAAAATGAAAGAAAAGGAGAAAAGCCTGAAAGAGGCTCTTTGTGATTGCATCAAAAGAATTGATGAAATATCGCAAAGATATGAATTGATGAGAAGAAATCAAGAAGAAGAGAAATACAGTAAGTGTACTATTATTTCCTTGATGGCATATCTTTTCAATTCGATTTTTTTAATTTGAAAATGAATTTAGAATCAAAAAAGTTGCTTCAAAGAATGGAAGAAATTGAAAAATCCCTCAAAGCGATGGAACAACAGGAAAAAACAATAACGAAAGAAATCAATGCATGTCAAAAAGAAATTTCTGCCATTGACCATGCAACCTCTCTTGAACTCTTTGATCAAGCGAATGAAATGAATTCGAAAACCGAGGAAGAATTAGAAGTCCTCATTTCACACTTGGAAAAGAAATATATGAAACTCAAAAAGAAAGCGAAAAACACTCTTGTCGACGCCAGTGATGTTGAACGAAAACAACAAACACTCAATAACAGTATAAATCGAGTGGAGTGGATTAAAGTGAGTTGTGAACAGCTAAAAGAAGGCATTTCACATGGCCAACAAGTTGTAGATCGTTACAACCAAATTGCATTCGAAAAGATTTCCAACTTGTTCGTCAAGTACTCCTCTTTGATGCTTCCCAACAAGGAATGTCACCTAGCAAAAGTTGGAGAGAAAGTAAGCGAAGGAATTGAAATTATTGTCAAACACAAACAAACATCAGCGGTTTCAAGGAAAAGCATCTTGACAAGAACAAGAGAAAATCAAGTGATATCTGGAGAAATGCAAGCGATTCCTCTCAATCAACTATCTGGAGGTGAGAAAACCATGCTAAGTTTGGCGTTTCTTTTTGCTTTGGCGACCTTCAAGAGTAGTATGTTCTATGTGTTGGATGAAATCGATGCGAATTTGGATGAGGAGAAGCAAAAGATTGTTGCTCGAATTATGACAACCATGTTTAAGGACAAACAGCAAGTCATTATGATTTCTCACAACTCGGCTCTTCAAAGTGAAGCTCATCGCATTATTCATGTTTAACACAGAGTAAATTGAATAAAGATTGATTGACAACATGAAAAGTTACAATGATAATACATTACTTTAATATTATTCTAATAAATTAAAAGTACACTTTGACTTGGGCGGTTCACAATTACAAAACTGACTCGAAATTCTTTGATTTCTTCCACTTATTCTTGTATTCCTCTCGAGTGCTCTTATAGGAATGACTCATTGGTTTTTCTTGAACATCTTCGTCCTCCTCCTCGAATTTCGTGTAGGATTTGTTTGCAGAAGACTTTTTGCTATTTCTGTTCATTTCAGGACTTTGATAGTGATGAGCATTGAAATCTTCCATGTTCACATCATCCACAATCTTATCTCCAAATTTAATGTCTCCAGAAATTTCAATATCATTGCTATCGTCATCATAATCTTGTTGTTGCTGTTGACCATAAAAGGCTTTCTTTGAATGTCCCTTCTTTCCACTGTCGTGTTCATCCAATTTATCGAAAAATGTGGAAATGGAGAAGTATTTAGAGCCATGCTCTTCTCTCGCTCTTTGCAAATGTTTGACTTTTCTCTCTCTTGCGCGTTGCAAAATTTCTTTTCCTTCCAACACTCTGTCGTCTGTAATCTTGTCACCGCCATTGTATTTGAATCGTTCAATGTTAATCAGAGTTCCTAATCGTTCCAAAATTCTGAATAATGCAACAAAAGCTACAAGAATAATTCCCAATGGTAAATAATCGACAACAAAACCACCAATGGCACCAAAGATTCGAAGTCCATCCAATCTCAATTCTCCATAAATGTTGAAATAGGCAACACCATCATTTTTCGTGACACCAATCAATTGTAAAAAGTTGTACATCATACTAGGAATGACTCGACACAATAATTGAGCTGTGTAAAAGAGTGTGTAAGAATCAGTATGATGAGGAATGATTCTAAAATATTGCATCACTCTCACGTTGAATAACGCAACCATAATTGTGACCAAAATCATGAGTAAAATAAATAATGCAACAAATTGTGTGATAAATCGATCATGAATGGATTCAATTAGCAATTCCAAAACAGAGAGTCTCACAGTGGTCACATTTTTGAAGAGAGGAGTAAATTCGCACCACAACAAGATGAAAGCACATGGAATGTACAACAGCACCAACAACTTCAAAAACCATGGTCTCAAATACTTGTAATAAATCCATTCTGGTTTTTCAATAATTTTTTGCCACCAGGTAAATCTTCGTTGAAGGAATGGTGAATCGATTTTTCTTAAACCATTGTGTTTCGAGTCAATAATGTCTTGCAAAACAAAGGCACGAATTTGTAAATATTTCCATTGATATTGGTGAATGTCAAACTCAAGAATGGTATTAATTAAATCTCCATGAATCGACACCAACTTCCATCGGCTCAATTTATCAATGTCAGGAAGCTTTCCAGGTTCAAAGCGGTCTCTGAGACGAGCTTTTTTCAATTGTGGATGGTTTTCCATTGCTTCATTGACCGTTTTCATCATTCGATCAACGTTTTTTCGTTGCTTGTGTGATTGATCCACATGCTTGTCTAAATATGTACAGATAGAAATGAGTTCAATAAGCTCATCCTCGGTATCGGTGAGTGTTTCTAACAATCCAACACTTTTGAATTCATAGAGTCTGAGCTGTCTTTCATCGTTCGAAATTTCCCACAGACTTCTCGGAAGAATGACAATACCATATCCTAACAGAGTAATAAGCAGTGCCAAACCCACAATGTTCGACAGGGAGAGTGCAAGACCCATCAACATGTTGAATGTGACATTTTTAATGTCGTCAACAATGGCAATATAAATCAAAAAACCTCCTAAACCTCCCAATCCGATCAAAATCATAACAGAAATGGTCAACAAGTTCATGACAATGGATCTCAAGAGTTTGAAGAGTGCAGTAAATTCACCTGTGAATGGATATCCCTTAAATAAGGGTAAAATCACTTGAGCCAATCCAAAGCAAGTCCAATAAATGACTCGCCACGTAATTTCAAGGGCTCTATTCGCATCGGTTTTTGCCGATGTACGATCGACCGACCTGGCAGCTGCCAAATCAAAACACACCATTCCCACTGCTGTAAACAACAATGTATACGTTAGCAAGAGAGGAATATACAAAAACCAACTCAATGAAGAATTCTTTGCATAGTACCGGAGTATACTATACGAAAATATAATTCCCAAAACAATTGTGAGGCCCAAACTCACTGAAAAAAACGCATCAATGGGTTGTGTTTCCGTTAGGGTTCCGTTTGTTGAATTATTGGTTACGTTATTTGTAATATTAATTCCATCCCAAAGCAATTGAACCGCCTTCTCCACCATGATGAGCGGAGGAGTATTTCCAATGTTTTCCAAAGAAGCCGTTGTTGATGATTCACCAGTTTCTGAAGCCATCCTCTTCATCATACTAGAAACGGAATGAAGGATCAACGCACTGGGCGAAAACTCATCAGCAGCAGCAGAAACGTCAGCTCCTCCGGAGGAGGTTGATGTTTCCCACGTCATCTATTTTTTTTTTGTAAATTTTCAATTTCGGAGGGCGCTCTGAATGAAGGTGTCGATTTCACTTCCATAACACAAGGTTTGGAATGTTTGGAATGTTGATAACACGATAGATGTATATTATATTGATTCCTCGTATTGAAGGAGAATTTTAATATCGAACCACACATTATTGTCATTTCAATTTTCTAAACCATCAGATTAATTATTGCTTGTCATAATCTTGAGCATAATCTTTAAGGGTCGCATTTCCATGAGCGAAAATGTGTTTTTCAAATCGATCTTCTTTAGAGACGTCTCCAATTGTGTTGTGAGTGTCACGTTCTTTCAAGACATCTAATTGTTGTTGCTTTCGTGTGACTCGAGCAATTTGAATCATGGCTTTGGCAACATCTTCTCCTTTAATTCCACTCCAACTCCTTGGAAGCATCCAATCGAGTGCATTGTTCAAGCCCTGAGCAATACGTTCACCAAATCGATGTTCATTCTCACGCTCTCCAATTAATAAACCAGGTTTAATGATGTGACAATAGGTTGGAATGATGGATGAAGAGCCAGAATGATTGGTTTTATACCATTCCACATAGTCCAATTGTTTCTTTGCACATGCTTTTTCAATGTCTCCTTTCACTTGATTATAAAAGAACATGGATTGACTGTCGGCACCAACTGCAGTGACCAAAAAGAATTGTTTTACATTATTTTGTGATGATGATGATGATGGATTGGCAAATTTCGAATATACCAACGAAGCAAAAGCCTCTGGATAATCATAATCCACATGTCGGAATTTCTTTTTATCATTTCCTACTGCTTTGATGGTCGTTCCGAGACAACAATAAGCCTCATCCATTCCATCAAAAACATTTTCAATACTATTCAACTGATCAAAGTTGTCCAAATAAACATGATCAATCGGAACGGTTGTATCGGAAAATTGGAAAGGATTCTCTTTTCGTCTTGAAATGGCCACAACTTTAGAATACACGTTAGGATCTTGTTGAGCAAGTAAACGAACAAGATTCTTTCCAATCAAACCGGTGGATCCGATCACAACGGCTTTAATACCTCCGCGGCTTGAAGAAGCTGCTGAGGAAGAAGACATTTTTTTTTATTCATGAATAATATTCATTGCAATTAAACATTTGAAAATGAATATAATATATTATATTAATTACTACATGTCTATCTTAATTTCTTAAAGCAATTTTGTAACACCTAATCTGTATTAATACAAATTTAGGTCTTGATCAAAGAATTGAGACATGAATCGAATGGTTCTGTATAATCAAACACCTTTCCTTAAACTCTGTAGATTTGATCCGTGGGATCTCATACATCAAGAACAACAACAACAACAATCATTGGTGATACAACCACTCAGTGGAGCCTTTTATTCGAATTGGACAAGGGCTTTCGTGACAGAAAATTAAAACATTGCTATTGGAAATTGATTTGGGAGGTAACAACAAGGCGGCCATGTCCAATACAAACAAATCCTTAATCTCATTACAAACCAATAACGTACAGAATGTACAGAATTTAACAACAGTGTCTGCAGGCTACCCTTGGTGGTTTTGCTTTCAAAGAGTTGAATGATCGGATGAAACGTATGGCTTGCCTCAATTCTTCTTTCAATCATCCAAATAAAGAGAATTTGTTTAACGTTAATAATTAGTACCCAAATAAACATCATGGTAGCAATATTTCATTCTCGCTTGATATAATTCGTTACTGTACTCCGACACATATCCATTGCATTTAAGAGCTTCCATCACAAGTTCTGGATCTTCTTGATCTTTCTTTGCATGCATCAATATACATCCATTACTTCTCACTGCTTCCAATCTTAAATTCCTTGTCAGACATCAAATGTTCAAAATAAGGAGATCCATATAATAATGAAGGACTGTTGAATTGTTGAATTTGGTTACTTTAAGTAAAAATTCTCTGTCAAAACTAATATCATTCGGCACCTGATCAAAAACCACAGGTCTTGACTTTGTAACTTCTAATAAGAATTGTTTGTCACACAAAAGATCTAGAGACACATAATTCAACGAATCAGTTTCTTGTTTGATAGCTTCTAAAACAATCTCCTTGTCATGTTTCATCATTTCACTTGCGTACTTGAGAGCACAGCCATTTTCTTGAACAGATTGCATTACAATTTCTCTATCGTTTTTCATTTCATCTGACGCAAATTGAAGAGCAATGGCATTTTGTCTTACAGCTGTCAATACGATCTCTTTGTCATTCTTCAAGTCATAAGAAGCATATTTCAGAGAATATCCATTTCGATTGACAGAATTTAAAACAACGTGTCTATCATTCCTCAATTGATAGGAGGCAAATTTTAATGCATGACCATCCTGTTTAACAGCAACCGTTACGACTTCTCGATCATTCTTAAAATCATGATAAGCATTTTTAAGTGCATTTCCATGATTTTTGATTGAATTCAAAACAACATCTCGATCATTCTTGAGTTGATTTCTTGCACATCGTAGTAACCAACCAAATACTTGAACAACTTTCATCATGATTTCTTTTTTTGAATAACCTATAGAGTTTAAATGAGAAAATTCTGGAAATGTTACTTTGAGAACTGTTAAAATGAATTCATCAAATGAAGGTATTAAAGTATTAAATGAGTCAATTGGTTTGAGTAGAATATGATTGGCTGCGAGAAGAAACGCCTTCTTATTTTGTTTAAATGCTTCTATCACAATTTCCTTATCTAATTTCAAATTATCGTAAGCCCATTTCAATGCTTCTGCATTTTACTTAACAGCAGCTAAAACAATTTTTCTGTTTTTCTTGAACTCTTGAGGTGCGTATTGTAGAGCCAATCCATTCTGTTGAACAACCTTCAATACAATTCTTTCATCAGTTGAGTAATATAAACATTCTGGAAATTGTTTGACAGCCAACAAAAGCGCAACTTCATCATTTCGAATGTCTTCCCTTGCGAATTGTAATTCCTCTGCCTATAATTGAACCACTTTTAACACAAACTCTCGATCTTTTTGTAAATGTGTGGATGCAAGTTCTAATCCAAAACCGTACTTTTTAATGTGATTCAAAATAAATTCCTTGTTATTCATAAACTCAACAGGAAAAAATATTCAAATTTTAATTCTCGGTTCTCGAGCCATTTCTTCTTTCCCTCTTGTTGCAACAAGAATTTCTTTTTTAATAATGATTCCCATCTCCGAAAATGATGCTCATATTTTCCACCAAAAGAAGAAGAGGAATTAGAAACATCATGAATGATCAATTTTACATTTTCATCATCATTTCTCATCTGTTGTTGAGTAGTTTATTGTTTCTTGTTTTTTATATAATCCATGTCGCCCACAACATCATCACTGTTGATGAATGAATGAAAATCGTTAAGTATGTGATGTTGGTAATCCCGTTTTGACATTTTTTGTCATTATTTCTTTAATTTTGTTTCTTAAAATTTACTGTAAAATTTTGATGGCGCCAAAAAGAACCCCTTCAAAAGTTTGTGGTGTAATTTGTCACCTACATGTTTCCATGCCCTTCGTAATATTTAGAAAACTAAAATTTGGAAGTGAAATAATAATAATTACATGTTCTTTTTATAAAGAATTATTGACATAAAATCATTGTCTTACACTGAACTGATAGATGGACCTAATGGTTTTTATTTCTTCAAAAAAACACTCTCTCCATCTTTCCTTAAATTCTTTCGTTATTTCCATCTCGATTAAAAGAACACTCAAGGAGCGATATCTTGATGTTGTATGGATTCGGAGCGAATGAATATGGAGTTTTGGTGTTGAAAAAGCCAAGTGTTGAAGAGAAAGATTCTTCCAATGCATATGATGAGAGTAAAAGTGATTCCAATAATAATGCTCCTTTCAATGATGATCTTTTTGAATTAACTCCTCTTCTCACACTTCCGAATCAAAAAACATTATCTTCCCGATCAGCAACAACACCAACAACACCAACAACACACTCTGTATCGGTCGACTCTTTCGATAAGTATCAAATTCGTAAACTAGTTGCAAACAACGAATTTGCAGCCATCGTATTGAGCAGTTCGGAAGGAGAGTTGTATGCAAGTGGGAAGAATGTTTCGTCCATATATTCCTCTTGGTCCTCTCAACCATACGTCAACAACAATAAGAACAATCATTGGCAATGCAACCAATTATTGGAGCCTTTCATTCGAATTGGACAAGGACTAAACGGACAGAAAATTAAAAACATTGCCACTGGAAATCGATTTGTTGTGGCACAAACCGTTTACGGTCAATTATATGTGTGTGGAAGTTTTGTTGGAAGAGTTCCCTTAATGGATTGTGAGCATTTTTCTCCTTTGGATCCTTATTTACCAGCCACTCTGAAAAGTTCTGCTGGTTATTGTCATTGTGGAATAATTTCGAGACAGGATGGTTTGTTGTACGTTATTGGCGACAATGACAGTGGAGAGTTGGGATTGGGTCACCAGCGAGATCGAAATCGATGGACACTTGTTTCATTCATATCAGAGAGAGTGAAATCCATCGATTTTGGGAATCACAACTCAATTGCCATTGGAGAAAGTGGAAATATTTATGTGGCAGGAAGTAATTTGAATGGAGAGCTTGGAATTTCAACTCTGGACAATGATTATGTGAAGGTCTTTACCAAAGCCGAAATTACAAAGTGCAACAGAAACGAAAAAGCACAAAAAACAGCATGTGGCATGCATCATGTGGTGATCATTTCTCTGTGTTGATGACTCTCGATGGACAAGTATTGGCATGTGGTTCCAACTCGAATGGTGCCATTGGACAACCCATTCATCTTTACGCAGTTTCCAAGATACCAATTCCTGTAATGGGGCAGAATGTGATCAAGAAGAACCAACATGTTGCTTCTACAGTTTTTGACCTCCATCATCATGATCCACAACACCAACAACAACCAAACTCTGTGGTATGCGGAAATCGCTTTACGTTTGTCTTCCATTCGTCAGAATGTGTCATGGACATTTTACTAAAGGCAAAGCATCAAATGCATCAACGATTGCTTGAGCAATTGCAACGATGCTCCAATGAGGAAAGTATACCCATCATTACTTTCCAATTTTGTACACAGTGAACGAATCATGATGCAGAGCGGCCAAAAGTTTGCTTTAAATGCTTTTGTACTCGAGCATTCGCCTAATTTCTCCTCAAAAGGAACAGTTTTTCCTTGACATTTGTTGATGTTGAGATGGAATGATTGGAGCAACGCCAAAATTGATCGGTTTTCACACTCTTGGTTGTTAAATGAGAGCCACTCTTGTGATAGGCTGGCTCCAGTAGCAACCCTCAAAAAAGTTTCTCCAATCATTGTATTTCTACTCCTCTCATGGCTTTCCTTCATGGCAAACACAGGACGCACGTTGGTGTCCTTTTGCTTCTTCTATTCCTCCTCCTCAGTCACACCAATTCCATAACGGCAACAGTGCAACCAAATGCTGCTGCTCCTGACGAGAGGAACACCATGATCACAACTATGGCCAAAGATGATCATCAAGGTTTGCCAAATAACGACCAAAATCCTCCTAATAACGATGGCAAGAATTTTCTCACAACTCCCACACAATCATCAAGAATCCTTCTCACATCACCACCAACATCATATCATGTCCAGCAACAACAGCAGGACATCTCCAATAACAAGTCTTCTCTTGTGATACTCAATTCAATTTCTTATCCCAAACATGATTGTTTGAGACACGCTCCCATCAATCAGCCCTACTATCCATTCATGTTCACTATTGACACCGAGTATTACGACTTTTGTAATTTACGAGACAAAACATCTTTACCTCCAGAGTTTTATGTGAGTGGAATTGTTCCCGAGTCGGGAGATTTTTCTTGTGTCAATTATTTGTGTCGAACGGAGAATGTATGGAATTTGAGAAATGTCACCCAACGAATGAATTTGGGAATTATTTTTAATTACTGTTTGAGATGTAATCAGAGTGCTTCAGAGTTGTTTCGACAAGCATTGATGAATAATTCGTGTCCTGCCTTTGTGATTGGTGCCTCAGAAAATTCAACCAATCTCATTCCAAGTGATCGATTCATGTCCAAATTCAATCAAATTTCAAATATTCATTGTAATGGTGCTTCACCCTCTTCGATCAATAACTTGGCTCTCTTAGATTACAACTTTTTCATGTCTGAATATTTCATGAATCGATTTGCTCGATACAGAGAAAGAGTTACTGGTGAACGACAGTCCAATCCTCAACTCACTGTTTCATCAGTTTCTCTCAATCCAATTCTCACCTTCTATTTTAAGAACTATTTTGATGATAATGCTGACCTGTCCACACTAAATGCTCCACTCGATGTGCCATTCATTTGTTGGTGTAATTATCAATCAGACAAGGACAAGAGTTTTGGATTCCAATGCAACGATTTCTTCCAAAATTGGCAAATCTATTTCACCTACAGATATTCAATATGGATTTTTGCATTAATATTTTCAGCAATTTTTGTGGCACAATTCTTACTCGTTTTGGTGCCACGTTTTGGCGAAAGAATCATTACCTTTAAACAACGCTTGAAAATTCAAGGACTCAGCTCTTCCGTTCCACAAAAAATTGTCCTATTTTTCAGACACTTTTTTGATATTGTCACTCAACCACCTCCTTTCTTCACCATAGCTGCCTTACTTGCTTTCATGGAAAACTTTATGAGAATTTTGTTCAACTTTAAGGCAGCCAATCCCTTTTTTAGAAATTATTTTTCAGGAGTGTTTCGAGGACTGGCATGCGGATTTACCATTTGTGGATACTCGAGTTTAGTGATTAGTTGGAGCCATGTGATTGATCTTTCAAATAGGAGAGCCACCACGGACTCCAAGCAAGGAACTGGCTTGAGTAAGCTCAATACTATCATTCTCTCTGCATTTTATTTTGCCATGCTCATTATAGTCATTGTCTCTGTCATTGTATTTGGAGTCACCAAACAGGACTCGTACGCATGGATCTTGTTGAGTCTCTGTATTGTTATTTACTTGTTTACCTTTGTGTTGGGATTTGCATTTTATGGTTTTCGAATCATGTACAAACTTCGAAAGACAGTTGGAGATACCAAAAAAGTGATGGAATATCGTTTTACAAAATTCATGCTTGCAGAAACTGGTGTCTTTTTGGCAGGTTGTGTTATTTCTGCACTCATGTTTGTGAGCTATGTCTTTGGTTTTGATATTATGAATTTATTTTGGGGAATGGCGAGAAATACATTTATGGATTCTGCCTTAACACTTGTCATTTCTGTCTCCTCCATCATTACATTCAACGAGACAGCCATTGAAATGGTGTATGGAAAAAGAATTCTCGAAATTCTGACCTGTTCAAGTTGTAAACAAAAAAAGATGAACCACATTGCCAATGTTGCAGCCACCAATGAATCAGAATTGAAATAGCTTTTGGACCATTGTACTCCTTGTCATGGCAAAAAACAGCGAGTGGATTCAAGTGAAGAGAACATCCCTGCACTCAAAACAACATTTAATTTCGAGAACATGCTTCGAATGACCACCTGACACAATTACCCCTTCATTGCCACAAACAATAATAACAACTTTAACGGGAACACATGTGTCAATGTGGAGATCAACAACCGTAGTCAACAATAAAATCAGAACACTTTACAACCAACAAATTACTCGAGTAGTCCCCACTTGATTTTCCAAACGAGTATTGCGCTCCTCAAATGATCCGTTCATATATGCCAATATTACTGAAAAAGTATCAATACTCACACACATATATGCATCGCACACACTTGAATCCAATCATTTTCACAGAGCGGACACCCTCGATTCAAGGCTCCGCTGCATGACAAGGAGTAACAACAACAACCACTCGACGTGTGATCCTTCTCCGACCTTTTTGAAAACCTCACAAAAAACAAACAACACTCTCTTGCAGCAACTGCAGCTAAATACCAACACATATTAACCCACTCACCCATTCACCAACAAATACCAACCATTCATTATGAAATTATCCTTGTTCCTGGTCGTGGCTTTAAGTACCACCTTATTGTTGGCTCTCTTTACTCGAGACTCTCTCCAACAACAATACCAAATGCGTTCACTCTATCAAGGCACTACCTGTTCGGGAGCTCCATTCCGTGTTGTTACTCAAAAGATCACCTCTCAATGTAATGCCACTGATTCTTGCACCAAATACACTGCTGAACCAAGTGTTTTGTCATATACTCAATCCTGTCCTACTGCTTTCCCAAATCAAGCCAATGTCAAGGGTGAAATTTATATCAATACTTATTCAGATGCTTCTTGCAGTGCTGCATCGTTGAGTTCCTATGAGGTTTATCTCATCAACACTTGTATGACTTCGAATGTGATTTTTGGACCAAATGCCAAGAGTGCCAAGTATGTGAATTGTGAGAAGTTGGTCTTGTATGAGGACGACCAATGCCAAACTGTTTCAGCTGAAGATCCAGTCGTGTTGAATACTTGCAATACCCAAAAGAAGACTTATCGATGTGGAGCAGCAGCCGATAAGATTTCAAGCTCTTTGGTTGTGTTGGTCGTTTTGATGATTTTGGGATTGTTCATGATGTAAATAACAAAGGTTCTCCAAATGACTTTCTCATTAAAAAAGAAATTTGAAAATGTTTGTGTCGGATGGGGTCCTCCCAAAAAAATCAGTAGGTGTTGATGAATAAACAATTCCACCTTGAATCACTCACAACTCGCAAAGAATTCATTCTTTTGGCCAAATATTCAAAAGATGTTGATTTCTTCTCTTCGACAATACGTATTGTAGCCTTCGAATATCGATTAAATAAACTTTCATCAAAGAAAAAAATGAGTTTTGTGGAAGTCTTTCCTTCTCTTGTGGTGAGAGATGTATCCAGCAGCAGCAATAGCGGGTTGCTATTCAATCAAAAGAACGCATCGGCTTCAGCTCATCATCAGAGGACCAATAGCACCGATGATAACAACATGATGAAACCCGTTGTGGAAGGAGATTATGTTTGTTTGTTGGAAAATGAATCCAATCATCATCAAGATGTAAATGCCATGTTTTATGAAAAGATGTTTCAAGCGATTAAACATCAAGATGAAGCCGATATGAGATGTGGTGGTGGTAGCTTTAATATTAATTCTCAACTTACACTCGTATGGTAGGTGTCGTATACCTAACATTCCAAAATTTCAACAATGATGGCCATGTTTCATATTTTGTGCATAATATAACAATTTAATAATCTTCTATATTATCATCAATCTTTCATTCTATTATTATCAATCTTTCATAGGAAAACAATTGGAAATGACTTGATTTTGCAAGAGGTCGATTTGTATGGAGAGCAATCCTCAAGAACATTCACCTTCAAAGCTCCCGCAAATGTCTTCTTTCTTCCAGGAGTTTCACTCAAGAAAACTAACCTAGAAATAACTCTGTGGGCTTTAGCTACCAATAGGACATTATATCGAATTAGCTTGACACATACAAACAACAGCTTCATCGATGGAATAGTTTCTCTTTTACGTCAAAAAATTCCTATTGTGGAAGTGTTACGAATTGGTATGGCGACAGAGGAAATTGAAATTGCCTACAATAGAGCCAACCAAAAATCAATTTTTACTGGGTTCTTTGGAGGATCATCTTCCGAAGAAAATAACATCGATTTCTTCAACAATCATAGTCAACATTTTCCAACATGCCTCTATGGAATTGAACATGACGCAGCTATCATTGGATTTGCAAATGGTGACTTGTTGAGAGTTGTCAAAAATGTCGATAATTCCACGCAAATGAATAGATTCATTTTTGAAAATAGTACAACAAGTAGCTGGCCATGGTTTTCGAGTAGGAATAAGGATGTTACATTAATGGAAGTTTTCAAGAATGCCGTCGTTTCTGTTAAGAACATTTCGATGTTCAACAATCAACTAGATCTTATAATTTCTCTTCACAGAAATGGATATTTAATGGTTTGGAGAGAAGATATTGATACAAATGTTATGTCATCAGAGGATAAAGAGACCACACAAAACCAAACAACTAGTAATAATTTGCAACTTTTAACGTTAAACATTCCTAGAGAACAATTCAATGAAGATGTCATCTCTGAAAAAGACCTTATTGACAGCCTACGATTTTGCTCGGATCCTTTGAAAGTTATCGCATCATCATCTACTTTATCGCAAAATACTACTCATAATTTTAATGTTGTGCTGACATATGCAAGACTCCTCGGAAAAACCTCCTCAGCCACTTCCATTACTGCTCCAGTGACGGATGAGACTTTATTTACGGCGCTTAACTTTGAAACAACATTTGACGAAGAGCAAAATCAATTCTATCTTGAATACCACGGCATTGAAAACGTAAAATACTTTTCATCAGAACTTTTACAAAAAGATTTATTCCAATTTTATGGGAATAGCTCAATAGCGTCAAGATTGATCGCTTTTGACATTGTTGCTGGAAATGTGTGGGCGATTTGGTCAGTGAGAGATTTCAGTTTTAGAAATATTATAGAAGGGGGCTATTCTTCATTTCTTTCATATGCTGCTTCCTATGGATCAATTTTATCATCGGCAGATCAAACTCAATCTGCTTGGTCCTTTGTTCGTACTCTTCACTCACAGTACGCAAGTGGACTTTTGAAAGTTAGCAAAGTTAATAACCAAGTGGAGAATATTAGAGGTTTCGTTATGCAATTCCTTTTTGAAAGCTCGATACGAAATATGCTTAATTCCAACGTATTACTGAGAGCAATTGTTTCATTCTATCCAAAAGATGAGTTACCTACTTTGGCTCAATCTCTAGGACTCTCTGAAGATTATAATAATGAAGTTTTTTCTCCTCAATTAGATCATGTTTTCTGGATGGAACGTATCACATATGCCATTGAGTATACTCTTTCTCAAAAGAGAGCCATGATCGACGATGAAAATTCTCTACAACGAGGTCAAATGGAAGCCAAGATGGAAATACAGACATGGAAAGAATTTTTGCACACACTGATACAGGTGTGGATAACATTTAACTCTCCACTTGCGTTCGTGTGGTTTGACTCAAATTCGCAGCAAACACCAGGAATTATTTATACCGGTAATTTCAAATCAGCACCTTCTGTATCCATGCTTCGCTCCATGGATACCCTTGAAAATATTTTCCACAACGTGAACCAGCAAAATTGCAATAGAAACTATGTGCTTGTGGCTGATCAGATTCATCTTACCAAAGAAATTACCTCCAAGTTATCCTTTTCCAAAGATTTAATACGTTTGTTTGAATTGTTGAATTTTATTGAGACTTCTGTTGCTGAGCTTTCCAAATCGTTCAATATTTTACCGTACCATTTCTCGAAAAAGCTAGGTTTAGAATGTGAAGATCCTTCGGTCACTGCGAGAGTGATTGCACTTGAATTGGTTTCTGGCTTAACATTCCCAGGAGCTAATGAGCTTCCTGATACCCTCATTCTAGACTCAAAAATTAATTCTAAAAGAAAGCTTTTTGTACATGAGTTTTTGAAGAGACTGAACAAGATTACAAGTACTCCAATCTATGTCATTTTGAATTACATTTCGAGAAAATTGATTGGTTTGGAGAGTACGATAGTCGACAGCACAAGTGCTTCATCCTCAGAACGAAGAGCGTCTCTACGGAGCTCTAATTTCGTTTCTCTTATTAATGGCGCTTCCATGCAACTGTTAGAGTCTCGATTCTATTTATGTTGCCAATTGTGCGTATTTGTTGAAGTGATGAAGTTATTGACGCCCAATGATTATTCCATGATGCACAGTATTGCGTTGTCGGACTCTCTTGAAAGCAAGAATTATTACACAGCTCTTAGGGGCTATCACATTGCTTGGTGGCTCTCTACCAGAAGTATTGAGGCCAATTTTGGAACTTTGAATTTGGCAAAATTCTTGTCTGAATCGAAACTGAACTTGACCGATTACATGCTCAGTTATCCTACTTTACACAATTCAAAGAATCATACCTTCCTTTTTGAGATGTTGCTCAGAGAGTCTCGAGTCTCGAGTGACATTTCATTGCTCTTGGATCAACTGTCTTCACACAATTTAACATTGAGTAGACTCGTCACCAATATTGCCTCAAACTTTGTGCATCACAATATTCTTGTTGAATATGAAGGTATTAATCAACATTCGAACGACTTGGAAATTTGTCAATATCTTATTAATTGGCAAGCATTTGAAACCTTAAAAGAGTATACGAGTATACTGCAGAGTTATGATGCTTCTTTCCCTCACTCGTTCCATTTCTTGGGTATTGCCAACCTTCAACAAGGAGAACCTTTGCAGGCCAAAGAAAATTTTGTGAAGTGTGCCATCATTGCTATTAATAATAGATCCAAGCAAGAAGAAACGAAACGATTGTTCGAACTCATGAATGTTTATTGGAAGGTTGAGCCATCGATCGTGAACTCAAAGACTAGCCAAGAGCTCGTTAAGAAGTCCGTTGCATTCTACTATTACAACTATGTCAGACAATTGTGCGGAAAGCATCCAGAATTGGGATTAGAATTTACAAACCTTGCTCTTATGGAGGCAGACAGTGAAGTAGTACCTCAAGAAGAGATTAATATTTTGTATAGCGTCTTATTTACATTAAGTTTACATTTTGATCGTTATGATGATGCATATGTAGCCATTAATTGTCAAACTGATGTTCAAAGAAAGAAGGCAGACCTCAGAAAGTTTGTTGGAACCATTTGTGAATTGGCAGCTGTTAATGCAGCACAATGTGCCTACTATGGAAACATGTTGTGTGAATTGCCTTTCACTGGCATGCGAAATGAAGTCAATGAATTACTCCATGAAAGAGCCATGCATGCCGATCTCACAATTAGAATGTCAGAAACAGCACCCTATTATTACGGCTCACTCTCATCTGTTAAGGTTCTCCATCCAAATAACTCTTCCATCGCATTGTCTCGATCCAAGTTGACGCTTCTCGAAGAACATCAAGAACGTATCAATTCAACATATGCCTACTATCATCTGTTGTACTCCTTCAATGTTCATAGAGGCGACTACAACAAGGCAGCGCTGTACATGTATGAATTAGGTCGCAGAATCGACAGCCAAGTGAGACTTATTCCCATGTCTGTCTCTTCAGATTCTGCCTATGAGGAAATTATTGAAGCCTACCTGAAGAAGCAAGCAGAATGTTTCTTAATTTCTCTCAATGTCCTCAAGCTCGTCTCTGAAAAGAATCAATGGTTCCTGTATCCGTTCCCTGATGATAGTGTTGAATCGATCGATCGCTCCGTCAGTCCTCTCAAGAGAAATCGTGATAGTCAATCCATGGCCATTGAGAATGAAGATCTGGAAAAGAGAATTCATCCAGGTATTATTACAATTTCTCAACTCGAGACTCGATATCACATGGCGTCTTCAAAGGTGACCATTCTCCAGTGCCAGAGAAAGAATCCAACCAATACGTTCAATGTGCTTTCATTGCTCTTGTTGAACAAGCCACTCGATGTGATTGTCTTGCTTGCCTCTGAGAATTGTGAGGAATATGAAAAGGCGTTCTATGTGGCTACTTGTTGCAAACTGCCTCCAAGTGATTTGGCAGAAATTTTCACACGACTTGCCCGTAAATGTTACAACAATGAGCAACAGCCACTTGTTTCAAAGAGTAGTACAGAAAAATTATGGCAATTATTGAGAACAAAGTTGAGAAAACACGACAGTGCTGCCACGAATTATCAATTAAGTGCAGCTTGTGTCAGAACCATCTATAAGGAAATTCAATTGTTTGAACACAACAATATGCAACGCTCCCAGAAGCAATCACCTCAACAAGAACCATCCAATATTGATGGAAAACTTAACAACGATGGAATTCCATTGTGGTTGCTCGACATGTGTGAACCCAACACCTTATTACGAATTTATCTCGAATTTGGTAAGAGAAAAGATGCACATGAATTACTGAAACTCAATAATGCCTTCCCTCCAAGTACAGACACTCCCAATCGCCTCAAAATTCCAATTACCTATTCCATGAGAGAATATGCCTCCAATTTTTAATTAAAGACAGTATTAGTTATTTGAACGCGTTTGAATGGTAAATCTCACCGACTGATTTGGTAAACACTGCTACCAGAGAGGATTTTACGAAGAGTTGTTACGTAAAGTTGCGCCAAAAAAATTCACACACAAAACCGTTGCGATTGGAATACTATTCCTCAACAAAAAAACATTAGCACGTGAATCTTCTCTCTCTGGAAGAGTTCTATCCAAAATACATCCTGTGTACTCCAAGAATATATTCAGCTTAATAGTAATAATATACATCAGACTCCTTAATCACCAAAAGCAGAGCAGCAGCATATCATCATGGCCATTGCGTCATCATCGGCTGTTTTAAATTTAAATAAGGAGATGCAGAATGATGGGACCGCTGTCCTTACAGCTTCATCTTCTTCCGACCCTTTCTTTCTCACATCTAACCATTCATTAAATTCAATACCCAATTCTGCTACTCCCACAAACCCAACACCATCCAATCATCATCGTGATGAGAATATACTAGACTTTACCTTTGAGGACAATTCCATTCAAAACTTTCATGATCAACATTTACATAACGACACTCAACATCAGCAAGATCCTCCCCTTAGAACCTCACCTCCATGGATGGATGAAACAGAAAACCCCACGGAAGGAGATCAATCCTCTCCATCCTTATCTTCTCTCTGGCTAACGAGCAATGTGGCCAAAACGAGGGCAATCTTTGAAAAAGCGTTTGAAAAGAGCGACCCTTCTCCATCATCCAGTAACCTCTCGACTCAAAGAAACCCTCATCTATCTCACTTGTTTTCTAATCATCGTGAAGAGGATGATACAGATTCACTCGAGGAGCGAGTTCTTGCTTCCTTATCGGGGGATTTTGCTTCCTATGAAGAGTCTATTCGAGAGGAGTTAAGGCAGATTTCTGAATTTATTGCTATATCGAGTAAAAAGTTAGAAGACGATGAAGGCAATGCTTCACAAGGAAAGATTGGGCAGGCTTCCTCCTCTGCACCGTGTGATGGGCAAGCAAATCAACGAGTGAAAATAGATCTTGTACGAAGGTACAACCCGATGGATATTTGTAGAAAAATTCATGAATATGAAACACAGAAAGATCTCTTGGAAAGTGAAAGAGATTTTCATGAATTGAACCGTTTAGAAGTTGCATTAAGAAAAGAGATACAGAAAGAGATGGATGATATTGAAGACAAGTTCAATTATGACTATTCATTGAGAAGAAGAGAAATTAAAGCCCTAATTCAAGATCAACAAAATGAAATTAATCAATTATGGACAAGGAAAATTCTCAAGTATGATTCAGTGGCTGTGGCATTGATAAACGATATTACAGAGAGGCATCAGTCCGAGTTTGCTTCAAGTCAAGAAAAATATCGAAAGGCCTTTCTAAAGAAGAAACCAACTTTATCCAAATCTACACTTGAAGAGAAAAATTTATTGAATCTACTGTCCATATCAAAAATGTATGAATTGGGGAATGGTCTCGAAGCGAAAATTTATGATCTGGAAAAGAGAGATCTTGTGAACTTTTTTAATCAACAAGAGTATCATGTCTCGAAAAAGCTTGAACACTTGTCACAGAAACAACATCAAGAATTGTGTGCTGCTCAACAAAAAATTGATAAGGGGAAAAATGCAATGGAAAAGGATCGAGAAGAAGATATCAAGAAGCTTAACTCACGAACCACTATTCTCTTTCGAGATTTGGAAAAGAAAAAGAATTTGGTTTTGACGCAAATTCAACATTTCCGAGACAAGTTCAATGGTGTAGGTGCAAGCGGCACATCCAGAAGAAAAAGTTCGGATTACTTCTCTACTTGGGAGAATTTAAATGCGCAAGAACCAGTCATCCACGTTTCGGCATGTTTAGAATTTTTCAATTCCATCTCAGACAAAATCATTCAATTTTTCAACACTCTTGATAAATCTGAGACTGAGATAGAGAAAGAGACTTGTAAAATGGTCAAACGGTTAGTTGATTCGATGGATCAAGTCATTTCAGACTCTCCAAAAACAACACCAGAAAAGAAGAAAGCACCAACACAGCAAATCTTGAATCAAGAAAAGAATGACGCGAACTCTTACACGTTCCAACATAACCAATACTCCAGGCTACAATCACCACCTTCGGGTCCTTTGACAATCAAAGACAAGAAAAAAAATGATTCAAGAACTTCAATCGCTCGTACCACTTCGATGTTCATTGAGGAAGCAAAAGCAATACTCAATACCACGCCCGAGAAGCAAAAAATTTCGAATCAGTCTGTATTGAATCGTTCGTCTTCGTCCTCTAAAGGTGTGACTGTCTCTAGCGTGGCAAGCACAACACCACCTAATGTGACACTCGAAGATTGTTTGAAAAAGAAGAAAAAGCCGTCTGCCAAGCATACATTTTCAGAGCTCATACGGACATCATTCAAGTGGAAGTAATGGAAGTTGTGCTCTTGTCGTTCCCACAAATATATGACGAAAAAACATAAGCTCATTCTCTTGAAAATTGTCAAATAAATAACAAAAATAATATTTTACAACTAATTAATTCCACCGCCCAAATATTGTGCTTTGAATCTTCCTGCAAGAACAACACCAACAAGGAGAGCTACAAATAAAAAGAGTACAATCAACAAGTGAACAGAAACTGTTCCAAATGTTGAAATAGCCATAACACCGCACACATCGTTTGTCACTTGAGTAGAAGCGTCTACCATGAAGCTGCATTTGGTGTTTTCTTTCAACTCGTTTAGCATGTCTCCAACAATTTGAGCAGCAACAACTAATGCAGATGCAGCTGGTTCCAAGTTATTCTCCAAATTCAACATGAAGGTAGTTCCAAGTTGGTATCCTTGCACAAATTCAGGATATGATTTGGTGTTAAACCAATTGTCTGCATTGGCATATTCAACGAATATGGTCTGATTTGCAGCATCATACAATGAATTCAAAAGAGTGGTCATTTCATTTTGGAATTTGGTAATTTCCTCCTTGTTAGCTTCATAATTTTGATAGTTTGAATTGTTGTTCACCCGACTCTTGAATTGATCTAAAGCATCCATATAAGCAGAAAGACCTGCTTTGACGTTTGGCAATCCTTGATTCAAAATTGTGTTCATTTCAATAAATAGTAATTGACCGCTTGTAGCAATTTGATTTCCTTGATAGGTCACATTCAAACTCTCCATTCCCATGATAAAATTGTCAAAGAATGTTTGATAGTCTTCTGAGGTGGCATAATGTCCTTGTTGAGCCAATTCAATCACATTGAGAATATTTTGATACTCATCAGGTTTTTGGTCAAAATTTTGTCCGCCACAGTTCAAGAAAAATCTCGTCACATTCACTACGAATGAATAATTATGGACAAACAAGTCAGAATCTCCAAAGGTTGTGGTTGGGAGTAATCGATCTTGTTGACCTGTTATGAGCCCCAATGGATAATTGGTGAACGAAGATACTGCATGTACTCGATCCATATTGTCAGGATTAAACAAGTTGTTACCATTGATGCAATATGGTCCAACAGCCATTAACAAGGCAATACCAACAGCTGCGAGAATCATTAGCCAAACAAAGATGGAACAACTGCAGCAGCAAGTAAGAGTGAGTATGGCAGAGGATTTCTTAGTGACACCAACCCCACCAGTCATTGCAACAATTGTTGCAATGATAAAAAATCCAATAAAGGATGACATGTAGGCAATTTCAAATTTGGTAATCACATCTTGTGCATAGAGTTCGGCTCCTGGAGTCGTAACATTGGAAATCACGCTTTCGAATTGACCAACTTGTGAAGGGATTGTGGAAGCTTGAAGAGCGAGTGGTTCAAAAACTTCTTTCCACATACTGTTCCATTTGGAATAGGTGTTACCTTGGAAAATGTTGTTTGTGTAGTTGAGACGATCAACAATGAATTGAGTGAGGGTGAGAGCTTCCATTAAATAGCTGTGACTTGTCAACATCTGATTCACAAGACCTTCAGGCATTAAATTGGTGTAATTGTAAACATCATCCAATTGGAAAACATTAATTGTACTTGTCTTGACAATGTTGTCATATTTTTGGGTAATGTCATAAATTTGGCCAGATTTTTCATACAGAGCTTTCATAGAATCATTCAATTTGTTATAGATCAAATCTTCCAAATGTAGTCTGTCATCATTATCGACAACGGCATTTGTCAAGTATGCCTGACCTTGAGGAATTGCATCGGAGACAACACTACTGGTAGCAGCAAACTGTTGCACAAAATTTGTCAAACCTTGAGTGTAGGTAGCGTTTGACATGATAAATACGGTTTGATTGAGAGCGCTCTTTGCATTGTCTAGGGCAGTGTACACAGGCTTTGAAGTACTGTCCAATCCCACAAAGAATACAATCGAAAAACCAATACCAAAAAGTGCCAACAAAATCACACTCATCATCAAGCAACAATAGGAAAAACCACACATCTTATTAAACACAGAATCGGATCCTCCTGATGAATATGAAAAATCTCCTGACCCATACTCGCTATGTAATACTCTGGAAATGGGTTCCTCTCCAATTTGTTGATATCCTTTTCGTCTACGTGAGCCACTTCCAAAAAGACATTTACAAAGATTGAGAACGCCAAAAAGAATCCAAGAAGCAATTGTCAAAATAATACCGCTCGCAATGACAATTCCAAAAATTAGAGCAATGAACTGTTTTTCATGACATGGAGTTGATATAGTCATTTGAAAACCCAATGTTCAGTGTCATCCATCAATGAGATGACCAGGTGATGTGTAAATGACACATCATCATTATATTCACAAATTTCCGATTGGTTCATTTCAATTCCAAAACAACAATCATTGACCATGGTGAGATGCTCCATCCAACACAACAATTACTACCACCACCACCACTACTACTTACATAAAACCATCCTCGCCACACGCACAAATCCATACTATCTGGCATTTGTGCACTCAATGTCGGATAACTCTCACACGACGATACATTAAAAAACCAAGACAATTCCGATAATGGCGATACCGATGAATAAATAGAGCTCATCATTGGAAATTTTTCAATATGTAATGAAGATGATGAGGCTAATGATGAAAAGCCAGAAAAAAAACTCTCCGAGGTTTGAAGTAATGGCATTTTTTTCTTAGACGTTCAAAAAATCTTTCCTCAATTTGACGAGAAATCGAAAGCAATCAGTGCACTAGTACAAAGGAGATCAAGCAAACATGATTCAAGTGGATTTTTCAAATATTTGATGTTTGAGAGATTGAAAGAGTGCCAAGTGACGAAAATTGAACACAAGGCAAATTGGTTTATTATTATTGTGATTATTATTATTATGTGATATAATATTGGACATGCTGTTGAAAGGAGGTGAAATGATATTCTGGATTAGTGTATGTGATGTAAGGAAGGTAATATGCATGATGATGATTGGAATTGGGGTGAATTATTTTCAATTTTGTTGTTGTTGTTGTGGAAAATGGAGTGAGAGAAAAGAGAGAAAAAGGAGATGATGCAGGAGATGATGTTGTGGTGATGTTGTTCACGTGGAATCTACATGTAAACCTTCTGCATCATTGGATCTCAAAGAGGACTTGTGTGATCTTAATGTGAAAGGTTGCAAATGTGTGATTGAACACGTTTGCGTAAGGAGTGTTCAAATCTCGAGATGATTAGGTGTTCATTCCTCTCTGGAATGTATCTATGCATTTGGTTTTTGAGCCATCTTCAACTCTATCACCTTATCTTTCACAGAGTTAAATACTTGTTTTATGGATTCTGTTTCTGTGGCACAACTCCAAAATGTGAAAATTCTATTAGGATCATACTTATTGGCATCAAGATATTTCTTTTCGATAAATTTCACAGACTCTTCAAAAGTATCAGCACCCTGATAATCTGGGAAAAGAGTCCTTATTGACTTTTCTTTGATTTTTCGTGAAAAAACATCAGTCTTGTTGAGTAAGAGAATGATCATGGTATTTTGGAAGTGACGACTATTAATGGTCTCTTCGAAAAGGTCAATGGACTCTGACATTCGATTGGTCTATGGTATCGTGATTGGTGTATTGTTGAGGATGAATCAAGAATGAATGGACCACAAAAATATTGTAGAAAGAGTAATAAAACCAACACCACACAACAACAAATCATGTGAGAGTTAAAAGTATTAAATCATGAAAAAAGAAACCGAGAAGTTGAAACCTACATGATCATCTTCGTAACACACTTGGTCATAGTCACCAAGACTTGCCACAAATATCACTGCATGAACCCCAGCATATGAATTAATCCACTACAAGCATAAATTTCACATTGAATGTGACGTCAAAATTCCAAATTTGTTGATTTCATAGTAAGTGGTCAATTTCCACATGTTAGAACATTTTTCTCAAAATTTCATTCACCACACACAAATCTTACCTTCTTTCTTTCAGGTCTTTGGCCACCAACATCCACTACTTTCAGTCTATACCCTTTATATTCAAATGTTGTATCATTGATACCTGTCGTCTTTTGTCTGCAATATAATATATCGGTTTGACTAGGGACATAATTTGGCGGTCTTAATCGAGATAAATCTTTGAAGAAGTATGTGGCACCCTCAAATACGTGAACTTCGTATCGATACTTGTCGAAAGCTTCAGTGATAGCAGGATCTTTGTACAACTCTTCAATATCTAGGGAGAGATCCTCGTTGTATTGTTGAACTCCACACCACAAGAATGAATCGTCACTTGTCACTTGTCGTACTCGAGCCACTCGATTCGAATTTGTTGAAAGCAACTTTGTTTGGCCCTTTTCATTGACGACAGTAATTAATGAATCAATTGTTTGTATAATGTTTCCATAGATGGAGTTCAAATAGCGACTCACTTCTTCCTTTGTGAAACCTCCCTTCTCAGTAATTTTAATTTGTTTGAATAGAGTGCCTTTCGTAGGATTGTTTGAATGAGTTTCAGAAAATGTTTGTTCACACATTATCGTCGTCATTACAAGAAGATAAGGTAATGTTGACACGTTCATGATGACGACAGTTGTTCGTGTGAAGAAGAAGAATGAATTGTTGTTGTTGTTGATTGAAAGGAATGTGAAGAGATGTGCCAATCATATAGAGTTCATGAACGATCAGATGGTTGCAAATTGGTGGAGTTTCGATTGGTTGTATCACCATTGTTGTTGTGGTGACGTCACGAAAGAAATAATAAGTTCATTGTGCCGAGTCGATGTCAGGATCATCACAAATCGAATACAAGAATATACAAATCGTCATCACGAGAGGAAAAGTTGTGGTTGATCACCAGATTGTCATCAACATGATTTCAATAAAACAACAATCAGTTTGACACTTGGCACTTCACATTACTTACTCTTTCCTGATTCTCCACTTCCCAACAACAAAATCTTGATATCTTCTGTCTGTCCATTCTCCGAACCGCCATGATGATTCGATCGATGAGACATTGATCCATTATTACCATTAATGACATTGTTTGAAGAGCTTTGACCATATTGTTGTTGTGAATTCAAAGTTGTTGTATTGTTGTTGTTGTTGTTGAAAGAGGAGGATTGTCCTTGATTGTTGTCCTTTGTATTGTTATTGCTATTGTTAATGTTATTATTATTGTTATTGTTATTATTTGGTTTGGAACCTCCACCACCCGAAAGACAAGAACCCATTTTGATGATAATGTTGTTGAAGAAGAAGCGGTGAGGATGTTATTGTGTGTCGAAATAACGAATCAGAGAGAAAATGTGTGTGCGATTGACAGAATTGTTGAAATTTAATTTTGAAGGGAGAATAAAATCAAAGAATATTATTCATCAGAGGATGATGATGAGGATGATGAGGATGATGAGGGTTCTGTTGTTTGATGAAATTGCTAATCGATTGATTGCTCTAGGGATAGTCTTGTTGTTTTGATGGTTTTAAAATTTGAAATGTCAAGAACAATGTAAACCGAAAAATCTTGACCGATCTCACCACAAGAAATTGTTTTCAAAAAGATGAGGACGGCGTGTCTTTTCGGTTAAAGCTGTTGTGGAGAAAAAAGTCTCAAGAGGCACACGAGATGAAATATTTTTTGAAAAACTCGGTGATGACATTTGAAGGGTGGAGCCAAACATTCTCGACGATCCTTATTCCTGATGTCTTGTCTCATGATTATGATCAATTTACTTGAAATAATTGTCAATAGTAACCCTCCGATTATTTGATGTAGTTGATGAAAAGCCCATCAAGCAGCTGTCAACTCGAAACCAGACCCGTGCAAGCGGCAATATCTTGGCGTCAAGTGTCATCCAATCAAAACAGTTTCGACTCACTCTCACATTCAAAAAAATGACTTCGCTCAACAAGAGGGCCGTTCTTCACAACTCTTCCCCTCTCGTTGCCAACTCGGCAGCGTTTTCATCCTCTTCTCCAGCTCTACTGAGCTCCTCTTCATCGTTCAACAACAACAACACTTGTTTTCAATCACTTCCTAATAACAACCCTAACAACAACAACAACAACAACACGATGGATCTTCTCGAACAACAACTCTCCATCGAAGCCGAAGAATTCGAACGAAAACTCCAACTCGAAACTCAAGATCCACTCAAGAGAGCCCTCTCACGTCGTGAATTCTATGCCACTCAAGAAGAACGACGAGCCGAACGAAAGCGAGAACTCGGAACTATGGCCAAACGTAAAGAGAGAGCCGCGGTGGGCCAGACCGCTCTGGAACGACTCCAAAAAAAATGTTCTCCTGCTTTTCTTCACTCTCGGGATTTTGAGGCGAATATGTGTGTGGGGGGAACGGCGGGACAGCTCACGGAAAAGGCTTACTTGGGTCCGTTGTTGGTCTATAGTGGAGATGTGGAGCAGAAGGCGGCAGTGGTTGTGAGTAGTAGTAGTAGTAGTAGTAGTGGTACTAGTGGTGGAGGTAGTGGTGGTGTTGGTGGTGAGAATGGTACTGATGGAGGAGATCATGCCGATTCCAGTCATCATCATGATCATCATGATAAGAAGGTCGATGTTCATGAGGAAGAAGAGGCTGATTCCCTTCATGTGGATGTGATTCATGAGGCTATTTTTGAGGAACAGAAACGTTTGGTGGAGATTTTACAAATGATGCAAAATGGTGAAAAGCCTTTACCTTCAGGAATGTCGTCAAAACCTGTTTTTCTTGGCGAGGATGGAACCTTGTACAACTTGTATTATGAACCTCTCCCAAATCAAGATGCAACACAATTGAGAGGAAGAGGAAAATTTTCAAAAGTTGCCTATGGATCGGTTGCCAAAGGTGCCGAACAAGAATTTGTGGAGGGTTATACCAAAGCCAAAGAGTTGAAAAGTAAGAAAATTGTGTACAATAGCGAACAGGAACAATACTTGAAAAAGTATGGACCCGTTGTTGACAAGGAAGAGCTAGGTGTGAAATGTTTGAAACGTGCTCGTATGTTGGATCGTTATGAATACGAGTATGATCCAGAATTGTACCAATCAGCTCCTGACCCAGACAGTTTTACTACCTTTGAGGAGTACGAAGAGGCTTTATTGAATTGGAGCAAACAAGTCGAAGGAAAATTAGGTTATTTGCAGTTGCCACGTGTGATGGGTAGACATTATTTCCGTCCATGTCAAAGACCTGTCATTTCTGAGAATGATGGCGACAATACCAGATCCGATTCTAACAAACTCAATTCGAGACGTATTGCTGAAAATATATCTTCAATTTCTATGAAATCGTCAATTATGGATGATGACATGAACGAAATTCATGAAACTTGGGAATCACACTTGGTCCCTCTCGAACCAAAGCCAGAATTCTATGAAACTTTCAAAGAATATGAAACTGCAATGATTCGTTGGGCCATTACTTGTCTCGGTTTGCCATTCCTTCCACCCCATGTTGCACAATATCAAAACCTGTTGGGTCTCAAGTTAATGAACGAACCAAAATTCCAAGTTGCTGGTGTTCAGACTTCAAGTAATGACAGCGGCGAGGAAGAAAAGGAAGATCGTGAAGATGGTGATCACAACGATGACGAAGATAGAAAGGACGACGATCATGATTCTGTGCGTTACGAAGTTTTGAATGGATGGGACAAGCTCAAGCCTAATGTTAAACAAGAGATTGAGAATAGTATCCACAAGGTTTTGGATACCAAGCTGAAGAACAAGGACAAGTATGGGTCCTTCCATCAGCCTGCGGTGGCTCTTCGTCACGGCACGTTCACGTCCGAGTCCAAGGTGGTTCCTCTCAAACTCACACAGGGCGAAAGAATTAAGCCTGACAATGTCAGAAGTTGGATTGTTTATCAGAGACAAGAAAAATCACTCAGCTGTGTACCAGCTCAAGGTACTATGGCATACGAACAAGCTAATGCAGCTCGTGAGTATCCCCATCAAATACCTCTCGTAAGAAGAGATCTCACTGATGAAGAAGTGAGAGCTTCCAAAGATTGCGATACCTATGAGCAAGGAAAAGAGGTGTTATTTGAAACTCCCGAATTTGATCTCGGTGTGATTACTTTCGCTAACCTCAAGTCTCAAAACTATGTCAAATTCTTGCAAATTGTGCTCGCAAGAAAGGACAATGAAAAGAGATTTAATCAACTCAACAGTTGGTATTTCCCAAAGGAAGACCAATTTGCATTGGTACAACAATTTGACTCACTCTGTGGTATTTTAGATGTTGTTGAACATCCTTCACAAATGACCATTCAACACTTTGAGAACATCTTCTCCAGCTCAACCTATTTGGATTTCTTCCAAAAATTCCTTCAGACGGAACTCAAGCTCAGAATGAGCATGATGAAGAATGGAGTGGAAATTTCACTTCGAACTTATGGCGACTTGATGTATTATTCCATTTCTAAACAAACCTTTATCCGTATTTTGCATAATTTCCACAATTGCAACTCACAACTCACTCACGCTAAAGTTGCACATTTTGTTAAAGAATTCTTAAAGACCGAAATGGCAAGAGATATTATTTCTGAAATACTTCAAGAGGACGATTATCCAACAATGTATTTTATTGCCCGTGCCGTAACACTCTTTGATGAAGTACCTAGCCCACTCTTTGAATATACCGAATCCACTCGAAATGCTGTGATCAACATTGTGCTCGTTTCAGAAACTAAAAAGAAGGATGAGGCTCTCACAAGAATGGTTGACAAATTCCTTGTCAATCTACTCTTGTTGTATTATACTAACTGTATTACAGTTTCGTTGGTCGAGGAAGATAGAGGTTATCCATATGTTTATCAATTCCTTGTCCAAAAACTTGAAAAGTACATTGAGGAAGTGAACAAGTATTTGAAGTGTAGCAAGTCATTCTTGAAGACTTACATTTGGAAGATTCTTGGATCGAAATCTAAAGCCGTCACTGCTCTGGGTAAATTTGTCATGTCTTTCCTCTTCTTCTTGTCATGGAAAGAGGATATCAAGAATGCCCTGAAGTCAGACGAAACAGATTTGTTGGCAAATATTAGAACTCTGGCATGTAGCAAATTCAGTCATGTGCAAAATGCCACAGCAAGATTGTTCCCACTCTTGAAAGAATGGGAAGAATTGTTGACAAAAGATTACAAGAATGGTCAAAACGTCCTTAGAGACTTGGTCAAGTCGGCTGAGAGAGCTGTGCTTGATTCTCAACCTCCCCTCATCTCATCTATGGTTCTTGAATTCTTGAGTGAGTCTCTCACCATTAAAAAGAATGAATTTGGTGAGAAGGATGGTTCCTTCCACATGATCGTGGGACTTATTGAGACCCGAGTTTTCCACATTGTACTTGAAGAAGTCATTTCAACAGTGACACAAAAGAGAATGCATCAAGGAACTATTATGGGCTCACTTTTTATTGCTAAATTTGCTAAATTCTTGGTCTGCAACCAACTGGTCCAAGCTCCATCTGAAAAAGCCTCCGATACCTCAAGCAAAAACAAATTGTTCAGTTTCTTGAGAAAGAAGGAAACAGTGGAGGTCAAACAGGCTCTCTATTCTGGTTCCAAGGTTGAGGTTACTCAATCTAATCTTCAAAACATGTGGGACTTTATTGGAAAGCAGGACAAGCTGAGAAGAACCTACCGACCACGTTCTGCCATGTTAGTTGCTTTCCGTCACTTGATCAAAGTGCCAGAAGTTTTTGCATTATTCAACAGAGACGCTACCTTTTATACCAAGCTTCTCGAGTTGTGTAAAGATGATGTTGACATGGAATTTAATCGTAATGCATGGAGACTATTCTACCAATTGATCAAATTCCACGGAGAGGAAGTCATGACCGAAATTACTAATCACAACATGTCTGGCTTTTTATCTACCATTAGTTTGCAGCAAAAGTCAATCATTGCTACCAATGCGCTTCACTACTTTAACAAGATCTTCAATCTTCCAATTGATCGCAACATTTGGCAAAAAGTTGAAAATGACGACAAGAGACCAGAGCTAGTTTGTGAGAAGGGAAACAACATTCCTGCAAAAACTCACGACAAGTACCACAAGGCGGTCCAAATCCTGATTGACTTTATTTTGAAACAAAAACTTGTGGATGCTGTCTTTGTTGCTGCTTACAATATTTGGTCAAAGGATTATAAGGGATGGCCTTTCCAAACCTTGGCTGCTCTTTTCTTTACTATTAACACACATTCATCATGTCAAAAATTACAACAAGCATTCGCCAAAAGTTCCTCCACATTGTCCATTATTGAAAACATGGTCAAAGCACCTCCTGGCTCTAAAAAGTCCAAATACAGTAAGGATGTCATGGATTGGAATATGAAACACAAACATTATTCTTACATTGCTCCACCAAAATGGGACGAGAGAAAGTAATGACAACATGATAAGTCGAAGGTGAATTAGGTGGAAAATAAATTAATGCACTGGCGGTTTGTTTTTATTAGAGCACTTTTTGAAAATCACAATACAATGTTTAGATTAAGACTCATCACAGTTCGTTTATTCTTATTCTGATAATTTTTTCGATTTCAAGTGATGTAAAGTTAACTCGATTTGGTTGTGATTGTTGATCTTCAGAAAGCATCTTCAAAAACTGGACACTTTTCTACAATCTTGAAAATTTGACAGAAGACACCACTACAATCACTTTAAAAATTAGGCGTTTCCAATCCCCAAATCAATGGAACAAAAGTACTAATACACACAAAATATAAAAAGGTCAAAGGCAATCCTGATTTCACATAGTCCATAAACGAATATCCACCTGTACCATAAACCATCATGTTACATTGATATCCAATCGGAGTGGCAAACACAGAACTCGCAGCAATACAAACACACATGGCAAAACATCGAGGATTAAGACCATTACGAATAGCAACTGCCATGGCCAATGGAAACGTAATAGCAACTGCTGCATTATTTGTAATCACAGCAGTGACGATAAGAGTAATGAATACCACCACAGCAGGTAACAAAATATTTGGAATATTCATCAATCGAACCACTTCTGCAAATGCTTCTCCCATACCACTCTGTGTGATGGCAGTTCCAATTCCAAATGAAGAACCAATCAAGGCAATGAGTGGCCATTCCACACTCTCCAATGCTTTGATGGGTTGTATCAGTCCTAAAATAATGACCACACATAAAGTGACCATGGCACATTGCAACATGGAATATCCAGCAATGGCACATGCAATCATGGCAATAAATATTGGGAAAATTAAATGTTCCCACCACCATAAATTATATTCCTTATTGGTGAATGGAATTTTGACAATAAATTTGTTGGTCTTGCTTTCTTTTGGATTTACATTACATCTGGAAATGACATAAAAATCTTTCGATTCATGCCATTTCGAGTAAAATTCACCTCGTCCAATGACCAACAAGGTGTCACCAGTACTCACGTTTGATGTTTTAAAATCCGTGACATCTGTTTTTGTTTCTAAACCCACATAACGCACTGCAAGTACGACCACTCCATAACGTTTTTCAAATTCTGCATAACTGAATCCAATACATGGATTACTCACACTAATGATCAATTCGAAAAATTCTGGTTCCTTTTCAACAGAAGTATCTTGTTCTACTGGTGGTTTTTTTCTTCTCTTCAACCAGGCAAATGAAAAAGGTTGTTTTTTAGAGGATTTTTCTTGACTCGAAGATTGATCAGTACTTGTCATGTGTGTCTTTTTTGGAGGAGTATCTGTGGAAGTTCCATGGTTGCTGTTGTTCACAATGTGAGAGACAGCAGTACCATGTTCCACGACATCTTTGGATGATGAAGGTGGCTCCAGTTGTTGCTGCTGTTGATCCTCATGCATCATTCCAACATCCAAATGATGGACTGCATGTGTCTCAGAAGATGACGATGCATTTGCTACTTGAGAATATGGTTCTTCATGAATGGTTTTTCTGAGAGCGGCTTCATAAAGTCCTTGATTTTCACTTAGAAGAGATTTCAGTGTGGCCTTTGGAATGGGAGGAGCTACTTCGAGATGTGGCGACATTACGTTGTGTGTCTGAATGAAATCATTGGATGAATTAATTTCACTGCTGTCACTAATTTCAACGACGAGATTTCCATCGCTACTGTTCTCAGCATTAGGCAATGCACTCGGTGTCGACACGGGAAGATTTTCAATTTGAACATGACTTGCTTGTTGTGACGAAGAAATGTTGACAGTAACTTGTTTCTCCATGTGCATATCAGCAGTTCCCAACATGGTGTGAATAATACCGGCACCTTCCTCAGTGGGTAAATTTTCAGAAATTCCTGTTTTGGAATGCAATTTAAGGATCATGTTTGGATGACCTTTGAAAATAATGACATCTCCTAGCATGATGGTTAAATCGTCAGGGACTGGAACGATGAGCTCGACTAGATCTTCTTCTTCTTTGATTGAAGACGATTGATCGTGTGAATCCTGAGTTGAGAGTTTGGTGACATTTTCTTGGGTAGTTGTGGACAATTCCGTGGTGCTGGTGGGATTGGCAGTGATCATGACAGCAGAAGTACTGAGTCGTGGCTTCTTTCGAATAATTTCAACTACTTCCAACTTTTCCAATCCAAGATGTTGAATAATGGCATGTTTGTTTTTTCCAATGAGAGGTGAATTTGGATCATCCACAGCAATCTTGGTCAAGAATTGCTCACCACGTTCTCTGGCAAGTCGAAACATACCACCCTTCTTATTGGGCAACACCCACAAGCCAAAAGTACATAAATAAACAATGGTGACCACTGACAAAATACTTCCAATATAGAAAAATTCATAAAATGTAAAGGGTGTGAAACCATAGGCAACATAGAGACCATTAGTGACAATGTTGGTAGAGGTACCAATCAATGTCATTAACCCAGCAGCAGAGGTCATGAAACACATGGGAATTAAAAATTTGGAGGGAGCAATATTGTTCACTCTCGCCCAGTCCTTAATAATTGGAATGAGAGTGACCACAATTGGAGTATTGTTAATGAAAGGACTCACTAATGAAATAAATAAGCACACACGAAGCATGCAGAGCCATAAACCATATTTGGGAGATCCAAAAACAAGTTTGGAAACTTTGAGAACGAGTGAATTCTCAGAAATGGGTTGAACAATTGGGAATAGAATTAATACAGTGAGCATACCATCGTTAGAGAAACCTGCCAAGGTCTGAGTCACATTAATCACTCCAGAAACGTTCAACACAACAAGTGCCAAAAAGACCACAAAATAAGGTTTCCACCAGGACATGACCAAACCACCAAGCATTCCGAGAATGACACACAACACAAACCACAATTTCCAAGAATTCCATGCAAATGCAACCACTGGTGAGGAAGAACTGCACAAGTTTTTAAATGTCATGGTCGAAACAGAAACGACTCGTAATGCACTTTTCAGTGTTTCTAAAATTGAGTATGTGTAAGTTGGATTCTTTCCTTTGAATAGTGAAAAATTGACGAGAATTTTGTCACTTTTAAGTGTTGGATTTGTACCCAGTGATGAATTATCTTGCAATAGAGTGGCATTCAATTCCAATTCAAATAATTGTATCATGAATGAATTTTCAAACAATTCAGGTACACTCACATAGAGAGTGGTGTTCAGTAGTTTTCCTTTCGTCGTTCCATTGAGAGGAAACAACATTTTCTCAGGAACAATGGTCACACCAGTCGTTGAATTTAACAAATTTTTCTCCACGAGTGCTTGCGTTAAATTTTCTTTGGAAACAAACAAGGTTCTTGCATATTGAGTGAATAATACATTGGAATGAATCAGACGCCAAAATCGTAATGAAATGACAGAACTCGTATTTGAAAAGGATGGTAATTCTGTGTCCATCAAAATTTGCCAACTCAATGAATCTGTTTCATAGGTATAAGTGAAGGATCCAAAACCAATCGTAGTTGTGGTTGTCACATTGGTCACTACATTGGTCGAATTTGGAAATACACTTAAAACCGTTGTATTTGCAGTTTTTGTAAATTCGCTCAAAAATCGATAAGAAGAGGCCTCGACTGTTCCCAAAAATCTATCCATCATTCCACTACCCAAAAGAATCATCATGCTAATGAGAAGAATTTTTATCATCATGATGAGAAGATTCAACTGCTTGAATGAATTTCCAAATGTTTTTCGTGGTCTAAAAAATCTTGTGGTGCTTTGAATTGGAAATTCATCAACACTACAAGTAGCATCATGACCACCATCATGAGAACAATGTGTGTGGCAGTTGACGTCAACTTGTTTTGTTCCTTTTTCATTCGACACGGATGGTTTGGAATTATAACGAGTGGACATTACTGTACAAGTGTTTCTTTCAGCATGTTGTTCTGCTGATAATGATGATCTTGTTTCCAAAGACCCTATCATCATCATCGGAGGTTGATGTTGAAACAACAAGTCTTGTTGTTCATGATCCGACGAGCAAGTTCCGGATCTTTCTGAATTCTTCAAAGTTTTTTCCATGTTCATCCTTGTGGAAAGACGAACAATCTTTTGAAGACTCTTCGACTGATCGGTCGGGTGGTTCGACTGATTTTGTTGTTGTTGATGCTTACAATTCTTCTTTCTTTTCTTCTTTGATTTTCGAAGAAAGGCTCTTCTCATCATTTTTTTTCTTCTTCTTTAAATAGATGATTGATTCGAGTCATCTCATCATCAGGTCATCCATTACAATCGTACCCACGGTTTGGAATCCTTCCTCATGCATGATAGGTTCTCTGACAACATGGTCATTCAGAAGGAGTGGTTGAAAATGGACAAGGGTTGATTGAGGTCAAGATGGTGATGGGTTTGGTTCACTTTCTCTTATTATGGACCTATGTCCTTTTTTGGCCACCTACCTTTTTGAACATCATGAAACTCCATGACTTTGCAACAACAAGACGAAGAAGTGTGGACAAGTACACGAGGAAATCTAAACACAACCTTTAAATCTCAATCCCCTGTCATTCGTCTTGGGGTTCATCCTCTCCAAAACGTGTTCACAATATCCAACCAGGACGATGACCACATTTTGTTGGGTCACTTTCACCAACTTGTCAGCCTAAAGTACAAGGCAGAGCAATCTCGTCCTTGTCCTGTTCACAACACCCTCACAAACACGAAGGATGAATTTTTTGAATACCTCATCAAAGTACATGTTGTTGAAACACTTGAAGATGACCAGACATGCCAAGAATTCTCATTGTCATCTAAAACGAAAGATCTTCAAATACTCTCTTCCATGGGTCAAACCTTTGAATTTGGAAATTGGAAACTTTTCAAACACACTCAACCTTGACACCATGGATGAAAACATTTTTATTCACAACTTCTCCAAATGGCATGTTCAAAGTCATTGTTGCTTTAGTACTATTGTGACATTGTCGCGCTTGTTATTATTATTTGGAATTCTCTTTCGACTACGTCAGTACGCATTCAAAAGATTTGTAAAGTCATGAAAATCAATGAAATTGTGTTATAATGTCATTAGAATATACTCTCGTACTGATTTGGTGAAATCACGATAAAATTATGGCTTTGAGTGAATTTCCTTTGGAAAATTTCGAAATCGATCTTTGATTAGAAGATGAGCCGTTAGTTTCACTCATTCGATTGGTTCTTGTCAAAGAAACGCCCCTTGTCATCTCATTGGTCACGAAACGATTGATGCCTTCGGAATTTCAAATTTGTGTGTGAAAAAAAAACAAATGCAGCCACAAGAACAACAAACATTCACAGACATCTCTTCCAAGATGAATCCACAAAGTCAGCTGAATCCAACCAAACATGCCATGTACTATTCCTCACAGTCCTTACCAAGTGGTGTTTATCAAGAACAACTACATCAGTCACATGTCATTGTGGAAATGCCTTCCCAAATTCCACAACCACATCAAGGAAACGCTCCCATGATGCCACCACCTCTACACCAACAAACGCCAATGATGTCACTTCCATTTACACTTCCCGTCACAAAAACTCAATTTTTCGCTCGTCACATTCAACCTCTTGAAAACTCCAACACTCGTTTCAAATTAGTGGTTCATGACGACAATCTTTTCATGACCTATTTAGGTGTTGTTTTCTTAATCTTATTCTTTCCTGCAGCTTGTTGTTTGGATTTAGTCAATAGTCTTGACGCATGTTTAATGATGTGTGGTTGTTTATTGGTGTATTGGATCATTGTGTTGCCAATCATTTTGTTAATCTCCCCCTTCATCCTTTTGCTTGCATTCTGGTTGGAACAAGAGACAACTGTGTGTATGGATGATGAGAAGAAAGAGTTGTCCATTCAAGTTCGAAGAATTTTTACAGATTCCATTATTAGTAGTTGCCAATTTGGGTATTCAGAAATTGTGAAATTAACTTTTGAAAGACAAAAAGCTTGGGAAAAAAAGGTTATTCTTGAAAACAAACATGGACAAAAATTTGATCTTTCTGTGGGATTGAGTGAGGACGAAGTGAAGGAAGAATTGGATTATATTTTGAAATTCTTTCAAGTGAGAGGTGTAGAGTTGGTGGAAGAAAATCAACAACAACAACAACCATCAACAACAAAAAAGAAATAAAAACAATGAAACATCAATAAGAAGGATTTTATTCAAAATGTCCAAACAACAGTTGTTGAAATTTTCTCAAAATTAAGGTTTCATTTGTGGAGTTCCATGATTGAAATCTACCACCACTCCTCTCGCTTGAAAGAATTTCACCAAATAATTCAATTCTTCCTTTGCGTACTCTTCGTTCATTCCCAATGAAAATTCAAATAATTGTCCATGTTTGGTTTCAAGCATGACTTTGTGCTTTCCTGCTTTCTTTGAGAGAAAGACCTTTCCAATTTCCATATAAGGAATTTGACAACAAGTCAAGACAGCCTCTTCTCCACTCGAGGCAAAATAACGTTTTCGAAATTGAATCAACATTTCACGTTTTGCATCATCCATACTGATCAATGTCGATGTTTCAGTAAACAAGATATAAATCAGCACCAACGGAGCGACCAACAAAATAATCGGAATGGCAACAATCCAATAAATGAGAACAATGATTATGGCAAGTAAACAACCTTCACTACTACCTCCCAATCCACCCATACACATGTACAATGGGAAGAATAAGATGAGAAGAATGACTCCGAAAAAGCTACTAAGAATTCCTTCCTTTTCAACGACAAGTTTGAAAGTTTGAGAATTTTCTTGAAGACGAATGTGACGAGCGAAATATTGTTCTTGAGTCACTGGAAGGGAAACAGTGGCAGATGACATGTGCATCATGGGATTTTGCTGAGCGTGTGGAGGCATGTCGACAAGAGCTACTTGAGTATGCGACACGATTGGTTGAGAATAGGTCATGACAGGTTGAGTACTGACAGTATTTGGAGAATAGTACATGGCAGTAGTAGCATTGGGGTTGTTCTGAGGAGGAATCGAATACGTCGACTGCATTTGTGATTTGTTTTTTGTTTTTTGTGTGTGTGTGAAAAAACATATTGAACCACATGTGGTGCCGAATAGTAAAATGACATTCGACGTATTCGCTGATCACAAACGCCAAGGTTTGACAGGTTCGCTAAAATTGATGTGAGCGCTATTCCGTTGGTGGCATGTTGTCATTTCAGAGCATAATTGGTTGGGACAGATTCAACAAATTTGTAACCACACTCATCGATTGGCTCGTCAAAGGGTGAGACCATTGACAGGAGAATAGATTCGACAAATTGATGTCTCTCAGCAAATATTTCAACGTATGGATCAGTGATCATTATTAGGACTTGTCAAAATTCCTTCACTCATGCCACATGTCAAATATCATACAAGTTTTCGAAAAAGGGTTTTGCAACAACTGCACAATTCAATGCACAAAAGGTTTGTTTTTCGATTGAATTCACAACTCGCTGTGTGGCCTCGAGTGTTTCAAAGACTTCAGCTCCCATAATTCATCTAGACCATCAAAAGAAAGTGAAATTCTGTCATTCCGAACACAAAAAAAATGCCAAATTCGGAACCGAATAAAATTGCATTTGAAGAGTTGGTGGAAAGGCTCGACAAGTATCGAAATGAAGGGTTTTTCCTTGATCATCATCATGGTCAGGATCAACATGATCATGTTGTTGTTGGAGGGGAAAAGAGAATGATGAAGGAAGAAGAGAATTCCGAACAAGAAATAAAAGGAGATTCCGAACAAGAAGAAACCACAAAACAAGAAGAGCCTAAAAATTCGGAAATTCAATTTTTGTTTCATGCTGCTCAATTCATGATTAGTAATCGATTGAAAAAGAAGGACGGAGAGAAGGTAAAATTATTAATTCAAGCCATGAAAAATCCAAACCACCAACAAGCCTCTCCTTTTATATTTCCTCTTGCTCAGTCTCGTAAATTGCAAAAGAATATCATTAAGAATTTTGGTGCTCAATTGTTGAATCAGTGCTTGGGTGAGGTGATTCATACGAATGTTCACACCACTGCAGGTAATGCAGGTTTGGATCATTCAAAACAGAAAAATAGGAAAAATTCAAAAATTGAAGTGAATCGTCACCATCAAGAAGAAGAAAACCATTCTGTTGAGGAACAAGTAGAGGAAGAGATGGTAAACCAAAGGGATCGTTCTGTTCACTCTGCCAATATTCATCACAACTCTCAAGAAGGAAAGAAGATTGAGGTGGACATTCACGATTTGTACCAACAATCAGTACAGTCCTCAAGAGATGATGTTAACTTATTTGAGAAAATGTTCAAGACACATTTTCAACAGAAAGCTCCTCATGTTTTTAGGGAAGATTTTTGTGGAACTGGTCTACTGTGTTGCGAATGGTAGGTAGAGACATTCTTGTCATTAAGCGAATGACAAATATATTTTCCAATGATGAACCAGGGCAAAGAGAAGTGTCGAAAATGTCTCCATTGGCGTTGATTTAGACCACGACACTATTGAATGGGGTCGTAAGCACAATATAGAATCAAAATATTCCAAATTCAATGTGAGTGACAGAATTTTCATGTTCACCAAGAATGTTCTCGAATTCAATTGGGACGAAGAATTACGGGATTGTCCATTATTACTCGAACAAGATGAAGACACAGGAAAGTCTTTTCTGAGAAAGGCCGACATTATTTGCGCCTACAATTATAGTGTGTGTCTACTTCACAAGAGAAAAGATTTGATGTTATACTTTAAGAAGGTTCGAGAATCTATGGCAGATTATGGCTCCATCTTTTTGTTTGACTTGTTTGGAGGAGCAAAAATGTTGTCAGTCAACGATAGAGAATATGTTAGGAAAGATTTACCTGGAGGTATCATGTACGAATTTGAACAAACCAATTACAACCCAATTACAGAGATTGTGACAGGTTATATTCACTTCAAGTAGGTTTCTTGGTTGATGAACATATCTTTCGATCCTTAACAATTTCTAACCTTTTCGATTCATTGACATCAACTTAATACTGTACAATTAACTATATATAATAATATAATACAACAGGCTTAGGGATAATTCATGGATTAAAAAAGCATTCAGTTATCAATTCAGAAAATGGGGAGTTCGAGAATTAAAAGAAGCTCTGGACGAAGCAGGATTCAGTAAGATCGAATTGTATTGGGCCTCACACGATCGTGACGAGGACAATCATGACGTTTCTGGTTCCATTCAATTCGAGAAAGTGAAAAACATTGAAAAGATTGAACAATCTGGAAGCTGGACAGCTCTATTTTGCTGTCTTAAATAATTCCTAGAACAGGTTCGATATAGAACAGACAAGAGAATTCAACACATTTTGAATCAGTCTATTCATCGCCTGATATCTATTAAAAAAATAGTAAATATGTGATAAAAAACATTTTCATCCATTAGTGAATAATGTCTCTTTACAAGTCAATTCATGAATCTACTTTTCTCTAAAAGTAATATAACCAATCAAGTAAAAGAAAGTATTGTAGCCAAATCCGTCAGTCATTTCACTTTCTAATAATGGATTCTTAATAGTCAAAATCCATTGCTCATTTGGATTTAAATAATTCTTTCTCAACATGGCAATGACACTTGTCGAATTGTCGTATCTGACAATTGGCAGTTCATAGGAAATGAAATCCACACGTTGTTGCATGACTGCTCTCACTTGACCTTTTCCATCAATAATAAAGAAACTTCTCACATTATCTTTAACCTGTTGATTAATCGTCGCTCCATAAATACTCTGATTTTGCATCACCACACTGTCACCTGTCAAAGGCATACAATTCGATGCATATTTTCCAATCGTAATGGTATCAGTAAGTGCAAAAAATCCACCCACCGCATTACTCACACCCTTTCCATCATTCCATATCAAATCCATCGTGGCAGGCAAACTCCAAGTTCTCAATTGCAACGTTCCCACACTCCATCCCTTTCCATTTAAATTAAATTGTTCTCGAATCAATTCTTCCGAAGTCATGTTATTAAAACGTGAAATTGCAAATTCACCTCTCGAAAACATATCCCTCGTCAACACAAAACTATCATTTTCTTTCATTGAAACATCTTCCAACAAGTCACGAATTGGACTCGACTGTTGGATGTCATCCGTCGATGTCCATAAATAGCAACTTTTTGGTGATTTACTCGATGACACTCCCAACGCAATCACCACCGCAAGTGTGATGCAAAGAATTGTTGAAATGGCGAAGGAACCTAATGCGAATCCAAAGAGATGCCATACATGAGTCGATTGTTCGGGATGAATGAATTTTTCAGAGTGAGGATTGGGTGATGAAGAGTTGTTGTTATTGTGGTGAAGAGAACGAGAATGATGCGATCGGGTGTTGTGGTGATGAGAGGACGATGTGGATTGAATGTTGGTGGGATGGAGAGAGTTCATGTCAGACGAGATTTTTTTAAAATTTCTGGAATGACAAGTGAAAGGGAATTTGAGTGAAGCAGTCAAACAAAATAGTCGAGCATTTGAATATGCTTCAGAAGAGTTGAAAAAGGCAAGGATATAGTTTTTGAAGTTGCCAAACAACAAACTCTATCCCTGGTATCATCAGAAAAGATAGATCCACCAACTATTTTGAAAAAAACTTAATATGGTGTATTGTCTTTCATTTCATCAGACGAAAAGAATGACAAGGATTTCATGAATAATATTGATAGAATAATTGAGCATTCAGGTTTGCTATCAAGAAAAGGAAGAGAAAAAACAATTAACCTTGTTGAATGAAATGCTCTCCAAAGATCAGAATTTCTATTAAGAAGAAGAAGGAAACAATGTCTTGTAATGTTGAACCATTAAAAGTAATTGTATTCCCTTGAAAATTGATTGTTAAATGTTGTACTGTGTGGAAACAGTAGCCTCTAATTTGTGGATTTTTGTTGTAATTCGCAAATTCATAATGCAACACAGAGATTGCACCCGACGAAGGTTCGCTTGAGTGTCGATTAGTATCTGATTATGCAACTCTGCAAATACTTGGTTTCATTGAAAATTGACAAGTATTTTCATTTGAATCTCTATGAATTTCAACAACTAAATATTATTACTTTCAAGTCTATTTCCGAAAGCTTTCTCATTTCGTCAAACGAACGTTTAGAGAGAAAACACAAGTTTCGTTAGAGCTCATCGAGCGAGCAATAATAATAATTGAAAACAAAGTAACACTTTCAACATCTGAGCTCAAGTCTACAACATTGATTGAAACAACAATGGATTCTAAATAAGATCTCCTGTTTTTCACTGGCTTGGGTTGTCTTGGTGTCAAACCTGTGTTTTTTGTTTGAAATGTAAGATTCAAAATTTGTCTTAATGGCCCCACAATTTTTGGAGTTTGCAACGACGTGAAAAGCTCCTCTTCAATTCCAAACACTCATTGGGTGAATTAATATCAATCATATCCATCTCGACGTTTGCTACGATTTGGATTTGTTTTGATATTATATATTTAGAACGACAAGTGAAATCGAATGAGATCACGAGATTAGCACAATGTAATTTGCGTTTCAACCAAACAGACACAAATAAATTCCCTCCACACGGTCAACTTCTCTCTCTCAACAACACCTATCATGTCTGCAAGATCATCACTCACTGAAAGGATTATATTGGAGGAAATTCGACAAACAGACTCATGGAAATTGTCAGAGATATTTCAAAATGTTTCAGACAGAGCTTGAAAGGAGATCGAGTGTTTATGTTGGAAGCAGTGAAGAAACAAGGTCTTTCACTTGAATATGCTTCAAAAGATTTAAAAAAGGACAAACAAGTTGTATTGGAAGCTGTCAAAGAAAATGGTTATGCACTCCAATATGCTTCAGAAGATTTCAAAGAAGACAAACAAGTTGTTCTGGTTGCTGTAAAACAAAATGGTTACGCACTTATTTGTGCTTCAGAAGATTTCAAAGAAGACAAGGAAATTGTTCTTGAAGCAGTGAAACAAAGCTGAAAGGCACTTCTATATGCTTCAGATGATTTGAAAAAGGACAAGGAAATAGTTTTGGAGGCTGTAAAACAACAGTCGTTACACTTGGCATCAGAAGAGATAGATCCACCAAATATTTTGAAAGAGCTTACTGCTAAATATGATTCTATGGTCTTTCATTTTATCAGAATTCTTAATGAATAATATTAAGAGAATAATTGAGATGAGCGGTCAGGTTTGTTTTCAAGAAAAGGAAAAACAATTAACTTTTTTGAATGAAATACTCTCCAAAGATCAAACTTCACCGAATTGTGATTAAACTTGAAGATGATCAATTTGGTTGGCAAACAGCAAGAGTGACCCCATTCATGGCAATCAATTATTCGATTCTTTGAGAGAACAAGTGAAGAATGTATTGCATGAATTACAAGATGAAGTCTAGCTCACAGATATTGTTTTGAGCTATTTCGAACCCACCTATGGAGACATGCTCATTCGAAATGACCAGGATGTTCATGAATGTTTGGAACTCTTCAAAGATGCATCTATTGAAAACTCGAAAAAGCTGATCAGAGTTTCAATTAATAAGAAGAAGAAGAAAACCTCTCTTAGCTAAAGAATCTTTCAAGTTCGAAACAGAAGAAAATGAAACGTCCTAAACTTGATATTGAAATTTTGTGTCCTTGTAGATCGTATGTGGTGGAATATGAAGAAGATACAAATAATGACTTATTGGAAAACAAACATATATGTTTTGAAGATTGGGAATTATTTGTCCCTTATTTCTTGTCAGAGGAACCATTAACTGAAGATCATATTAAGCTGTTCCATTTGCTGCAACTGATCATCAGTTTCGTCGTATGTCATGTCATTAATGACATCATTAAATTGATGAATATGTCCAACCTTTTGAGATTACACTTTATGCTTCGATCACACTCTAATAATCAGAGGGAATTGTCAACTTGCAAAAAATTGTATGTGTTTAATGCCTATTCAAAAATGTATTTCAAATTTCATTAGTGTTAAATCTTTGAAATGCAAGCCCTTACTTCAGGATCGTTGAAACACTGAATGAAATGCTGATTTTGAGCTGTCTTGTCATCGCCCTTGTTCATTCTCTTGAGACAATTGGTGATGCTTTTAGAGCAAAGCAGTGACGTGTTGCAATGTTCAAATTTCATGGTATTGATCATATTGTTAAATTCTTCCTTTGGAATCTCTTTCTTTCCATGAACGCTTCTTGGATGTAGATCTGCTAAACTGGAAGGTTTAAATTTGAGACATGGATTCATGGTGTCCTCAAGTATTTGTTGCTTCATTTGTGTATTTAAGGCATAGTCTTGAGATGAGTTTTTGTCAAAGGCAGTATACCATTCACTTTGAAATCAATCATCATTGTGAATACACAATAAAAGTTCATTGACACACCAATGAAATAGTTCATGCATTCCAAATTTGCAATTCCCATTTAAATATTACACATATTATGAAAAATTATTAATAAAAGAATTAATGAATATAATGTCATTATGTTTCAAAACAATGTTACCACAAGTACATACATTGGCGCTGATTCAGAGAACTTTCCAGTCATAGCCTTCTTCAATTTTTCCTCCAATTGAGTTTTCGTAATTCTCTTTTGAATGCACTCAGCAGTCGTATGAATGAATTTTGCCAAACTCTCCTTCTCTTCGGGAGTTTCTTCCACTTTTTTCTTTTGTGCACTTGGCAAGGCTGTTCGTATCATAATTTCATGAATGGGTTCATAATTCGGAAAACAATCTTTTTCTTGCCATAACACCTTTTTTGCCTTATCACTATACAAATCATACTTTTTAAACAAATTATCAAGACACGAGTAATAATATCCTGTTCGGAACAATTTTTGAGCCTCATCTCCTCCAACTGCTTGTTGATAAAAAGTAAATGGAATGAAACAAATGGTTGTGTTGAGAGTATGTAATTCATACATGGAATCCAAAGAGGATGGATCCGATGAGGTATCTTTCTTTCTTCTTAGCCAGGACATTTGAGAGTGTATGAAGGATGATGAGAAGGATGATGATGAGAATTTTTTTTCAATCAAAATTCTAACTTTCTTTTTTTTGGAAATTCAAACCTCTGCTTTGAAACGTCATGGATGAGGGCATGTTGTTCATATTATAATATTAATGATATTATTAAAATATATTATATTATATTATTAATATTTGAAAAGGAGTTCTTTATTGGTCTTGTTCATGAATTTGTTTCACATGGATATGATGACAAAAAATTCATTTTGAAATTTTTGACAACACCATTTGAATTTCTCTCTCACATCCATCTTCATCAATTTGGAATATATTAATCAGATGTATCTGTACATTCTTCGACTATTACTACAAATTATGCTTCATCTTCTTCAGCAACGACACCTTCATCACTTTCATATCCAACACTTCTCATCGATAAACGTTGTGAATTTAAAGTTGTTGAGCTTTTTGGTTGTGTCGTAGTGGTGGTTGAAGTGTCATGTGTCATTGCAGTGTCACTCATACTATTTGTTGAAGAGTAATAACTTTGAGGGTTTGGAAGTGCTTTCCGCACGTCACGTACGAATGCTGCTCTTTTCCTTACTGGAAGTTTCACTTTTCTTATGACAGCTGATGTTGAATTGGATGTGGAATTTCCGTCATCTGGCGTTTCTTCTCGACAATTGGATTCTTCATGATCGTCGTCGTGATTGGAATCGATGGAAGATAGTCGTATGTGTTGATTCAAAGAAGAAGATGACAAGTAGGTAAATGGATTTCCAGTGCTTGTGGAGGGTGACATTTGTGGTGAAGTAGTCCTTGTTGTGGATGGTTGTTTTGTTGTCACATATGGATTTGGCATGACAGGTGGAGGTGTCATGGGTGATTGTCTCAATTTACCTGTCTTGAAATCAACAATTTCAAATACAGGAGGTTCCGAATATGGATGATTGGAAGAGGAGGATTGTTTTTGAGCTGCATATGGATCTGTTAACACGGGAGGAGAATCCATCGATGAAGAAGGAAGAGGTTGTGGAAGTCTTCGTCCCTCTCCTTGTCTCTTATTTCCGAAATGTGCATTTGGAAGAGGTTTTCTGACATTGGAAGAAGATGGTGAACCCTCCAATGTGGATGATGGATTGGTTGTTGTGGTTGCTTGTTGATTGGTTGTTGAAGATGTTGTGGTTCCATCTTCGTCTTGCATGAAAATTAATTCTGCCGATTCAATCAAAGTAGTCATTAAGCTGTTCGAATATTTAGAATCTTGTAAAATTTCCATATGATTCTGAGGAAGATCTGATTTCAATAAATTTGGAGCAAAAACAATTGCCAGATTGCTTGGTGACATTTTGTTAACAGCCGAATTGGCAGCAACTCTTTTCAAAAACAAACATAAATTCTTCATAATCTTGAAATTGGTAGGTGGAAGGAATTTGATGACTTTTTGAATCATCATTAAACGAGGTTCTGGATCAGGAATTCTCTGTTCATATCATGTTCGTATATTAAGTATTGTACAACAATATAGAGTTGTCAACCATTACAAGAGTTAGAGAAATTTGGAATGCATAGATATTCAAGGAGTGTGTAGATTTCAAAGATTGATTCATGAAAAAAGTTGTTTTTCACAGATTCGTGTGTCACATTATAAATGTTCACATCAATATTCACACGAACACACACGAACACACACGCACACGACTTACCTCTGCTGCAATAAACATTCCATACTGTTCATAGGTCAGCAATGGGTCACACAACTCTCTCAAATATAACTTTAACAAACTCGATGCCAAGTGAATCTCATACTTTTCATAGGGTACATCATATTTAATATTATTTTCCAACTCTCGAATCACTTCTTCTTCGTCACTCTTTTTTGGTGAAATTCTAAATATTCCTTCAACATTCAATCCATGTTTTTCTAAATGCTCCATTGCCTTAATCACAAAAGGAGGTAAATCATTGGGATCGCTTGGAAGTTTCTTTCCAAACACGTTGGAAGAGGCATATTTTTCATTGACTCCTGGATATTTGATGGATGGAGAAGAAGCATTATTGGGTGAAGGAGAAGAAGGAGAAGGAGATGATGGTTGTTGTGATTGTTGTGGTTTCTTGATAAAATCCATAAGACCCATCTTGTACAGATTTTTTTAGTGTGATGATGATGATGAGAATCACGACAAGGTTGTTGTTCTTGTTGCTGTTGTTGTTGAGAGAATATATTCTCGAGGATCCTCTTTATGGAAATTGTTGGATAGTTGCAGAAGAATGTAGAAGGGATGGTTTGGAACGTTGATATTTTGTTGTTGTGGTGGTTGTGAACGACAATGATTTTTGCTGCTGCTTCTGTTGTTGTTGTGAGTGAAAAAACAAGAAATGGAGGATGATGAATGTGTGCGGAAGAGAGATGAGAATGAGAAAATATGAGAGAGTGCACCACAATTACAATGCTTGACCAATGACGGAAGACAATTTTTTTTATGGATGTGTGTTTGACACTCGACGCCGATTGCGGCAAAACGAGAATGACCAGTTGATTGAGGATTTGCAAAATTGCGCAAGGAATGATTTTTTGTGGTTCATCAAGACAAAAAGACAAGTTGATGAAACCACAACAACCACAACGATGCTTGTAGAGGCCAAATTCTCTCTATTCATGTTTTTGTGACTTTTTAAGTTGAGACACGATTCGGATGATTCGTTGATCCATTCATGCCCGCAGATTCTTTTGTTGTTGTTATCGCGATACAACGATTTGGTGTTTATTCCAAAGGCTGTTAAATTTAATAATTAATTTGTTCATATCACATGATTTCTCTTGTGTACACAAAAATGATGCATGCTACATACCACAAGAAAGGTGGGCTTGCACGCAAAATGCTTAGAGTTGTTGTTGCTTTCTCGAATTTCTCTCATTGATTTCCTCATTAAGGTTTTGCTGGATGCATGCCAAAATCTTAGGTTTGTTTTCGATAGCATAAAATTTTGCCATAAATTCAATTTGTTGGATAGGTGAGCATATTCTTACATTTGTTCTTGCTTGAACCATTTCATACCAATCGATAGAAGGAGCTCTTGCAAGAATACTCTTTGTGAAACTTGCAACCGACTCTTCATTAACTCCCCAATTGCGTCGATAAATTTCCTTCCAAATGACTTCAGATTTTGCAATGTCGCACCAATATCGGCAAACAAGCATCAAATTTACAATATCTGTCTGGTGCAAAAATAAGAAAATATAAGTCAGAGCATCCTTAGTGAGAATCTTGTTAATATCACCATTTTTCTTCTGCTTTTGTTTGAGCAAGACTCCAAAACCCTCAATACATTGTCTAAGAAATTCAGATGAGAAATATATACAATTTTGTTCGCTGGAAGGGCTGCCATAAATATTTGCCGATGTAATTTGTTTTGCTAACAAATGTAACTGTGTTTCAGTGGCAGTGGGGAAGTAGACCACCTTCTTTTTCTTTTGAGTGGTTGTAATTGTTGCAACTGGTGTTGGTTGAATTGTCGAAACCTCACTTGGGGGTAGTGCGGCCAGGAGGCTTTTACCCTTTCCTCTTGCAATGGTTACAGGAGTGGTGACAAAATTAACATGGGTCTCATCTTCAGGAATATAATCTGAATCTTCTTCTATGACATTCTTTCTTTTTCTTCCACGTCGTTTTGGTTGTTGTGACTGGGTGCGATGTATTTCATCCTCCGCAAAAGCGTTTAAATCCAAGCTTAAATCCATTGTATCCTCGGGTTGAGTCACCACAACAGGCGTCATTGCTGCCGCAGCTTGCTTGTGTTTGGAGGGTGGCCTACCACGTCCTCTCTTTGGAGTGACGACAGGTTGTGCAGGGATGGAATTGACGTCAACCCCATCCTCCATATGAATGACCATTTGCTGTTGTTGTTGTAGCAACTGTTGCTGTTGTTCGGCAAGCTTCTTTTTGTTGCCTGATCCTTTTGGTCTTCCTCGAGATCTCTTCTTCTTCTCGGGAGTAACTTGTGATGCATCAGAAGGCAAAGATGACGATAAACTTCCATTCTCTCCCACTTGTGTTTCTGTTTTGATTGAAGTGTCCAAACTTGCATCTAACACATTTCCATCTCCGTCCAAATGTTGTTGTTGTTCGGAGGTGTGTGGTGTTGCCGAACCATCCTCCTCCGCACTACCAGCAGTGATAGAATGCTTCATAGATGGATCTCCTAACACAACAAAGCTCTTGTATCCCTCTCGTCCACCTGTTTGAGGATCCAATGTTAATGAATGAGTCGAATACTTAATACCACAAGCATTACACAAGGTTCCAAGACCCAAGGGTCCCTTTCTCCACGTTGGGGTGTCATTCACTCCACAACTCGAGCACAACTTCTTGGGCAACACTATTTTGCTTTTGATGGTTTGAACGAATTCATTGTACTCGTCGCTTCCTGGTGTAAGAGGAACAAGAGGAGGATTGACCGTTTCGGATGCTTTCTTGGCACCAGCTTTCTTCTTTTTAGGTTTCGAGCCAGATGTTGCTTCTCCGGGTTGTGGGATGGCCATTACAAGGCTGCTCAATGAAGTTGGAGTGGAAGATATGGTGGAACTTGCTTCGGAGGTTGGAGTCAAAGAATCAGACACTATATAGCCAGCAAGTCCTTCCTGTATTGAAGTGGGAGCATGTTGTTGTTTCATGGTGGAGGATGTTGCTGTCGGTAATGAAAGGGATAGACTTGTTGTTCTTGGAGTGGTTGTTGCTGTGGTTGGAGGAGTAGTAGTGGCGTTGGAGGACAACAAGGGAAGTTGTTGATCACCACCCAAAGAGGAAGACGAAGAAGAAGAGGCTGTTGAAGAAGAAGTGGAGGAGGAGTTGGCTCTCTGTTTTGTTGCAACAGGAGGTGTGGCCGATATCGAGATGGTAGGTAATGTTGTTATTGTTGTTAGCAACGAGGGAACAGGACTAGTCGTTGTTGAATCCACAGGATGAACCGAGTGGATGTTGCTACCGATAGAACTTGCAACGGATGCTTCAGTGGTGGTGGTGGCATGGTTGTTCCCCGCACCATCATTCTCATGTGTCCCTCCATTCTGTTCATGTGGTTTGAGCGGAGGGGCAGAACTTTCAGAGGTTCGCTCTGATTTTTCGCTGACGTTCATTTTTTTTTCAGTTAATTTTTTTCGTCTCAAAGCTCTTGGGTCAACGAAGTCAACAGTTTGGAGGTGTTCAGTGGAACCAAGCATGTCTTGATCTCAATGATGATGATGTAAATGTGTTGTTCAATGGAATGGTTGAGAAAGACATGCTTGGTTAAATTCCTCAAAAGATGCATCTTGGAAAACAATTAAAAAATGAATGTTTGACAATATGCGAGTTGGAGGAAGCTGACAAATAAAGACCCATACACATATCAATTCCAAATGTGTACAATCTCTCGAGTAATTTAGTGCTTAATTAAAATACATCATAATATGGGTAATATTTTCTCATCATTGTCACATCTGTTGGGCGCTATTCGCATAATTTGAAATGTCTCCTTCTTGTGACATTTTAAAAGTACAATAGTCGATAAATTGTGACTTGGAAACAGTTTTTGTCTCCATGCTTTCTTTGGTGCAATCAATACCAAAATGATTCAATATATTTTGAAAGACAAATCTCGCACAAGAGTCTGGATCTTGCAAATGTTTCGGAAGTTTCTCAAGCTCAAATGGCCTTAATTGTAGATAATTATAAATGATTTCGAAAAATATGGCCATGTCACGAAATGAAAGGCTTGACGAGGAGTGTTGTTTCTTTCGTGACGGATTATCAGTATCTTCCACAAGTTGAGGACATGTTATAGTGGTAAAGACAAAATCTGCAGTTATTACTTTGTTTCCTTTTGCATAAATATCATAAGTTGGTAAAAGATTATGGAAATGAGCATGTGTTCGTTTGGGTGGCAAATATTCGTGAGCAAAGAAATATTTAGAGGCCATCACGTGTGACGTTTCAAACATGAGATCAGGAAAAGAAATTACACCGGGTGAAGTATTGAAAGAATTCTTGGAAATGGTACTTGAGTTGTTTTGTGAACCTGGCTGTGGAGAGGAAGTACCTGTTATGTTCTCTTGGCGTTGATTAAAATTTGGGCTACCCTGAGCCTCTGGTGGTGCTGTTGATGTTGTTGAAATTGTTTCTTCTCCATTTCTATTGGGTAGTGTTGGTTTTTCAGATTGATCATAATTAGAGGTGTCCCATGATTGAGTTGTCATCTGTTGTTGTTGTTGTTTATCTTCGCCTCCGTTTTGAATGGTTGAGGATGGCAAAGATGAAGCCGGGCTGATGACTTCATAACTTGAAGGAAGATTCTGTATTTTCATTGCAGAAGCAAATCGTTCTTTTGAAATTCTGACATCTTGGAATTGTCGATAAAACAGAGCATACCATTCTTTAATTTCTCTGATCGGAACTGCATTTCATTAATAAATTAATTTTCAATGAATATAATATTTGAATTTCGGCAACGAGCAACATGATAATCATCATACGATGTGTTCAATTCCGATTAAATTTTCCAATATTAAGAATTTGTTACCATAATGCAAATTGTCATCATGTTCCGACGTTATAATTATTTTCCAAAATCAATAATTGCAACATGTGATGAAATCAGAATTATGTCATAATACCAAAACAACACAAAACGACCCGGTGCTTGATGACATCATTCTTCAATCCTCCCGGTTCAAACTTACGGTTTGTTTTTTGGTGTATCTCCATCACCGAATGCCTATCCAGTTGCTTGTTTCCCATTTTTCTTTGTTCAAACAAGGAAATTCAATTCGGAAAGAAATCAATAGGTTCGTTTCGAAAATTTACTGTAAATCCATTGATGAGATCATGTTCAGTGTTGAGTACTGAGATGTGTTTGGGTTTTCTTACTTGATTGACAGCAGCTTCTAAACCCAAATGTTCCACACTTGAGTCAATGTTCTCACAAACGGAATAACTAGATTCTACTTGTTTACGTTCGAGTACTTTTCTTTGAACTCTTACCTTTACGGGCTCTGAAATGATCAACACCATCGATGGTGCTTTGACATTGAAAGCATCCAGTGTTTTAAAGGTGGTCATGTTGATTCTTACATTCTAAATATCAAGTAGTGAAATAAACATCTCTATTCATGCAAACACAATGAAACTGCAATAAAGATCGACATGACTTTAGACAACATCTTGAAAGATATTGAACAAAATGTTCTCCATTTCATGTTCGAAATTATGTAAAATTCACTCTTTATTCTGCAGGGACAAGAGGAGCAATCCGAATGCTATTGTAGTGCTCACCGAGAGCATAATACTTCTTGTGATAGGTCACGATCAGATTGGATTGTTCTGGTGTTTGTGATTTCGAATTGCTTCCCATTGTCACAATACCATTGTCTTGAACAATTTTCAGGACATACTGTTCCTGACATAAATCAAGGAAGGCTTGAATTTCTACTTGACCTCCCCACTCACTACTATGCTCTACTGTGTCCGCATATTGATCCATGGTTTCACAAACGTCCATAACAAATGGAAAATAATCATCTGCCTTTCTTCTCAATTGATTTGCAATTAAACTTCTCAAATGCAGATACGTAAAACCTGTGCTTGATGATAAATTTTTCAATTCTCTCTTATTCTTCTCTGAGAGCTCGTTATTTGCTCGTATTAATAAATCCTTTGTATATGGATTTGTGGTATCTTTTAAATTAATGTTCAATTGATCTGCAAGAGATCGATACAAACAATGACCATCGGAATCAATCTCATGAATGCACCAATTATTTTCAAAATATTGTTGAATCCTTTGAATTTCAATATCCCTCTGAGAAACTCCGCCATCACTCAAAAACTCTTGTTGAGCCTGTAATCGTTGTTCTTGTTGCTTTTGAACTTTCTTTTGTTTTTTCTTGGCGTTTTTCTGTTTTCGTTGTTCGGCTTTCTTTTTCTCTTCCTCTTCTTTTTTTGCTTGAGCCGATTGTTTACTGGAAGCTCCACCATTCGTCTTTTCATCATGTTTCTCCTCTTCATCCTCATCATCATCACCAACAGTACTGGACATTTTAGCCTCCCACAACTCAGTTTCATGAGTTTGTTTTAATTGCTGCATACGTTCCTTCCATTTGTTTTCGTACTTTTTCTTTGCAGCTGCTCCGGAGAGCTTTTGTAATTCCACTTCTCTCTCCTCTTCGAGTTGTTTAATTTCTTGTTGATGACGAGCTTCCAATTCTTGAAGTGAAGACATTTTTTAAATTGATAATGAATGGAAATACATTTCCAAGTCGATGGATATCGTTTGAATTATTCAAATCTCGATTAATAGTAAAAGGCAGAATCAAACTATTATTCAACTACATCTCAAGAAGAAGTGAACAACCTGTTAAATGAACCAATTTGCGTTTGGAATTTTCTTGTTGACCATTCATAAAAAATGTCTTCACGAAAAAAGCTCATTCCGACAAGCTTGTCGAATGCGTCTTTATCGGAAACGAACAAGAAGGAAATTATTATTATATCCGATGATGACGATGATGATGAAAATGAATCTCAAACAAATCAAAATCATTTGAAACGAAAAAAGGATTCCACTCTTCGGAAAGAACACGAGGAGGAAGATACAAAGAAACGAAAAATAGTAACAACAGAAGTGAATCCTAATGAACATTGTATGATTGAAAATAATATTGGGACACATCCATCCAAAGAAAGCACCCATTACTCCAATCAAATTTCAATCGAGAATACAAATTTCGAAAATCCTTTTTTCAAAAACATTCCTCTCTATCAGATGAGAATTATTGTCAGCTTTTTGGATTTTTTGTCCTTTTTGAAATTGTCACAAACATGTGCTTTCATAAGGAAGGAGTATTTTTCAAAGCATGAATTTTGGATTGCATTGAGCGACCAAGTGTTTGTTAATTCTTTGTCGTCAAGCTTGGTGTTTGACAAATCAAGCACAGAGTCGATTGCAGTAATTCCGAACAAGTCCTCTCTCGTCACATTACGAAGCTTTTTTTCTATTTATTCTGAATACTATAGCTTTATTACTCAAACAAGTCGATTGATTTTAGATTTCGATAGCTACATGTACAATGTTCTTGACAAGAAAGATGTAAGCGTAATATCGAACCAATTTAAAAATTTACGAGATCTCCAATTATTGAATGTCAAATTTTCAGAAAAAGCAAGTGCTCAATTACTGATTATCAAGTCAATCATCTCGAACCAAATGCCCGATTTACGGCGTTTAAAAATTACATTTTCAAAGAAAACAAAAGGCACCCGTTCTCTATGTGAATCTCAATTTTCTGAGGAAGCCAATGAATCCGAATTTTCACAATTTTCATCCTGCTTAAAAGGACTTGAATCCTTTCACATTGGAAGTGTGACGAGCGATTCAACATCCTCTGAGTCCACATGGACTCCTCAATTGTCTTGGAAGGAGCTCACAGAAATTGATGCATTTGCTCAGGAGAGTTTATTAAGCTTTGGTGTGGAGAGCGTGTACTCGTCGGATTTCAATCAACTTCTATTTGGAGACAGCAACAAGTTTTTACTTCCTCGATTGGAAGAATTAATTATTGGAAGTGTGTTGGACAATTGCGGTAGTATTTCTAAAGGAATGATAGAACGAGCGAGTCTGAAAAAGCTCATCATTTCAGAATTCCTTACTCACAATGCAAATGTACTCCAATTTGTTGTGAAAAATTTACCAAATATAACATATATGGATGTGAAATTGTCATCTCCCACTGGAGAAACAAAGCCAGATGGCAAGATTTATCTCAAAAGTGACTCGTTACGATTCTTGAAATTCAGCGATTTCAACAAGTTTTTTGATTCCAATTTAATACAGTTGGATTTACCAAATATTGAACACTTAAGTTTAGAAAATTTTGGTGAAATATCCATCCTTCAAGAGAAGGTACATCTTTCAAAACTCGAGATTAGAAACTCAATGATTATGACAGGACAGCTTCACTCAATTTTATCCAAATGTGCAACTTCCTTGCGCTATTTGAGCATTGATACTTGTCCCAACGTGAGAAATATTCACCTCTTAAAAGATCCATATGAGGAAAATTTCACATTCCTTCGTCACTGTTTTCTTTCAAATTGTAAATTGCTGGAAAAAGTCTCCCTAGCGTGCATTGGTGTCCAAGCAGAGAATGTGAAATATTTATACATGCAGAACTTGTCGTTGACCAATTTACAGAGCTTAAGAGAATTTCGAATTGAATTGGGAACGAATCAAATGACCACTCAAATTGTTTCTCTCAATCTTTCGTTTTGTGATGGACTGAAAGTGCTCCATCCTGAGACATCACTGAAATCTATTCAAAATCTGACTTTCACTGGAGGATGTGACTCTCATTTATGGAACTCTATCATTCAAGAATGTCTAAAATCGTCTCAACACTTGAAAACTCTCTCATTCAACTTTAGGAGTCCATTTGTTCATGCATTTGCATTCAGACTTTCTAATTTGATGAGAGTCATTTCTTCATTGGAAGAATTCACATTGACTTCTAAATTTTCAACAAATACCTTCATGTTCAACTTCTCATCTCCATCCTTAAAGAAATTGAAAATCATCTCAGAAAATGAGAATCCTGTTGATTTTTACATTACGATGCCCCTATTAGAGAGTATTGAGCTCACACGAATCACCAACATTCGAATTAAGAGTAATAATCTCACTTCATTGAGTGTCACCAATTCTAAAATTCGACAATTAGCCATTTCTTCAGAAGATCAACAACCATCTAAATTGGAAAACATTTACCTTCATACAGTCACTGGAGACGCTTTGGCAAAAACATTATCAGAATGTCCTCAACTAAAACACCTCACACTCATTCAAGTGGAAACAAAAAACATTTTGAAAACCGTTCTACCAAGATGTGAATTACTCGAAAGTCTTTACTTTTCGGGAACGGTTCGAAAATTGGAGGTGATTCCTTCCTTACGAGTGCTGACAATATTTTCAGAAAATCTTCAAAGTGTGGTCTTTCCCAAAATTGATCATTCCAGTGTTGACACGAATCATGTGGTGGAATACAAATTGGCCACATTGAAACTCTCGTTTTGTTCAAACCTCTCCAAAATTGATTTGAAAGAAACCACACTTCCATACCTTCGAATGGTAGATGTTCGAGCTAGTAAAGTGGAAGATTCATCTCTGAAAAAGATGATTTCAAGAGCACCTCGGTTGACTTGCATACGAGCTGGAAATAGTGCTGTGAGTGAATCGTTTGAAAAGATGATTAAGGATGGAAATAGAAAGGCCAGCTTTACAAAGAAATAGAGTTTAATTTTTGCGATGGATTGAATAAAAGACAAAATAAGGTGGATGACAAATACCAACCTTTAATAGTCATAATCTATGAAAGATTTGTCGGTGAATTGATGGAGCAATAGTCACATCATATCTTCAAGAAATTGCTCATAAAAAATTGATGTCCACATCAATTAAAAAGTCATGAGGACTATTGATGCTCAAGTGATGTTAAAGTAATTGGAAAATGTTGATGTCCAGTAGTACAATTTGCACTTGTGTGAGGTTCCATATGACTAAACGATGAAAGATATTTTGAAGTGTGATATTCACTCAAATTCAAATCATCCAATACTCCCTCTTCATCAGATATATCATCCAAATTGGAATCTTGAGGAGTAGTATTACTCATGGTGTGTGCATTTTGAGACATCTTTCTTTTCTTCTCTCGTTGAGCAATTCTCTTTTTCAGGAAATTCAAACTTTTATCATCCATCAACTCGACGAGATAGGATAAACTTTGTTTCTTTCGCTTCTCTTCCATCATGATTTTAAATTTGATTGCCCAATCCAATGAATAACTCCAATTTGTAAAGTGTACAGAACATAAAAATCTTGGAAATATATCATTCTGAATCATGTTCAAAATATAGGAATGAGCTTGATTGAAAATGTCCAATGTCAATACGGATGATGTTGACATTTGTGAAATTTTCTTCTCAAAAATTTCTTGTAAACTTTCTCGTATTTCCCATGGTAAATTAATTTCTTGAGGTCCATAAGGTCGAACAAATCGTTCATAGATCGATGTGGCCATAGTCTTTAAATCTTTGAGTTTTTCATTGGAATCGAAAGAACAGAATGATTTGTCAATTCGAGAAAGGATTTGCTTGTACACCTTTCTGTATTGATTTACAGCATAAATAAATTCTAAACTTTCTTCACACAACTCATCTTTCATAAAGGAATGAAGATAATCAGCAGAGTGAATGTCTTTAATCATTCTCTCAACAGAAAAAATGTCACCAAGACTAGTTTGAATTTCATTATCCTCGGCAGAGCCCCACATGGTTCCATATTCATTGATTTCAGAGTTTGAAAGTGGTGAAAGAGTTGAATTTGAGAGTAAAATATTTTTTGAAAGGAACTTGAGTTGTAAATGAATTTCTCCGGTGACTTTGTGAGTGAGCTGTGAAAAGTGTGACAATGTGATAATTGAGATCATTATTCGAAAGATTGAAAATTTCAAATTTCATCGTGATGTGTTGATGATTAAAATTTTCAAAGATTGAAATTTTCGTGGCGTAATGAAACGACTTACACTTTGTGATTTGAGTTTGTACCACTTGTCTGTGATATCTGTTTTGCTTTCAACAATGGCTTGTATGGGTATTTCAACAAAACCAAGAAAATCATCAGTCCCGATGGTATCTTCGTCCATGACCTGTGAATATGACAAGTGACAGTTCAATAATCATCCACATTCTTGACACTCAAAAAATAAAAAACCTACATAGACCACTAATTCTTGTTTCGTATCCGTTAAATCAAAACAAAATTCTTCATTCCAAATCGGATCTAAATTCTGATAAATAACTTTTGATTTTTGCTGAACATTTTCCACTAAATGTCAACAGTCATTGAATTCAAATTGAAATGATGACCATTCCATTTAAACACATACCCACCAACACACAATACGGATCACTTGTTCCATTCACATCCGCAGCAATCAATCTTCTCGCTTCCACCAATTTAATCCAAATTCTTCCGATCATATGAAACGATTCTTCTTCCATGTGATTTCCATTTCCGGAATGTTGATGATCATGAATCCAATCATGATGAGGAAGCATGCTTCCGAAAGAAGAAGGAATCATGCCATTGCTGTTGGGATAGACATGATGATGAGAAGGACGAAAAAATTCGACGGAACCTCTCACACTGTTGAAGACCATTTTTTTTTTGAATGAGAATTTTGACAGCTAGCAGGGACTCTCACGTCCGACTCCATTTCACAGATTCCTATTGCCCGGAGCCCTCTTTTCAACCAATACAAGAAATGGACAACCCAAGAAGTTGCTTCCATTTTGACTTTGGATGATGTCGTTGGTGGAGCCTCATTGTCTGTTGATGATGTCAAACCTCTCGTTGAAGCTGGTTTCAAAGGAAACTCTTGATAACATTGTTCATAATATCAAAGAGGTCGGAAAGCTAGCTGCTATTTCTTTGTTAGAAGACAAGTTCAAGGACAAGAATGGGATGATTGAACCTCGTCTTTCTGATACTTGTTCAAGCGTGGTATATTGGTCAATGATGCATTGATGCCCAAACTTTTTCGTTTGTGGGACAAGGGTCAAACAAAGGATGCATTATGCCAATCAAAACTAAACGGTGGGGCTGGATTAACCATAGAGCAAGCTCAGCCTTTCTATGATGCAAAATTTGATGGAACAACTCTCTCAAAGATTGTGTACGAACTCGAAAATGCTCAACAAAATGGGAATGAACTCTCTGTATCATGAAACAATTTTTTGAAAACCAGATTGATTTATCCACTTGCACAACTGTTGTGAATTGGATAAAAGACAAATTGATAGAGAAAAATAAGATACAATTACCATTATTGAAAACCGTTTCTAAACGAAAGTAATTTGGATAACTGTACACTAATCTTGCTCATGAAAATTCCACACGTGAAATTTGTGCCAACTGTTTTACATTTTATTGGGATGAACGGAAATTGGTAGACTCAAAACCGAAATACATTCCAGACAAATATATAGAGATAATTCCAAATTTTTCTGATGAAGAATTGTATTTATTGCAAGAGATCAGTGAGCTAAAATTGAGAGATTTATCACATGTTCACCATGGCTATCTAGATCGTCTCATTTTCAATGGCATGCTGAATAGAGAACAAGCAAAACAAGCGATTTTAGATTTAAGTGCAAGACAATACAAAGCAAGTCAACAAGAAAAAATTAACAAACAAGACTTAACTTTTTTGATTGCCAAAGGTGGGAGTGGGAAGACTCGTATTATGTCTGAGGTAAAACAGGGATTGATTTTATTTCCATCATTATCAGGAACGTTAATGGAATCCGATGCCAAATTTGGACCAAATAACAACTGTCTCATTACCATCATTGCGACAAGAGGATGTCGAAATTATTATGAAAGAGCAAGATTTAATAGAATTTTATACACCAAAGTATCAGATTTTTTGGAGTATCATTCACATTCTAAATATCTAGGCACAACACATGAATGAAACAAAAATAAGCGATATTTACGGTAATGTTGTGAAAGAGGTGTATAAGATATATCAACCAAACGATGAAGTAGATGCTTATTAATATCTATCCATACTTACTCTTTCAGAATTTCCATATAGCACTCACAAAGCTCTCAAATATGAAAAGAGAGTTGAAGAATTATCTGGCCAAGGCAGAATTTACAAAACTATTGACCATATTGGAATACCACTTCTTGCTATTGATAAACTTTCAGAATCAAATGAGAAAATTCCAAAAAGCTTATTCAACGACTTTGTTTATACCTCAACAAAACCGGATTGGGAAAAATTTGAAGAGCTATGTTTGAAAATAATTACCTGCAAACTGAACTATATTCTCAAATTGAAACCAATTGAGCCTGTAAATACTTTTACTGTTGGTGAACTTTTTCAAGGAGCACATATGACAGATATGCTTGCTCATATGACTTTGATTACCAGTATTGGCATAAAAGCCTACTACCGTTATGTTGAAGTTGTAGAGACAATTTCTAAATCACTCATTCAAAACGAAAACATGAATAATGTAATCACAAAGGCAAAACCGAATCAACAAGGTATTGATGGATTTTTGCCTGTATTTGTTTCTGGTGGGAGGAAAGTGTTATTTGTAGTTCAAAATAAGTTTATGAATGATGATTCACAAATAAGGACATTCGAACCCAAACAATTATGTGATTATTATAACAAGGCACTATTGGATATTGAAGGTTATGATATTTATCCAGTAATTTTTTCGAGAAAAAAGTCTCTGATAACACAGCCAAAAGTGTTACAACAGGAATAATTCCAACTTCAAAAGAGAAACCATGTCCTAAATTAATTTTGGTTTCTGGAGACTGTTTTGATGCCTTTTTCCATTCATTCATTGCCAACATTCTCAAACTTAGGGAAAAATCTTATGAGGAGTAAAATTTAAACATCTACCATTCAAGCACAGCTAATTATTAGGTGATCAATTGTTATCGTTATTAAAATGCCAATGCGTGACGTATTGATTGATCGGGACTAAGAGAATTCTTGTGTTTTATTGTTGACAACCATTGTTATTGTTACCGATCTTCTTTATGTGTATTGGTTGTGACTGATATTGCTTCATTTGCCAAGGCTTTTGGTTGTTAATGAATTTGAAATTCATGAATTTTCAGAATTGATCATTTACGACCAAATGACCATCATTTCACAGGAATACCAGTGAATCATTAGGATGCCTTCATTCATAATGCTTCTCAACTCTCAGCACATTATTCTCCAAAAAAGTGGCCTTATACTTAAAAGTCCTCACACATCCACCAGCATTAAATAAGATTGGAAGCCATAAGAAATGATCGTATCTATCATCACAAGAATCATATTAACAAAACGATGGATTGTTGACATTAATATTTTCATCTTGTTTCACATCATGATTCTCTTGATCATTCTCCACTTAGTCATGCATGTACCCGAAAAAACAAAACGGTTTGACATGATTTGTATCTTCTTCAATGTTAGGATTCGGAAATTCATTAGAATTCCATTTCAATTACAAAAAAAAATATAAAAAAAAATGCAAACCGCACGTCCTTTGTGTGGTGAAGGCTTTCATTCCACCAATGAATTTGCTCATCCAAAGTTGCATCTTGATCCGACGGCACAAGATACCACATCATCAGAAAATAACATGTACTTTTTTGATTCGTATACGAATGAAAGGAATCGGAATGCGGAACAGCAAACTAGTCCGATGATGCATGAATATTCATTTAAAATGGATGATCGAAATGATAATTGTTCATCATCATTAATTTCGGCAGATCATTTGAGATTGTTGTTATTTAGACATCAAAATTTGAGGGCCTTCAATTCGAGTTTAAATATGAATAATAATAGTAATAATAATAATTCTAATGAGGAACAGAGATGGGATTCAAAAGCCGATGCATCCAAATGTTCGAATCACCTTGATCATCCATCTCCTCTCATTACAGGCAGTGCCGATCACATAAATACAACAACTATGAAACCTGTACAATCAAAACTTTTGAATGCAAATAATCAAGAAAAACCAAATATGACCCAAAAAGGACTCTCGTGCTTGGAACCAAAATGGTTGAAGCAAAAATTTGAATGTGACATGGCCCGTTCTTCACCTACTCTGAAAACTCCATCAAATGAAGATCTTGATCATCAACAACAATCACTAACAGCCCAACCTGTACACCTCACTAACGTCAACCAACCTAATACTATTTCGTCCGAAAAGAAACCATCTGCAAAATCAACACAAACTGCAATTTCCAAATCAAAGAAAAAATCTAAAAAGAGAACCATTAATACCAACCCAAAGAGCCGTCAACATGCAACCATAGAAAATTCACAAAAATTGAAATCCTTCAATGCGGTCATGATCGATTTATTTAAGGACTATACTGAACAATCACCACATGATTTATCGCTCACCACAACACACGACAACAGTAGCAACACACTCTACTCAAAAATTAGCAAAACTCTAAAAAGATTTAATTTCTGGTGGAACAAGTGGAAGAAGGAATTCACTGCAGCAACCATTCATCAATTTCTGAGATCGTACGATCCTCTCATGAGAACCTTTGAATGTCTTCTTCTCTTCTTTGATGCCTTTCACTTTCCAATGTCTGTTCGTCTCTTCACACATCGAGTTCGACACTTTTTCAATCTCATTTTCCAATTCTTATACGCCTCTCTCTTCCTCTTAGAAGAAAATTCAGAAGCAGAACGAGAATTATTGATTCACAGTAACAATAATTATTACAACGACTCACAAATCTACCAAACCGATCCATACTATTACTATGACGATGTCAATTATTATTATCATCAAAATCCCACAGGAGATCCCTTCACATAATCTTCACATCATCATCCTTGATCATTGAACGCTCATTCCACACGTCTATAGAGGTAAGATAGTTACTCCCATAAAGAGAGAAACAACAAGCAGTGTTTCATCATGGAACGAACGAATGAGAAAGTCATTCCTCTCAATAATTGTGATTCCAAGTGTTCCTAACGGTCAGAAAATTTTTTTAAAAAAAAATTGAGGCAACCATTTTTTTTGGAGCCTTACAATAAGACGACGCGCACACCTGAAATTTCTCTCTCTGTTGGAAAGCCTTATCTCATTGTTCGGTCGGTTACGGAAACACCAGTAGTGATTGTATACAACAGCAAGAACAACAACAAGACGATCAGTATTAGCTAGATCAGGCATAAAATAGAACATTGATATCTAGGAGTGTATATGATTCTTGTGCGCTGTAGTGAGATCAAAGATGATGAATTTATCTGCAACGAGCAGTAGTAGTAATAATAGGGGTAGTGATGTTGGAGGTGGAACTATCAACGTGAATAATATTGTAAATAGCAACAATAAGTTGGCCGAGTCGAGAACGTCCTTAAATCGGGATCATATTCTGGCAACCATGAATCATGATTTACAACTTTCTCCTGCCGGCTCCGAACGGATAGAAAGGAGGAGCCTTATGAATGGGCTCTCAACTCCACAACATGGAAGTAGTGCTATGAGCAGCCCTTCCAAGAAATCCATACAAGTGAGCCCTATCGTTGAGAGGTTGAATGCTGTCAAGACTAGTGCTCAGACGTTCAATGGGGACCTCATGGAAGATTTGACAGCAAAGAAAGAAGTAGAACAAACAAAAGTATTCGAACTGAGAGATACAGTGGCAAAAATTGAAAAAGATCTCACGGTGGAAATGAGGAAACGAGCAGAAGGCGATAAGGTTTTACAAACTTTGTGTGATAATAAGATTAACACTGTACAGGATGCCATTGAAAAGAAAATGAATGAGAAATTTTGCCAAATGCAACTAGTGATTGATACACTTTCGAAACGTGTGATCAATCTCGAACAATTACTGGCAGAAGAAAAGGACTATGCATCTAAATTTTCCAACACTATGAAAACAGGAGTTATTGGACAGCTAGAAGAGCTCAGAAGCATGATTGAGGAAGAGAGAATGAACAGAATGGAAAAGGAAGCACAATTGACCAGAAAAATCAATGATGAATATTTCAAAGTTTCACAAAAACTAGAAAGTGAAAAAAAGGCTAGAGAATTGTTTATAACTTCAACTAGAGAAGACATGGAACGAGTAGAACAAGCAAAGGCAAGGATTGATCAAGATTTCAGAACTAGGATTTTCGAAGAGGTGGACAACTTAAGAGAGGAACTAAGGCGAGAAACGGAACAGCGAGAAATTGTCGATGAACAAATTGTAAATTCTCTGGACACGATCATCAAACAAGTGCATGACTCTCTGAGAATGGTGACCAAGTAAACAAGACATTCTGTCTCAACAGATTTCAATATTTTCGTGAGTCCAAGTGAAGCCAAATCACTCTAGTACCCGATGGCATCCATCACAGACTATATGTTGCCACTTCGAAATCGTGTTGGATTCAACAACGACTGAATTGAACGAAGAATCACACAATAGGGCTAATACCAACATAACTGACCAAATCAAAAGCATTCCCAAGAATCACTCGTTCCTCTTTCCAGTTTTTAGAAGTCCGACGAAAATCACTGCATGAACTTGGTGTCTTTTGTCTCCACCAGCCATTTCAAATTTACCTGTCACAGACTTATCCTCTAAACGGGCAATAATTTTTCAAAAATCTCTGGTTCAATCTTCGTTTGGGCTTGTTCAGCTTTAATGTTGTCCAACATTTGCTTCTCAAAGATGGGTGGGTGGGGTCCATTGAGGAACATGAGAATAGCAGAAAAATCCATCTTATTGTGTAAATTAATACCCACAGTGTGTGTTCACTTGTCATTCCTTTACAATGACTCACGACTTGAATATGCGATGGCAAATCGGTTGCTTTAACGAATATGCGATGGCAAATCGGTTGCTTTAACATAACTTTTAGGAGAAAGTTCAACGGTGCAAAGCCCTGTCTTTGGATCCTTTTGAATCTCGTTCATTAAGAAGGTCGTTGGGATATATAATAAACAAGTATCAACCATACCGGAGAATAGTGGTTCATATTGGATATTTTTTTGATGTGACTTGAAGTTGACAGCTTGTCAAATTACAACAGCTGGTAACAAATCGTTTGAGGAGAATTCTGGACCGATTATTCCTAAGAGTATTGCACATTCAAAATAACCTCTCAATTTTTAACAAATAAAGACATGTCGCTGGCCTGCCAATTGCTTGATTTCGTTTTTTTTGAGAATGGAAATTGATAATATTAAACGACAAGCAATTTCACTCAATGTCCATCAATAGAGTTGCATTATGGCAGAAAGTGCCTTTCGAATCTTTTCTTCTGTGACGCTTTTTGGATTGTTTTTCCAAACCCAATAGAATTTACTGGGTTTTTTCATTTCATCCACCATGTCTGAGCCATATATGAGCCTACAAATATCATCGAGTATGTGGGTCTTATTTCTTAAACTATACAAACGATCCAAAAAAGGAAGAGGGTCTGTAGAAAAAACAAAATCAAACACTCGAAAACTTCTATTTGAGATCATGTATGAGAATAAATCCTGTTTGACAAGATGTAAAACCTTTTCATGTGCAATTTGTTTAAAAATGTAGTCTTCTGAATGTTTTTCTCTCGAATTAAGGATTTGTTTATTCTAGCTTTTCTGTAAATGTATTGCTTTTTAAATACTCTGAACGTGATCAAGCTTTTTGTGTCCCCTTGATGGTTCGAATAATCATTTAAAACAGATCCAAAAGACCAATTTTTGAAAATGAATTTCATCTCCTTTCCATCTATTTCAATGATTTTATATGGAGATTGTTTTGGTTTTTGTTCTTGGTAGATTCTATTTTCTAAGCGCGATAAATGTTGCTCCCACAATTCATAACTCTCAAAAAAGATGATCCGAAAAATCTCTCTATTCAATAGACAAAGTTTCATGAGAATTGTCTCTACATCGCAATAAGATAGGATCTCTCGGATCATGTCATGGGGTAGTTTGCTTTGAATCATTTTTTTTGTGGTGTGATGAGTTAATAATTTTTTATTATAATTTTTTAATTTTGAAAATTGAAAGACTTCAATTTGATTTGATGTTGAGCAAATAATTAGGCCAAATTTCAAATGCAAACTTTTCCAACTCAACTTTAGCCATCTCTATCTCAAGTTTGCCTTCCTATGTCATTCTCTACCGTCGTTTGGTGATGCATGAGCATTTTTAGTTGACATTTTTGGCGCATACTTTACAAGAAAACTTTTTAAAGTCTTTGGAGAACTCTTGCGTTAATAAAAGTCATACAAGAAAACTTCATCCCATTCTCTGATCCCAGCAGCACACTTCAAGTAATTGTTTGCACACACTCTTTTGAAGAAGAAAATTCCAAAAAAAAATGCTTTTTCAACTCGACGCTGAAGGTAGGTGAGAATGAGTGTGCACTAGACCAATCCTCATCATCATCACTCTCTCTCGGAGGGAATATTTTCAAACTCAATATTGATTATGTTGGTATTGATGATTAATTTTTGGAATGATGATGTTTTTTTCATCACTTACATGTAAAGCCTTCCGTAAGGTTCATCCATTGGAATTTTACAAGAAATTTCTACCAGAAGGAATTCGTCCCGATGGGCGATCGCTCAATATGATCCGAGAAAGCCTCATTTCAAGTGGTTCATTACGAAACTGTGAAGGCTCTTCTCTCGTAAAAACTGGAAATACTAGTGTCGTATGTGGTATAAAAGCTGAAGTCATGATTCCGACTGAAGAAGCTCCTCGAGATGGACGAGTGGTGATATCGTTTGATTTTCCATCCATTTGTGCATCAGATGTCACAGGAAATTGGGAAGAAGTGAATGAAAGAAAATGTACCATTCAACAGAGATTAGCTTCTGTTTTATATAATTGTGAAGTTTTGGATTTAAGTCAGTTGTGTATTGAGGAAGGAAAGGCTTCATGGGTTTTATATGCGGATTTATATTGTTTGGAAAATGATGGAAATGTTTTTGATGCGGCATTGATTGCATTATTGACTGCATTGAGAAATGGTAGGTTTGAAATTGAGAACCAAAATGTATATTGTGGAGATTTCTAATTGAATATACTTTGTGGATCATGGATTGAATGTCATTGAATTATTTTAAATGTATATTGGAATATTTGTGGAATTGATGAACATGATGGATTTTAGTATCACTTCCAAAGGTTGAAATATCCAAAGATGAAGAAGCAATTGTAACAGATGAAAAGGCAAATCTCAAACTGAAACTTAATCATTACCCAATACCGTTATCTTTTGGACTACTTTCTGAGTAAGTTTTAACACAATTTTGAGTGGATGGAGTTTTAAAATTGGGATTAATAATCACATTGACGATAACCATCCTTTCTATTTGCATTTGTAAAAGCTACATTTTAGTGGACCCTACAAGCGAAGAAGAGTCACTTCTTTCTTGGAAGCTCACGGCCGTATATAATGAACGCAAAGAATTATGCATGCTGTTCAAACCTGGTGGTATCCCGATCAGTCAATCCTCTTTAAAGTACTGCATGGAGTTGGCCAAGAAGCGAACGGACAGAATCATTACCATGATCAACAATAGCCTTTCAAACTAACAATTCAAACCTAGAGAACAATAAATTATTAACATCTCATTAGCATAACTTGCAAGAGATTGCTAACGGGAAAAGCATCTCAATTAGTTTGGTTATTATCATTTAATAACATTCACAATTTGCTGTTGTTGAGGATTGCTTAAACTTTGTTTTCAGGAGAATTATCATTGCTTGAAGAGGATGTGGCAACTTGTTCGCTGCTTTTTGGAACAGAAGTTTCTCTACCCTTAACAATTGTGTAAGCCATACTACCAAAGATTGAAATGAAGGTTCCCAACACACTCACTGCATCCAACTTGTCTCCAAATACAACAGCTCCGAGTAAACTTTGAACGCAAGCCTTACAGGTTCCAGAAATTGTGTGAGTCAATGAAGAAGTGACATTAATTTGAAGGAATGTTGCAACGTTAATCAAATAGCCCAAAATACTGCTCACAATCAACACAAATATGAAACGTGGCTCCTTAATGTGTGGACTTGCCAATGCTTCACCAAAATCACCTGTAACCAAACAAATCACAGTCAACAAGATGGAGCTTAGGATATTGTTATAAAGCATGAGCACCCACTGATTGCTCACCAATTGCATTTTGGATTTCACGAAAATTCCATACAAAGCAACAAACGCGCTCGAGAGAAGTCCATAGAAAACGCCCAACCAAGTAAAATCAACCTTCTCCAAATTTGCTTTTCCAATCACTCCGATAATGTATCCTGCTAATACAACTCCACAACAATATAATACATTCAAGCTTGTTGTTTGTTTGTGCAAAACATAAACAAACAAGGCGGTAAAACAAATACTCAAGGATCTAGCAATTTGATAAAGTAAAACATCGGCGACTTGCAAACATAGATTGTTGAATACAAGCATACCAATGAACAATAACGATAGTGGAGCAATCTGCTTTGCTTTCTCCGATGAAAACTCTGGTTTGGGAATAAAATTCGGAAACAAAGGATGAGATGCCGCTTGTAACACAACAGCAAACACCAATTGCACCAGAGTCATCGTCATGGCAGGAAATTCATATTCATTTGAATTCAAAATATATTTGTTTGCAAATACAGTTGATATGGAGATGATAAAATAGAAGGCCACCGCTCCGGCAATGATGGCGTTGGAATGAGGCTTGTCGGTGCTGGAGGTCATTTTTTTTTGTTTGCTTCAAAAAGCTCAACTGTTTTGACCCATAGGATAACTCTTTGATGAGTCTGACATCTTGATATTGGAATGTAGTTTGGTTGTAGTTTGGTTGTTGTTATGATGAGCAATTTTAATGGCACTTATCCTTGGAGTGTGGACAGTTCCCATTGTTGTTGAAAATAAATATTTGAAACCATTTGTCAAGAGAGAATCATGTCAACCGTAAAAAGTAGAACTTCAATCTTGTTCGAGTTCGGCTTCCACTTCGTCTTCGAAATCTTCGTCGGCTTCCTCTTCGTCTTCATAATTATCCAACATTCTTCCAAGAATTTCCTTGTATTCTTTCAATTCGTCTGGCGAGAGATTGTAGCGATAGGTGGTGAGTCCTGAACCTCCCACAGAAAGTGAGGCAGAGCTTCCGCTTATGGTGTCGAAATATTTGGTCAATTCATGGATATGTTTGCTAAAGTTTCTACTGTTTGAAAGATGAGTACCGAAAGGACATGTCTCAACTCTTTCATTTTCCTCTTCTGAGGATGCGTGTGAACGAATGAGTCCATCTCGTCTCAGTAACGAGTTATTGAGATATTGAGGGAAAGTAAATGGAAGCTTAAAAGGTTGATTGACATGGAAAGCATGCTTTGAGAAACAACGTGTCTGATTCATATAGCCCTCGATCATTTCGAAATGAGAATTACATCCAATTAAATGTTTGTGCTTTTCCAATTCTTCTCCTCCGAATCTCTTCATTCGAATTTCGTCCAATTCCTGCAAATCACTTTGGTGATAAAGTGGCACGTTGACAGGTGTCAATCCACGAATAAGGAGTGATTGAGCAAGAGGATCATGAGCATGAAAGCCAGTAGCGATTTGAGAAAGAAGTGGAACAAAATGTTCGTTTTGATGAATAGGCCTAGCACTTCGAAAATGTTGGAAAAGTGATGTTCCTGCTTTGAATCGATATGGAAATGCGAGGTTAATGTTGACAACACGTAGAGCGTTCAATGGTGACATTTCCTGGATTAATGTGTAAAGATCCGTTTGCTTGTTATTTGAAGTACCATTAAGGCGATAAGATAATGAAACTGAATCAAATGCAGAAGCAAGAACTGAGGAAGCGTGATACAATTTCTTTGGCTGCATTTAAGAAATTTTCAAATAATCCATAAGATGAATGAATTGGATATCAAAAAATTGTGAATGTCATGACAACTTACATTAAAATGATGCGTCATATATTCGCTCACTAAAACACCCGGTAGTTGTTGACAAGTGTTTGGGATGAATAAGCTTGTGTTTTGATACATGTCTGCGTAGGTGAGACATGTATTCATGATAAATTTCAACCGATCCTGATCGGATGCAAAATCTGGAATATATGGTGATGATGCATAGGAGATAATTGGAACCTTAGTACCGATTTCATCTTTGATGAGTTGTGCGAAGTCACTACAAGTCATGCCCCATGCATTGAATGAATCTGTGAATACTTGAAAGCCATCCAAAGTGTCACATTCCTCAACAAAATACAACAGTTGAGATGTGAAATCATCATATTGATCACTGCTAAATTCTCCATGCAACACTTCTTTACCTGTTGTGTAAATATCAAAAGGGCTGTCCATAGCAAATGGATTCATTGGGTTGGGAGAGTTTAGAGCGTTGTAGCTGTCCTCTGCAAATTGGAATTGTACGGGCTCACAGATAGTTTTCGAATGAAAATCCACTTGTAAAAAGTCGCTCCACAATGAAACATTTTCCTCTAAATCTTGCTCAATATCTGTCCGTGTGTATTCCTTCTTGGGTTTCTTGGGTTGTGGTTCAAAATGTTTTGCAGCTGAATGTGAAGAAGCTTGTTTGTTTGCATGAAATAAATGATGGTCATCACCTTCCTCTGTTTGTTCATTTTCATCCACAATCAACTCTCTTGTATGTTCATCAGCTGCAAGGACGTTTTTTGTAAATTTTGTTTGTCTCTTAGTTTCAAACGTTCTTAATACTTCTAACTTTTCCCATCGTGTAAGATCCTTCTGTTGATCAATAAATTCGGGTGTGATGGACCGATATGGCTCTTCTTTATAACCTTGCTTTCTGAGTGAACCTCTTGACCCCTTCAGATCAAACACAAGAAGCCTCGGATAGAAGGTAGAAACATCATTTTCGGAATGAATTGAAACTCCCACTCCTCTCGATTCTCTGTACAAGACAGAGGATTCAATTTCAGGACGAAAATTAGGCACCATCGGATTATTCATGAGAGGTTGGAATTCATTCAACAGAGTTTGTTGAATGTTCCAATAGTGTGTGCCGATGAAATTGGAAAAGTGCCCAAATTGCAAAGTAACAATTTCTCTCATTTTTTAACAGGCCCATGATGGTTCGCCTTAACATAGGCCTATGGAATAGACATCTTCAAAGAAGAAGAGAACAACCCTTTTATTTTCCATTTGTATTTGCAATGATGTTGCAAATTATTGATACAACAGATATGTTGATGAGATATATGAACGCAAATTGATTGTTGTTCATTCTAATACTATTAATAATTACATATTCATCCCCTCTATTGTTGGCGTGGCAATTTTCCATAAATAATTCTTAGATCAGAGAATTGAGAAATAACGATTTGAGGAACGTTGTAGGTAAGGTCGTCTTTCTTGACCTCTCTGTATGTTAACTTTCCTTTTACATTGACAATAAATCCCTTCTTCAAGTACTTTTGGGCAGAGGTAGCCAGAACTTTATCAAAGGAAACAACGTTATGGAAGGTTGCCTGCTCTTGGATGGTTCCGTCCTTCTTTTTGATTCTCTCTGAAGTAACCACAGAGAAAGTTGTCATAACGCCATTGGGGAGTTGTCTGACAACTGGATCGCTAGAAACTGTACCGATGAGATATACTGAGTTAACGCTTCCTCGGATGGTCATAAAGTTTGGATCTGCTGGTGATTTGGCAGCCACAGTGGTATTCTCGGGAGCAGCACTTTGATTGGTTTGTTTTGTGGAAGCAGCACCAACGGTGGATTTAACGGTCTCAGCATACACTCTTGAATTATTGCTCGAGAAATGAGCAACAGAATTACCATGATGATTTTTCAAGGCTTGTTGTAGAGCCAACACATTACGAGAAGAGAAGGCAACCACACGGCTGCTGCTTGATCGGAAAGCCTTCAATGATGAGGAAGAGGTCTTGGCGAGCATTTTTTGTTTGTAATTTTGTAATTCTTCAAGATGAAGAAAATTTCATCAAGAGAGAAAGACAGATCAAACTCATCTCTGGGTTTATCGTTATATTTTGAATGGAATGGTGTTCTTTGATTTCATTTAAAAGAAAAGGAGATTACGAGTTAAAAAAATGAACTCTTACAACAACAACAACAGCAAATTGACATCTGCCATCTACGGAGGCTATGGATGCATTTATTTCATCACATCCATGCTCATGATCTTTTCACCCTTTCATTCGGCTAATATTCTGTTTCAACAAACATTTTTCGCCAATGACATGGATAATTACACAAGAATTATTTTTGATTTATTTAGATTTTCGGGAATGTTGATGTGTTTTCTTGGAGTTTTACTATTGTTGATGATGTTGAGAGTGACTGATAAGAAGGCTTTGGATGTTTTCAATTTTTCACTTTGGTTATTGTCCATTTTTGGAGTTTTTATTTCATTCTATTATTTCATTTTGAGCAAAGAGTATCGTTGGAGGGATTGGTCCTGTTTCACAATTTTTGGCTTCTATTGCATCAAGTGTGCCTTACTGAGCTATGTTTTATTTGGAAGTAATAAGAGAAGAGATTTTGCATCCTCATTGCCAACTCATTCTTATGGCCACAGCAGTGGTGGATTCTTTTCATCTCCACCATCATCTTCCTCTCTGTGGAACACTGCAAGTTTTCAATCGACCTACAAGGATATGAATTCTAACAGTAATGACTATTCTGGTAGTTATGGATATTCCCAGCAACCCTATTCCATGAATACCATGTATGGAAGCGTAGGAGGAGGAGGAGGAGATTTGAGACGAAGAAATTAATAATAGTATTTAATAATAATCCTAGCAATCTTAGCATGAGAGAACATTTTGAGCCCTTACATTCTCATGAGCGTTACCCGAAAACTGTACTTTTGCATGATTGATACTCAACCAATCATCATCACGAGGTGCTTTTGAGTTGTGAGTCTCAAATGTTGTCGCGCCACATGTGTATGGCATGCACGTAGGACTTTCATCATTGTCATTCAATATCCATAATTTAATAAACATTTCCAATTCATTCTCGAGAGATAAGGACTATTTTTTTATGGTTTTTATTCTCTGCGACACACGTTTTGAGCTGAATTGAGATTCTACCAATAAGGTGTTTAAAATCATTTACATGTTGTATGATGTGACCTCATGAATGGAACATGGTGTGCTGCCATGCTGAACTTGGCATGTCATTCATTCCAATTGAGGAAAGGGAGATCCCTCAATTCGAATCCTTTTTTTTGATCATTCACCTTTGCTTTCCAAAATTCCGTTTCTCTAATGCATCCTTCGCACCCACGTCTTGCCTTCACTTTCTAGATTCCACCATCGCAGGCTCGGGCCCAAGAGAAGTCAGAGGGACGAATTCATGACACCAAAAAGTCTCAAACCCACGCTCCTTGTCTTTCCATCTGCGACCGACTCCGAAGAAAGGTAAAGCCCATCCTCTCGAAACGGTTGAATATCCTCACAACGCAACCACAACAAACACACGAATTCGTGTGGTCGGAATGAATCCTTGCGACACAGTCGATTGACTTTGTGTTTAAATCCTTCAAAGAAAATCTCTCACATTCTCTCCACTCACACTTTATTGAAGTCTCTTCAGACCTGTGTTGAGAGAACCACACTTTTTTTCAAACGAGCTTTCTCTTCCAACAACTGTTGATATAAAATCAATCATAACACAGAAGAGCCAACACCTCTCTCGTCGCGCGCTCGGTTTGTTGTTGAGAATTTTCTCAAAAGTAGAAACCCAAGAGGGAAACCCAACCACACACTTTCTCAGGACAATTGACACTCTTTCAAAAAAAAAGAAGAGATCGATTCGTACTATAACAAAGAAAATTGCGGTTGTTGTGGTCGTTGCGATTCAACCACATCTTTCATCCTTGCCCTCATCCTCATCACCGCAAGAGAGAGAGAAACGAAAAACACCACCACGTCGACGTGAAAGCCTCGCGCACGTTCATTCAACATCAACACTACTCAATTTCCTACTCGACATCATCTTCCACTTTGAACGTTTTCAAGAGTGAGAGAAAGACGAGTCATTGTTGATAATCTATCTTCTCAACGACTCGACCATAACAAATTCCTTCCCATCAATTGTTGTCATCATTACGGAAGAGTGTTGAAATTCGTTCACATCTCAATTTCGTCATCATCGTCATTACATAGTGAGCTTGATAACCAAAACATTAGAAATAGTGGATTCTTATCGTTGTATTGATTCATCACTAAAACGATAATTGTCCTTCTAAATTGGTAAGTTTGTCCACTCGAGATCATTTTCTTGACACTTGACAATTATTTGGTAAACAATCCTTTTAATGAACAAACTTTGCATAATTCATATTTTTCTCTCTCCATGTTTTGTAACTTGCCTCTTAATTTGCTTATGATGATCATCATTCGAAATAATCAGCCTTTTCTCACACAAAACTAACTTCAAAATCACACACAAGCACAAAGTGACAGGCATCAAATCTTCACAGCACTTCACACACACTTGAACATTCACAAAAGATTCCACAGGGACCAAAATCAGCAAATTAATTCTTTTTCTCACGACCTCAGCAGTAACCACAACCACCACCACAATAACAACGAACGAACAACAAATCGAACAAAATCTCTTCTTCACGAAAACATTGTCACCGTCATCATCATGGGAAACACTTGCCTTCATCCTCGACCCGAAGAACATGACGCCAAGCGTCCACAACAACACAAGAACAACGACGGAGCGCCTCCTCTCTCCATTCCACTCAATAATATCATCACGGTCGATAGCGAGTCGGTTGTCTCGGATCCAAGTCAAACAGCTCCCAATTCACCTTCTCTTTCAAGAAAGATATTGGGCTCGAAACTCATGATCAAACTCGCTTCCTCGAATCGAAATCTCTCTAAAATAAGTATCGAGAAAACAAGATCTCCCAATTCACCCTCGTCGTCGTCAAACAATGGTGAAGTTTCACCGATTCCATCCGCCAGCAGTGTGGTCAATCGTGTGAATCGATCGGTCAGCGCACAAGTGGGAGGCTCCGGCACGAATGGACACTATCACTTGGCCGATGTGTTGTTTGATCCTGTTGGATTTGAATTTCTCTATAAATTCTCAAAGAAGGAATTTTCTCATGAGAATTTAGACCTATTGAAGGTTCTTCTGACCATTAATTGTGAGGAGTTTGCAGCCAAAACAAATTCAGTACAACACCTAATTAATAATCAAAAAAGACAATCCATGAAAGTGTTATCACAGCAAGACAAAGAGTTGGCATTTATTGAAGAAATGAAATCTGTGGAAGAGAGTTATTTAATTCCAGGAGCTGAATTTGAAATGAATATTGGTTTTTGTACATTTGCAGTTTTATCAAAAAAGAGAAGAGGCGGATTGGATGAATTCGCAAACTATTCGGGTAATTCGCCACGAACGATAGTTGGAAAGAGTAATCAAGACTTGAGCAGTATCAATAATAAGGACATCCTGAGTGGCAGTAACTCTAACGGCAGTCCAACTGACCACAACAACAATAACACTACCACAGAAAATGCACCAAAAGTGACAATAGAGGATGTTGTGACATCTCTGAATCAACAAAAAGACCAACAAAATGGTCACCACGTCAATGATGACACTTCCCAACAAAATGGTCATTCCTCAATGACTGAATCAAAGATTAACAATCCAGACAAAACAGAGACCCCAACGACTGGAGATGAAATTAATGAAAATGATCAAATTAATCAAGCTCCACAAAATGCTCCTCTCTCTGAAACTTCTATTACTATCAAGATAGATAGCCCTCCAGAAGAATGCAACAATAACGATACACCTACACCATCAACTCAAACAGAAGCAATCAAGGAAATCAACCCATCATCGAATACTACTTTTAATTTTTATAGAGCTCTTCATAAGGCTATGCTTGACGATTGTATGGGAAATCTGCATGACGTGTTTGTAAGGTTCATGGATTCAAGGGAATTTGATCACTACTTGGAAACACGATTGAATAGCTCGATATCTAATCCTTCTCAAGTCTTGAACGTTAAATGATTCTGAAGATATCAAGATGCTCCTGATACTCTTTTAATTTCCAATTTTTTCCTTCCAAATAATTTTGCGGCATTCATCCCTGGAGTAAAAGTTTACTCCAATTTTGTTCCAACAACGCAATTAATCGACATTGCTTCAAGTAAACCACTCACGTAAAGTATTATTTCACCATGACGACACTGTTATTTTTGCCACTCACACTCAGAACGCCACATTGGAAGACTGTTGCAAAATTTTACATTTATTGAGATTTGGAATGACATGCAGGTTTCAAAATTTTCATACAATCTAACTATTGCAACAACGATTACTTTTTGGATGGACCTTTGTAAATAATTTCCTCCCAATTTGCTGGCACTGTGTACGCTCCAGCTGGTGGCACCTTACTTGCTTCTTTCAGAGTCAAATCGAAAAATCTACTCGCGGAAGTGCTAAATGGGGATGAGGTGTTTTTTGTGACTTGCTTACAAAAATCAGAATACTTGCTGGTGTCATACGTGGTCGATGGAGGGGTGCATGATTTTGGCTCAACAAATCTTGGCGACATTGATCCAAAAGCCTTATTGTCTTTCTTGACTTTGAAAGTCGAAGTATTGACGTTGTATTTTGTTGGAGGAGGCGTCAAAGGGGTCGGTAATTTAAATCTGTCGACTGATGACCTGAAGGAGGAGACAATTCCATGCTTGAAATCCATTGATGAGGTCACTGGAGAATACTGAGTGCATCCAGGTGACGTTGGTTTTCTGTCCATTTCAAATTCTCTTTTAGTTGTCGTTTTGAAACTGACAGAGGCCAAATCTCCATGTTTTAAGTTTGGATCCACAACGTTGTATTTGGTTGGAGGAGGTGTCTCAATTTTAGGCTCCTTAAATCTTGGACTTTGAGATTTGAAAATGGAAGCAAATTCCTTCGAGTCCATTGACGAAAGGTTCATGTTGTATTTTGTAGGGGGAGGGGTCAAAACATTTTCATCTTTGAATCTCTCAGCTTTAGAAGCGCTCCAAGGCGAAGGTTTTGACCATGATTTGAATTTCATATTCTCGGGAGTCTTCCATGAGGCCCTAACATTCTCGGAAGGTGTTTTCTTGTCCTTCTTTGCTGGAAGAGTTGGGCTTTTACTTCTTACAGGAGTGGAAGGAGAAGACTTGGTATTGCTTCCCTTAGCCTTACTGTCATTGGATTGTTTCAAAACCTCACGCGGAGAATTAACTTGGTTGGTCTTCAATGGAGAAGCAACTTTCACCTCTTCCAAGTTTTGCAACGATCTTTCCATTGTTCAATAGTACAATCAGCAAACAGTTTTTGGTTTGAAATGATCAATAATACACGTGATGGGAATTGAGAGCTGTGCTTGTAACAATTTTCCCAATCAAAATATTGAAAAAGAAGAAACTTTTTACGACAAGGAACGAAGAAACAAGTTGAGCAGAACGATGATTTGGTTTCGCTCGGTCTCTCTCGATATTTGCAAGAGCCTAGCCAAAGAAATTGAATTGAATGAATTGGGTGAGTCAAAAGAATTTTTTTCTCTTGATTTTTCCTTCCTCAAACTCTCTCGGTGATGATTTCATTGAAAGCCATCAAATGTGGTAGCTGTAGATGAAATGCGCTGCGAGAGGGCTCTTATGAGGGTGTTTGAAAGAAAAATTTTGGCGCCACGTGAACCTCATTACCATCATTGATGATGATGATGATGAATGATATGAATCGTGCGTGCTCGGAATGAAGAGATAGAGAACAGGGAGAGATGAATTTGCTGTAAATTATGCTTGAACGTTTAGTGGAATAAAAACGTCGCTGCGTTTGGAAATGTCTTTTTGGCAAAGGTCTGTTTAGGGACGACGCTTTTGTATTGAAAGTATGGATGGATGTGTGTGGAGTTTCCAATGCATAGTACATGAATATTAAGGTAGAAACAAATGATGTTCACAACAATCTCGAGTGGACCAGTTGCAACCTCATCGCATGATTTGGCAAATCACGATTAAAAATGAAAGCCTTCTTGAGATCGTGTAAAGACTCTCTCAAGAACATTCAACACGACTCAATTCATACGATTTGCATTGGAAATCAAGGTATGTTTGTTGAATGGAAGAACAGTATCGGAATGGATTAATATGCTCGTAATAACAAACGGATGGTGATGAAATTAATTCTATCATTGTTATGATGAAAAAACAATTTCATTGAATAATGTGAATATTCTTGACGCCAGCAAGCGATTTGGATTCCATCATTTCGTCCATTACATATTCGTATGCTCTTTCGAAAAAGAATAATGTGAAAACGTTACCTATCGTGAACATTCCACAAGATGAGTATAATCTAAGAACCGATGCCACATGGTTTTTGGAAAAGTTTGGAGTTGGAGTTGAGGATTTAATTTTCTATCATCAAAATCCAACCTTGATTCAAATTCTTGAAAAATTAGCTCAAGAAAACACATTACGTGTGGTTTTGACAGATCACAACAAATTAGCTCCTGAACAAGAGGATTTACTTGGAAAATTTGTTTATGAAATTATTGATCACCATGCCGACGAAAAACACTATACATCAATCGTGACACCTGAAAAACGAACCATTGAATTGATTGGTTCTACCTGCACGTTGATTGCAGAGAAAATGTCACATGATTTTTTGAGCAAGGAGCGGGAGTTTTGTGAGGCTCTCCTTGGAACCATTTTACTGGATACTGTAAACTTGGATCCAAAATTTAAAAAGGTTACTCCAAAAGATGAAACACAAGCAAAAAGACTTGCTAATATTATTTCCTTTTCAAAAAAGGATCAAGATGAATTGTTTGAAAAGCTTTTTTTTGAAAGATTTAACGTATCGAAATTAAGTTCACAAGATTTATTGAGGAGTGACTATAAAGAATGGAAAATGGGTTCGAAAAATGTTGGAATTGCTACAGCGAAGAGATCTCTGGAGGAATGGCTCGAGAAAGATCCCAATCTCGTTCAATCCTTTAAGGAGTTCTTAGAAAAGAGAAAGCTTGACATTCTCTATGTCATGTGTGCCTACACAGACAAAGACAATCAGTTCAAGAGAGAACTCGCCATTTACTCTCCCGATACGACACACCTCAAGAAAGCTTGCTATTATCTTGTTCAACATTGCAAGGATAGTCTTGATTTGACGCCATGGTCTGTTTGCCATCTCACCAACCAACACAAAGAAGATCAAGTCCCACTCGTTTGCTCCTTTTTCACACAACACAACATGGCATCTTCACGTAAAATCTTTGCCGAAGTGGTTCGAAACATGTACGACCAGAACCTCCTACACTTGTGACACAAAATCGAATTAGTTATAATTCCGAGTCACGATAATTCTGGTGTCCCTTTCTTTAGGGGTGCTCTCGTTATTTGTGCAGCCACGTGAACAACAAAGATCTTTCACATTGTAAAATCTTTGACTTGACTTCCTGTTTTGTCTCTGATCAAAAAAATGCAACAACAACCTCCACAGTACGGACAAGTTCCTCCACAATACGGACAACCAGGTCAAGTCCCACAACAACAACAACAATTCGTACAACAGCCTCCACAATATTCTCATATGCAGCCTCCTCAAGTGTCTGGACAGCCAGGTCAAGTTCCACAACAACAACACGGAACCATGACTCCTCCACTGACTTCATCTAGTCCACAACCAGGACAAGTCCCACAACAAGTACCACCAGGACATCATTCTCCACAACCTTACGGAATGCAACAATCGCAATACGGACAAATGCCACCTCAAGGACAACAATATGGTCAAATGCCACAACAACCAGGAATGCAACAATCTCAATACGGTCAAATGCCACAACAATATGGTCAACAACAATATGGCCAAATGCCACCACAACAACCAGGAATGCAACAATTTGGTCAAGTTCCTCAACCACAACAATATGGTCAAATGCCTCCACAACAATATGGCCAAAAACCACAAATGCCAGGTCAACCACAAATGCCTCCACAACAATATGGCCAACCAGGTCAAGTTCCACAACAACAATATGGCATGCCACCTCAAGGCCAACAATATGGTCAAATGCCTCCTCAACAACCAGGAATGCAACAATCACAATATGGACAAATGCCACAACAATATGGCCAACAATATGGACAAATGCCACCTCAAGGACAACAGCAATTTGGACAAATGCCACCTCAACAACAATTTGGCCAACAACAACCATATTTCACTCCAATCCAACAACCACACAATCCTCAACTCAAAGTTTGGTTCGATGCTGTTGATATCGATAAATCTGGACAAATCTCTCCAAATGAATTGAAGTCAGTCTTGTCAAAGGGCGGAATGGATTTCGATCTGATCGTTGCTCAAAGAATGATCAAAATGTTCGACAAGGATAACTCTGGACAAATTGGCTTCCAAGAATTCGAACAATTGCACAATTATCTCATGAACATGAAGACCTCCTTTGAGAGAACCGATGTGGATCGTAGCGGAAACTTGAACGTGAATGAAGTCAAGTCAGCTCTCCAAATGTCGGGATATCAAATTAATCCACAAGCTGTTGATCGATTGTTCAGATGTTTCAGCAAGAACAAACAAGCTCTCACTTTTGCTGAATATATTGATTTCACAATCTTTATTGGAACCTGCAAGAATTCATTCCAATTATTTGACAAGCAAGGAAATGGAATGGCCACCTTTACCTTTGATCAATTCCTTGAAGCTTGTTCCTACATTTCACAATAATATTACGATGTGTATTGAATCAATTTGTAATAAAGGTAATTTTCACATGTGTGGAATTGTGAGGTCTTTTGGGAAGATTCATTGTTTCATGAAGATGACGATCATGATCTGTTCACGAGCGCATCGTTCAACACAGAGTGATCGCAGCGGAAACCCCACTCTAAATTTAGGCTTGAGTTCTCTCTGTTTGTGTGCGTAACCTTGTTGTTGTCTTTTTCTTCATCAAAAAATAGAAACCAACAACAAGGAAAGGTGGATATCTCATTGTCCTTGATCATCATTCGTTCATTCACATCGGGATTGTTCATCATTATCTGTAAATATATTTTCTTCATCATCGCCTTGTATTGCGAACTCTTGAAATTTTACAAGTCTCGTTTGAAACACCTTCGGGATTGAGAATACTTTTATTGTACAACAATCAAATTCTAAACAACCACCACAATCAAACAACCATTACAATGTTGATCAGAGCAAGAGGAAAGGACGGCACATTCCGTTTGGATTTACAGGCAAATCAAACTGTTTTGGATTTAAAGAAATTACTTGAGGCTGAAACAAGCGTGCCTCATGGGAACATCTCAGTAAACAAATTCCGTGAAAAGAGTCCTCTCAAGGATTCCGCTACTATTCAATCTTGTCTTCAACACGGAGATATGGTTGAATTTTCTTATGATACCACTCAATTTAAATCAAAACAAGAAAAAGAAGAGGAAAGAAAGGCTCAACTCAGAGAAAGTGATGACCTAAATAATTTAGGTTTAAGAGAAAGAAAGAAACATTGGACCTTGAATGAATATTTGGATTTAGTCAATCAGGTCAAAGTAACAATCAAACACCAAAAATATGCAATTTCTTCGACTGCTTATTTGGACGAATATGCCGGTCAATCATTTCAACACTTTCTCGCTGGAACTAAATTCCAATTTCAACGATTTGGATTCTTGTATGGCGTAACAACTCCTGGAAAGAAACCACAACCAAGTGAGGAAGAAAAGAAAAAGGCAAGCAAGGATGAGAATTTCAATTTGGATGACGACTATCAGGATGTCTATATCCATGTTATATATGAACCAAAACAAGAGAGCACACCAACAGGCTTCACTCAATTAGAGGATCCAATTTACAATGATAGAGCTGATACATTGGCTGCCATGTTGGGAATGAAGAAGGTTGGTTGGATTTTCTCTCATGACGGTCAGAGAGAATATCCATTGTTAGGCCCTGAAATATTAAAAGCGGCCGAATTCCAGTCAAAGTATGGACCATCATTTGTGACAATTACTGCATGTCGTAAGTATTGATAGCAATGCATTTTTACAACCTGACAAATATTAATTTTGATCAACATTGCCATGTTGTCATCATTATCACCAATTTTTACACAAATAACTACAGCGGATGAGGAGGGGAAAATTGTATTCGAGGCCTATCAAGTCAGCAAACAGTGTGTAGAATTATGGGAAAAAGGTTTACTTGAACCTCACCCAACCAATCCAGAGTTTATAATAACCAAAAAACAAGTAGAGGTCGAGAGAAAGATGACCAATGAAATTGACGCCTTATTGCTGGTGAGTAATGTTGCCATTGCTTCGCACCAAGGAAACTTTCTCGTTGGCTTTCCACCAAGAAACAGACCTGGAAATGAAGCTCTGCAGTCCATGGATGAGCTGAAACAAGTCCTTTTGGAAAGAAAGAAACAGAAATTCGTGGATCGTGTGTCGGATTTTGATTTACTGTTATTCTTGACCGACTATCTTAGCTTAACGGTAAGTTTTCAATGCGTCATTTCAGTGAATTGATCTTATTTCTATGCGAATATTCACATGTTGAAAATGTTTCTGAGCAGTCTGACTTCCCTGATTTATGTGAAGCTATATGCTCGAAAAACAATGCAAGAGCATCAGGTTTTGAGGCTCTCATCAACGCTTATTGTGGCATTAATTAAAAGATCTTCAGCTGAATCGAGTTCTTTGTCAGTTCATTATTTTACAACAACTATTAATAGTTTTCTTGTTGAAAATCTTTTGAAAATCATTTTATAACCTTCAGCACAAGAAAACAAAAACAACAACATGATTTGGGGTTCACTTGCTCGCTCTGGAAAAGTCAAATATCAAACACCTCGTGTTCCGAAAACTGCTTCTCGTCGATACAAGGGAGGACATAAAAAGTTTCGGAAACATTCAGTGTCGAATGTCGAATATAAGAGTGGAGCTCACAGATTAGAACAAGAACCCACCCAGCACGTTTCTCATTCATTGACAAGCATTCCCGCACGATTGGATGAACGAATGAATGCAACCACAGCTCCGTTTTATCTTTCCAATAGTTTCCATAAATACAACTCTTCGAAAGGATATGATCGATTGGAATTTATTGCTACCAAACACGAAGAGAAGCGAGAAAAGAATTATTTTCGATCCTATGATTGCAATGATGCAAGAAATCATAAAAAGTGGCATCGAAATCATCCACAAGATGGTTTCTATCAAATGAGAGAAACTTTTGATTTTGCAAATGAGTGTGGTGAGGATGTTGAGTCCACTTTTGAGATCGATGAAGAATTCGAGCATGTACTTCAGAATGCGGAATGGATTAATTGATTCTGAGAATGGATTAATTGAATTTCAAGTTCTGTTCAGAAAATGCAAATTCATTTGGAAAGTCAAATCAGCAACAACTCTCCATGGGTCCTGTTGAATGGTCGCAACACTCTGTTGGTAAATTCGACATGTTTATGACTTTTATTCTTTCGAATTATTAAACTTCTTTTGCTTTGACAATTTTCTCAACTTGTACAAGTACACTTCACGAGTCTCTGATTTCACTTTTTCAGGAAGATATTGATAGGCTTCTCGACTCGATAATTCTGTGAAATTTTCTGCGATGACCTTAATGCAATGATTACGAATGGAAACGTCATTGTACACATCTGCCAACACAACAAGTTCCAAAGCATTCTGGGCAGTAATATTGTTTCGAACAATGACTCTTGCATGATTGGCAACTTCATTCAATTGGAAGAGCAGAGCACTGAGAAATACTTCAATCGCTGTCTCAATAGACACCACAATTTGATTCGTGTATAAATATTTCAAAACACATAAAAGACCGTTGAGTGATATTTCGTTAAATTTGATAATGCCTGTTGTGGATTCTTCCATCTTTGAGGAAAATACAGCATCAAAGTAAGCAGATCGATTAAGGAAGAATTTGTGAGCTCTTAATTGATGCAATACTTGATGAGAATGAGGATCTAAGATTTGAATCGTCACGTCAGCATAGGAATTTTCAAAACATGGTTCACAAATAAAATTGTCAACAGATTGCTCCACTTGTAAATAGAGTTGATGAAAATCACTTTTCAATTCTTGTAAAATTTTTGCTGATGAATCCAAATAAATCTTTTTTCGCTCAGAAAGGTCAGAAAATATCTGATGTTTTGGATGATCAAATTTTGATAACTCTATAATTTCTTGTAGACATGATTCTTGCACATCCTCTGGTAAAATCACATTTCCAGTATAGAGAAATCTCACATAGACTTGTACAGCATCTAAATGATACTTGTGTTCCATATTCATCACTATTTTAGTTCCATCCTCTGAATATTCTACTTCCTGACTGCTCATTTGTTGAAGTAAATTCTTAAAATATTCACTTCGAGTCATGAGAAGCGTTCGGTGACAATAAAGATAATGAGATTCACCATGATCACGATCTGCCACCCTCAGTATCATGTCATAGTTCTCTAAATCTCCTTGTTTTTGCTTTTCGAGTTGATGTTTAAGATAAACATAGGCACTATTTTCAACACCATCATCTAAAGCATAATGAAGGAGTGCAGCATGTGGAGCATGTTTTCGTTGTTGCAAGTCACATAAACCTCCCACAAATAATATGTGATCATAAATTGCAATACTGTAATGGAATGCTCTTCCAGCAGCACACACAAGCGCATCTTGGTTGTTTGGAATGACCACTGAAAATCTTCCCTTGCTCACATTGTATCGATACATGACATTGCTAATTTTGTTATTTTCTAAAATACCACCACTCAAATAAATGTACTTTCCAACAGAACAAAGAGAGTGATTTCTCATTGGAGGAGGAGAAATACTTAGATCAACCTCAATCCATTGCTTGGCAGTTGCGTTAAAAACATGTAAATCATTTAACAACTGATGAGTCTCCATATAGTTTCCTCCATAAATAAAAATCTTGTCATCAACTTGACATTGTGCATGATTTTCTCGAGGTAAAGGAGCTCCATCGCTTGGTACCAGTTTTCGTACTAAAGTAATGCTGTAAGAAGTCGCTCGAGTTAGCTCTCCTACCACAAGTTGATTAGTGACCTGTTTGGATTTCAAACTTCGTCTTCCAAAAATCCAAAACTTGTTCTGTGAACTGCTATGTGAATAATTTGTAGTGTGTTCAATCGTATCTAATGTCTGCATGGACACAGAATCCCATTGTTTTGAAAAAAATATATTTCCTTCTATCAGTTGAGCAGGTGGCTGAAGGTACAAGCACTCGTTCCAACTGGACCAAATCAAATAACCGCTCAGGCTGACAAGAATATGATCCTTTGAATGTGGTGGATTGATCGGCCATTGTCTGTTCCAATATCCAAAGCAATTATTGTATATTTCTGAAAAATTGATCCATTTCTTGTTGTGAATGTCAAATACAATGGTTTGTGAATAGGAATTTCCATCCTTTTCACCTCCTGAAAGGTAAATATAATTCGAAAACAAGCATCCCACCATATTTGAAAGTGCCAAGTCATAGCCCAAGTCCACCACCTTGTCTTGAACTGCTCCTCTCGGTTTCATTGGTTTCCTACCAAGAACATGATCCACTTTTTCATAAATTAATTTGTGAGATTCAATAAATCGTATTGGTACCTTGGTGATCATACTTGTCTTTTCCATGATGGTGTTTTGATAGGTACTGTTCCAACGCTCCAAATCATGATTATTAAAGTATTTTTCTTTATATTTCTCAACTTCCTCTTCACCAATGTATTCAATGACACGTTCGTGATGTTCTACTTTCTTTTGTTTTGACAAAGATCGAACATGGTTTTTAAATGAAGGTTTCGGAGGAAAAAGAAGACAAGAAGACCAAGAGGTCATATTGGATCCCAATTCGGAGGGAATGGAATGACTGTGGTGGACCTCCTCGGATTCGTTGGAATCTTGCTGTGGATCAACATTTTCAACAACTTCTTCTTGATTGTCATCATCCTCTTTCTCTAAGTATGGATCTTCATCGTAGTCTTCTTCGTTGGAATCATAATCATCATATTCCTCCTCCTCACCATAGAGTGCTTTAAGATAATCAGACATTTTTTGCGTCGTGTTGTTCCTCAGTCAGTGACATTTCAAGGTTGAACGAGAGAGGTTTACTGGTGATTCATTTTCCATCTGCATCCCTAAATTGAATGTTGTGCATTCAGAATCAATTTATCCAAAAAGTGGTGTGTAGCGGCTGTGAACATTGATGATTGTGTGGAGTAAAAAAAGTGGGCGTGTTGTTTCTGGGAGCACGTGTTTCGCACTAGTAGTTTCTTCCTCGAATGGCTTCTCTCAATTTGTCATCAGTCTTTGTCTTGTTGTATCTACAAATTGGATAAACAATAAAGAGAGGTATAAAGAAGGACCAAGCTCCCTTCTCAATGGTTGCAGCTACTCTCTCCTTTCCAAGTCCTTTAAATCTATAATTTACGAATAACGTAACAGGAATTGAAATACCAGCAGAAATTAAACTAGCATAAGAAAAACATTTGGTTCCAAATATCTTGTAAAACATTCGGAATACATTAAAGTCCTTCATTTGCTCATCCGTTAATGGTTTTTTAAATTCACTCTCTTCAAACATGTCCACTGTTTTTGATTTCGGAACAGGTTCCACCACACTCAAATCATTGGGCAATTCTTGTTGTGGTTCATCAGGAGAATTTAAAAATCCTAACAATGAATTTTTATCTTCATTTTCTTTTGGATCTTTGATTCCTGGTTTTAATCGGTAATACACAGGTGGTCGGAGCTCAAAATTCTTTTGTGGGATTTGAAGTTTGGTGGTAATGTATTCCTCAATTTGGTCTCGATTCATTTTTTTTATCCCAAAATGGAATTTTCGTCTTTGGTAATTAAAAAATGTTGAGTTGTTTCTTGATAACGCTTGATTAAGAAAATAACACTTCATCCCATTTCAAACTTTATGATTGATTCTGATTGAGCTCATGTTGGAGGCGATATGCCACAACCATGGATGCGTTATTAAACCTTGAAGTTTTAGAGGAGACCAGGATCACAAAAAATACCATCATCCATTTAATTAGTATTTTCATTGTTGATCGATGTGTCATTATTCACCCCGGTTGGTAAACTCGAAAATTCATTCCTTTCATCATGATGGGAAGCATTCGATTCTCTATTATGAATGGTATCAATAGCTTCATCCGTAGAATTTGTCTCTGATCTTGGAGTAAAATAGTCGTTCTCAATTTTAGTTGATTCTAATTGAATTTTGATCCTCAATAAATCAAGCTCGCTTGAATCTTGCTCCATAATCATTCCTAAACGTTTGGATCGATATTTGGACATTTTCTCTGTCTGATAAGTACCATCATTGAGAGAGCTGTTATTGTCCACAACAGACAAGACCATTTGTCGATAGTCATCATTAAGTGAGTTAATATTACACATTTTGTCGGCAAATTGCCGAATGATTCGAGGAGAGATTTTCATCTCGTTCATTGTAAAGCAAAAACTGCTCAAAATGCCAAAAACAACATTTTCATGTTCTGATTGCCATTGTTGGTTGTCAACTTGATTGCTCATTTGTCTATTCATCTTTTCACTGTTTAGAGCGTCATAGAGGCAATATTCCCAAAACCTTAAATCCTGCCAACAGTCCATATCATCCAAAATTGAGTAAACAAATATTTTCTTCTTTTCTTTGGGCAATGCAGAGCTTTCAGGCAGGTCTGGATAATCATTTCCATAGTAGTAAAACGTTTGTGTCATGTTTAACATTAATCTTCCAACGTTTTGGTCAGCTTGTTTGTGAGCTAGATCCAAGCAATAGCCCATCAATTCTGCAAGATCTTGGAAATAGTCAAATTTCGAAAAACAGGCGTTTGACCGTTTTTGATTGAGAACTTTACAAAATCCAAGCCTGCATTTTTCTGATTGACTGAGGCGATTTTTGGTTTCATTCAACATGGACATGTATTTTCTATCCACAATTGGCCGTACAATAGCTTTCTCAGAGCTATTAGAGGAGACACCACTTTCTGAGCTTTGCTGTGTTTCTATAGCTGGTAGACTTGTCTGTTGAGCAGGCAGTTCTGTGGATTCTGTGGATTCATCTTTCTTCCAAATTTCGTTCAATACATTTTCGAAATAAATAGTATCTTCATCACGTTCTTGGCTGTAAACGGATATAAAAGGTGTAGTGTTAGTGGTACTTCCAATACTTGATGATGAATTTGATTTCTCAAAACTATGGGAATGATCTTCCTTGTGACGTTTTGGCGCATCAAAGTCAATTTTAAATGGAGCCAAATAGGTTTCTATGTCGTTCAAGTTCATGGAATCGACACATTTTTTGAATGTTTCCAAATTATTTTGGGCCTCTATAACTCTTGCTTCAAGTAATTTGGTTAGATGTTGCATATAAAGATGAATGATGGTACCATTCTCTGTATATTGTTCACATAATTTGTCTGACATGGCTTTAAATTGTGGTTGAAGCGAATTGTGAACAAGCAAGTCATATTTTTTCTTGGATTGTTGTAATTCAATCTCACTTTCTGAATATTCCTCCAAATTTTGTTCATCTTTGAAAGTTATATTTTAGTGAAACAAACCGTTCCAATCAACCTACATTTGGATTTTGTTTGCTCGTTAGAAAGGGAAGTAAAAGTACTGAGAATAGAGGCTGCCACCGATTCATGTTTGTTTGACTTTTCTGACTGCGACTGAGATAGAGCTAACTTCCATTTTCTTTCTGCATTTTCTAAATTTTGTCTCTTTTGATCGTTATTTTTCCTTTTGTGTTGAAGATCATTAAGAGCATTATTATGTGTTTTACAAATATTGTCATGTGTTTGACTGAAGAGCTTCTTTTTCTTATTGAGATCCTTGTAGATTTGTTGAAGAGGTTCACACAGAAAATTTTTTACATCTCTAGTAAAACGCTCAGAGCTTTTGGAGTTTTTGTAGTAAAAGCTTCTACATGAGTATAGCATTTTACCCAATTCTCCTTGGAAAAAAGTGTCAAAATTGTTGTTACATTCATTAGCAATTTTTTGTTGATAGTTCTCTTCAATATTGCACACATTCTGCAAAAACGAAATGGTCTTGGACAATCCTGAGAGTTGCGAGCCGAAGGTGTCTTTCATCAATTTTTCAATTTTTTCATTGTTCGATATAAATAATTGTTGGGAATGTGGAATGTAAGGAGTTGATGAATGGGTAGGGGGAGAGGTAACATGTGAAGTAAAGCTTTGAATTTGACTCGTTGAATTACCACCAGCATATCCAACATTTCCTGTTGGTAATTGTCGAATAGCCTTTGATGCGGTAGCAGTGTTACTACTGCTAGTAGATTCTAGGTGAGTCGGAGGAGAGCCTCTTCTCGGGCTGCTACTGGTCAACACAATGTTACTACCATCTTCATTGTTGTTCATACCACCACCTGTATTAGTGTTTGGAGAAGTAGATGAGGTCGGAGGTGTTCCTGAGCGATGATGATGGTGATGATTTTCACTCGAATAATTATTATGATCATTCGTAACTTCCAAAACAGTTCTATCATCTTCGGTTATACTCCTTCTCATGGTACTCGTGGTGGTTGGCTCCATAGGCAACCTCTCATCATCATCACTATCTTCATTCCTTCCGATAGAGCCTCTTGTTGAAATGATGGAGAGAGGACTTTGGCGAGGCAAACTTGACATTTTTTTTGTTCGTTTGAATTTCTATTTTGGAAGGTGAGGTCTTTGCATACATTTTGGGAGTGTGACGAATCACTTTCGAAGCTTCATCAATCTGATTTCTCGAATTCTGAACATACTATGTGATGACCTCACAAAGAAGATGGGACAAGAGATGGATCTGTTGATTAAGGTTCATTGAATTTCAACTCATCAAATGATGAATGTCTCCTCGCCCATTCCACATCATGTCACTTCAGAAACATGAACCTCTCTCTCAAACAACTCTTTTCGCTCGATTGTACTATTTGAAACAATGTTGTAGTATGAAACTTTTAAATTTACAAAAAAACATCAAACAATTTCTCTTCAGCAATGTCTCATCAAGGCTTGTTGTTGTATAGTCTCAATGGGAGAAGGAATGGTTCAAGAGGTTTCTCCCGTTCCTGGACTGTATTTCTTGCGAGCTCTCTCCTTCTCATCCTTTTCATCTTGATGTGTTGTTGTATTCAGGAAAGTTCTCAATTGTGGGCTCCCACCCAAGAATTGTTGCAAGCGGAGGCTCAATTTCTCAAACACTTTGGCAACAGCAAGAAGGAGAAGAGAATGTTGAAGAGAGCCTTCCGTGTTTTGAAAACATGGGCAAAGAAGAAGCATCTCATGCATAAGAATTTGTTTGAATTGGAGAGAGCGTTGAATCAGAGGGGAGTGGTTCATACCTTGTTTTTGCATCATGTGGTCGAGAGGGTTAAAAGCAGTGCGGATCAAGCCATACAGAAAGTCAAATCAGAAATTAGTAAGGTTCAAGAGTTTTTCAATCCTCCCATTCCAAAGTATGATGGACCATTCTATAATAAGGGATCTCTTTCCACATGGATGAATGATTTGGTCTTGTATATTGGAGACTTGCCATTGAATTTTCTCGTCATTCCTGGTACTCATGAGTCCTTCTCGGCGAACATGGTTCCGGAATCCAAGATGGCACCAAATGCTGAAACACCGATTAAAAAGTTGAATGATGTACTGAAGTTTTATCCAAAGAACGTAGTGAACACAGTCATTGCCAACTGGGCCAGAACTCAGTCACAATCAGCTTATAATCAATTGGTGGATGGAATTCGATATTTTGAAATTAGTTTGTGCAGGGACAAGGAAATTAAGGATAAGATTCAAATGCTTAAAACGTGTCACACGTTCTTTGATAGCCCTATTGAACCAATTTTGGACCAAATTGCAACCTTCTCAAAGACAAAGGGAAAAAGGGAAGTTGTCATTCTCGATTTTAAACATCTCTATGATATGGATGACAGCGACCATGAATATCTTTTCAAGGTTTTGAAAGCCAAATTCGGAAATTTGCTTGCAGATTCCACAAAATTCTCTCCAACCTCTTCCTTGAAGGAATTTTGGAGAACCACCCAAAGAATTATTGTTCTCTATGACCATGAAAATTCTGTGAAAAAATCGCAAGGATTGTTATGGAGTCACTCGAACATTAATTCGCCTTCGCCTAACGTTCAGACCACGTCTGATCTCTATGACAAGTTGTCAAAGAGTTTGAGCGATCGAAGTAGCACCGACAAGAAGTTCTTTGTTTCCCAAGGTGTGCTTACTCCAAATGAAAAGACCATTGCTTCTGGTCTCATTGCCAAACCAAAATCTCTCCTCGATGCAGGTGACTTGTGGAATCCTGTGGTTGCGAATTGGATTGGCTCTGGTTCCCTTCCAAGAAAGAAGATGAACGTTGTGATTGTGGATAATTACAGTCCTCTCTTTGTTGCTACTCTTGTTGAAAAGAATAGAAAGAAAATCTAAGAGTTAATAAGCCTGTCCTTTCTCTTGATATTAGTAACAATAACATTGTAATAATACAGTAATTTACAATAAAATACCAATAAAAATCCATCTCAATACTAAACCAGTTTAATTATTCAATATTTTTTAAATCATTTTAACATTATAGAGCGAACATTGTGAAAGAAATGAAATTTCAAATAATTTTTTTTATTTGAAAAAAAATAAGATCAAGAAATGCAGGATGATCGATCCTCTCTTCCGTCATCTTCCCAAGTTCCTCTTCCAACAACCACAACAACCAGCAGGACCTCAACGACCACGGTAATGCCCGATCCAATCATTCCTAGTAGTTTCCGGCCTCCGAGGTATTTATCTTCTCAACATGCTCAACCAACTCCTCCCTCTTCCTCCCACTTTAATTATTCCTTCCGAATTCAATTAATGCTTCAAAAACATTCCATGTTCAATCCACTACTCTGTACCAAATGCGAGAGTGATGAAAATGTCTTGCAGGATCGTTCCGAGGGTACGATGGTGTGTCGGGCGTGTGGACTTGTGGTGACGAATCATCTCATTGATTGGAATGAGGAAGAAAAGAGAGATTTCCATCAGGATGAGAATGCACAGTATAGTAGTGAAAGTTCCTCACATTCACGAGTGGGACAATCATTGTTTGATATGGATGAAAATACAGTCGTGATGATGACAACAACGAGTAGTAGGAATAGTAATGGCGAAAATGTTGGAGATTTAACATTAGGAACACAAATTGCAAATCATAGAGACAAACAATTCATCAAACTAGGTTCGAAAAATTTGGAAAGAGAGTTTCTTTTTGAGGGTTTTACAAAGATTTCGGATATTATTTTGAACAAGTTGAAGTTGGAATCCAAGTATACATTTCGAGTGAAACAATTATTGAAAATTTTGTATACCAATCACAAACACAAGTTGAATAAGAAGACTCTATCTGAATGTATTGGTGCATGTTTGTATTGTGGACTCAAGGCAGAGGGAATTGCAAAAACACTCAAAGAATATTCTGTCTTGTTGCAAGTGAAACTGAAATCATTGAACTCGTGGATCTCTTTGATTAATAAGGATTCAGATACAAGACAATTAATTCAAACAGAGAAGTACAACTCACCTCAATCCTATGTTGAGAAATTTGCCGATGATTTGAAATTATCTACCAAAGTCAAATATCAAATTTTGGAATTTATTGAGAAATTAATGACCATTCCAGATGATGAGATGGCTAAGGCATTAATTGGTAAAAGTCCAGCGACAATAGCTGCCGTTTGTATTTTAATTATTGGAGAAAAAGAACAAATTAAGGATATTAATTTGGATAGCATGGAGGGTGTGAGTGGAATTACCAAGCAAACCCTCTCTAGATCTTTAAAATTATTGAACAAGTAAATAATTTTATTGTATTATATTTCACTATCATTGTGGATCATGGTCCATGTAAAGAAACACCATTTACCACAATTAATATCAATATCTAATTCTCTTACAAATCCAAAGAACAGGACAAACCAAATTCCGCCTTGGTTGCAATACTCCTTAAATGGGAATCTGGTTGTCAAAATTGCTTGTAAAACGTACGCTCAAGCAAAACCAACTTGCGTTGTTGGTACGTCCTTTACATCTTAATCATCTTCCATTTCATCCTTGAGAGAAATGTCAGCGTCAAACAAGCTACCTGACCTGGGTTTTCTTAAATTATCCATAAACGTCTTTTCGTAGCCTAATGTTCCTCTGAAATTGTTATACATGACATGGTGCCATAATCCTTTCTGTTCAATGATTTCTTCATAACAACTACTGGCTCCTTTTTCACGGCATGCTCGAACAATGTTTGAAAGTGCTTGCAGTGCTTCACTTCGCATTTTGTCGTCGTTGATGTCATTGGTGTTCAATAACACGTCACAAAACACCTCAACACAAACGCTTTCTTTCTCCACGATATAAATAATCTGTTCAGTGGTTCCACCAGTAATTGCATTCAAAAGAGCCCAAATGGCTTCATGGTTTGACTTTTCACAATTTGGAGCAATTGGTGTTTCAATATGTTTCATTAAGGAAGGAATAATATGGGCATCAATCACTGCTTGTATATCTTCTGCATTTCCTGCTGTAATGTTCGAAATCGTCCAACAAGCCTCCAACGAAATTGATTTCTTTGGATGTATTGCAAGAGAACCAAGAATAGGCAACACACCAAGCTTGACAAGAGTTCGAGTTTGCAGAATATTTCCTGTCGCTATATTCCCAATGACTCGCAAAGCAGGTGCTATCACACTTGTGGAAGAGTGTAACAATAATTCCTCCAATCGTGGTGCCACATGAGACTGAAGCACCGCCTCAATACGTTCCTCATTCTCTGATCCATCTGACAAATAACACATGGTCCAACAAGCATCTGTCAATACTTCCACATCTCCATCGTACAATAATGGAGCTACCACAGGAATGCATGGTGAAACTTGCTCCAATTCAGGCAATGGTTCATGTCGACACAAATTCGAAAGTGTCCAAGTTGCCAAACGCAACGTTTCAATGTCAGAGCCTCTGTCTTGATTTTCTACAATGATTCTCAAGAGAGGTATCATGACACCCTCTCACAACACTGCATCACGAGAAAGAAGAAGAGGTTGAGTTGGAAGTTGTGGACATTTTTCTCGAAAAAAGTGGAAATTATTTTGAATCCTGATTGATATGGACGAGAGAGACAAGAAAACGATTGATCTCAATTAATTGTTCATTTATTGAGAAAGTCACTCTTACATTTTGAAATCCTAATTGACGTTTTTTGAATTGACTTGAAAAAGATGCTTTTAATGACAACCAGCTTAGTGAGTCTTCTTATGAAGGGATCCAGTCGTGAGTATTCCTGTCGATATATGTCTCTTAATTCAGGATCTAAAATTGAATGATAAAGAACCTTCCAAATTTGCATGTCGAATTCTTCCAGTCATCGAATCTTTGGGACCCAACTTGCCACTTGACAAATTATTTGAGAATTTGATAAAAGCTGTGAAAAGACTTTTGTGAATTTCAATGGTTGATGAAGGTATGGAAATAGTCGTCATTCAATGAATTTTGAGAAGAATAAAACTTCCCAAGACTAACATTCATGGAATTCCATAGAAATATGTGAAAGAATATAGTTTGTGGAACATCCGTGGTTCAAAAGATCCAACTCAATCCATGACTTGCCAAATTAGAACATTGAAAATAATCTTGCGTTTGGTTCGTGTTGTTTAAAAGAAGCAAAAAAGCAAACACAATTTTCGTGACTAAATACAATGCTGGTGCGAAAGACTTTTGAAACAGTGTTTAAAAAAATTACTGTAAATGAGCAATCATTTTTGAAAATATCTTGAAATGAACAAATTCAAGAATTTAATATCCCGGATTGGAATCTAAATGAAACTTGATGTTGCATGATCCAATTTTCGGACCTGTAACAAAGAACTAACAACAACGCAAGTCGAATCATTGAATTTGCATAGAAACTCAAGTCCCTACCACATGATATGAGCCCAGTAATGAGCACTTTCAGTTTTATGGACACCTCTGTTTCAAAAATGGAAACTTCCACACCAATCTGAGCTTTCAACTGTCATTTTTTTTCGCAACCTGTTCTGGTCGATTTTGTGATTGAAACACTCCATGTTATTTTTACTGCTCCTCCGATTGCTGGATATTTTGCAAAGGAGTGTTGTTGATTCGAATAAACTCCGAAATCCTCTTCAGTGTTTCTTCTTCTCGGGACACTCATAAATGTCAAACGTTCCACTGAAGAGGATTTCTCTGAGAAAAAAACAAAACCACCACTTGAACTGTCGACAAAAGTTTTTTAATTCTCTCTTTCACACAAAGAAGACTCTGCATGATATCCAAACCTTGATTCTTCCCGGAGAATAACGTTAGAATTACCAAAACTCAAAATGACGAACCTCATGAAGAAATTGATGGTCAAGATCGCCACCAACCATCATACCGTAAAAGCAAAATCCATTTCCTCATCATCATCGGATGGAAAGGCTTCTTCCAACAACAACAATAAGAATTCCACCATCTATGATGAAAACGATCATGAATGGATCACCCAACACAATCCTCTCTTTGATTGTAACTTTGCCACCTTGTTAGAGATTACCGATGGAGTTCTGAGACCACCTTGGGCAACAACAACGACAACAACAACGACCACCTCTTCTCATCATCCTTCTCCGAATCAACACACCTTCCGTATGCCTTCCTATTGGAAAACCACATCTTCTTCTTCTTCTTCAGGTTGCAGCAAACCTCGGAAACGAAGAGGCTCTTCCATTCTCGCTCTCGCTCAACCACCTCATGTGCCTTCTCCAGGTAGTGGTGGAGTTGCCAAGATGGAATTTGAATTCAATTGGCAAGTACAAGAACACTTTATGGCCAAATTTGAAAGTGTGGAGAGAATGAGTCGAAAACCTCCTCACTCTTCCTTGTATCAAGTGAAATACTCGGAACATGACTCGACGACACGACGAGTGTTGAGACTCATTCAGGCTGAGAATGCAATACATGCGAAACAATTGGTGGACACGATGGAGAAGATTCGATCCATGACCAACTCACACGAATGTTTTGTGCAAATCTATGATGTGTGTTTGGTGGGAGAAAATACAGTGGCCATTGAGATGGAATATATTGAATTGGGAGATTTACAAACCTTCTTGGAGGAGGAAGGATTGTTTTTATCGGATGAAATGGTTCAACAAGTGATTGCTCAGGTGTGTCACGCCCTTCAACATTTACCGGAGAAGCAACTTCATGGTCATATACGACCACATAATATTTTGATTCGTTCCTTTAACGATGATGAGAATGAAATTAAGATTGCCTTATCTGACTTTGGATGGAAATCACCAAGCTTGACTCGATCGAGTCGAGACAAACGATTTGTCATTCCATCCAAGAAAATTTCTACTTTGTGTGAAACCTTTTCTGAAACAAGATCCAGTGACAACAACAACAATGTCGATCACAAGATTGCTGGCGAAATTTTCCACTTGGGTGTTACATTATATCAACTTTGTAGCCGAGACAAGGAAGTCATATTGTCTCAACTCTATGAACAGCAAGATCTCGACGAGATCAGCGTGAGAGAAGCTTTAGCTGCTCGTTTAACAAAACACTACCAATACAAGACAGAAGTGGTAGATGTTATTTTGCGAATGATTTCTCCAAACAATTTTGATTTACTGAGTGTGAATGACTTACTGTCAAACCTTAATATGGTACGCTCACTTTGAGGCGTCAAATTTTCCAATTTTTGTCCCTAACAATTTTGCGAGTTTTGTAAATAAAGAGTTCATCCAAATTGATTTTGCGAAAACCGTATCCTCATTTGTTCTTTGTGATTTGAGGAAAAAGTCTCCCTTCACACATTTACAAAACTAAGAAATCTTCCGCTGTTAACAACAGGAGCTACCTGAGCAACTGCTTGCGTCACTGTTGGTTTCACATCTTTGAGAGGAGCCTCCTTTGGAGCAATCAAACATGCCATAATGAACTGATCGATCTCCAATGATTTCAAAATAAGGTGCCAACCATGAAGGCTTTGACAGCATACTTGCTGTATTTCCACATACCAATACTGGTCTATTTCTCTCAAACACGTGCTTTCCATCCAATACATAGGCATGCTTGTATGCTTCATCCATTCCGTTGGCTCCTCCTCTGTAAATAGCCACTTGTCCATAGTCTTCACATTGAGGTTCTAAATCATCAAGTTTAAATAAACGATATGTTACGGAATAGAATTTTGCATTTCCAAGTATTTCTTTCATTCTGAAATCGTGAATCTTGATTTCTGAGAGAGTGACCTCACGAGGATCAGTAAAACCAATCTTCTTACACAATGCAATAAAGTCATTGATATATAACGCCCCAGCAATACACTCGCCAAACAACAGCTCATGACTGCGAACCTCAGAGGATAATCTTCTGTCACAATAAACATCCGAGAAAATAAATTCTCCACCAAATTTAAGGGAATTATAAACTCCATTCAAAACAGCTTCCTTATCAGGAGACAAATTCACCACACAATTTGAAATGACAATATCAATAGAATTCTCTTCAATTCCAGCTTGTTTTAAATCTTCAATAAACCCTTTCTTGAATTCCATAGTTGCCACATCATCCTCTCCAAAGGATTTCTTTAATTGATCAATATTTCTTCTCGCTACCTCGAGCTGTTCCTCTGTCATGTCCACTCCCACACATTTACCACTCTTTCCGACAAGCATGGAAGCCAAATACACATCTCTTCCGCTACCACTTCCGAGATCTAAAACCGTACGTCCACGAATACCACCAAGAGGCAGTGGTGAACCACATCCATAATATTTACTCATCACTTCATCAGGAATTTTTGAGAGAAGAGCTTTCATGATCGGATGAAGGCCTGAGGAGGGAGTGCAACACGCCGAAGTTTTCAAATCATTGGTCGTACTCAATACCTTTCCATAATATTCCTGAACACTCTTATAGACAGCATCGGAAGATTGGTATTGCAAACCGGATTGGTCTTTTGGAGTGATGATGTGGGAAGGATGATGATCCGATGAAGAGGTTGTGGATGCTACGGTGGTTGTGGGATTGTTGTTGCAACAAGAGGTATTTTCGCAGCTACAACACGACATTATTTTCTTTTTGATCGAGAATAGGCGAAACGAAACAAGGGAGCTCAATTTTAATAATTACCTTTTCTGTTTTTTATTCCGCTGTTTTGGAATTGGTCCTATTATGTCTAGTCCTGTACTTGTAACAAATATTCAAAGGCTCTTTCTCAAATCAATGATTTCTCAATTACAATGTATTTGAAGATTATCAATAAACATGGTGAAGATAAACACATTTAGGCAAGTATTAAGGATCATGTTTGTTTTTTTTCTCCTCTAGATTCTCGAGACTGAAACAGAGGAGATCAAATTTCACTATCACATTGTAAGTATGTGTTAAATGCAAAGAAAAAGTGGAAATATTCACTTCCACTCTTTGGAAGAATAAAAAAAAGAACAAAGTTGCAAAAAAAAATATCATCATTCCTTTGAACTCGATCACCATTCAATTCCCATCTTCGGCTCTCTAGGAACCTCATCATCATGTCATCGGAGGATAGCAAAAAGGTGATCAAAAATCACTTTCTGGTAGTTTTGGAAATTACCAGTACTCTTTGGAAGAACGAGATTTCCTTCAGAGAGAATTATTGAAAAAGCTAGACAGTGATTCCATTTCAAAACGACCAGGTCCAAATGGCCGTGATGTTCACTATATTGAAACGTGGCGAGCAATAGAATTGGCAAATTTAATTTTCGGATTTAACGGATGGTCTTCAAGCATTATGGAAATTAATAACGATTATATAGAGGAAACATCACAAGGCAAATTCAACTGTGGAGTATCGGCTATCGTTAGAGTGAGTTTAAAGGATGGATCATTTCATGAAGATATCGGATACGGAACAAGTGATAATCAAAAAGGTAAAGGAGCTGCCTATGAGCAAGCAAAGAAATCGGCAGTGAGTGATGGTTTAAAAAGAGCTCTCAAAAACTTTGGTAATGCATTGGGATTGACTATTTACGATCGTGAACATATCAAACAAATTAGCAAGCCACAAATGAAGAAGAATCAACCAAACAACCAGCCAAAACCTGTGAATCCTTATTTTTCACAAAATCCTTCTGGGTCACCTTCGCAAGCAATGCCATCTCCTTCCCTCACTCCTACACAGCAACAATTGGAATCGATATCTGCATCAGTAGAGATTAGTCAACCATTGATGAATCATCCAGTAAAGCAAGAGGAAGCCAATCTTCAATTGGATGATGACATTGATTTGGATGGTTCAGTTATGAATTCCCACGATGGAAGTGCAGCAACACCACCTGTATTTCAAAGACCACCAACCCAGATGACATCGTCAACAACTCCAAGTGGAAATACACCTCCAGTGTTTCAAAGACCAAAAAGACCAAATGAAGTGGTTAGTTCGTCCCCTCCAAACTTTCAACCTGCTCAAAAGAAAACTAAGCCCTAATTGTAAATAATTTTCGTGTCACTAAACAGTGCAATATTGCTTGTTTCTACTCTTTGTTCATGAAAGGAATCTTGTCATCTCTTTTGCATGAAAGTGTATTTTACTTTTAATATCATTTCTCGATGGAGTCATGATTAATTCAACTACTAGTTTTGTGCATCTAGAATTGTTCTTGAGAGTGTAAAATAAATAAATAATTGTGTACCAAACTGTAAATAGCACGGTCACAAATGATGGAAAGTTAACTAAATATTAATAATCGTCATCATTGTCATCATCCAAGTCAAATGCAGATCTTCTATTCGAGGAGGAGGATCCAACTGTGCTTGAGAAGTCACCAGTAAATTTAAATCCGGTATCTCCAGCAACGCGAGCAGATGGTGGCTTTTTCATGTCAGTTTTAAGAACTCCGAATTGTGCCAAAATCCATTCCAAATCAGCAGCTGTCATTTCTCGACCACCAATCTTACCCAATCCAACGAATTGACCCAAGTTATTACCATTTCTATAAATCAAAAGTGTTGGGCAATTACTATCAGGAAAGTTTGGAATGGCTGCGCTTCCTCGAACACGAACGAATTTGATATCAAGGAATTTTTGGGAGAGTGTTTGCAAACGATCATCCAAAATCTTGCATTCCTCTCTAGCTGGAGCATACAAATGAACCAACACATAGACACCTTTTCCTGGATTTTCGCAAACCTCCTTCACATATTCTGTTGCAGAAATGTCCTTTACACCTCCGAACTTGTTTGCCAATTGTTTTTGTTTGAGCTCTTGCAATCGTTTAGCTTTAATTTGTTGAAGAAGATCATCCTCTTCTTGATCTAAATATTTGTCTTGTTCAATTTGTTGCAATTGTTCGAGTGAGGCTTCCGATAATTTGTTTTCAAATTCCTCGCTGGCACTCTTAAAGTAAACAACTTTATCTTGTTCCTTTTCCTCTAGAGCTTCAGGTAAATTACCATGTTGTCTTTGCAGAATAGTCCATTCTGTTTCAATGCCGTTAATTTTGGACATGATGATGCTCGGGTTGTGGATGGTTTCAGAATGAAAGAGGAGATACGAGTCTTTTTTTTTAAATTTTTATGCAAACTTTTTGTGATGGCGGAAAGAAGACGGGATGATGACTTGAAGTCAAGTGAAGATACATGATTGCCATTAGGATGAATTCATCATCATCCTGTTCAACTCACACACTCAGCTTTCATATGAAATTGGAACTTTTGTTTTCAAATGAATCGATGAAACATGTGTTGAAAATTTATTATCATTCCTCTTGCGTGTTGGTTGATGGATTGTGTTACTTGTCCTTCACTTCGACAGATTCTGATTCTGGTTTGTTTTGTTTCACTCTGGCTTTGGCTTCTTCCATTTGACGATGGGCTTCTTCGAGTTGTTTCATTTGCTCTTCCTCCGAGCCTTCAGGCATATCTGCTCCTTCATCCTTCATCTTCTCTGCAGCTGCTCGTGCTTCCTTGATTTTAGCGTTCAAACGTTTGTCGTAGTGTCTAGATAATTCAATCTTCAACTCATCACTGAAACCTAAATCAACAGGCTCATTCAAAGTTACAATTGCCTTCTTGATGTCGGGTTCCTTATCGAATTTTCCTCTCACTTTTCTACTACGTTTGAGTCGCCCTTGTGTAATTATGGTGGCAACAGATTTAATACTGAGTCCATAATATGTTTCTAAATATTCCTTAATTTCTGGCTTTGTGTAATCCATTGGCACATGAAAAACAACTTTTGAAGTCTTATTGACAACGGAAGGAAGATAGAGAGCAAAATAACGATTTGGAAATTCGACCACAGGTCTCTTGTTGTAAATTTCATCTTGCAGGCTTGGAGCACCAGTGGTTGCTCTCTTTGCCTTTTCAATGGCCACCAATCTTCTTCGTTTTCTTTCTCTATGGCTGATTCTAGGTTTTCTTTCTAGCTCGGACAACTTGAAACCCTCCTTCATGAGTGTTGGTTTTGTACCGAGAATGGATTCTTCAGCAGCGCCTCCAGCACATGTTGTTATTGAAGAATGAAATAAACGAGCACTCTGTGCAATACTATTGAAATATATTGATGATGATGATGATGCTGAGGAAGCAATAATTGATGATGATTTGGAGCCGAGGCTGCTACAAAATCGAGAGAATGATGATGGACGCAAAAGGTTCTTTAACATTTTTTAATAAAAAAATATTTTGAATTCTTTAATGCTTTTCCTTCATGAAGGTATGTCATGCATATTTCACTACCACCATCTTGTTCATGATTGGAACATTTGAAACTTATTGGAATCGCCATGTTTGATATATGGATGTTCCGAACATTCTTTAGATAACATCCAGCAATGAACTAGCCAAACAACAAGTCAATTCAAAATAAATATAATCGAGCTGAGTGTATGGAATAAATACTCTTTCTAATTATCTTTAAAGACTTAATTTCATTACTTCTTAGATAATAATCGTTCTAATTCTTTGTATTCTTCACTTTGTTTGGTTTCGTCTTCTTTTTCTAAAGCGTGTATCAGTTCTTTAGATAATTCTATATGATTATCTTGGCAAAATTGTAAATACATGGAAAAATTGATGTTTGGAACTGGTTGAACTGTTTGATGAGATACATATAATTGGTCAATAAATTCTTCTCCCTTATTTTCGAGTTCAATTCTTTCTTTCAAATCTTTGATATCTTTGATTACTTGTTCTTTTTGACGTTGTAATATTTCACTTGCATAAATTAAATTTTGATAGCTAAGAATAAAGGGATGATCAAGCATCGTAAATATTGAATTTTAAATTGAAATCCACAAAATTAATTATTATTTTTGTAGTTGACAAATTGTTTAGAGGTTTTAATTGTGGGTATTAATTGAAAATAATTATTTGTGGTGGATTAATAGATTCCGATTGAACTACAAGCAAAAGACAAAGACATACTCTTGAGTTTGCTCCATTTTTTTATTTAAAAATTTAAATTTTTTAAAAATCAAAAAAAGAAATCGATTCTTTCGTCATGTTTTCATAAAGGACCTAACCATCCAACCAGAGTTTAAGAATAAATGTCTGAATGCAACCTCAACATACGAAGAATGCTCTGTTGGAGGTGTCATCAAATTTCTTCGATAACTATTAAAAAATGCCTCAATTTGAATCCAAGTTGTTCGATCGTGGTGAATGTGTGGATGTTAAAAACAAGCCTCTTGTTCCTGATGAAGTTTCCTATAAATTACAGTTGGATACCTTGGATGATTTTGTTTTTAAATTCAGCGGATTGGTTTGTTCTTTAGAGCATCAAGAATTGAAGCGATGTTTCGAAAGTATTGCTCCATCCGAAAATGTGGCATCATCGGAACGTAATGATTCTACACCTTCTCTACCACGCAATACATGTATACCTGAAGCTAAAAGTTATGGAGATTGTTTGTATCGGAGACATTATTTTGCATCGTCGGTGGCTTCCAGGTCAAAGAGATGTAGATCCTATTTTCATTTGTATGATAAATGTGTCAAGACATATTCTTACCTGTTTTCAGAGTCAGCCGCAAATAGAGACTCTGCTGATAGGACCAACTCTCCAACTTTTAATCCTGCCAAATTTATCAATATGCAAAAAGAATGTGAGGATTGGTTTTATGAAAACTATTTGTATTGTTTGAAGTTTAGTCTTAAAGTACATAGTGGCACCTTTGATTCTATCAATTGAGAATGTTACTGATTGATTGAGAGTTGGATAGAACCAAATCAGGCTGCACGGATTGCAGAAATGAGTCTAAACGGTCTAAATGTGCCTGTATAATATATTGCATATTACTATCTAGCATGTTTGAATGCAGAGAAAAGCAAAGGAAGGTTGAGCTCTTTCTGAAAACATAGTATTCTGTGTTAGAATGAGACATGCTAATGTCTGATTTGGTTAATCTCACTTTTATCATTTGAGACTCAGAACAGGGCTCCACCTGTCCAAGTATTTTGAGAGAGTTGGAATAGCTAGTTAGGGCCTGATTAATGAGAGGGTAAATTTGGGAATGATTTAAATTTTTAGAGATGGCATTATTGCTGACAATCCATTGCATGGGACCAATTCTTGACATGTAGGAAGGATCACTTAGATTTTGAGGATTAATGGCGACAGATTTTTTCTTTCTGAATTTAAATTAATAACAGTTGATATTGGATATGAGGACATAATTACTTACTTTGATTTTTGTGTTTTTTCAGAAGTGTTCACATTATGAGGTGGCATAAGAGTTTCATTGGGCATAATAAGCTTTGAAGTTGAGTCATAGCAAGCATATATCCATTCAATCTGAAGCTCATAGGACATGCAATCAGAAATTGTTTGCTCTAAAATGTCGGTCACTACGTGACGATAAATTGCACAAAGATGAGGGATAAATCCCTTGTAACTCTTACGGACAGACCCTGTCAATTTTTTGCCGTACAGAATGCAAAACCTGTGTTGATCATTACATAGTTAACTTTCGAAACAAACCAATCAGGCATGCATGACTACTTACTTGTCACAAATAGCTTTTGTAATTTTGTGACCAAACTCGACTTCTTGATCTTCACATTCCAAAGACTCCACCACACTGGTCATTAGAAAGCTTTTTCTAAAAAAACCCACACAAAACAAATCGCTGCTGAACTCTTCATGAAAGCACAAGATGCAATTGTCAAAGGTGAAGCTTTTTAGCAGCAATTCATTCCCATTGCTATGAATTGGTTCTTTGGAAACGAGTGAATCTTGTCGATCCACTTGGATAGCCTCCTCCTCATTGCCATGATCAGTTTCCTTAAAACACATTTCCGAATTTAATTTCAAAGCATACAACAAGCCACTCACGCTCATCTCACTAATGTGTTGAGTTTTTCCGACCAATGAAGAAGCATCTCCCACAACTCCCTGAGCGCCATCTCGTATTCCATGATGATTCATTTCAGACTCGACCAATTGCTGTAATCCTCCCGAGGATGATGATTTTCCAAGTCCAAAACTAGGAAAATATTCCCGACTCCAAATGGGAGTCCCAATTTTGCTCGATATGATTATAATTCCATTCATGATTCTTTAAAGAGTTTTGGGTTGGATGGGCTGAATGTTTTGTATTTTTACGTCATGTATGTTTTTCGGGAATTGAATTTTTTTTTGTATTTTTTTTATTTTCCTTTTTAAGAATTTCAAATTGTTGAGAATTCAATTTTACATTAAATTCATGCATGACAATATCTTGAGATATCAACCAACAATATATTGAACTGATAATAATTACTGAACGATACACTTCTTCTTCATTTTTGCAGCATACGTTTCCATTTGTTCCAAATCTGAATCTTCCAAACCCTTCTTCCTAAATTGTCCTCCAGCTTGATACAAAGTCCTCAACAAAATATCCATCACATAATCCACACAATCGACACTCACTTCTGGAAGCTCAATATAAGCTGTCATTTCACCAACTTTTTTGGCGAATGCAATAATCGTATCGTGTGGAATTTTATCTTCGATTCTTCTTTTCACAGGTCCATTCGGATTCCAATCAAAGCCAAACAACACGAAAGGTATTTCCTTTTTTGCTTTCTTCTTGACACTTAAAATTTCAGGAAGGTATTTCTTTTCGAGTATTTTTAAATGTTCAATTTCGTAGGGATTGAAACAGAGTACAAATCCAGTGGAGTAATAGTATGCATCTTTTCTAATTCCAATGGTCTTTTGTAGTATTTAAATGATATCATTAATTGTAAACATTTAATATATCGTTCAATCATACCTCCTTGTCATCATCATCTCTCAAATCTCGAGGATCAAAGGTCACTTTATGATCCGCACTCAATTTGATCATGTAATTTGAGTGAGCAAAATATATTGGTAATTCCATCTCTTTTGGAATTTTCTTTTTTCCATGCGTGTAGAGAATTCCTGTTTTGTAAGTGGATTTTGCTCCTACAAAACTAATAATGATTTTTTCATCTAATTCATTGTCGGACATGATGGCAGTTCGTGCTACTTCCTGTAGTTTGTTTTTCATGCCATCGGAAACGGCCATGATTTGAGAGGGAGAGAATTGTGGCGTTGACATTTTTTTACGATTGGTATTTACGATGTGATGACAGCTGACTGTTTTGTCATTGCGGTAAACATTTACTGAGCTCACAGTTCAAAATATTAATCCTTATAGCTTTTGATTTAGGTTGTACAACTCATTGGCAACTTTGGCAATGCGATCATAGTATTCAATATTTTTCCAATTTTTCTCATATTTCTGTTCATTGGTGTCGTTCATTCCAACACGATATTCATGGTGATGTTCAACATATTCATCCAAATAATATAAACATGAATAAATTCAACTCTGATCCTTCCAACAATCCACACTTCCACTTACCTTATCAGGAAAACCATAAAAAGCTCCAAACCAAGTGGCTGCAATACATCCAGTGCTATCATTATCTCCACCATGCAACACTCCACGATGAACAAGTTGTTCCCAATCGCCATTACTTCCCAACAATGCATCATAGCCAATAATCACTGAATCATCACCACTCGCTCCAGCCCAACCATCAAAACTCCACTTTTTGTATGAATGTTTTCAATGGCATAGGCAGTGAAAAGAGCAGATACAAAGGCACCCATGTAACCTGTGGCATGATTGTGAGTGATTCGACCTGATTCAATAGAAGTTCGAACTAATTCTTCACGATTCTTTTCACTCGAATAAACAAGTCCACCTTAATCATGGTGATTCAAAAAGATCAATAAAATGGAAATATAGTTTTCAACATTGAGTTTTTTCACATTAATTACAATTCATTTCACAACAATTGCATGTAACAAATTCATTTCACAACAATCGTTGTTGACCACACACGAGGAACATAAATTTTTTACATGTTCATTCATTCGTATAATACACACTCGCAACAAAAATGATCACAAAAACTAGTTTTCAAAACTAGATAATTACTTACAAGGTTGTGAACGCATGGATCCTCCACAACCACCTCCAGCTCGATCATATGGAAGAGCATCCCATTTCTCAAATTGACCATTCAAAATGGACAATGATGAAATGCATTTCAATCCAGGTGCACGACCATCCATGTCTGTAGTCACACATGAATAATAATATTTGGCCATGGTGGTCATTTTGTGATGAAAATTCATCAACGAAGAAGAGGATGATGAGGACTGATAATGATGATGATGTGCGAGAATTGATTCTGCGGTGGCGAGGACATGACAGTGTCATCAGAGACTCTCCATGAAGAGTGATCTGAGACATCAATATTTTCAATGGAACCTATCCGATCATGATCATTAGGAATCGTTTTTTGATATATATTATTTAATGAAGTATAATATTATTGGAATAATTGAAAGAAGAAATATTGAGATAATTGAATTAAAATCGGAAATAACTTTTGAAAATTACCATAACGTTGTTTCATATCTGCGAAAAGTCTTTTCAATGATCAACATTTGCGAATGTGGATCATTCAAGAGATTACAAATTTTCATCACAACGATGATGTCAAAAAAGATCCACAAGCATTTCCATTGGACCTACCGAAGACCATCTTTCATGAATTCCCATTTTCCATTTCGGTATCCAATCGCATCACCTGCAGCGCCCAAAACGAGAGCAGCAACGAATCGTGTGTTTCAAATATTTAAAGAGAACATTATGCAAACAAGAATTCACTTTTGGAATGCTTAAAATGGTTGACAACATTCAGGTTAAAATCCTTCAAGAACATAACAAATTGTAGAGAAAAATCAGAGCAAGTTCATATAAGAAATATAAATTTCGGAAAGAAGATTATATTTGATGAGTGACAAAATTTCAAATGAAATGAAGACCTTCATGTTGGAAGGAAAGCCCAGTTTGTTATTGGTGGTTCGATTGACTGAAGGTGTCAATATAAAGGCAATGAATGGACTCGATGAATTCAATCAAGAACATCATTTGGCATCTGTGACAGCGGAAGTGAATTACGACAAGGAATTACAAATATTTAAAGAAGTAATATTTGAAAATTTGAAACAAAAGGTGAATAGTTTCTTCTTTCAAAAAAGCCTTAATGCTGCTGTTGCTGAACAATTGTGTTTTGAAAGACGAGTGGACATTTGAAATAATGATCTTCACTTCAAAGGAATCATCTTTTTCTTCAAACAATATCTCAATACAAAACGATCATTTGTTGTTGTAATTTTTTCAACTAGTTGTTGAAGGTTTTCAACGTTTGTTTGAATGGCCATTAGGGTGGATGTTTGGTGATGATCATTGGAATTTGTTTCATAACAACCACTGTTGTTGTTGTTGTTTGATTGAATCGAGTCCAGTAACACTTGTTTTAATTTTTCAATTTTTCCAGTATAATATTCCAGTCTGGCATGAATGACATGCACTTCAGAATCATCATCAACGGACTCATTGATCTTTGATTGTTGTTCTTGAATTTCTTGTAATTGCTGATTCAAGGCACAAATTTCAATTTTGAATTCAATCAATGAAAGAATTCTTTCATCGTTCAATTCGCATTGATTCGTATGATCGCCTTGATTTGTTTCATCTCTTGATGGATGAACCAGAAGATTTTTCCTTCGTGATGATGATGCTTTGGATTCATTCCGTTCAGCATTCGGCATCAAGAAAGAAGGTCGAATTCCATACATTTTTTGAGAGTGTGACAACAAGTTCTTCAAAGATCAACCTCACGTTGGAAATACGGATTTTCTTTCGATCTCATCTTGATCGATCGATGGTGCATGCAATGAAAAGAATCCTCTTCGTCATGGTACATTCCGAAATTGTTCTTTCGTTTGTTCGAAGAATTTTAATGAAACAAAAAATTTTCATTTCTTTTCATCATCATGTGGTTGGAACAGGTCGGAAAGACCAAACAAGAATTGATCAAGAGGAAGAAACAACCAGTTGTTTCTATCCAATCTATCAATGAAAATACTCATCGGGACGAGAGGATCTCCTCGTCTTCTCAATCCTCATCATCGGATTCTAGAATGGAACATCGGTCCAATATGGCCATGAACGAAGACCATTATAATGATTGCAAACGTTGTTTAATGTGCAAATTACCAGTTGATGATCAAACAGATACAATTAGTGTGGGCATGAAAGGTGTTCATGGCCTTCAGAAATTCCTTCCCTATCATCCCAAACGCTACTTAATGGAACATGAAGAAATTCTTTCTGCTTCCGAGTGGATGGATTTAATTTCAAAAGAAAAGCTCTATGTTCATTTGGATTGTTACTCTGTCTATACAGTGAGACCATATCAAATTATGTTTGATATGTTTGAATTGAATCTGAGAAATGATGGCGAATGGATGGATACATTTTCCGACGACTTGTACAAACGTATTACACGTATGCAGCAGCTTTATAGGAAGGTGAATGGTAAGAAGAGAACAAAGACACAGAAGGAGGATGATACCGACGATGAAGATGATGGTGTTGATGATGACAATGTTGATGCTTCAACATCCTCTCAGAAAAAGGTCAAAGTGGATGCCAATTCGAGTGTTTCGAAAAAGTCACCCCGAAAGAGTAGTACTATTACAAAGGATTCTCAAGCCTCACAACCCTCTTCTGTTGTAGTTGCACGAGATACTGCTCAATCTCTGCAATGGGTACAAAGTTTGAGAGACTCGCTTGAAACATTCACATCGCCTTACTTGTTTGGATTATCCGATGAAATTTGGAATGAAGTGCTGAGCTACTTGACTTTTCCTCATTTACTGACTTTAAATAGAGTATCCAAAAGTTTTTATTACTATTCCACTCAGTCAATACTATGGAAATCTCAATGTATTCAAACATTATGCCCAAAAGCAGTACAAGTTCAACAAGAATATTTTCCTCACTGGAATGACGACTTTAAGAAAGTGTTTGTGATGCTGTTTGGAAACTGCTGCATTATTTGTGGCGAATATTTGCGATTGGATGTGCAACTGCATGAAAGCACTTCTCTATCCCAATCCATGGGCAGTATCTTAGTTCCAGAATATCCTCTCTATTACAATCATTTACTTGATGGGTGTGTCTGCACGGCTTGTTCTGGCTCTTCATTAGCTGAAAACATTACCAGAACAAACTCCAGGAAAAAGTACAGTGTCATCGATCAAGATTTGTCTTTAATTCGATGTCTGCGCAGCCCCAACCCATGGCATCCAAGCACAGCGATGTGTGTATATTCTGACTTGCAGCTTCAAGTGATACAGAGTAAAAAGAATGAAGAAACAATTATTTCCAATTATCACAGGTCTAAGAAGCATTCGAAAGAAGACTTGTTGAAATTGATTAGAAATTCAAAGAATGGCAAGTATGGAAAGAATTGCAAACTTTTCGCCTATCTCACTTCGAGCAAAGCAAAAGTTAAAAAATTGTTTCGTGAAATATTTGCCTACATTGATACTCTTGAACCTTAAATGAGTCTGTTTGGAATCAAGTTCATATCGCATGTGGATGTGAAACTGATGGGAAACAAGACTGTACATACTCGTCACCGAGTAATAAGTGGTGGTGATTGACCTAAATAAATCGCCAAAACAGATAGGAATTTTCACTGGCTCATTTTGAATTACAATAAATTAGGAGGACAAAATGGTTTTTTGTGAGGTATCAAAAAAGAGCTGAAAATCTAAAATCCTCCAACGGGTGCAAGAATCGAGAAAACCATTTTTCCGCTCGCTACTCTACTGCCTGCTAATTTGAAGTGTTGAAATCATGTGTTGACAACTACTCATAAAACTTTTGTTGAAAAGACCACTTCGCCCAAACAGTATAAAACTCAAAAAAATTCGTCGAGGATGGGATTCGAACCCACGCGGATTTCTCCAATAACTTAGCAGGCTACCGCCTTAACCACTCGGCCACCTCGACGTACACTTTAGATTCTTTTATGTCTGAAAGAACAAATACATGTACAACTGGACAAAACTCTACTTTGAATTGCTAATAATTATTGAAAAGGGATTGTGATTTTAGAGGCTTTCTGTACAGGGAACACGAACCTTTTAGCTTTTGGTCTGAGCAGATTAACAATAAAAATAGAAACTCGAGAACAAAAAATGGCAAATAGAACCACACCGTCCACCCCTGTCGTGTCCCAACCAACGACTACTTCTTCACTCCCATCTTCCTCATCATCCACAAACTACATCATTGACCATGAGTCATCGGAAGATGAAGCAGATGAAATATATCAGGGCTCTTCCGATCTAGTGGTGGCTGAAGATGATCGAGAATTGGGATCCTCTTTTTATATCAAGGGAGACACTCCACCTCTGCAAGAATTGCTCTCTTCCGATAATTTGGCATCCACAAAATATACAATTCTAGTCAGAAGAGATGACGTTTATATTCATACAAAAGTACCAACGAATTCTCTCAATTCAAATAATACCAAAAAACCATCACCCGATATAATCGATCACATTCCGGGTGTCATGTTTTTAATCAAAGACGTTGCACAAAAACAAAATCTTGCAACAAACACCCGTGCGAGTACTGCTAATGTCAAGCAACTTGTCTCTGAAAATAACAACAACATATTGATCGGATCACAAACGACACTCAAATCATGCTACTATCTTGTGTGGTGCCCCTATTCAACACTTTGTACTTTTAATCCCGATTTAGTGTTACATGAAAAATCAAACGGTGTGATTGTTACACCAGAAAAATACAAGAATAGACTGCCTCAAAATAACACTTTGAGCAATGCAAGACCTGGCAGTAATAGTAGTATTATCGATTTGAGCCAAATGAATTCCATGAGTGGCATCACTCCATTGAACTATCCGAGAAATGAAGCAGCGTATGCTCTCACTATGAGAACGATTGATATTTCACATTTCAAAAAACAAGATCCAACTATTGGCCAACATTATTTGGTCATTAGTATGAGAGATGAAACAACCTATCCACCATTGTTTTTCCATGATGGAGGGCTAGCTCAATTCATTGCAGAGTTCAATCAACATGTTTCTCTCAAGAAGAGCAAATCTGACCCAAATATTTATTTCATTTCGGCAGATACATCCGAACCACTCGCCAAGAGTTTGAATCAATTTGATTTTGATGTTTACTTTGAAGATGTGTACAACAAGGTAAGAGTTTTCTCTAACTTCAGAGCGATCATACAATTTTATGACCGTGTTTTTATACATCTTTGTTTCTGTTAATGTTTGGAAAAATATTCATTCCGGTCCAACAACACGATCGTCTGGTCTGCATTGTATTATTCTCCTTGCCATTGTCTATTCCTCAGGAAAAAGACAAGACATGGCAAATTTTAGAGTGGGGTGCCAAAATCACTAAGGGAGCTCGAGAAATTACGAACGCTCTTTTCAACACTGGAGCAAATAGTGATCTAGAGCTACCTCCGCCACCAAAAAATCCAAGTCCAAATTTAGCCATGGATATTTTACAAGCCAAAAAGAGACTTGCAGAGGAGAAGAAGAAAGCTCCTCCTCCTGTTGTTATCGAAAATTTAACTGCCTCTGTATGCGAAAATTACTTAGACTCTACTGATGATATTACCAAGGTGGAATTTCAACCTGTCACAACCACAACGAGTACATCAGCAACAAGCACTCCAGAAGGTGGTGACTCTGGAACAACCACAACTGCTACTACATCAAGACCTGTATTTGAAGATAATTTTTTCATACCTAGAGCGGACCCTCCTCTCACACGAAATGAATGGCTTACATTCTTTGATGAAGAAGGAAGAATACTCAACTTTGAATTCCTGAAAGAACGAGTTTTTTATGGAGGTGTTGAAAATGATATTCGAAATGAAGTTTGGAAATATTTATTGGGATACTATCCTCATAATTCAACCTATGCTGAACGAGAAATTTTAATTCAAGAAAAGAAAAAGGAATATGAGGCTCTCAAAGTGCAATGGAAGAGTATTTCACCCAAGCAAGAAAGTCGATTTTTCTTGTACAGAGACCGAAAGTCGAGAATTGAAAAAGATGTTATTAGAACCGATAGAACACATCCCATGTATGCTGATGAAAATTCGGAATGGCTAGTGAAACTTAATGACATACTTTTAACGTATACTTTTTATAACTTTGATTTGAGCTATGTTCAGGGAATGGGAGACTATGCTAGTATTATGCTAGAAATAATGAAAGATGAGATAGATACATTTTGGTGTTTTGCGTGCTTGATGGAGTCAAGACAAGCCAATTTTGAACTCAATTCTGCGGGAATGGAACATCAACTTGCATCATTAGCATCTCTCATCAAATTCCTAGACCATGAATTTTACAACTATTTAGCATCTGTGGATTCACTCAATCTCTATTTTTGCTTTAGGTGGGTCTTGGTAGAATTAAAACGAGAATTCAGTTTTGAAGAGACGAAAGATTTATGGGAAAAGTTTTGGACACAATACTATGGAAATAATTTTCATTTGTTTGTGTGCTACGCCATGCTTCAGCGAATTAGAAATGAGGTAATTGCCGAAAAGTATCGATTCGATGATATTTTAAGGTCGTGTATTGATCTCTCTGGTCATTTAAACCTTACGGAAATACTTCAAGAAGCTGAAAAGACGTACCTGCACTACAAGATGCAATTACAACACGAACAAGACATTTCAGAAAGAAGTTTGTTATTGTAACATGATTCATTAAATATTAAATGGATATTTTGTGACTAATTTTGAACTCAATAGAGCAGATGGTGTGAGGTCAACAACTCTTAGCGACAATGTTGACATTTTGGAATCGAAATCGATCCATTAAAAAGGAAAACAAATCTGCTTTTTAAAATTTTCAGCAAAGAAATAATCATCACCTCTCCTAATAACCACCCAGATCTGGTATTCATCAGACTCAGCGATCATGGGTCAATCGGTTGCAGCTGCTTCCGAATACAACAAGAATTATAACCATCCTCCACTTGGATCCGATCCAATTTCTGAATTGTATCAAGCCGGAAAAACAAACCTCCTTGCTCATGATCATGTTGCATCAGGAGAGGGAAAGAAAACAAACAAATCCAACAAACAACGAACGAGTGTGAGCTCTAGCACAGCAATAACAAACTCTCCCAAAGGCGAGCCATTCAAAAACAAAGGATATTTAGGTCGAGTGTTGCATTCAACCTCCGAGTCGGAGAGCTCAAGCCTTCATTCCCTTCTCGGTGATGATGATGTCTATGAAGATGATGATGAAGAAAAGTCGAGTTGGAGCCAAGCACAAGATCATCGCTCAAAAGTAACCACGAAGAGGTGGCTTCTATCCACAGCTCACGAACAACAATCGATGATGAGGATTCATGATTACAATTTTAAAGAACCACCACCATCTAAGAATTTAATATTTAAATATATCATTCAAAATAGTGTGGAAACGGATCACCCTAAGATGTTTGAAATAATTATTCTTATGGCTTGTTCGGATTTATTGCACGATATTTGCAAATTGAGATTGGTCTGCAAATTATTTAACAAGATCATTGAGGAAAGTTTAAATTTTGTGGCATTTCAACTCGATCACAAGTCTGTATTTACAGAAGATGAGGATTCTGAGGAGTTGGAGAATTTACATTATTCAGAACGAAAAGCATTTTGCCACAAGTTGAAAATTTCGAGAAACATCCTTTTTTCACTTCTCGCAAGCATCAAGCAGCATCAAGATCGAATACCCAGATTTTTATTGAACTCTCAACGTTTTCATTATTGCTTTGATTTAAATGAAACAGAATGTCAAGTCAAATTGAAAAATCCTTTTATTCAATCACGCACTTATGAAGGAGTAAAGAATGAACTCCTTAATACGAACAATTTTGTATTTTTGCAAGAATTGGAATTGTTCGTAAACATTTCCAACAACGACTTGATTCCACACAATTTCAGTATTATTGCCATTTGTAGAGAAACATCAAGTTACGAAGAGTGTTTATTCAGATTTCATACTTCAATATCCAACAATGCTCAAAGAAGTGAAGATCAGAGTGGACTCTCCACAAAAACTAGATTATATCCCTATCACAAGAAAATGTTTTTTGAGAGTCCCACAAAAACATCTTCTTCTCAAATCTCCACTCATGTGAATCTTAATTTTGAGTTGACTGAAGGAAGGTATTCACTCAAGTTTAAATTATCCAACGACTACAATACCATTCAAGTGAAAGTCATTGACATTGAGCATCAAACGTTGCACTATGAGCTTCAATCCATACCACTCATGCATGCTAGTCCATCTCATGTGTCTCAGATCAACCATTCAAGACAACACTCCACTCCTTCCATCATGATTGACCATTTTCTGATCATTACTTCCTCCTCAGATCGAAACATTTGTAAACGTGTGACACTATCCGCCTCTATCATGGATTCTGGTTCGTGAAAATCATTCTGGTCAATTTTCAAGCACTCTCAGAATTATTTCGTTGCACTGACACAACCATTAATGACCAATGACAGAAAAAAAGCGCTCCCGCCTTTCAAATTTTTGCTCGTTACAAAATAATTTAAATATTAAATGAAAGGATCCAGCAAGAAATATTTTAGCGCAATGCAACTGCAAACAACTGTCGTTCGTTTTCAAATGCTTCCCTCTCGTGTTTTGGCGCTATTAAACAATTGAAAGTATTAAATCGAAAAAAACAACACTAGTAGTGATGATGATGAAGACGGTCATGTCGAGCGAGGAACACGTGATGAAGACGAATAACAAGACATCAACAACAACTCCATCGTGCTCTTCCATAGCGACTACGACTTCCACCACATTAACAACAAACAATCATCATCATCATCATCATTTATATTATGAGGTCAATTCTACTACTATTGGGAGAAATTATGAGGACGACAACAACCGAGAACAACAACAAGAACGGAAAGAAGAAGGACCCGTTCTTCGAGAAAAGACACCAGAGGAAGGATTTTCAGTCTGTCATTTCTCCACTCCGCGCTCGACTATGAAACACGACAATACTCATCGTACGGATGAAACGGATGTTGCCAAAGATCATGATGGAATCTGTAAAAAGGACAAGTTGAGAGGATCGGAAAGTATTCATGGTCCAGCCAATATGGAACCACAACAACAAACATCACCGCCATCAGTATTTGCTTGCAATGATCATTCGTTGCCTTTACCTATTGCCTCTGAAGACTCTGATTGCTCTGACACTGAGAAGAGTAACAATCAGGATGAAACAACAACTTCGTTAAAGAGTCAAGTTCCAACGAGGCCTAGAACTCTCCTTACGGTCAGCACTACGATGGAATCTCAGAGGAGTGCGAAAGCTGTTTTGCATGGATCTCTCCCTTCCAATACGAATGTGCTCTCTTCCACCCATACCAAACTCCACAACCTTAACAACTTGCAACAATCGCCACCACCACCACCTACTTTTCCAACATTAAGTCCACCACCAGGAGTTATCCAAACAGCTCACCATGGCATGGCAACTCCCACACGCATGTTTCCATTCTCCTTCACATCCTCAAAACACAATCCACAGCATGCATCTCTCCCACATTTTGAACCACCTTGCAACATACCATTAGATGCACAAAGTTGTACCTCGAGCAGCTCTAATGTCACACAAGGCACCACAGAAGAAAAGCAAACAAAAAACAGAAAAGAAAAATCTTTGACTATGATTTGTTCGAAATTCATTCAATTTTATGAAAATACTCTGAAAACCTCGTCCAATACGAGCGTCACCAACAATCCAAGCAAGGGTGAAATTAAGATTGAAGAAGCTGTCAATACTCTAGGTATTGAAAAGAGACGAATTTATGACATTCTCAATGTGTTGGAGAGCATTTCCATTGTTTCTAAGGTGGGAGTTTCATGCTACAAGTATCATGGCACAAAAAGTCTGACAACCACTCTCGAGCAAATGAAGAACAGTGCTTTCGAAGACGCTACTCTTCTTGAAGGCCTAAAGGCGCTTCCAAAAACTCCCCAAAACGAACCTCTACTCCAATGCTTACCCAAGTTTAAGCAAAATATCAATCCAATTGGTTCTTCGAGATCCAACACATTGACCTCTCTTAGTAGACTTTTGATTATGAGCTTCCTTGTTACTGAAATGAAAGAGATGACACAAGATCAACTCGCCAGCATTGTTCTTAAAGATTCAACAGAAAAGAGTAAGTACTACCTTTTACTATTGTCACTAATCATTAATTCTATTTTTTTATAGCTCGAACAAGAAGATTAAACGATATTGTCAACATTCTTTCTGCCATTAATCTCATAGAAAAGAGAAGTGAAAAGAGTGTCAATTACTTTAAATGGCTTGCAAAATTACCAAAACCAGAGACTACAAACGCCATCTTCTCTCCTTCAAAGATGCCAATCAAAAAGAGAAAGAGAACTAGTTCCAAACTAGCATCGACTAGTTCTGTTGAAGACCACTCCTCACCTTGCTCTGATGACTCCACATCTCCATCCTCCACATTCTCTTTCATTGATACTCCCCAATCTTCCAACTCGAGCATGGAGAACGATTCAGCTTCACCATCATATTCTTCTTCCTCTCAATCCTCAACTCCCTATTCACCCTTTTTCCACACCACTGTCACCACACCAACAGCATCTAGCAGCATAAGCATCCACAATAGTGGCGGTCTTCACTTTCAATTCAGATCTCCTCCAAGCAAGAAAAACAAACCAAGCCCTATGCCACTCACCTCTACCGTTCCAACATCATTGTCCAAAAATTTGCATGAAATGTTCAATGTAAAGCCAACAACAGAAAAGAAACCTCCATCCACCTCTCCACAGCAATTGTTATCCAGTAGTACTGTTACACCAAATCAACACAAGAATTTAACAGTCTCAATTCCATCCAAGCCATTAAGCTCCAATCTTCCAATCAGTAATAGTTCTAATCCTCAACAACCATCATCTAAGGCTTCTCCGTTTGTGACTACTTTGGGATCTTTCCGTTTTGCTACTGATAATTTGCAAACTTTGAGCAATATTTCGAAACCAAACGCTGCAACACCATGCTCCGTCAGTCCTTTAGCTATTCTCACAAATGAAAAGAACAAGGAAAATTGTGTCTCATCGCCATTGCTTCAGAATTCTGCAGAGAAAGGTACCTCCCTATCACCTTCACCACCATTGAATCCATCAAAGGGTTCCTTTACCATTAAGATACGTTCACCTCTCCAACCATTGTCACCCTCCAAGCTTTCTGTTTTGAATCAACAACAAAATATTCAAAAAGAACAACTCAAAAAGAAATAACACGATGAAACGAAGCATTGCGAAGGAAAGAACAGTTTCTTTAAATGTGATGTATCGAATCGTGCTGAGTGAAGCCAATAGAAATCAAATACAGTTCCAATTTTTCTTGAGAAAAAGCTATATTCCTCATGTTTAAATCAAAGGTTTTACACAGTGTGTCATTTCGATCCTTAATTATTTCGTTTGTAATGTGATAAAGCTCTAATCCTTAATTAACAGTCTGTGTTCCTCTTTTTCAAAGTTTTGAGCTTCATGAATGTTTGTGAACCAAAATTCGATGCTCGAATCATTCAGAATCTCAGCTGCTGATTTTCGACGACGATGTTGCAACATCACTTACAAAAAAAATACGTCCACCTCATGCCTTCTGCTGCTTCATCGATGAATTCCAAAAGATAATTGTTATTGTGGTTGAGTAAGCTTAATTGGATATCATCATGAGCTGCAGAAAACTCCACAAGAATATATAGGAAAGAGGACAAGGAGTTCGTGTTGGAAGAAGTGAAGAATTATGGATATGACGATGCAAGTGAAGAATTGCAAAAAGATACATCACTCGTGATGGAAGCATTCAAATGCAATGGTTTTGTGTTGATGGTTCTGCAACAACAACGACATGCAAACTTGTATTTAATGATAACAAAGAAAGATGTTGCTTTCTTGCTTTAAATTACTAGCGAAATATAACCCAATATTCTTCACTGCTTCCAACATGAGTTCCTTGGCAGATGGAAATAATATTGAGATGATACAAACATGTGCGTTGGATTGCACTTGTAACTAGTGCAATTTTCTTTGACATGATTTTAAGAATACCATCCTCCTCCAAGATTGTCAATGTCTCAATTATTAAAGTTTGCGAACACTGCTTTCATTGCATTATCAGAGTGAACCCAAATGAGAGGATAGAATCTCAGGACATTCTTGTTGGAATAAGGCCGAGTCTCTCTCTTATTTCCTAAATGATGCTTTGAGTTTTGTGATGAATAAGGAAATCACTTGTCAAAAGTACATTCAAAAAAATGTCATTTCCACCATCACCCTTTGCAAGAAGAACCCAACAATTCATCACCCACAACAACACCACCGTTGAAGAAAATAATTTCCAATCCAACGATCTACTCTACGTCACCAATAGCAATCATGCCAACATTAAATTGACAGGCGCTCGATGCATGAAAATTATTCTTGATGGAAACAATCATTCCACACTCACTTTTAATGTCAATTCCATCACAACAGGATTCGTGGAAGTCATGAAATGTGATAGTACAAAAATTATTATCGGACCAAATTGTGTTCACAAAATTAATACATTACAATTAGATGCGTTGAATAATTGTGAAATTATTTTTAATCTTGCTGATGAAAATTCGTCAAATATTGAATACATGACAAATTTCTGCTCGGAATTGTCAATCATTTCAAATATAGAATGTAAGAATATCAAGATGATCATTCAAACAGAATCTGGAACTGTGTTATTTGATTCATTGATGATTTTCGAAACTGTGGAAGAACACATTTTGCAAAATAACAGAAGCTCCATTCAATTCAAATCCAAATTCAGTCCATCCACAGCTGTGGATCAAACAATTTCAATGGAAACTGAAATTGTCATTCGAGAAGGCCTTAATGGATATGTCTCAACCAAAAAGGAGAAACAAGCAAAAGACAAGATTCAACAAGAATTCGATGAAAAGATGGACAAGTTCTTCAAAACGAATGGACTTTAAAAGTAAAACAAATAATCATTGACCATCCAGCTGCAAAGGATGATTGCTGATGTTCTCGCAATCAGCCATCGAATGACTGTATTCACACCTAGCAACAACATCCCAATTTCATCACAAGGAACTCATAGGCATCATCACCCATTCCAACATTTATAGAAAAATGTAATACTTGTTGAATTGGTCATCACCCTATCATGTCCAGCCGTCATTTTCGTCAAGTCGACATTGGGATGATATCGATGATCAACACCACCAGCACCACCCACTCAAAAAAGCAGGCACAAACCGTCTTCTTCAATGCTTTGATTGAACCAAAAAAACCGAAAAAAAAACTCAGCGTTGTAAGAGAAGGCACGTGGTTGACTCGTATCAAACTCGCAGAGGCTTTGTTTCTCCTTTGAAAAAAATACCTCCATCCGTTACGCTCCAAAGGCGGTTTTTCCCATCATCCTTCCACTCACAAACCACTCATACTCTCTCTTATAAAATGAACTATAGTTCAGCTTCACTCTATGTCGGAGATTTACATGAAGACATTTCAGAGGCTCTTTTGTTCGACCTTTTCCATGAGGTTGGTCCAATCATTTCAATTCGTATCTGCCGTGATGCGATGACTCGTAAATCTCTTGGGTATGCATATGTAAATTTCCAAAATCCACAAGACGCAGAAAGAGCTCTTGATACCCTAAACTACACTAGCGTTAAGGGAAGACCAATCCGTATTATGTGGTCACAAAGAGATCCTTCTATCCGTAAAAGCGGTATTGGAAATATCTTCATCAAGAACTTGGATAAATCAATTGACAACAAGGCTCTTTATGATACATTCTCCGCATTCGGTAACATTTTATCTTGCAAAGTTTGCCAAGCAACCAAGAAGAATGAAAACGGCGAAAATAGCACTGAATCAGCTGGATATGGTTTCGTTCATTTTGAAACCCAAGAAGCTGCTGAAAAAGCTATTGCCAAAGTTAACGGAATGTTGTTAAACGGTAAACAAGTTTTCGTAGGACCTTTTGTAAAGAAGAGCGAACGATTGAAGATTTTGAGTAATGAAGATTCATTCACAAACATCTACGTGAAGAACTTGGATCCAAGCGTTGACGACAAAGAATTGAGAGAAATGTTCTCAAAGTTTGGTGAGATTCAAAGTGCTGTTGTTATGAGAGGAGAAGATCTCAAATCAAAGGAATTCGGTTTTATCAACTTTGCAGACCATGCTTCTGCACTTTTGGCAATCGATGATATGCACGAAAAGGAGTATAAGGGAAAAAAGTTGTTCGTCGGAAGAGCTCAAAAGAAGAGCGAAAGAAGAGCCAAGTTGAAGGAATATTTCCAAAAGTTGAAGCAAGAAAAGGTTAACAAATACAAGGGATTGAATCTCTATGTCAAAAATTTGGATGATTCCGTTGATGACGAGAGATTGAAGCAAGAATTCTCAAAGTTTGGCGAAATTACATCTGCCAAAGTTATGCTTAACGAAAACAAACAAAGCAGAGGATTCGGTTTCGTCTGTTTCAAGACACCAGAAGCAGCTAACAAGGCATTGACCGAAATGAATGGACACATGATCGGATCTAAGCCACTCTATGTCAACTTTGCTCAACCAAAGGAACTTCGTCGTTCTCAACTCGAAGCTCAATACAACGCTAGAAAGCAACCTATGGTACCACAAATGATGCCACCATTCTTTATTGCAAACGCTCCTGGAGCATTCCCACCTGCAGGTCAAATGCTCAAGCCACGTTGGCAACCAGCTGGTGGACGTGGTGGTGCAAATAACCGTGGAGGAATGACTCAAAGAGGTGGTGCTGTAAGAGGACGTGGAGCCACAACTGGTGCTGTCAAGAATCAAGGAAACAGAACTGCAAACAACAACATCAAGTACAATAACAATGCTCGTAATCAACCACGAGAACAACCACAACAAATTACACCAACTCAAGCTTCTTCACAGGTTCCACAAGGATCATCTGATCAATTGTCTGCTGAATATTTGGCAAACCTTTCCGATCAAGATCAAAAGCAATTGTTGGGAGACAGACTTTTCCCACTCGTTCATTTGCGAGAACCAAAGAATGCTCCAAAGATTACTGGTATGCTCTTGGATATGGAAGTTTCTGATATTTTGCACTTGATTGAATCCACAGATGCTCTCCAACAAAAGATCAAGGAAGCTGTTAAAGTTTTGGAGGAACATGGTCAAACTGACCAATAATTCACATTCATCAAACCTGAGGATTGTGCACCTAAACCCGTCAGCCATAAAGAAAACAAGATCAAAAACCCAATAAAAAGTAGAAATGCCTCAATGTGTTGTTGTTCTCTCGAGTTTATTGATGACATGAAATGGTAGGAAAGGCTTTGTGAAAGAGACAGGACAACAATTCTCCTTTATTGCTTTGCGTTTCTCTAAAAAATGTATTCATCACACAAAGAAAGGCTTGTCTTCAACAAGGATCATACAGGTATCATAACCTTCTCCGAAGAAAATGAAGAAGATTCCTCTCTTGAAATTAATCAAGATCATCTAATTTCCAATGTTATGAAAGAGGAAGAAGAAACACAGTTGAAATCAAAATTAAATCCTCAAAATCCTCCAGTGCCACCCCCACGAAATCGTTCTCGCATCAAATCACCAACAAAATCATTGGACAATGTCCTAGGAAGGCTATTTGAACAAATCAAAGAGAAGGATGCTCAAAATCCAGCCTTGCACTATCCGCAAGCCGTAAAACTAAACAAGATCCTGTATTATACCATCGGAGGAATAATTTTCACCTTGCTATTTTCATGGCTTGAATATTCTCAAACAGTCTTACTCATTACTCCTTTAATAATTTTTGTGGCAATTGGAAAGATTAATTTGTATCCGAGCGATTATTTGTATAGTCCTAAATATTCAATAACCTTTCATCAATTAAGAGAATCAATTCGATTCTATAATAGAATTATTACTAAAGAATTATCTAAAAAGAAAAGAAATAGGGTTCTTGCTTTGGTAGATCCAACTGATGTGCAGTTAATACCTCTTGTTTTTGCTTTAATTCAAAGTGGGCAAGAAGTGATTGTTTTAAATCCAAAGGAATGTGGATTGAATAGCTTTTTTGAATGGATTCCAAAACTTGACATCGATGCTGTTCTAGTTTCTCCGCTGATTTATTGTATGCTGCAAATTATTCATTTTGTACAGAAAAGATCTTGGCTGTCGCTTGGAAAGAAATATTTAATATTCACTGGTTCTCTAACTGCTTATAAATTAATAGGCAAAAATAATCATTATGAATGGTCACATATTCCAAGAATTAATAAGATTGATCAAATTCAACAGAACACAATTTCTAGTGATGATGATTTATATTCATATAACGATGATGACACAGTAGCAATTGTAAATACAACTGGAACAACAGGAAAACCAAAATTGGTACATATCACTCATGCTATGCTTAAGAATCAAATTGAGAGCTTTGAAGAATTAATGTCTCCGTATTTACTGAAAGGAAGACAAGACAGAATTATCAACCACAATGTTGTCATGACCTTGTGTGTGAATTGTATGGGTTTGACATCAATTGTTCCTCCATTTGATTTATCAAAGCCATCCAGTGTTGATCCGAATGAATATATTAATACCATTCATACCTATAACTTTTACCCGAGATTTGGATTTTCCAGCCCAATTGTTTGGATGGAAATCATGGAATATTGTGCCCGAATGAACAAACCAAATTCTAAAGTGAAGGAGGAGTACAGCGTTGCTCCACCATTGGAGGTCCTACTTTGTGGAGGAAATTCAACACCCTTCTCTCTTCATAAGAAGTTTCGACAATGGGCTTCTAAAGATGAGGATTCTTCTGCCTTATTGTTTCCAACGTATGGAGCGACGGAATGCTTACCCATTTGCTTAACCAATACATGGGAGCTTGAGAAAATTTATGAAACAGAGGAAATTCAATATTCTGTGTCACGAGGATACTGTGTTGGAAAGGAATGCCCAAATGTGACTGTTCTCATTCGAAATCAAGAAAAGGTATCGGGCGGCAACATTGGAGAAATTTGGATTGGTGGAAAAGCGGTGAGTCCAAGATACGAACTCGATAACACAGCCATGCTACAAACTAAGGAAATTATTGATGGAGTTCTATTTCACAAAACAGGTGATATTGGATACAAGGATGAAAACGAAATGGTTTGGTATTGTGGCCGATTAAGCCAAACCTTTCATGTCATACCTGCCAAGGGCGATCGATCAAACAAATCACTAGAAGAACCTCTGGTGATCATTCCAGCTTGTATCGAGCATGCATTTTACAACAAATTCCCTAGCATGAGACGATGTGCTTGTGTTGGTTATTCACCTATAACTAAACAAACCAACGTCATACTCAAGCTCAATGAAAAGAATTTCCTTTCGAGGTATAATGAACTGTCATTTCAAGAGATGGCAATTGTGTTCGAAACATTTGGAAATGAGAAAATCGAGTCTTCCATTCTCGAAGAATTTTGGAATAATACAATTCTGTCAAATCCAGAAACACCAGAAGAATTCTCGAATCTTGCAATCCGTTTCGTTCAGCAGAAATCTCTTCCAGTCGATAATCGTCATAACTCAAAGATTGAAATGACACGACTTGCTTTAGATTTAAATCGATCAATGATTGTAAAATAAAACATTTGTTATTATTTTGCAATTTTTCTGATTGATATATCAACAACCTAATTGAAAACTCGCTGTCATAACGTCCAAAGCAGTATACAATTCCACTTGAAATTCTGGTCTGTTTTCCGATTCGGGATCATATCGTTGTTTATAGTACAAATATTTGATCACTTGTTCTATCACATTAGCTTCAAAATCCACTTGAATTTCCGATTGTCCTTCAGCAATTACTGAAACAACGTAATTGTTTTAATTGTATTTCTGATCATGAATTTCCTCACATGCCTCCTCCATACCTACCTTCTTTAAATTTCCTGCATAACACTGCACATCTCTTGTCAATATAAAAATCAAAATCATCACAAGAAATAACTTTAAACACTTCCGATGGATCAAAAGTCAGACAGTGTTCGGGTCTTTGAAATTGTTTTGAGCTTCGTCCGCCCTTACTGGCCGATGGTTTTCGTGCCGATGACATTTTTTTCAAGTTGGCGCAAAAATTTTACAATTTATTTCTGATTGAAATTATTATTTGAAATTTGTCCAATCATTTAAATTTGTTCATGAAGTGTTGTTTGTTACACACAGAATAGATTTGTGTGTCCTAGGAAGAAAATATTGAATTTCGTATGTATGCATCTCCAACGACATGATTATCTCAACAACAACAACAGCAACAACATAAACATCTACACATCACCATTGTCAATCACATCCATTGGACCATTCATTGTTGAATAAATTCATAAAATCCCAAATGAGATGAATTTTTACAATGTAAATACATCTTTGTGACCACACACATTCTTCCACACTACTCACCTAAACATTCGTTTCAACATGTTTGTTCGACCACCACCATTACCACCATTACCAAGAACAAACAATCTTCTTCTTTGAGTGGACTCTCGCGTACGAACCAATGGTTCATTCATATTATAATAGGTAGAGGAATTCCTCACATTCGAATTTCGATTTGATTTGATTGTGGAATGTTCACTCTCTTTGGGTAATTCCTCTTCTTCAAAGTCATAAATTAATTTTCGGAAACACACTGGACACTCGGAAGATCGTTGTCTCCATTCCTCACTACACTGCAAATGAAATCCATGTCCACATTTGCATTTCACTTCAGGATTCTCCTCATTGTACAATTCCAAACAAATTGGACATTGGCTCTCATCATCCTCAAAGACAAGAATTTGTTGAAAGAGAGAGGGATAACGGAGAGCAAGTTCTTGTACTTTTTGTTGTTTTTCTACGAGTTGTTGTTCTTGTTGATGTTCTTGTTGTTGAGAATTTGTGAGTTCGAGCTGTTTCTTGAGAGGATGATTTTGTTTTTGAGAAGAAGAAGAAGAAGACGATGAAATCCTTGTCATGTTCCGAACATCTTCCATCATGATGTTGTGGCTGGAGGATTGTTGTTGTTCTTCTTCTTCTCGAGTGAGAGGATTGTGATCTTCAATGAGAGTGTGAGTCGTGTGGAGAGTGTGGATTGGAGATGATGAAGAGGATATGTCATGCATGAGGGGTGTTGTTCTGAATGTTGAGGAGGAGGAGAAGGAAGATGGAAAGGAAGGATTCTGAGAGGAGGATGAACACTCTTCAAGAGGTCGATGTGAGAAAGCTGCAGTCTTTGAAAACCATTTCGTCATCGCGCGATGATGATGTTATGTAATGGTGAATGGGTGAATTAAATTGAATAATAATAATAATAATGGAAAAGAACTATAAGATTAGCAATGTTTGTTGTAATCATATATTTGAATAACAACAAGAGAATGAACACTCAACAAGATCTGATTTCAATTAATTGAACACCACAAAATTCTCTCTTGGCAGTGCCACTCGACGATGATGATGACGATGATGAGAAAGGTTTGGCAATTGCCGGAAATGGTTTCTGCCGAGAAGAGGATTCTTTTTTTAGCTTTTATTTTGAATCTTGCTGTGAGTGGTCAAATAATTCTCATTCACTCGCTTTTACAATACATTGACATTGGTCATTTCTAATAGTCAAAGCCAGAGAGATACAACTCGGAACAACAACACCCCTTTTTCTCATTCTCTCAATGGCCTTACTGGACTCTTCATTGAAAGGTGCCAAAGAAATAGTACTTGAAATTTCCCAAAGTCCTAAATTCCTCAATATGGAACTATTGGCAATCGCTTGAAGACTAACATCTGAAATTAAATAAGTTCCTTATATTGCAAGATGAATCATGTTCTCACTTGATGCAATACATTGGGCTCCAAAATCACCCACATCGTTGCCTGAATTTTGCAAGCTTGCTTAATGTATGGGCTTTGTGTGAGTGATTGAACGCCTTCATCCTTCAGATCTAGACAAGTCAATTTGTTCATGTGTGGGCTATTGGAAAGATTCAATCCTTAATTGAGAGCACCTTTAGATTTTTAAAATTATTTCTTGATGCAATTAATGTCCAAAAATTAATCTCTTTCTTGTTTGATCTTTCCTTTTTAAGAACAGAATGCTTTGACCAAAAAATAAAACGAGGACGAAGCAGAGTTGATCAAAACAATTAAAGATTTAATCGTGATATCGTCGTCAGGACCAGACTGTTAATCCTTTGAAATTAAGAGGAAAAGACTCGGCTGTTTCCATTTCTTTAATTTGAAAAAAGAGGCTTGCAAAAAAATGGCGCCAAAACGCAAGGAGGGCGATTTGAACATGTGCCGTCATCATCACGGCCTCAGCAAAGTCGTTCCCAATCCAATATCAACAACAACAACAACAAATCGAGTACTAAAAAACGAAAAACCTTAAATTCAAAAATTTCTTACGATATTCGGATTTGTTCTTCCTTGAAACGAATGCAATATCATCCCGAATTTAAAGATGTAATTTTATTTATTCAAAAAGTATTGAACAATGAAAGAGGAATCTCTGTAGATGATTTATGGTCAGTGATTAATGAAAAGAAAGATAAATTATTGACAACGAGAGAGGGACTTTGTACATGGCTGCAAAGACATGGATTTGTCATTGAAAATAATGTTGTCTTTCCTCCAACAAGGTCCGAAGTGAAAAATAGTTATGTGGAAACGATTGATTTTGTAAAATCTATTATTGTTGACAATGTCATTCCTCCACGTCTCGCTGAATTATGTTCAAAAACAAGTTCTGAAGTTTTTGAAATTAAAAAGGCATTCCTTCAAGAAATGTTTGAATGGGAAGGAGTGTCTGGTCTCAAAGAACAACTTTTAGCACAAGTGAAAATTTTTGTTCCTTCAGATTTAGTATGTGAAGTTTTCGTTGACGAATTTAAGGCAATTTATTTAGGAAGTTGTGTTCCAAGAGCAGACAAGAATGACCACCAGAAATACTTTGCTATCTTTGGATACTTTTGTGACTCTCCTGTGCTAATTGCAGAGGAAAGATGTGATTTTGGATTTAGATTCAAATATAAAGTTCCAAATGAGCCTGGAGTTGTCATTACTCATTGGGAAAATGATGAACGAACTCTGCAAGATGATGTGCTAGACTCACCTTGTACTAATGCTCTTGAAACACTTGATGAATACTCGGCTCATCCTCTCCAATCACACATTGAAAATTATTTGAAATATTTTCAAGGAATTGTCGAAGAAGAAGACATTTCTGAAGATTCTTTTAATCATTTCAAGTCACAAGTGCTTGCCATTATCACGGATGTCAAATGGATTATTTTCAGCACTCTTGTCAAAACCACACATCTTACAGCGAGTGAAAAATTGGTGTTAGATACTCTTTCTGATAAGTCAGAATTATTCACCAAGTTTCCTGTTCACTGGTTGACTGTCATTTGTCTTGCTCTTGGAAGAGATCCCGCGACCATTAAAAAGTACATCAAGAACAAGAACAAGGATTTGCTTGCCACAGAGATTGAACTTAAATGGAAGCAGTTTTAATACTCGACTGAAGAAACTCTTGATTTAGAAAAGCTTCAAAAATTAAGCAAGAGATTGATGCATTGATCGAGAAGGCCATTTCTCAAACCATGACATCTTACCCATCCTCTAAAAATTTAATAACAGGAAAAGCTGCACTAAGTGAAAGCGAAGATGAGGATAACAGTTATGACCCAGAGTCATCTATTGAACCGAATCATGTGGAAATTTTAATGTCTTTTAAGAAAAGATATACCAACAAACATTTTTCATACATTAGAACTCTAGTGTGTAAATTAATTAACGGAGAAACCTTTACAACGTTAGCTCAAAAGAGACAGAATGCAGAGTACTTCTATCGAATTGATGATATTTCTCTTGGAAGAGCAAAATATGCAATTCCTGTGGTGAATGAAAAAGATTTTAGCAAATTCACAAGTTTTGAATATTCCAATACAACAGATTTTGGTGAAGGAATTTCTAAGGAGACAAAAGAAAATGTGGCTGCTTTGAAAAATATTGAATTTTGTGACTGCAAAAAAAAAGTGCGGAAAAGGTTGTAAATGTTTGCAGCTTCAAAGAGATTATAGATTTGATTCAAATAACCAATCTGAAAAATTCCAATCCGTGCGTCGTGGAGATGACGTTTACTATGACGAGAACAAACGCTTAAAAGACACGAATACTAAATATATTATTGTGGAATGCAACAGTGAGTGTTCGTGCCCAGACACATGCCCTAATCGAGTTGTTCAAAAAGGATCTGACGTTAAGGTCACTATTTTCAAAACCAATCGCACAGGTTGGGGTCTCAGAGCTGCCCAAAAGTTGCATCGAGGACAATTTGTTGAAATTTATGCTGGAGAATTAATTTCAGATGAGGTGGGAGAGATGCGAGGTCGCTATTATGATAGGAAAGGATTAAGTTATTTATTTGATGTTTCTCATGGAGATGTTGTATGTGATTTCACAGTTGATTCTACCTACAAGGGAAATGTGACTCGGTTCTTGAATCATTCATGTGATGGCAATTTGCAGCAGTACTTGGTTTGCAGTGAAATAAGGGACTCAAGATATGGTACAATCGCCTTCTTTTGTAAGAGAAACATTGAAGTAGGTGAAGAATTGACTTTTGACTACCATTATGTCTGTGAAAAGCAAGTGAGATGTCTGTGTGGAAGTAAGAATTGCAAGCAGTGGCTTCGGTAAAACTTTTGGCGTTGTTGGCATCAAACGATGTTCCACTTCATCCCTCGTCGCTATTCATACTGCTTGTCATCACATGACAAGATTAATTTATTAAAAAGAGACCGCTGACTACCTAATAGTGGGTAGGTCTCTCTGTTGGATCTCTTGTAGATTCTCTCACTTTACATACTCTGCAGAAATAGTGTGACAATATGTATCAATTTCGATTATCTTAATGGCAGTCATTTCATCCATATCAATCGTGTTGCTTGTCACATAGGCCTCAATAGCAAAGTAATTATACTCTACCAATCGTAAACGTAACAATTGGGTGAATACTGGCTTTTTTCTGTTGATCAAGTTATTGTAATCTCTATGCACACCCGACTTGTCACGATGTGAGTGAGATAATCTTTTTCCTTTTCTGAAATTAATTTCAGAAACGCATTCCAAAATAAAGTGCTCACTATCACAAGATTCCATCTTGTTCTTTAAAAATTTAAGGAAGTAGTGATAGAGCACTTGTTTTTCCATTTCTTTCACTGTTTCAATCTTATCTGAAACTTTTTCACTCCAATAATGTAAAACTTCCTCGCTGAACAGACTGTTTTCAATTCCTGTCCAAGTTGCTCCGGACTCAATTGTATTTAAATAATGAACTAGTTGAACTTGTAAAACTAAATCAAGCCATCTCCTCAATGGAGAAGAAAGTTGCATGTACAGTTCAACACCAATGATGTTTTGGTAAAACTTTGTTGGATTTGTCGTTATTTTGCTAATGTTTGTTGTCTTCTTACTTCCCTGTTGCTTTAGTTCATTCTCAAACCTCAATAAAGCTTGATAGTTCTCAGTTTGGTGATTCTTTCCTTGCGCAAGATAATTAGTTTCATTACCTTCAGGGTCTAATATTGATGCAACTTCAATAAACTCCTCAATGTCCATATCCTTTATAGATTCTGGAAGCAATCTGTTATATGTTTGATAAAATTCTTTGTAGAGACCAGCTATTCTATTGTCATAAAAGTACCTTGCCATGGTAGCGTTAAGCAAAATACTAAATTCAGTAATAATTTTTGAAGATTTGGAAGGAGTTGTTCGTTGAGTATTGACATGAATTATTGGATCATCACCATTCTTATTGTCTTCAAGAACAAGGTCAATTCCTCCGAGAGGAACAACACCTGGCGTAAATTTTTTGGCACCGTGTTCCAAACGAGAATCATGAATAGCACAGCAACAATCATATAACTGTTTCCAAAAAGGATCTGCCTGAGGGGAATCGATTTTCTCGTCCGCTTCTTCAAAGGAATAAGACTGACTAACTTGTATCAATCCCTTGAATACTCCTTTAAACTCTACTCTTCCATCTTTAAAAATAACAAAAATATGTGAAATAACCTCCTTAGGCTTCTTATCAATTAGCGACAGAGCTTCTTCAGAGAGGTGACGTGGAAAGCAAGGAGCATAGGTTTCTTCTACTCCTGGTATGTAAATAGACATGACACGCTTCGAGGCCTCTGAAAATAAGGAACTTTGGAATATGGGATGATCAGCAAACTTAGTCTTAACTGGAGGAGTTCGTTTAACTTCTTTCTTGGATTCATCGACTGGTGATGCAGCTTGCGAAAGATCGACGTTTCTTAGAATGGTTGAGGCAATGTCCGTAATGTGGACTGCAATGTGAATGCAATTTTGGTCATGGTATAAAATGGTAAGCGCATCATCGCAATCTTTTGTTCCTTTTTTGTCAATAGTAAATGTTCGATCGTAATGATCTAGAAACGAGAGTCGATTGTCTTTGGCCTCAAGTGTATAGTTCGCAGATATCTCAAATTCTTTGTCAATCTGCTTTATAATGTCTGGATCAAAGTTGGGAGATGCGTAAATCCTGTTGAGATAAATCTGTACCCAGTCAATTTGAGCACCCAATCTTTTTAACCACTTTACAGCCTTAAGTTGATATGGATATTGAAACCATCCGAAGGGCTTGTTAATTTCATCCTCCTCCGTTTTAAGTAAATCAAAGTATCTTTGGTAGCATCTATACTCCTTGTCGTACGTAATAAACTGTATGAGTTGTTCTATTAATTTATCTTTTTCTTCTGGAGTAAGTATTGATGCTTCGTTTTGATCTCTATACGCTGCTTGAATTTTGGCATTAAAGCTTGTTTTTTGTTTTTGAGTCTCAACGTCCACAATAGAATAAAGCTTTTTGAAATCGTTTGCTGCTCCCTTCTGCTTCTTGTGAGAAAAATCATACTTATATTTCAGATCTTGGAAAATGTTCAAGCATAAAATAACAGCAATTTCTTTAACAAAGGTGTCACTGAAATTCGATCCAGCCGATCGCTTCTCTGCGAATATAGAAGATTCAGGCTTTTTTTGTTTAAAAGGTGTCAAGTCAGGAATGTTATCAATTTTAGCGACTAATTCACATATAGTCATTTTAGGTGGCTTTGCTTCATTTCTCTCAATTTCAAATATTTCATTCAACCGTTTTCTTACAAAACCTAATGTGTTGTGAACAGATTTAAGAGTTCGTATGAGTTCAATAAAAACTTCTTGCATCCCATTAGGACATTTGCATACCCAAGAGCAAACAAGAAGGTGAGATCTTCTTTTGAATTTTGAAAACTCGTTCTTTTTCATACGTTCAACAAAGGACGAAACAGTAGACTCTTCATCTCCTTTGATAAATCTGTCGAGCACGTCCTCTTTGGACAAGTCGATATCCTGGAAGTAATTCCATTCAGTTGAGTATTCTGATAACAAATATTTAACCTCTCTAGCTTTGAGCTTGGCAAATTTGTTAGAAATGGCAGGAAGATTGGCAGAAAACTCCAACCATGTGTTTGAAGAAAGTAAAAATGATTTCATCAATATAGATGCATGAGAGTTAATAAGGTATGGATTGTATGGCTGGTTTTGCTTAATCAACTTCTTAACAAACTTCTTTAACGCAGCATAAATAGCCTTATTCTTTATGCATGTGGAAAAGAGTGTTTCAGAGCTTTTGTTGCTATACTTTGAGCTTTGAGTAAGTATTTCTCTTATCTTGGATTGAGACTCTGATTCCTTTGATGCTTGTTGCCAACAAAAATACAGAGATCCATTGAATGATGCAAAACCAACAATATAGTCATCCTCATCAAAATTCATTTGAATTTGATTTGCAGATGAAATTGATTCTGTTTCATCCTCATCTTCTTCACTTGATGACTCTTGTTCAACTGGTTCTTTTTTACGACCTTTCTTCTGCTTTGTAGTGCTTGTTGATGTCGATAGTTTAGAGTTTGCTCGGTTAGGAACCTTAAACATTTTTGGACTCTCAGGTTCTTGAGATTGGTAAAACACAGACGAGTTATAGGGATTGGATTGATAATAGGTATTGTTTTGAGGATAATAGTAAACACAACCTCCAAGTTGTTGTACAGATGGATAGGCATATCCTTGAAAATTATTGTATTGGCCTGGATGATATATACTGCTATTAGCAGAAGGTGGCGAAGAAGTCATCGAGGAAGGATAAAAGGCGGCAGACGATATAGAGAAACCACTAGATTTTGCTTTTGGGATGTTCTTAGTTTCACTTTGTTCAGCGATTTGGTTTTGAATCGAGTGTGAGGAAGGTGGTGTTGCAGATTGTTTAGCGTTCTTACTTTGGTAAATTCTAAAATTTTGCCTAGAGTCGTTTTGTTGAGCGTTTTCATTGTCAGCAGTGTTTTGGCCTTTTCTATTTCTGTTATTAGAGTTTCTAGAGTGATGAACATTTTCATTTTGGTGATGAGTTTGTTGTAATTGATTAGAAGTGGCACCAGTTTCATGTGACCTGAAATTTGAAAAACGTTTATAATTGTTCCGTTTGTCATTATTCTTGCCTCTATATCTTGTCCCGATTGTTTGTTGGTGTAATTCATCGTCTTGTTGTTTCATGGTGTTATTAGCATTTTCTTGTTGTTCGTCCTCATTATAAATTTTACTTTCTGTGCTCCTAGAATTAGATGTAGTCTTTTTGTACATTGTCGAGTTATTATTGAATCTTCTTCTTGCTCCTTCTACATTTTGTTGATGATTTACATTTGTAGTTTCTGCTGAATTTAGTCTATTCTTATAAAATCCACTAGTAGCTTCCTGATTCGAGATAAGATCAGTCTGATGTTCATCATTGCTCACTGTTCCGTTATTACTATCGCTGTTCCGTGCTGTTGCCGATGCTGGTTTGTGATTCAATGAATTTGGACAATTTCTTCGTCCTTCAGTAGTGCTACCACTACTACTAGCAGCAGAACTATTAAAATTATTACTACTTCCTCTTCTCTGAGGTTGTTGTTGTTGCTGTGATGAGGAGGTGGAGTGTTCAACATATTGTATGTCGAAATTGTTGTTGTTGTTTCTGTGGTAATGGTGGTGGTGGTGGTGGTGGTAATGGTTCTTGGTATGAGCCGATGATGAAGGAAGGCTCATTTTTGGGAAAGGTCTTTTCTCTTGCGTTGTTGCTGTTGTTGTTGTTGTGTTGGGGTGATTTTTTGGTTGGTGGTTTGGATTCTTGTGTTTAATATTTTGTTTTCCACAACACCACAACACCTCAACACGAAATGGATCACGCGCTGGTTGTTGGTTTGGAAAATAGAAAGAGCTTGTTCAATTTTCTCTGTTAATTATTTCGATAACCACAACAATAAAGAAAGGAGTTTGATTGTAAAGCTTTGACTAGACCGGGATGTGCATGATCCATCTAGGGTTTTTCTGAAAAGTTCCAACAATTTTCGTCCATCAGTTCAGTCAGCTGTCACTTTTCTTCATTTAAAAAATAAGTGATTGGTTTTTTCGTGAGAGAAGACTCTCTGCTTGATTTCACTTCATACCACCATCATCAGACACACGAATCATCAAACACCCACTACATTTACTCCCTCTGAGTACTAGTCATGTCAAAAATAGCCGAAAAGGTAAGTCAAAGGAAGAGACAAACGTTTGATGACGACCATGATGATGATCCTTTCGCAAAATGTATTAATTTGAATCAATCACGACAATCAATGACAATCAATATATTGTACCATATGATTTCAACCCTCATCACGCCATTCCATTTATTACGAATGACATTTCAAACAATTTCCATTTGTTTTTCTGTGATGATGACTCTTTGGAAAACAACACCATCACGACAACAAAATCTTCTTCTCATCGATGAATTATGGACCCACTTGGAACATTTAATTCACCTGTCTCTCACCACCCGAATCTTTTGTTTTTCTGCTATCCTTCTGCTTCTTTAAATACTAACACTACTAATTCATATTTCTCATTCACATTCACTCCATCACAGCTCTATGTTCTGAGACAACACTCAGATGCTCTTCTCCAACGTCTCTATACGATCAAGAATGATCTCAGCGATCCAAATCTGAGGCCAGACGTTATGAAGCCCACACTCAATGTGGACATGAAAAGACTGTTTGCTAAACTTGCCAAAGATGCTCCACATATTGCCATTGATGAGTTGGAAAAGGTTCAAGGATTCGATTGGGTTCTCAATAACATGACACAACTCTTCAATCAGGTTCATCCAATTTATTTAACATTCCGTGAATTGAATCAATGGGCTGACCACGCACAACAAACCATTAACGAAATTTCCACAAATGCCAATATTGATTTTGTTCAAGATGTGAATTTTCTGACGTGTTATGACTATTTGCAAGTGTTGGTCGGATATGTGAAATTAGTGTTAATGATGAATAGAATCAAGGACAAGGAGTTGATTGTTTGTTTGTTGAATTTGAGTTATTTGAAATTGAACGGAACGCCAGAACCAAATATTAACCGTGTTTGGAAATTCTTTAAAGATTTCGAAGATCCAATTCCAAAGTTGCAAGAAGAATGGAATGGAATTCAAGATCAAGTTGGAAGAGCTCTCATGGGTTTAATTCCTGCATTCGATAGAGGTACATTTAGCTCTTTAAATATTAAGAGACCTCTCGAAATGTTGTCAGAACCAGATCGAATTCCTTTCCCAGCTGTTGATGAAACTTATCAACATTTGAGCTGTTATCAAGATATCATTGAATGGATTGCAATTATTTATTCCTGTTGTCCACATGCTCTCACAAAGACTCCAGACAAACCAATCAAAATGACTCCACTTGTCACAAGTGCTAAAAAGAATAAGGAAGTTCCTATTCGTTGCTATGAAATTCTCTTGCAAAGAGTGTTGGCAAACCATTTGGTCATTCCACTCTATGGAGATGAAGTTTATAACTTCCATGATGCCTTCAAAGAATATGTCATGATTAAAAAGTTTGGAGATTTGAAAAAGGAAGCCAAGACATTGAAGGCACTTCAAGAAATGGCAATTGAAAAGTGTCAAGATTATCACAAGGAATTACGTAACTATCTCAGATTGCAATTGAAGAGTTTGTTAAACATGATGAAAGATCAACCTGGTTTGTTAGGTCCAAAATTCAATTTGGTTTTGGCTGCCATTTCAATGGCTCGAAGTGAAATCATGTGGTATTTCCATCACAATAATTACATTTCCAAATTACCAAACCAAAAGAAGGTCAAAGAAGTGAAAGAAACACTTATTAGTGAAATGATTTATCTTATGGATGAAATGTTGTACGTTTGTGTGCAACACAGAGAAGTGATTAGAAAGTATTCGCTCAAAATTATTCGAGGATTATATTATACCAAGTTGAGAGGCCTTATTGAGCAATGCAGAGGTGTTTTGGATCTTGCCAAAGTGAGTCACATTATAGATTCCATTTTGAATGACATTCAAAACACTGAGGATTTTGAAGCTTTGCGTTTGAATTGGAAGAGAGTTGAAGCATTCTTGTCCAGTTTTCAATTCAAACAATCTCTCCCCGAATTAACCATGTTGTTCGCAACCATGACAAAGATTGTCGTATTTTCTAAACATGTGGATGGTTTATACGATGAACTTGTTGAAAAGGGATCATTGAAACAATTGTACTTTTATAAGGAAGATGTCGATAAGATCTTCTCAGATGGTCTCATTGGTTCCAAGTCACAACCATTGTACTCGACTGCATTTATCAGAATTTTAAATACTTATGCTGATAATATTCACCCACAACTCAATCCTTCTCTCAGAAATAAGATTGGACAACAGTCGGTACAAATGGCTGAAAGCATGCTCGGACAATTGGTCGACAGAATCAAGAAAGGTCTTGATTTGTTAAATAGTTCACACGGATACAGAATGTTAACTCATCAAATTGGTGGTGATGTTGCCGCTCAAATCATTCTTCGTAGATATGGTAAGAACAAGCAATACATTGAAGAGCCTCCAGTTCCTGGTGTTGAGAGTAACTTTGATAACAATTCCATCAACGACATGCGTGATTTGGAACGTAATGTCACTCAACTCTTATATTCTTTATCAAGATATGATGAAATTGTTGTCTACGATACTGCTTTCTATCCAGTCGAATATTTGAGAACTGTTCTCGAAGAATACATTTCCGAATATATCAAGAGAATTGCAACCACCATCGATTTAACAGCGAAGGAAATGAAGAACGACTCTCTCCAAGCGAAATTCATCACTCCCACTGAATTACTCAGTGAATTGCATTCATTCATGTCCTCTTTGAAGATTATTGAACAATGCTGCAGTCTCAACACAGAAGAAATTGTATTGAATGCCATTTTGGAACATTTTGTTCACTTGAATTATGTCGAGTCTCCCTTCGGTGTCGTTCAAACCACAGAACCTACCAATTTAATTTCCATGTATGCTCAATGGTACACTGAAATTGTTTCAGATCCTCAGAAATACAAGACACTCTATCATCCCAATCGACAAACCTTTGTTTCCACCAAGGAAACACCCATTCAGACCTACAATGTGGAACAATATTTGGATTACAATGAATTGAAGGCTCTCATTACATTGACTGGTCCATACGGATTCCGAGCATTTAATCAATCACTGTTGGATAATGTCTACACGATCAGTGAGAGGGTTCGAGAAGTACTCTCACAAAGCAACAATGCTCTCCGTGAGATTGAAAACAAATTGTACGATGAAAAGTTTCTTCTCGATAAGAAGGTTCGTCAATCTCTTCAAACACTGGAACCCTTGTTAGGTCTTTTAATTCAATTGGGAGGTATCTTGGAATTTAGAAGAGGCCTTCAACAAGCATTGCAATCGAGTGTGAGAAGAAATGCTCCTGCCATTTACGATGTGGTCGACAGTGCCTTTGAACAATATCCAAGAAACTTTTATGGAGATGCCAAATTCTTACCGATTGATGCACTCGCCACTGATTGTGGTTTTGCAGAGGTCGATCACTCTCTGAGACTCAAGTTATCGCCTCTTGTGGATCGATCTCAAGTGTGGGAGGTGTTGCCCATTGCTTTTGCAGCTCTTGTACTTCTTGAGAAGTGTTGGAGAGAAAAGGATAGTGTCTATGATGTGAATCTTGAAGGTTGGTACAACAATACTCATCTCTCCATTACTGCTTTCCATCGATTGATGCAAGCAGTTCATTCCATTAAATCCAACAAGATTGTGGATCTTGAAAAGGACTATAAGAGATTTGCAGAATTTGCTGCCATGATTCTCTTGCACATGAATGGTACCAAAGGCTATGAAAAGCAATACGACAATTGTTGTATCTTCTTGGATCGAACTTTGAAGACTTCCAAACATTTGGATATTTCCTTCTTTGAAGATTTACTTCCATATCCACTCATTCGTACGACCTATGTGAGATTCTTTGAACCACATCAATTCGAAGAGTTGGCTCAAGAGGCTGCCAATATGGAAAAACAAGCAGCTCAGAATAATGCTTCTCAAGGTACTGGTGGTACTGGTGGTGCACAACAAACGACTGAGACTGAGACTCATTAATATTTTCAAAAGGACCATTTGAAATTCCTCCATTGTGAGTTGTTGTTGAACTTTTTGTATAAGTAAATTTATTGAATATATTTTATATATTGTCATGTTCTTCAATGAGGTAATTTTAATGAACCAGGATCGCAGATTGAAATACGGTGACATGGTCTGAATTACTTCCTTTCTCTGGGTTTTCAGGGTGATTGTCAACGTCATCCGATTGATTGGCAGACCTAATCTTGAGAGATATTCAAACCTTCATGAAGAATACTTACGAAAGTTTAATAAAGTCACTGTATTGGATTGGATTGCTCCAGAGACTAGTATTGAACGTTCTATCAGTCCCAATCCCATCCCAAAATCCATATCTATTTAGATGATATCCTCAATGGTATAAATTGAGATGAGACTACTTTATCCCGCCCAAGACTTACAACAAGTATACATTTTAAAAAAAATATTACAACAAGTATCGCAAGGAACAGAACGTTGCCATGTCCTTGTTCAGACTTCGGGAATCGTGGAGCACAAAATGTGGTGACTCTGAAGAGTTTGAAAAGGGATCATTATGTATTGGAAATGTGGATAATGAGAGAGGTGATTCGGGGTCTTGTTGTTTGGACAAGATTGTGGTTGGAAGTTTGTCGGGAATGTTGAGAATATACAAACCTCAGAAGAATAATTATTATCCAACAGATTTATTGTTAGAAAAACAGTTGGAGGCTCCCATCTTGCAGTTAGAGATTGGGAAATTTATTCCGTAAGTAGACTGTGGATTTGGTCACGCCCTGAACTGAAATTTGCTCCCAGTAACTCGAGAGACAATGCTTTGGGGGTATTGATGCCAAAAAAGTTTGCAGTGTATACAATTGTTAAACAAACATCGGATTATTCATCGGAACAACAAGACAGTAATGCAATGGAAGGGTATGCACTTCAACTTTATTATGAGCATACCTTGCAACGATTATCATACAATTTTTGCTACGGACCTTTTGGCGGGGCTTATGGCAAAGACTACATTTGCATTCAGTCATTTGATGGCCAGCTCTCGTTCTTCGAACAAGATCATTTTACTTTTCAAAGATTTCTCTCGACTAGTTTAATACCTGGCCCGTTGATATATAGCAGATCAATGGATAGTTTTATCACTTTCAATTCTTCAATGGAAGTGGAAGCATACAAATATCAAATGTTGGCAGCTTCTTCAGGGTCAACCCAAAAAGAAAACTC